CCAGTGACCTCCGCAGTACACTTTGCAAGCAAAGCCTTCAGATCGATCCGACCACGTGGGGATTTTGATAACATGGGTTTCGCGGAATTAATAAATAACCCTTCGAAGTTCGAACCCACATGGAAGCAAAAATTACTACCACTCTGACAGACTTGCTGCCACCGTACAAAAGCGCACCCTACTTCCTTCACTTCAAACGCGTCACTCGCGTCACCCACGCCTGCCTCACCTGTCTCACTCAAATCACACTTACTACCCGCGTCAGAGTTAGAATCGATCCTCCGTGCAAGAGGTCATCCGTTATGCCATCCTCAACGGCGGTGGCCGAATCAGATGGAGGTTTCCCAATCGATCTGTTCTATGCCACCGGCAGAGCCCTCTGGACCTTGACAGGTTACGTGGTCAGTATGGTCTTCGCCGCCAGTTCGAGCAGACGAAACGCTTGGCGGTAATCACGTCGGATGCGACAGTAAGACACATACGGACCGGTGCTGCCCGTGATGTGGCCCATCTGGAAGATCAAAGCTCTGTTGGGGTATCTTCAAAAGCTGTAGCGGCTCAACCTGGACATAACGCAGACAGTTACCATGAAGGTGTAACAGACGGTTATGTCAGCGCAGCCGAGTCGTACTTTTACAACCGCCGCGTTGAGGCTGATCATTTTGACGGCTTAGCTCCTGTTGTAGCACGCAAGCCAATGACGCAAACGAGGAAGCGTAGGCTACAATCCAGACTGCTTTGAGCCTTTCTACGACTCAAATGACCGAGAGGACGGATCATTCCATAAAACATTGTCAAGACTGCCATGAGAACGAACCTACGACCTTGGATGCCGCCCTGGACCACAGTGTCCCATGAACACCATCTCCGTGCCACTCAATTATTCTCCACAGCGATCCGGTTACCACTCATGTCTTCTCAACAGGCGGGTGGCTTGTTGAAAAACTTTCTAACCAATAGGCAGCTACCCGCTCGGATAAGTTGAGTGGTTGAAGGATGTGTGTACATGATTCTTCTGAGTACGCAGCCTGCGGCAGCGACGAAGGAATCCAACCGCAAGACATCCCTGTCAAATGAATCCGCGGATTCATTTGACAGGGATGTCGCGTGGGGGGGATGTTAAATTCCCGGCTAGGCAACGCTTGGCGACCACAAGTGACACCCGCAGTATACTTTGAATGCAAAGCCGTCAGATCAGTCCGATCACAGTGGATTTTGATACTTAGGGTTCCGCGGAACTAATACAGACTTTCAAAGTTGAAATGTTCGCTTGGCTGCGAGCTACAGTTAGGAGCCTTAAAGGAAGAGGCAATAATACCGTGCCACGAATGACCTTGTGCGAAAGTCGCGGACCTGCGGCGCATGCAAGCAGATCTCCTCGACTGATCGGGAGCGCCACGATGTTTCAGCCGTGCCCGAATGCTTACTCGCGACATGGGGTCTGTACTAATACTTAAGCAGGCAGCTTTGACATGAGATGCCCACAAGCCATCGCAAACAACTAAACTCCAGTTACAGACTGCCTCGCTACGCCATTCCCAGTACTCCTCGCGATAATACACAGATACAGGTCTTGCCCTACTTTGATCTGTTCACCTGTTAGTCCCACAGGGAGAGATTATTTCATATCTACTCCGATAATTCATCAGGCATTTCTAGTACTTTTATATTTTTTATACTTCTTACACCCGCAACTTGCTCTCAAATTTCTTTCCTCCCTATCAAGTTCTGCCAAAGTCATCAGCCAATCTGTTGCCTTTTTCAACGGAGAGAGACCACAAGCTAATTTGAATAGGTTTCCACGAAGATGCCTCTCCTCCCACGCTCTCTCACAGCTTCCGACGAAATCAACATCGTTGGAATTGTTGTAGCATTTGTTGTTGGTGCCATTTCAACGAGCTTTGCCTACCTTACCTTGCGCTCTCAAAGAAGGGGTCGCCAATCATCGGGTAATGCTCCCAATATCAATACGAGGCCTGAAACAAAACAGACTAAAGTAATTCATAGATGTTGAATCTCGCGAGCTGGTCGTTCGGTTCAGGCTTGAAAGGAGGGGACGTTGAAAGATGACTATTAATGTAAAATTATTTTTCTTTTCTTTCCTTTCTTTTTAAGATACTAGATGATATGATTATTTAGTTTCTGGGGCTTTTTAATTAGTCTTGCCATTGCTTCGGTAGTTTTTTGGGCGATTATATGGCAATAATTGAAGTTATGAAGGCATTTCGTAAATTTAGAGGTACATACTTTGGAAACAGACTCTGAACTATTTCTGTTTTACAAAGGGTCTCTACGTATTTTGAGGAATTTGCCACTCAGTTAATCTCTCCTAGGATGGCTAAATTCTGAATTGCTGCCAGCCCGTACAAGGAGGTTATGTTGGTTGAAATCCATGGGGCTTCGTCGATTGAGCTTGTTGGTCCATGACCGCCAATATTCTGAGTAGTCCACAGCGCATCCGCCCTATAGCCATCGCTGTACAAGAGCTCATTCCAGGCACGCGAGGCTAAAGATGGGTCATCAAGCTCTCGGGAAACGTACGCAGTCAGTCGCGAGTGACCTTGCTTTAACTGCAGGTTCCCAAAACTGACTCCGAACCGCTCGATCTGCTCGTCGGCTGGAGCGTTGAAATAGCGGCAGTAAGATAGCCAGGCTTCTTTGAAGCCCGGGGGTATATCTGCCGCCAGTGAATCTAGGATGTCGGCACAAATCTCAAACAGTCCGAACATGGCCGAGAGGTGGGATACCTTCACAACGCCTTTGTTCTCTGGGTCCTCAACCGGCGGGAGAATCTCTCCTGTGAGAAGGTTGTAAGTGACCTGGCCAGTAACGAAGCCATTGGCCAGTGAACCAATCCCCCTCGTTGTAGTGAGTAATTTGCTTTTTGCTTCCTCCCACAAGGGGCCGCGTCTCTCCCATTCAATGAACCACGCGGCGGCAAGCGCAGACCAGTCGGTACCCAGAGAGATGGTGAGTGCCTTTGGGTCAGGCCGATATGTAGCCCTGTCTTTTCTAACCTTACGGTATGGGTCCAAGGTGAGGAAAGCCTTCTCTGTTTCCAGTGTTTCTTCCATCAGGTCACCAACCCTCTCGGCTCCCCCAGAGAGGTAATAGAAGAACCTTCGGTACAACGCATTAGAGATACGGGCCTGCTTGCAGCTGTCACTCCAGTGCTGTACGCCGTGTCGCGTTCCGAGACCTTTATACTTGCCCAAGTGATACACATCAACCTCTCCGGTATGCCTGGTCAGCGCTTCAGCCATGCGGTATACGTCCGCCCTGCCGGTGCGTAGAAAATATAACCAGAGCCACAGATCTGGGGACAGCTCCGAGTTGTCCCAAGCATAACCGCCGACGTCATATCTCCAGGTCCGCCGGTCTGCATCATAAGTGTGCATGATATCTCCGTGATCCCAGAAGCCGTACCACTTCCGCTGCTGCACCTGTCCCTTGTAAAAGTTGAACAGGAAGTACAGTTTCGAATCCAAATCCATCTGCAGGCCACTGCATCCCGACTCCTTTTCCGCCGCCGGAGACCAATACGTCCCCAACGCGCCCGTCTCACGAATCCGCTCCGACCGCGCCACCAACACCGGCGGGCTCCGCACGCACCTCGTCAGCGACGCCAGCTCTTTTTCGCTCGGCGTCCCCTCCGTCGCGAGCAGGCACAACTCGCTCGTCCGCGCCACTCCCTCCGCACTCCCCATCCCTTCCTCCCAGTCCTCATACGTCACCCGCATCGCCGCCAACTGCTCGTCGTAACACCCCTCCTCCCCCAAACTCCCCCGCCACGGCCGCAAATCCATCGGCCCACTGCCGCCGTCCGGCGACCACAGCCAGGCCGTGAGCTCGCCGTCGTCCCCGCCACCAGCGCCGACGTCCAACCCCGTCGGCCACCGCTCCCAGAACCACCGCAAACCAACCGCGACCCCACCCCTCCCCGCCGCGCCCACGTACGCCACGCCGCCGGCCTTCTGGTTGGGTTCTGCGGCTCCAGCCCGCGGCGGCACACCCACCCACGCCCTCCCCCCGGCCTGCCCGCCCGTCCTCTTGCGCACCACGCACGCATCCGGCCCCAGTTGCGTGAGCCGCCACTGCCGCCAGACAGGGACCCAGCGCAGCCCTTCTCCGCGCGGCATCTCAGCGTCCCACGTCTCTAGCGGCGGGACGGGCTGCCCTGATACCTGCGCTGCGCGCACGGCGGCGCCGGGGTCGGTCCATAGGCCGGTTAGGCCTTGTGCGGCTTCGGCGAGGAGGGTGGATCCGGAGGCGGTGGTGAGGCGGATGTGTTGGTCGTAGGGCGGCGCGGGGGCGAGGGGGGCGGTGAGGCGGAGGGCTAAGCCGCGGATGTGGTTGTAGGGATGGGGCAGGGGGGAGGGGGAGAAGACGTGGGTGAGGTGCAGGCGGAGGAGGGGGGAGGAGGCGTGGAGGTGGATGCGGAGGGTGAAGGGGAGGAGGAGGGTTTCGTGTTGGTTGGATGGAGTGGATGGTTGGGTGGAGGGATGAGGGGGGAGAGGGGCGTGGTGGCCGGTTATTTTGATCGTAGTGCGGATGGGGCCGGCGCGTTCGAGGGTGGTGGAGGTGATGGTGCTGGTGAGTTTGTGGTGGGTGATTGGTGAGGAAGGGAGGTCGCCGTCGAGGATGGAGGATTGGGTGAGGAGGACGAGGTGGCCGTTTGTGCTGACGGTGCGGCCGGCGTTGTTGATGATGCTGGAGATGAGGGTGCGTCCGCTTTTGGGGAAGGTGGCGGTGATGGCTCCGGTCGAGACGGTGATGGAGTCGTCGGAGTCTTGGATGCTGATGCCTTTTGGTGGTTCTTGAGGTGGCTTGTTTTCGCCGTGTACTGTGGCATGGACGATGTATCCGTCTTTTGGTGCATCGCCGGCAGGAATTGCATGCGCGGTCCATTTGATCGAGTCATCGGGCCAGTAGGCGAGAACCCAAGACTGAAGCGGAATATTTTCACCGTTGCGGGTGCTGCAGGTGTATGTGGTATCACCTGATTTGTATTTTCCTCTTGCCCAAGGTAGCCCGAATGTCGTTCCATATTGGTAATGATCCGGCGGCTCCAGCCATCTTACGGGGGTCGATTCGGAGGACATGGCGTTGGCAACCTGAAGAATCGATGGTGAGTAAAGGCGTGGAGATGTAGAGGTGTTGAACAGAGCATACTTGTGCCGGTTACCAAAGCCTATCGGTTTCCCGATAGTTCGGTTGTCTTTTACCCGTTGATGCTCGCTTGCGGGGTTGCGCGTTTGAGGGGCTCAATGGCATCACCCCCTCGTTTCCGGCAACGATCTGCCATTTACTTCTTACTCACCAAGCAACAACCCAAGAAAGGCTTGGTGATGCCAACTGCTCCTGTAATGCCCCCCGAAAAAACGGATTTATCCGCTTGTAAGTGGGAAATCAAGAAGTGTCCCCGCCGCGATGACCATGCGCCACACGCCGGTTTTCGGTGAAAGTATCGAGCGTTATCTGTACGTACATGGCGTGGTATTTGACGTGATCAATGTTGCATCTGAAAGTTCGTGAGGTGCCGGAGGATCGTGCCATGCAGGATAAATTAGATATGAACTCGATGCAAAGCGGTCTTTCAGTGACTTGCCCACGACATCAGCTCGAGCCTCCGCAAAATGGCGCCTTCAGCAGAAAAAGACTCAGCGGAAGCAAAAAGAGAAGATGGCGCATCGACGCCAACGCAGAAGGATCCCGGCCATATCAACACCAACGAGGTTGACGACCTCGTTGAACCCGACGACCCTGACTCCGCATCCCGCTGGTTTTGGGAAAGGAAGAATCGCAAACCGGTTGACCTCGATGCCATTGCGACTAAGCGCAGCGTTTTCGATGATCCGGCCCTGGCGCATTTCTACCTGCCCCGGTCTGATCATGAGAATATCCACCGCTTCTCGATTCCCTTCCGCTGGACCTACAGAGAAGAGCAGTCGGTGCGACGGAAGACGGACATCCGCATATTCCTCTGGATCCTGGTCATGTTTTTCGCACTCAACATCGACCGCGGGAACCTGTCCAACGCGGTGGCGGACAACCTGCTGGACGACATCAACATCAGCACCAACGACTACAACAACGCGCAGAACATGTACCGGGTCGGGTTCTTGGTCAGCGAGATCCCGTCGCAGATGATCGGCAAGTGGCTGGGGCCGGACCGGTGGATCCCGTGCCAGATTGTGCTCTGGAGCGTGGCGTCGGGCGGGCAGTTCTGGATGACGGGGAAGGCGAGCTTCTTCGCGTGCCGCTTCCTGATCGGGCTGTGCATGGGCGGCTTCATCCCGGACGCGGTGCTGTACCTGTCGTACTTCTACACCAAGGCCGAGATGCCCATGCGGCTGGCCTTCTTCTGGTTCGTCGACTCCATGTCGGGCGTCGTGGCGTCCTTCATCGCCTACGGCGTGCTGCACATGCGCGGCGTGCACGGCCGCGAGGGCTGGCGCTGGCTGTTCCTCGTCGAGGCCGTCATCAGCCTGGCCATCGGCCTGCTGAGCTTCGTCTTCCTGGTGCCGGGCCCGACACAGACGCGCACGTGGTGGAATCCGCGCGGATACTTCTCCGAGCGCGAGGAAAGCGTCATCGTCAACCGCGTGCTGCGCGACGACCCGTCCAAGGGCGACATGCACAACCGCCAGGCCCTCACGCTGGGCATGCTGTGGCGCAGCCTGCGCGACTACGACCTCTGGCCCGTCTACGCCATCGGCATCCTGTTCGAGATCCCGTCCGCGCCACCCAAGGCCTACCTCAGCCTGACGCTCCGGCAGATCGGCTTCAACACGTTCGAGACGACGCTGCTCGGCATCCCCGTCACCGTCTACGCGGCCCTCAACATGCTGCTCATCACGTGGCTGACGGAGCGCGTTGGCCAGATCGCCCTGCTGGGCCTGCTCGCCCAGCTGTGGATCCTGCCGCTGCTGGTCATCGAGTACACGTCAGCCGGATCGCTGTCGCACTGGGGCCAGTACGTCGTGCTGCTCTTCCTGCTGGGCCAGCCGTCGGTGCATGCCGCCCAGGTCGGCTGGTGCTCGCGCCTCAGCAACGCCGTGCGCACCCGCGCCGTCAGCGCTGCCCTGTACAACATTACTGTGCAGTTGTCCGGCATCGCGTCGTCGAACATCTATCGCGCCGATGACAAGCCGTTGTACAGGCGCGGTAACAGGGATCTCATCGGCATCACGATCGGGACCATCGGAGCGTATGCATTTGCCAAAGCCTATTATTTGTGGCGGAATAAGACGAAGAGAGCGAAGTGGAACGCAATGACCATAGAGCAGCAGCAGCATTACTTGGCGAACACGACGGATCTGGGGAACAAGCGATTGGATTTCATGTTTGAGAGCTAGAAGAGAAAGTTAAATGTCATGAGGTCATGCCTAGTATGGGATCGCCTTGTTCTCCTTGACCCAGAGTTGCTCCCCCTCGGTGCCTGTGGGCGGCGGGACCAAGCCTTGTATCTTCCACAACTCACGATCCGTCTCCAGGCCGTGGTATTCCCAGTCGTAACCTTTGTCGGCGATGTGCGGCTTTAGAGTGGCATCGACCTGTGGAGACCGTCAGTGAATGCTATCGGGCAAAGGATGAAAGGAATACAGACCAATTGAAGCCAGCCACTTTTGCGTTCATCGCCCAGTCTGCGAGCAATGTTCTCGAACACGATGCGAATGAAGGGAGCTCCGGCTTTGTCATTCGAGACTCCTCCGACATACAACTTCTCTGCTGGCACGGCGTTGAAGATTACGATGACGTAGAATGCCGGGAGGCCAAAGCCAACATAGAGCTTGGTGATGTCAGCAGCAAGGGCGTCTCGCTCCTCCTTGGTAGTGAAGGTATTGTCCGGGTGGAAGATGCGCCACAGAGGCATGTTGAGGTATTGAAGCGAGTCGTAGTTGTTTTGCTTTCCAGAATCGCCACCTTGGCTGCTTTATATCTTCTGTATCGAATAGTGCAACTCTGTATAACATAGCTTTCCTTTCCATCAGCTCCGATCATGTGCTTGGCACTACGTTTGGACTAGCGCGCTAGTTGTAGGTGTTCAGTAATCACCGTCTCACTGCAACGAATCGTACCATGAGGCGGTCAGAGCTGGAAAGTGATTAACCGAGGAGCACTGCACCCCAATCTATGATCACCCTGTCTTTGTGGGTAAGACATGCGGGGATGAGATGCAGTGAGCATGGTGAATGAACACTACTGGAGAATGGAAGAACGGGCAAAGGCAGTATAGTAGATGGCCATCCATACAAGAGTCCTCTGGCAGTCGGATCCGATCCCACCAGTCCAAGCCGACCAGCGGTACATCTTGGCGCTGAATAGTAAACACATTTCATGCAGACGTTTGAAGTTGCAGGCAGGGACAAAACGTGGCGCCGCTAATGAGTGAATAGTAATCAGAAAGTCGTGAGACAGGGGACCCGACAGCCAATAAAAGCGAATACACTCTCTCAAGCTTCACCGAGTGGTAGAGTATGCGGGAAAGAAAGCTCGATGAAAGTAAAGTAGGAAGGAGATCCTGGGGAGCCGATGTCTCACTGCGACACGAAGTGGACAGGTTTCACCGGAGTTGAGCCAAATTCACTGTCGTAGGCGCCCTCAGCCACCACTGATTACTGAACTTTAGCCGAGGAGTGAGAGCGAAGGAACGAAGTGACCGGCGCGTGGATTTGGCGCGATGGTGGTGAAGGCGACGGATGGTGTTGAGTGGTCCGTGCGGGGTCTGGGCTGCAGGGCTGCTCGCTTGCGCCGCCTTGCCGGGCCTAGCGCAGCGCACGGGAATAGGTCGGTCCGGTTTAGCGATTTCCCTCCCGGTTTATGTTCACACGGCTTTTCAATTTTCGCACCGACGACGACGGCGACTCGCAACCCATAACCCACCCTCCCACGACAAATCCTCCATTTTCAAATCCACAGCCATGGGCGGTGTCACGGTCAGGGACGTTGAGGCGTCCAAGTTCATCAATGCCTACGGTACGCGCGTTTGAGCTGCTGCGCCGCCAGAGCCTTCGCTAACGACTGTTGCAGCCGACTTCTTGAAGCGCCAGGGCCGTCTTCCCATCCCAGGTCCGTGATCTCGTCCAGGTTGAATCCCGTAACTGGGGGATGACAACGGCGGAAAAGCTAACAAGAGCCTCTCCATCTACAGCCTGGACTGATATCGCGAAGACTTCGCACGTGAGTGGCTCTCCTGATCATCCGCAAAAGTCGGTGCACAATTCGCTAACAAACAACAGGCCAAGGAGCTCCCTCCCCAGAGCATCGACTGGTACGAACCGCGCGCATTTTAGGCTCCGAACTTCCGCATACTTACTTCCGCAAAGGTACTACATCCGCGCTGCCGCTGTCGCCCGCCACATCTACCTCCGCAAGACCGTCGGTGTCGGCCGTCTCCGCAAGGTTCACGGTGGCACCAAGAACCGTGGCTCGCGCCCCAGCCACCACGTCGACGCCTCCGGCTCCGTCGACCGCAAGGTCCTCCAGTCCCTCGAGAAGATTGGTGTCCTTGAGCAGGATGAGGAGAAGGGTGGCCGCCGCATCACCCAGTCCGGCCAGCGTGACTTGGACCGCATTGCCATGAGCACTGTCGAGGCCGAGGAGGATGACGAGTAAACTTGTTATTCCGTGGGTTAAAATGGGGTAAATAACGGGCATGGGATATCGGAGTTGCAAGGATACGCGCTCTTGAACTCCAGGGCACTTCGCGTCTGGATGGAGGATGAAAGGGTACGGGCAATTTTCGGAGTGATTCCCAGCCAAAAATCAAAACTTTTCATCCATTCAACTGTTCGCCAGCCGGATTTCTTTTCCGGACTTCTTTACGTCAAGCATTGTTGTCCGGGCATTTGTTTTCAAGTGATTATGTGCAAGACTGGAATTTCGTGGTAATTTGACAATGATCTCCAGGTCCCAAAACGGAATGTTGATAGACACTACTAAATCCTTCGAATTACATGTACGCTGCTCCCAACCTTTGAACCAGAGAAAGACCGTGCATCCACTGCCGATTGACTTTGCCGAGTACGTCTGCGCTAAAATATCAGTGATCCTATCCTATATGCAATGGTAAAGATTTTCGAACTTACACATTGGAATGCACGTAGCAACGATGCACAACGACACAATACCGTAGATCTTGAAGATCTGTGCCGGGCCATCTTCCGCAACCCAGGAATTGACAAAGGTGGAGAAGCCGTAGAAGAGGAGGTTCTTTGCCGTCATCTGGAGGATGAAGATCTCTGTGGCCTGCTCCTTATACGAATCACTTTCGTGTGTCAGCAGCCCTATCCACCTAGCAAGGTAGTGAAATCCTTTGAGCTTACAGAATGTATAGTGACGCTGAACTGGACGTCACGGTGATCCCGCAGCAAATGCAGCCGTGGCAGAATGCTCCGAGGTAGTATCCCTTTGGCGTGGGGTTTTCCATATCCCACATGAAGACAAAGTAGCCTATACCCAGCAGCACTGCGGCAATCACTTGGACGGGGATGCGGAATTCGGGCTCGTAGATGCCCTTATTCCATCTGGCAAATGTTCGGGATGAGCTGTCGCACAGCTTTCCGGATCCTATGCCGCCGATGAGTCCTCCGAGAAGTCCTGTGTGATGGGTGTCAGTTGAGTTGGCGAGAATGGTGGGATAAGTCATTACCTCCGACGTAAAAGTATCCATTACCCTCCGGTGTGAGGTTGTATGGCGGTACGGACCAGATTTGTGCGAGTACGTATGAGAGGCTGACGTAGAATGCCTGCATGATTGAGCGTGCATCTGCCAGGGTCGGTATTGGGAGATCTTACCACAATGATGCCAGCATCCAGAATTGTCTGTAGATGAATGAGCTTATCGATGTGCGTTGATGGGAGGAGGACTCACCCAGAACACTGCAGGATTCAAAAGTACCACCAGCGGCGCAATTACAAGCTTGAACGGAGACTCGTCTGTAAAGCTTCCGTTGTAAGGCGCCAAATTCGGCAGGTATGACCTCTTCGGTATCGTAGCCACATCAACGCTCTCTATGCGCTTTACATCTTCGCTGCGTTTATCCTGGACTTTCTCGGTGTTGGCATATGCATCTGGGCTGTACGTGGGCAGCCTGCCGTTTCGATCTCGACGGCGGAACTGCGTCTCAGGAACCAGGAAGAAGACTATCAGTGCTCCAACAATGGCGAAGGGTAGATGCACAATAAACATATAGCGCCATCCCAGCCGTGAAGTTATGGGGCCACCGATGATGGCAACGAGGGAGGCCATGCATGTCAGACAGAGGACCATGATGCCGGTGCGGACGCCGCGCTCGTGGACGAAGTAGCTGTCGACTGTCAGTGACATGGGCTGTCTGGGTATGCGTGTTCTTACATGTCACCCAACATTGCCACGGAGAGACTCTCGAATGCGGTGGTGCCGAAGCCTTGGATCAATCTTCCCGCAAGGAGGGTATGATAGTTTTCGTGCGCTGCGATGCAGACGCCGGTGCCAATGACGCCCATTACAGCGGCGAAGATGAACTGTGGTCGTTTGCCATATTTGCGCGCAAGTGCTGAGACAACGGGACTTCGGCTGTGAGTGGATTATTCACTTGGAGCCAGTTGTTCAACTTACCCGAAGCAGCCAACGAGCAATAACTGGTATCCTGAGAGTTCGGCAACTTCGTCTAGGGTCACCCCTAAGATGGTAGAGAGTATGACGGTGGCGGGCGCCAGCATTGGAGCTGGTACAGCGGCGAAAATGATGGTACCGAGGAAGACTGACGCATACACAACATCCTTCTTCCATAGAGGCCAGTTCTGCTCCAGTTAGCTTGCCGCAGGAGATTCTCTTCTGTCCAGACAAGAAGAGTGCCCACCAATGGATCGTTTGGATCGTCTGATGGTTGCGGGACCAAGACGATGTGTGCGTTCTGCACAGTCAGCGGATGAAAATGAATGTAGACTGATCGAACGTACCTTGCCAGTGCCATGTTTGAGTTGGAGTGAAGTGTCGGTGGTCCCTTCATCGATGAGAGAAACCGTGCCCGGCACTTCCTCAACAAAAGTATTCACAATACCGAGAGGCATTTTGGGATGAGAGACGAAATTTCAGAGAATCCCCGACCAGCTCAGGCCATAGCTGATCGGCTCCAATGGCGTTCAGGTGGTGTTTTACATTGGAATACCCCGCATTATCCAGGGCACTGTATAACGTCGGATCTATTCTGCCGACCCTATTAATGCCACTTAGACCCTCTTCAAGAAAGGGCCACGATAGTTTTTACTCCACATACTTTGTTCGCACCCCCATCCGTTGTGGGGTACGAACGAGGAAGGCAGCGCCTTGAAGCTTTAAGGCTGGGCACCCTTGGGCAACACGTTCCGCACTCCTAATCAGCCATATAATCTTCTGCATGAAAGACTTGCACAGACAGCCATTCCTGCGGCCGATTATTCATTCACACAAATTCATCAATGCAGGTCTTCGAGCTTAGTATTCGAGCATGCGTTGCGAAGAAAGAGGCTCAGGGTTCAGTACCGGGGCTCGGGCCGTAGATGGGGCGGATTCGGTCCCGACCGGCTCGGGTCATCTGCATTATGTATGGCGACAACTGAGCGCTGCACCAGAGCAGTCGAATGGTAAGTGCGAACGCAGGTTACTATTCCAAGTTCGCTCAAGTGCGCCCGCTTGACAGGTCAAGTTCTCTAACCGGGTCGCAACACTCAGCGGTTCGGCATCGCGCCACAGCGTCGAAGGAATTTTCCCGGTCCACGTCATAAACTTACGAAACAGGGGCAGGAAACTTGCTGCGTTTCCACTCGCTTGCTTCCAACCAAATGATTGGCTGATAAGCCTCCGCCCCGCCTCGGCCTCTTCCCCGGATAAGCAACAAACTTCAAAGCTTTTCCAGAAAGTCGACGGCTGGAACGTCGAGAAGAAAACTTGCAAGTCACCATGTGGGTCACGCCGGAGGATCGCTCCCACGCCAGCGCCCTACATACATAGGGCTGCGTCGCGCCTATCGCGCGGTCCTGCATGCTTCTTGTACACGCTCCGTGAATAGTGCACCAACACAACCCTTCTCATCATTAAAAAAACGAAAAGAAAAAAAAAAGAAAAGGAGCTCTGAGATCACTCCACGATAACCCACCCCCCACCATGCCCGCCTCCGACCCATCCAAACCGCCCATCCTCCCAACCTTCCAGCCAGCCGCGCATCCAAAGCGCCAAAACACCACCAGCTCCACAACCACCAGAACCACCATCGGCGCCACGCCCACGCCCAGCCGACACAACAGCAGCACCACCACCCCCGCCACGCGCCGCCCCCACCCGCACCACCAGCGCCAAACCTCCTCCCAATCCATCACGCGCAAACCCGTCCCGCCGCCCAAACGCGCCCCCTCAACGCTCGCCCGCCCGTCGTTCAAGCGCGCGCCGACGACGCAGACGCAGTACGTCGACCTGCTCGTGCGGCTGGACGAGATCCCGCGCTGGCACAACATCGTGTGCGCCTTTTGCTCGTGGCTGCTGCTGGCCGGGTACTTGGTGTTTCCGGCGACGTTCACGAAAGTGCAGGCGCGGGTGGAGACCGAAGTCGACGGGAGAGATGATGTGGTGACGGTGTTCGTGGCGGGGGCGGTGAAGAATGTGGGACTGTTGTGGGTGGCGGGGGCGTGTTGTGTTGTGGGCGCGGCGGGGTTGGCGTGGTTGTGGGTTAGGCATTGGTGGCATTATATTTGGTTGGTTAATCGGGTGTTTTTGTAAGTTTTGCTTTCTTTCCAGTATTGTTTTTCTTATTCTGAGTTTTTCGCGGAAAACTGACTTTCTGATGCGTTTCTGCAGGCCTGGAACGACGAACTCAGTGGCAGGCCTTGTCTCGACGCTCGTCAACATCTATTCTGCGCAGGACGGCAAGCTGAGCATCACTGCGAAAGTGACGGTCGGTGTGACGGCTGGATGCACATTGATCTTTGGCACGTTGTTCATCGTTCATCAATTGTTGCTGATGCGAGTGAAGAAGAAGCACGAGCGTCAGATTGAGGCGGATGAGAAGCGCGAGCGGCAGTTGAACGGAGAAGAGAATGTAGGCGCTTTCGAGAAGTTGAAAAGAAAGGCGCAAGAACCAGCTGTCATGCCCGGGAGTGTCGTTTGAGGCACGTGTCTTGGAGTGGCTTGCAGGATTGACGCGGACGATGTTCCTGATGCGGGTAGCTGGTATCACAAGCTACGCGCAGTGTTTGTTATGAAGTAGCGGCGTCTCTGGGGCGGTATTTTTTTCTGTTCTATACCCTGCCATAGCTGGACTATCGGCCACTGTTGAGTTTCACAGTAAACTTCTCTTAGCGCGAAGGTTTGAATGAATCAAGCTTCAACATATACCCCTCTCTCCATGCGATCCACTCCTTAAAACTTCCCGAAAGAGTTAGCTTCCGAGCATCTCCTTCAACTTCGTTCGTAGTTGCGATTGCCCCACCCTCTGCCCCACTAAAGAATAGAGATACATGACCGGGTCATCCTGGTTGCTCCTTACTCTACGATAGCGAAATCTGGTACAGATGAAATCGGCTTTCGTCGATACAATCAGGCTACTGATTAAAAACATGAACGCTGCCTGCGCAACAGTACATTCATGGCAGACAAGATTCCACTGTGCTAGAGCTAGACGACGGACTTAACTCCGTCGCATGAACGCAATGCGCAGCACTTGACTATAGCTACAATCACGAGCACCGATGGGATGCGTTTCAGGGACTCTATTCGCCCACTGAACAGCCGCACTGTGAGCTGCCGCTTTCCACCCCGTCCGCAGCCCTCGGAGAATGAATGTGATATCAGACTTCCAAAGCTGACACAGCTCGGGCATGGGTGAGTTTTGGCTAATGGCTTCGGCCTCGGAGCATTACTTACCGGTCTTCATATGCCCCACCAAATCACCCCGCACACTTCGGGAACGCTACTACATTGAAAGCATACAAGCGAACCCCAATAGCCACCCGAACCTTCTTTTCCTTGATTTCCCTCGGCTTAGGCAACGACTAATATCTCACATGACCAATACGCGCTCACTTGGTAGCACCCTAAATCCACTCGAATGTAACCTGGGGCTCGCTGCGCCCGGCGTAGCTTCTGCCTGTATTCAGCAAAGGGAAGGTGTTTACACTCCCACCGGAGGGTGACGTCATCAAGTGGTGGGGCATGGTGCATTGTTTCTATCCCCTATCGAAATCGCATTGTGAAGCGGTGGCCGCCTTGGTGGTACAGACATGATAGCAAGTTACTGAAAATGGCAATGACTGGATATTGTCGCTCCACGTTGGACGCCGGAACAGCCCGCAACACTGGTGCGCAAAGTTTAGGAAAGCGAAGATACGAGTTGTCAGACCGCCAAGAAGCCCACCGCGAGCAAAAGAATAGCGTGGGGCAAAACCGAACCACCGACCTCGTCTTCTCTCCCCACACGATGATTTCTCCACAAATCGCCAAGCCGTCCAGACGGCTCGAATGCCAAACAGGGCCACGCAGCACGCCGCCTACGCAAAGTTCCGGAGGGATAGGACCATGCGACGGGGCAGAATCTTGAAGTGTTTCTCAGCGAGTCGTGCTGGTGAGTCGGCTCAACCGCGGACATTGAGACTGTTCCTGAGACGACTCGAGCAAATCACCCGACAACCCGGATACGGCGTGCTACGCATCGACCAAAAATATCACCAAGCTTAAGGTCCCTGAACGGCAACGGTCGACCCTGGTAGGGGTGCCATACGACCCCCGCCAACGCTCGTTCTGCTCGTACGGGACAGCGGTCCGCCGGATCCACACTTCGATCATGCATGTTTCCAAACAAAATAGCCTACAAGTGCCCGGAGGGTGAGCAGTATAAAGCTTCCGCAACGCCCGGCTGCCGTAGGATCTACCCGACCCTCCCATTTTGCAAACCTAAACGCAACCCCGGAGCCAGCCAGCAATATGTGGGACCGCAAATTCTTTGGCCTCGCAGGCCTCAGCCTCCTGGCCTCCCAGGCCGCCGCCCAGGTCCTCAGCACTTCGAGCCGCTGGATCGTCGACTCGAGCGGAGCGCGCGTGAAGCTCCGCTGCGCCAACTGGGCGGGCCACATGGAGACCAAGATCCCAGAGGGCCTGCAGAGCCAATCGGCCGCCTACATCGCCAAGTGGATCGGGGACAACGGCTTCAACTGCGTGCGCCTCACCTACTCGATTGACATGGCCATGAACCCGTCCGAGGCCGTGTCCGATGCCTTTACTGCGGCAGGCGAGTCTGCGGGCATTGCCGCCGCCGACATGACGGCCCTCTACGATTCCGTCGTCAGCAAGAACTCGTGGATCTCCTCGGCCACGACGCAGTCGACGTTTGCCCGTGTCATCGACGAGCTGGCCGCCAACAACGTCATGGTCGTCCTGGACAACCACGTCTCGCATGCATCGTGGTGCTGCGGCGGCTCCGACGGCAACGGCTGGTGGGATGCTGCCACCGGGTACAACGATGCCAGCTCGAGATATTTCAACACCACCGCATGGCTGGCCGGCCTGGCCGCCATGGCCGAGTTCTCGTCGGCGCACCCCAACGTCGTCGGCATGGCGCTCCGCAACGAGCTCCGCGCCGGCTCAGGCCAGGACGCCGACGGCGCGCACGCCGACTGGTACAAGTTCGTCGGGCAGGGCCTGAACTCGATCCACAGCGCCAACGCGGACCTGCTCATGGTCGTCGGTGGGCCCTCGTACGCGACCGACATGTCGTTCCTGTACAACAACCCGCTCGACCGCTCGGCCTACCCGGACAAGGTGGTGTGGGAGTTCCACAACTACCAGTGGTCGTGGTCGTACAGCGACTGCGCCGACCACCAGGCCAAGCTGGGCCAGAAGACGGGCTTCCTGCTGTCCGAGGGCAAGGACTACACCGGCCCGCTCTGGCTCTCCGAGTTCGGCTGGAACCTCGACACCCCCTCCGCCGTCGAGATCGACTACTACACCTGCCTCGTCGACTACATGACCGGCAACGACGCCGACTGGGCCTTCTGGGCCCTGCAGGGCAGCTACTACATCCGCGACGGTCAGACCAACTTCGAGGAGACCTTCGGCATAGTGAACAAGGATTGGAGCGATTGGAGGAACACCAGCTTCCCGACCATCTTGGGCAAGATGTTCGATGTCACCCAGGGCCCTTGAATTAGGAGCTGAGTTAATCTTGAAATGAGAATTGAACTTTCAAGTGGCGCATGATTGACCAATGATGCATCAGTGTGACCCATCTCTTTGTTATCTGTCAAGCTCCGACTCACCGACCGGCATAATTGAAAACGCCGCTTTCCGCACAGGTTCCAAAGTTGTGTGGGGCGCTGAAGGAAGATGTGGCTCCATTTTCCCTCCCGAATATCGCGCAATGACGTTCCGCTTGCGCGCCCCTGGATATAGGACTTTTCGGCCTTTTCAGGTAGTCCCTGCGTCCGCGATGGGACTTGAACTTGCCCTAATCGAAGAAGCAATGCCTAGTGCTTACGCCATGCCGCAGAATAAAGCTGCACGGGGTTAGGGGTACAAATGTATGTATGGTCAGCTTAACGCCGGGGTTAAATCCGGGTCTTACTGAACACCATCCTCGCAGGATTGCGGGGCAAATAGTTGCACCGCATTGTGTGAACCATCTAGAATCTGAAATAAGAGGTCAGAATGTATATAAGCTTTGCTGGCCTGGCATAGAATAGCATCTCTGCTACACAAGCCCCTCAAGTCTCCGATACATACCATCTTTGCAGGTTTACCAGACCTTCAGCCTTACAATCTTCAACCCCAGCACAATGACTGAACAACCTAGCAACCAAGCGGCCTGGCTCACCGCCGAAAAGGCCTACCCGCTTGAGGTCAAGGAGGCGGCCTTCCCCGTGCCCGTCGGCGACGAAATCGTCATCAAAGTCAGCGCCATTGCCATCAACCCCGTTGAGTACGTCCCAACCCTTCCCACCCAAATCAACAACCACACCAAACTTACCGTATCAAACACAGCTGGGTCCTCCAAGAGACCGCGTTCTACCCCCTCCCCTACCCCTGGATCCTCGGCGTAAGTTCAACACTACTACTCTTTCCATTCCTCACACCCTGTTCCCGTCCTCTACCCCCAAGCTCACACTCAAATCAGAACGACGTCGCCGGCACCGTCCACACCACCGGGCCCACGCAAACCACCTACGCGCCAGGCGACCGCGTCCTCGGCCTCGCGCCGGGCTTCGACACGAAGGACAGCGCCGGCGGCGGTTTCCAGCGCTACGTCAAGCTCGCACCGCCGCTCGTAACACCCCTGCCACCAACCGTCCCCTTCGCCGACGCCGCCGTGCTGCCGCTGGCGACGGGCACGGCGGCGGCCGGCCTGTTCGAGGCCGAGCACATGGCGCTGCGACTGCCATCCGCTGAGGCGCGGAAAGAGATGGAGGCGAAAGCGGAGAAAGAGCGGGAAGTGCTGCTGGTGTGGGGCGCGGCGAGCAGCGTGGGCAGCTGCGCGGCGCAGCTGGCGCGGAACGCCGGGTACGAGGTCTGGGGCGTGGCGTCGGCGGCGAATGCGGGATACGTGCGCGAGGGGCTAGGCGCGGCGCGGGCGTTCGATTATCGGGCGGAGGGCGTGGTGGGGGAGATTCTGCGCGCGTTTGAGGGGAGGCGGTTTGCTGGTATCTTCGATGCGACGAGTGTGAATGGCGCGATAGAGGCGTGCGTGGAGATTGCGGCGAAGGTGGAGACGGATGGGAGGAGGTTTGTGTCTAGCGTGAGGTGGTTGCCGGATGGGCTGAAGGGGAATTTGCCCGAGGGCGTCGAGTGCAATTGGATGTGGGGTAGTATGAGCAAGAAGACGGCTGTGGGACCGGCCGTGTTTGAACAGTTCTTGCCGAAGGCGCTCGAGGATGGGAGGTTCAAGTGTTTGCCGAGGCCGGAGGTCGTTGGGGAAGGATTGGAGAGTTTGCAGAAGGCGTGTGATGTTCTGAAGGGGGGTGTATCGGCGAAGAAGGTGGTTGTTACTTTGTGAGGGGGGGATTGTTTGGAGCTGTGCAGATCGACCCTTCTTGAATGCCTCTTATCTATATCTCGAGAACGGCGGCCGATGGTAATCTAGTAGTTGATTCCGACGAGAATAGGGATAACGAGGACGAAGACGAGTCCAATGATAAGGAATCAAAGCAAGCGTTTCATAACCTACTTCCAGCTGACGACCTGTTTGCTTGAAACCATGAAGTCGCGTCTCCATCCAAGGATATTTTCACCATATTCCGGCATCAATGCAGCAAAAAGCGCTTCCGGCTGTCCATACTCAACACAACGTATGGGAGCATTGTAAGCCTGTCAAAGCCCTCAGAGCCAAAACAACATCTAGTCAGCACGTAGACTTGATGATAACGACTGGCCACTAAGACGATGAGAGAGATAGTCTGTTCGAGGCAACCAAAAAGGTTAGGACGCGCATGCGCTTTCTCGAGCAGCCCGAGCTCTCGGCAACAATGGTGTTGTTTTGGTAAAGCGCAAGGGTACGGAGACAGGCAAGAGCAGTGGTAAACAAGAAGCACATTGGGTAGCTTACATACGTATATAGCTAAAAGAGACGATATATCATTTGCGCAAACGAACTTTATAGATCATACCATAATAGGCGACAGGGGTGGGGCATTAAATGTTGACAATAAGGGTCCATGTGCCAAAGGCAAGGGGGCAATGTCAGGTGTTCGGTGTACATATGTCATACACCTTGTAGATGCGGTTGACAGTGACATTGTGGGAAATTGCTATATCCGATACGATGGGTATATAGTTGCTCGGCTTCGGAGTTAAACAGCTGTCTTGGCACCAGTTGACTGCGGACCTGTTCTGGAGAAGGTTGGCGCTAGATGCGTGCCCCTGACAAGGCAATCGAGACCGCGTGCCTCAAAGATTGGGCTCCGGGAAGAATGCAAGCAATGCGGCAAGTTAAAATAGCAAGGTGTTTGAAGTTCGGCCAAGGTGACGCTAGGATGGCGGCGTTGACGCGGCGAGGTAGTGCGACGCCGAACCGCACGGTTGACAAACCAGGAACCAGGCCAATGCCGACTTGGTAAAGGCAACACGGTAACCGACGCCGCATCCGTCTTACTGAGCGCAGAGGCTTCAGCCGGTGCGGGCGCTGGCGGGCTGCGTGCAGTCAGTGGCGGAATCAATGAAATTGGATGACTTCAACAAAAATGTTTCATGGCTGAAAGAATTTGGCGAGAATTTGGCGAGAATGTGACGAGTGATCAAGTCGACGCGGGAGACGTGATGAACAGATGGTATCTGTTTGGGCGATGGACGGGCAGCCGAATGATCAGGGCGGGGATGTAGCAACTTGAAACAGAAACAATAGCGGCCTTTCTGGCGACCCCAGCTTGCGCGGCAGAACGGGGGTATCCCAAAGATGTTCTCCGATCGGAGGGTCGGAGGTTGATGGGGTGCAGCGTTCAGGGTCGATGATTTGCAGCCGTCGATGGCGCACTGGAGCTATTGTCTACTCACCCGACCTGGTAATTCCACGTTCAGCTTGTTGGATGTGGCGAGGGCCTCGAGCTGTCTGTCAGCCGGCAGGCGGACACGGATACGGCGACCGAGACGAAAAATTCGAAAAAGCATCGCTGGCATGCGGCTCTCAGGAACGTGCGCGCGGCAGAGAGAAGTGGCCGAGAGCCGGGGGTGTCGATGGCCGAATGGCGGCTGGGCACGCGGCCGCCAGAGCGTGATTGGTTTGCGTCTTCCTAAAGAACGTCGCACTATTGTCCAAGTCGGTGATCAGAACGTCGCACCATCCAAAAATAGATGTCACTGAGCCGATACAGAAGGCGCCGCGCAGGCGGCTAAGAGCCGGGGAAGGCGCTCCCGTGCGCCTTCTGAACACTGCACCAAGCGAGACCTGCCAAAACGTCCGTCGCGCAGGCGCAAAGCTTGACGCCATCATGCCAGCTCACATCTTAAGCCTGACGCCCCTTACTGCCACAATGACGCCTCAAGCGGGAGGCGCTGGGCGGCGGGTCATCGGTCATCCGGGAGCGCGCGCGTGAGGTGATCGTCGGCCCAGGGCGCGTAGTAGAGAGGGTGGTGGTGGGCGGGCGACAGCGCGGTTGGAGAGGCGGCGCAGAAGCGCGCAGCGACTGGACGCCGGTGGCCGAGGGCGCGCGCACGTGTGGGCTGCTGCGCGCTCTAGGGACCCCTGCAATGCAAACGCCCAGAGCGAGCCGCGTCGATGGTGCCGTCGTAGCATGCCTGCAGCGCATACACGACCGCCAAGATATTGTCCCATGCTCTCCATGCGGCATGGTGGCGGGCGAGAGCTCCTCTTGCGGCCTGCTGTTTATATCCCGGCATGAATATGCAGCTCGAGGGGCATGCCTGCCTGATTCTCCTTCTTCTTTCCGGGAGCCGCCTGGCTGCAAAAAAGCTCTCCTCTTTGCATTCTACCCTCAGTCCTTCGTTTTGCCTGTTCTCCAGCGTCGCGCGCAAGATCGCCACTAGCTACCGTCGCGCTCGCAGATCTCGCAGCTGATCGTGCACCCATTGCCGCTGCCTCGCGCTCCACCCACGCGATACGAGACATTCCAGCGCACCAAGACGGCGCTGCAGGTGGCGCCTGCTTTGGCCCTTCGAGAACAAAAGGTCCATCCATCGCCTGCTCCGGCCGGCGTATCCGCGTTTTCTTCTTTTCTAGCGTTGTGCAACACTCCCGCCAGACGGGTAGCAAGCGCATCTGCCGTGCTACAATTGAACGCCCTCGCCCACGTCAATTGCAGCCCTCAACCACCGCTTCCCTTCGTTTTCACCGCCCAACCCGGCCTCTTCTTCACTCAGGTATGAGCCAAAAATACCTGCTTGCGTTTCGCATAAACTCGCTAACACCCCCGCCTGAAGCAGTCACCCGCTTCCAACCCTAATTCTTCGCCGCCTGGATTGCGCACACTTACTCCCTTGCTCATGCTCTTTATCCCTTCCGCTTAACCCCTCCGCTCCCAACCCCATCCTGTCACTCGCTTCGACCCATCACCTTCGCTTTGTGTTCGCAAAATGTTCCGCGAAGCCTTGGGCCTAGTGGCCCGCGAGGCCAATGAGAACGGCGTCATTGCCATCACTGACCCATGGCCCGTCAAAGACGTGAGTCGATTTGCCCGCTCGAGAAACCCTGTCCCACTGATGTCTCCCCCAGATTGTTTACTGCGCTATTGTTGGCGGAGTCATGCTTATGGCCTTGCTCGAGTGGTTCCTCTGGGTCGCCGCTTTCCTGTATTGCCTGGTCAAGGTGTACCAGAAAGCCGAGAACACCAGCATCAAGATTCTGGCTGTTATCATCAGTATCCTGTTCACTCTGCTCAGGTACGTATTCGACGCCGAGGTTCAGCCTGCATCCACTAACCGGTGGCATCAGATTTATTTTCCTCCCCATCATGATCGTCACTCTCCCGCTCCCATCGCAGGTCGTGCAATACTTCCCGGTGCCCATGGTCGAGTTTTTCCAGTGGTTTGCCTTCTGGTCCTTCGCTGGTCTCCTGACCGTTCCTTGGCTTTTCTGCGTTTTCCAGCTGGTTACACACTCCATTGGTCGCACGAAGAGGATTAAGCATGTCTTGGACGAAGCATCCGCCCCCAAGGTCGTCATCATCATGCCGTGCTACAAGGAGATTCCCGAAGTTCTCATGCGCACCATCGACTCCCTGGTCGATTGCGAATACCCGCCCTCGTGTCTGCACATCTTCCTCTCGTTCGACGGCGACCAAGAGGACGAGCTTTACCTGAACACCATCGAAAAGCTTGGCGTTCCCCTTACCCTGGATACATACCCCAAGAGTATCGACGTCACCTACCGTAGCTGCCGTATCACCGTCTCCCGCTTCAAGCACGGTGGCAAGCGTCACTGCCAGAAGAGTACCTTCAAGCTCATCGACAAAATCTACTCCGAGTACCTCAAGCGCAACGACAACCTTTTCGTGCTGTTCATCGACTCCGACTGCATCCTGGACAAGGTTTGCATCCAGAACTTCATGTATGAGATGGAGCTCAAGCCCGGAAGCAAACAGAACATGTTGGCCATGACTGGTGTCATTACCTCGACCACCGAGAAGAACAGTCTGATCACCATCCTGCAGGACATGGAGTACATTCACGGCCAGCTTTTCGAGCGCTCTGTCGAGTCTGGCTGCGGTGCCGTCACGTGTTTGCCCGGCGCCCTCACCATTCTGCGTTTCTCCGCCTTCCGTAAGATGGCCAAGTACTACTTCGCCGACAAGGCCGAGCAGTGCGAGGATCTCTTTGACTACGGCAAGTGCCACTTGGGCGAGGATCGCTGGCTGACTCACTTGTTCATGATCGGAGCCAAGGAGCGCTACCAGATTCAGATGAACACTGGTGCTTTCTGCAAGACCGAGGCCGTCCAGACGTACAAGAGTTTGCTCAAGCAGCGTCGCCGTTGGTTCTTGGGATTCATCACCAACGAGGTTTGCATGCTTACGGATATCCGCCTTTGGAGGAGATACACCATTCTCTGCATTGTTCGCTTCATGCAAAACACCATCCGGACGACTGCCCTGCTTTTCTTCATCATGGTCATCTCCATCATCACCACCTCTCAGAAGATCTCGAACCTGCCCGTCGGTTTCATCGCCGTCTCTCTCGGTCTCAACTGGGTTCTTATGCTCTACTTTGGTGCGAAGCTGGGCCGTTACAAGATCATGCTCTACCCCATCATGTTCGTTGTGAACCCCTTCTTCAACTGGTGCTACATGGTGTACGGAATCTTCACTGCTGGCCAGCGTACCTGGGGTGGTCCTCGTGCCGATGCCGGATCTGCTGACAGCAACACGACCGCCCAAGCTGCTATCGAGCAGGCCGAAGCGACTGGCGACGACCTTAATGTCGTCCCCGAGACGTTCAAGCCGGCTGCCCAGCTCCAACGCCAGAAGTCGAAGAAGGAGGGCCGTGCGCCCCAGCTGCCGCTCATGCCGTCGGATCACTTGGAGGGTCGTTTTGCACCTGCAGAAAGGCTTCCAGGAGGTTGGTACCAGCAAGGAAACGATTCTGGTCTCACACTCCCAGATATGCTTCCTCGCGACCCCAACGCACCGCGGCTGCCGCTCCACCCTCGCGAGTCCTTCGATTCCTTCGTTACGCAGACATCCGGTGGCAACAACTCGATTTACATGCCTCGCCGTGTCGAATCCGTCATGGACGTCGAGGGCGTCGCGGCCTACCACCTCGCTCAAGCTGCTCAGCGTCCAGCAGGTGGTGCGTTCTATGAGCAGGGTCCTAGCACCGCACAGTACGGCCCCGTTAGCCAAGGCAAGCCTGGGTTCCACGAGTCCGTTGACTCACTCGATAGCTCCAATTACGGCTACTACGAGCGCAAGGACCTCCGCGAAGTCGGCGACCAGCCTGATCGCCAGCAGCACATGCGCGTCGCCAGTGACAACAGCGTTTACTCCTCGCGTTCCAAGTCGCCTGGTTTCGGTTCCTCTCCGCTGGCGGCTGAACTGAAGGAATACAGCACCGCCGACGCCAACAGGGGCCACCCAGCCCTGTCATCCCATCAGCCCAGCAACGACTCGCCTTACTCCAACTCCAACGCCAGCAGTTCCGCTTCCAGTCTCACCGTGCCCCCTCCCAGCCATCGCCCAACCGGTTCCATCGGCAGCGCCAGCCGCCAAGGCCGTAGCCCGCTTGCTCGTGCCAGCTTCGTCCGCACGAGCGAGCACGTCGACCTCGAGTTCGAGATGCAGATGCAACAACAGTCGCTGATGGACCCGCGCGACCGCAGCCGCAGCCCCGTTGTCTACAGCGTTCCGGATGTCCAGGTTCACCGGCCCACCATGCCTTCCGATGAGGCACCCGCTGCCGAGCCCAGCTCAGCGGCAGCTCAGCAACAGGGTGGCGGCCATGCGCGCACCGACAGCCGCGACAGCGAAGGCAAGAAGCGGAAGAGGCTGACCAAGCAGCCGCCGGGCAGCCGCAGGCACAGTCAGACTGACTGAATGAGAATCTGAATTCTCTCCCCTTTTCGTTCCCTATTCTTACTTTTGCATGGAATCGGCGTTTCATCGAATAAAAGCGACTTGTTTTGTACGGCTGCGAGGACTTCCGCCTGTCGTCGTCACTCTCAGCATTGATGTGCGCTGCACATATACATACAGGGCAGCATGAGCACGGAGGTTTTCTACATTTTTCGTTTCTCTTTATGCACGCATGCATGCTGGTCTTTTTATTACCTTACAGCAGGAAGTCGGACTTATTAGAGCTGGTGCGCGCCAGCGGTTCACGCTTCCGGGGAAGAGTGGTACATATTACTCTTATGGTCTTGAGTATAATAATATTTGACGGCTCTCGGAAGGGGAGGGAGGAGCTGTCTGTTAGATACCTCTATTCAAAGATAATTGCGTTAATTCAACGTATGATACGACCACAAAACCCCCTCTCGCTTTTGTGTCCCGCTTGTTCGTGATATTTCGTCGGATTTGAGAAGCAGTGCAGGCTGCAGCTTGCTGCCTTTCATCCCAACGGCGCCCTGCCGGCTACATCACATATTTCCTTATGCAAGAATATCGCGCCAAGAGTTGTTGGTCATTTGTTTGCTCGTGTTTCCCTCGTCTCTTTTTTCGTGCTAAGGCACGTGCGCTTCCTCCTCCGCTCAAACATCATTTTCTGTTTGCGGCAATCGGGTTCGGGGGACGAAAATGGATTAACCTGCCCGTATGGGTGTGGCGTGACGGGTGGCAAGGTACGTAAATACATCAGTACATGCATATGTATCTCAATACTCGCCCCCACCACCGTCGGTTGCTCTTTTCTTTCTTTCTTTTTTTCGGTTGGCCGCAGCCACGGCATCTGTGTCCCTTTCCCCCTCCCCGTTTGCGCCACCCGCTGCTGTGCGCCTGTGGATTTTGTTGTGGCGAGACGATGTTGTGTGGGCCGGAGGGGTTTGTGAAGTGTCCGCTTTGTCTCAGTCATTTCTTTTTTCCCCTTTCCCGGCCTCCCGATTCCGTCCCGTGCTATCATGACGCCGTGCTGAAATAGCGGTGTGGAAGTTTGTGATTTTCAGAAACACATCGTAGGCGGACGGCAGCTACGGGAATGGTGGAGGACACATTAGAAACATGAGGGTGATGTCAAGGTGGTATCAGAGACATCATAGGTACTACTGGCGGGGGCGGGGCGGCAGGCGGTCACGCAGGTGCGCGCCACACCGCACCACCGTCGCCTTGCGGATTTGAAGCAAGGGGTCCTTGTCTTTTCTGGCCGTGGGAGTGTCTCGGATGGGGGTGGGGTGAGTACTGCATGTGCATGTGCATGGTGGCTGAAGCTTGTTTTTGGCTTGCGGAACCGCGAGGCTGGGGACGTGGGAACCACTTGTTAGTCAGTGGTGGTATTTAGTGAGGATGTGAGTGGCTGTGTTTCCACCATGTCGTGTTGGGGAGTGGGGGATGTGTTACTCCTGATGTGAGGGGGAGCCTTTCTGAAGTGTTGGTGCTCACCGCCCTTAAGTCCTCGTTGCATGTCTAAGCTTCGTCTCTTTCCTTTTTTTATTTTATTCAAGAGCCCCGCTTCTGTTTGAAATATTGATTCGGCGGTGAAGAAGTCATGGTATCGGGAGGCTGCGGCGTATTGAACACATGTACTTGACTTAGACGCTACTACGCTTTGCATTGAGAGCACGCTATCATTTGACTGATCTGTTCTGTCTTGATTTTCCGCAACGAATTGGATAATAGATGCGAGTATTTCCGTGGCCGGTTCAAGTGATGAGAGGAAAGAGAATTTGTATCAGTATTGTCGAGAAATCAACCTTGAGATAACCTCTTACGCCTTGCATTTTTTTTTTGTTTAGTAATACATTGAGCTTAAATGCAAGCCATTTGCCTTCTATTCCAGGATTCTCTGTGATTTGCAAGCTTTGGGTGCCTTGCTGTGATCGTTGCGTAACGTTGAAGATATCGTCAATGCTACTTTGCAAGCTAAATAACCTTAAAAGAATATCCTGAAGAGGAATTAAGCCTTCGAAAGAGGGTATTCGAGACATAGCCGACTGTAACTCTTTACCGAATCCGTGTGAACAGGGAAAGACCTTGAAGCTGGAAGAGATCTACATGGCCCCGATCATTCAGATCTCTATGATCGCTCATTCTTCCTAATGTTCATGTGCATGTAAGAACCATCGCTTGAACCGCGCTAACCGATATTGGAAGGTGCACGTACGTCAATCCCTATGCTGACAGCTCATGTGCCCCTCGAAAATCTATCTCCAAGCTCATCTTCATTGACGCCATTGCATCGAACTCTGCATGCTTGAACGTCGGGTTCTTCATGCGAGTATTGGCGCATTTCGGTGACCAAGCGGCCATTCAAGTCTCCTGAGGTGTGGGGCATGTGGAGTAAGTTAAACTATTCGAGTCTATATTATCGACAAACCATGTTTGCTGCGCCGCTCCCGGGACCACTGCACCGGATACTCTCCACAGCAGCTGTGCCTCTCATATTGCGCACACAAAAAGGATCGCGGCCCGCCCCGCCTTGCCACGTTTCACTCCAACGGTCTCATTTTTAACTTTCTTTTTTCCCTTTTCTCCCACCTACGATCAGCGGAATTTACGCGGAATCCTTCAGCCGCAATGGCGTCTTCCGACCAGGCCGCTCTCATTCACACTCCTGGTATCCAAGAAATCGAAGTCGACACCAGCGTAAGTGTCGGATCGGTCACTGCTTTGGCAGCCGGGGAGTTCTTGGCGGCTGATCACTTCGTCAGTTCGAAACCGACTCCGCCTTGGGCAGTGTGGAGGATCAGCTGTAATTGACCTCTTATTTAACTTGATGAAATAGAGGAGGAGCTGAGAAATATGCTTTCAGTTCGCGGTATTCGCAGTCGCTGACCTCGAGTGTCACCGCTTACCCTGTTGAGCACGGCCGCCGCTACCACGCTTATAAGGATGGCTCTTACATCATGCCCAACGATGAGGTATGTAAGCATATGATTCTGACTAATGATTAGGACTGACGGATCATCGTAGAGCGAGGCAGACCGCCTCGACTTGTTGCACCATATGCTGATGGTATTGTTCGACGGCAAGCGTATTCATTCTCCGGTCAAGAAGGAAAATCTCAAGCGGATTCTTGATGCTGGTACCGGAACTGTAAGTATTTCTCACATATGAGGGCTGGTAAAAGAATGCAAGAACGATGAATTGAGCATCAGAGCTGACCTGCCTGTAGGGTATTTGGGCAATTGATGTTGGTAGGTTAACTCCTGCTCTTCGAAATTCCCGTTAGGCTCACGCATAGGCAGGCGATGAGTACCCCGATGCACAGGTATTTAGCCCAGATGTAACCTTCAAAGCCATGCGTGCTGACACAATTCAGGTCATTGGAAACGACCTCAGTCCCACACAGCCACAATGGGTGGTGCGTGCCATATCCCTGCATCAATAGAGGCATAAAGCCAAAATTTCTGACATAAGCCAAATTTACGTCGAGCAGCCACCGAACGTCAAGTTCGAAGTCGATGACATCGAAGAACCTTGGACACACGCCGAGCCATTCGACCTCATTTTCTCCAGATACATGGACGCCGCAATCACCAACTGGCCCGCGCTCGTGGAGAACATGTTCAAACACACCAGGCCCGGAGGCTGGGTTGAGTAAGTGCACATCCCACCTTTCCTTCTCAACTCGACGAACCTACCACAAAACTACAGAACATATTCTGGGATACTCATAGCTGTTCTTTCCTTATTTTTCTGTCAGACTCCAAGGCTTCGACACGCACTATAAATCCGACGACGGCAGCCTCCCTGCAGACTCATTCATCAACAAGTTCGTTGCGACGATTGAGGCGGGCTGCACCAAGCTCGGCAAGGAAGTCTACACGGGACCGACGTTCGCCGGGTTGCTCAAGGACGCTGGTTTCGTCAACACCCATGTGCAAAAGTACAAGCTGCCTCTGGGCCCGTGGCCCAAGGACAAGAAGATGGTAAGTAGCGGCTGAAGCTGCAGAGAAAAGTGGCGGCGTGAGCTTACCCTTTGGGAAACAGAAAGAGGTCGGCACCGTCAACCTGATGCAGGTCCTGGAGGGTATGGAGGCTTTCTCGTACCGCTTGTTTACTAGCACGCTGGGCTGGAAGCTCGATGAGGTGCAAGTTTTTATCGCGAAGACGGTCAAGGAGTTGAAGACCATGAAGTACCACGCATACAATGAGTTGTAAGTTTTGGCCCCGGAGAACAAGGTTGGTGCGTTCTGAGACACTGACCAACACGTGACCAGTTACGTCGCATACGCACAGAAACCAGAGTAAAGCCTAGGTTTGACGATCGGAATTAGTCTTTATCTCCTCATTGAATAGCTCAGAAGCAAGGCTCAAATGGTGAACTGTACTGTAGCGTTCAATAGTATGATTGCAAAAGCGTTGGAAATTCCTTAGGATATTAACGCCGAAATTAACAATCACAGATTTTTCAGGAGTGAGCAACGGCTCCTCTAACTTGCTCGACAGGCATGTCCATATCAACCTATTCTTACACAGCATTACAAGTCTATGAAAATGCTGTCGCCGGGTGGTTGAAGATCATTGGACTGTGAGATAACTTTGCATCACTTCATATTGGGAAGAACATGCATTGATTCTCCGCTCCAGGGAATCACACAGCTTCATAGAGAATGCACACATTTAAGACTTCAAGTGTAGGCAAAAGACTTCTTCCATATAAGCTGAAGTGCATCGTGTGCTTGCTCGAGCATACCGTTACATATGCATACTCTCTTCTAAATATTAGACGCCATCCAAGGATCCTTAGCATCAATCCATCTAAATCTATAAGACGGAATCATCCTTTCAAATCCGGGCCGTTGGCACAATATTACGTATTAGTACGCACATTCAAAAAGCAAAAACACAAGGAAAAAAGCGCAGCGCTGGGCACAGTCCATCGGACTCGGTGGGATAACGCACAAAGGAAAATTGAAATCGGCACTCAGGGAATTGGGGCTGGATTCGGGGCTGGAGGGAGGGGGAGTTGGGGGGAGTGAGAGGGCGGACGACAAACACGAGCAGCGGACAACACAAAGGAAAAGGCTTTCAGCGGCGAGACGGATATTTTGGGGGAATGTTCTTCTCTTTCGATCACTCTCTACTTTCTTTCCTTTCCAGCTCAAAATCTCCAAACAAAGCGGATGGCTCCTCCTCCCATGGTATAATATTTACAATCCTGAAATCGAAAAAAGGCTGCAATGTACATCACACAAGAAAATCCGTCACAAAAAAAATCTTTCCATCAGGCTTTCCACTCTCCCTCCACTTACAACAGCGCGATGGCGGCAGCGGCGAACATCAGACCGCCGGCCATCTCAACGCGGCCGGCAGCGCCGGTCCACTGGGTGGGGGGAGCAGAGGTGGTGCCGCTGGGGGTAGCGCTGGGCGAGTAGGTGGCAACCGAGACACCGGGGGTGGTGGAAGTGCCGGGGACAACAGGGGCAGAGGGGACCGAGTAGGTCACAGTGCCGTTGTTAGGACGGGGAGGGATGCCGGCCGAGGGGGCGGGGGCGGGCACGTAGATCGAGCCGGAGAACTTGGGCACAGACGGGACCGACTCAGCAGAGACGGGCTTGCCGGGGTTGGGGGTGGGGAAAGAGCCCTCAACACCGGAGCTGACGGGGGCCGAGGGAGTGCCAGCGGGGCCGGAGGGAGTGCCAGCGGGGCCGGAGGGAGTGCCAGCGGGGCCGGAAGGCTTAGGGACAGACATGGTCTTGGTGATGGTGGTGCCGGAAGTGGTGACAGTGGTCAGCCAGTACGAAGTCGGGACGGCGGGGGTGGGGGTGGCGCTGCCGGGGCAGTTGGAGACCTCAGGGCCGCACGAGGTGACGGTGATGACCTGGGTGGTCATGATGGTCTGGGGACCAGCCGGGGGAGCAGAGACAGCGGGCTTGGAGGAGCTGACCGGGGGAACCGACGCAACCGAGACCGGGGGCTGGGAAGCGGGGGTGTTGGCGGCGGGCTGCGAGGGCTGGCCGTAGGCCGGGGCGGAGGGCTGCGAGGCCGGGGCAGACGGGACGGACGAGGCCGGGGCAGAAGGCTGCGAGGCCGGGGCAGAGGGAGCAGGGGCCGAGGGGACAGCAGGGCGCGAGGTGGTCACAACCTGGGTGGAGCTAGCCGGGCAGTCGGTGACGGTGGCATCGCACTTGGTGATGGTGTGGACCTCGGTGATGTACGAAGTAGAGTGGATGGTGGAGGTCTCGCTCTCAGGGACGGGAGCCGGGGCAGTGGTAGCCGGGGCAGAGGGAGCAGGGGCCGAGGGAGCGGGCGCAGAGCCAGCGGGAGCCGAGGGAGCAGGGGCGGAGCTAGCAGGGGCCGAGGGGACACCCTGAACGTTGCTGGAAGCCGGGGCAGACGGGACGGCAGACGAGGCCGGGACCGAGGGAGCGGAGGCCGGAGCAGAGGGGCTGGCGACCGGGACGCTGGTGGCAGGGACGGCGGGAGCAGTGGTGCCGTCCTCGACGGGGCAGTAGGTGGTCGAGATGGCAACGTGCTCAGTGACGGTGCGCTCGTGGGTCTTCTCAGAAGCCGGGCAGTCCGTGACGTCAGGCGCGCAAGAAGTGATGGTGTTGACGCGGGTCTCGTAGACGGTGGAGACAGTCATGGGCTTGGGGGTGGTCTGAGCAGCCGGGGTCGAGGGAGCGGGGGCAGTGGCGCCCTCAACATCGCTGGCAACCGGGGAGCTGGCAGCCGGGGCGCTGGGAGCCGGGGCGCTGGGAGCGGAGCTCGCGGCAGGAGCAGGGGTCGAGCCAGGCTGGCCATCCTCAACGGGGCAGTAGGTGGTCGAGACGGCAATGGTCTCGGTCACGATGTGCTCGTGGGTCTTCTCAGCGGCGGGGCAGTCGGTGACCGAAGGCGCGCAAGAGGTGATGGTGTTGACGCGGGTCTCGTAGACGGTCGACAGGGTCATGGGCTTGGGGGTGGTCTGAGCAGCCGGGGTGGAAGGGGCCGGAGCAGTGGCACCCTCGACATCGCTGGCAACCGGAGCAGAGACCGGGGCAGAGGGGGTCTGGTAGAGGGGAGTGCCAACCGCGACAGAGGGAGTGTCGACAGGAGTGAAGACGGGGGTGTCGACAGCGACGGACGGGGAGCCAGCGGGAGCGCCGTAGCTGGGGGCGTCAGCGGCCGGAGTCGAGACAGGGGTGTCGACGGCCACGGAGGGAGTCCGGGAGACGGGGGTGTCAACAGCCACGGAGGGAGTCCGGGAGACCGGGGTGTCAACAGCCACGGAGGGAGTGTCAACGGGAGTGAAGACGGGGGTGTCGACAGCGACGGACGGGGTGCTAGCGGGAGCGCCGTAGTTGGGGTTGCCAGCGGCCGGGGTCTGGACGGGGGTGTCGACGGAGGTGGCAGCCGGGGTGGCGTTCTTCTCCTCGCTGCAGTTGCCGGAGGAGGCAGCGCTCTCGATGCAAGAGCAGGCCTCGTCCCAGGTGGAGCCGAACAGGGTGAGGTCGATGTCCAGGCAGGCGTTGAGCGGGACGAGGTCGACGCAGGCGTCAACGCGGGCCTTCAGGAAGACGGCGTTCTGGCAACGGCAGTCGGGAGTGTCGTCAATGCAGACCTCAGCCAGGGCCTTGAGGAAGCACTGGTCGCGGCAGCCACCGGGGTTGGCGGGAACCTGGCAGGTGACGCCACAGGTGGTGACGCTAGAGGGAGCGCTGCTGGTGGAGGAGCCACTGCCGCCGAGGTTGAGGCCCAGGTCGGCGTTGAGCAGGGGCGAGGCGACCGCGCTGGAAGCCAAGATGGCCGCGGCGAAAGCACCACGGTAAGCCATTTCGGATTAGATTATAGGATTAATGAGTGTATTGTAGTAACAGAAACGCAAACCCAATTCGTAAAACGAGTGACGAGGTTGGGAAAAGAATGGATAGGCTGCGTTAGCCACGAGAGGGGTGAGGAGAAAGAGAGCCTAGGAGCGACGGACAGAGGCCTACATATACAGCGCGCGAGGGGGAACGACGATCGTCGTGAGTGCTAAGGGTTGAGCCTAGCTCACGGTAGCCCTACACCACGCTCTCTGGCTGGACCGGGGTGGCCTGGAAGGCTTGGCGCGGTGGGAGGCGTAATTGCTGCCGTTGGCGTGAGCCTCTTCCGGAGGGGTGATGTGCGCCGGTTGCCGGTTGGGGCGTAGAGGCGGGCAGCGGGCCGCGGCCTGGACATACCGCATGGCCCCATTGGCGCGCGCTCCTCAGGGGATACGATGATCGCAAGTCGCGCGTGGCAGCGTCTGATTGCGGTGGTGGAGAAGGTGGAGGTGGTTGCCGTTCTAGGCGCCGCGGGCGAAAGAGAAAGTCCGCGCCGAAGGCGCGCGCACACGTGCCGCGGGCCGGTTGCGCCTCCCTCACGCCCCAAAATGACCGCTCCCCACTGCCAAAATGAGCACGACCGCTTCGGGACTAAGCCAATATCTGCCCCTTTGCGAGTCGCTGCTCTTCCCTCTGCCGGGAATTACGCGCGGCTCCAGTTGTCGCACCGCCGCAGCACTGTCATTCCCTCCGCCATAGCCACCTGGCCCTGGCGCCCGCCGACCCCTTTCACGACTCGTGCTCACGCCTTCGTATCTTCTAATGATCCTGGAGAACCCAAACGTCACAGCCGCTGAGATGTCGACCGCTCACCTACTTCGACTCCACCAGGAGAGCAGCAGCAGCAGCTCTGCCGTGCGCGAGCCTGCGCTGCCAACGCGACCGCCTCGGCCACTTGGGTCGGCCAGCGCGCTACCCAAATGATCAGCAGAGCCTCATCTTGCTAAATTTGTCAACGTCTTCACCGAGCCGCCCTTTGGCCGCCGCGTGGCCTGCTCAGTGTGCTCCCGAAAGGAAGAGTCACGCTCCGCCCTCATGACTACCGATCAATCGCCGCTCCTCGATTCCCGAGAAGGCGGTGGGTTTGTGTCTTGCTCTCGCATCCGACGCCTGATCCGAACCGAACGGTTGAATCTGGACAAGAAGAAATGTCTCTCCTTACTCGGACGTTGAGAAGTCTATTCCGCCCTTCCCGAACATCCACCGCGCAGCTTGCTTTTTATCCCCACCACCGCCGGTGATTCCGGGAGCCCGCTTGCCCAGCCGCCCAGCTTCCCACACACGCCGTCTGTTTTATCGTGTTCAATCCATCGCCATCACAACATGCCTTGGCGTGTGGCTGAGGTGCCGAATACGACCTTGCGTAGCCGCTCCACTGACCTGATCCCTACCATTTCTGGGCGGCGTATCGCTCCTTTGGGCAATCTCATGTCCGTCACTTGAGCTTATCCTCGAGTTCTGAGTCTGCACCGCCTCTCACGCTGCCTATCACAGCAGCTGCGTATGGCATCCCGGTCAAGCGAGCCCAATCATCGTCACCTGCCACAATCTTATGCCGTCATGTCCTCAGCCCTGTCGTTTCAAGCCGCTGCCCGGAAGGCATTATAGCGGGCAGTGCGCCCTGAAATTTTCCCTGCCGTGTGAATTCTCAGCCCTACGCACCCAAAACCTCACCTCCCGGTGTCTCAGCCTTACCGGTTGGCTATTTTTGCCATGTGGCTGTGATTGAGGCGTTCTATACATGTATGCCTCAGCGCCACATGAAAGGCGACATTCTGACCAAAGCAGACCACTTAATTACCCTCGCTGTGGCTTGAAGCTGCCTGTGGCTGACGCCAGAATCGCCGACCGTCGTCCTTCCTTTCACCACCATGACCATGTCTTCAATCGGCACCATTGCTCTTCGGAGATCCAACTCGCCCTCGCCGCCAACGGCCTTTCCTTCCCCGATTACTGTTCCCAAAAGGGTGCTTCCGAAGCTCACGAGCACCACTACTTTCGCTTATGAGCCTCGACCATCCTCAAGCTCCTCTTTCGATTTCAATAGCCCTTCTTTCAGCCCTGCGGGCTTCTCCATTGGCACCAAGACGCTTAAGAAACAGTCGTCATGGGCCTCGGAATCCTCGGTCGCCACGGCTTCAAGCGCTACCATGCGCTCCACAACCTTTGATATTCCAACTTCCAAGTGGAACGTTGACAGCGAGCGGGTCAAATCGCCCGGCGGCTACGACAAATGGGGTGGATTCAGCTGTGACGTCGCACACACTTCGCCGAAGGGCTTTTATGTCCGCTCTATTGAGGAGTTTCTCGGCGAGAGCACACCCACGAAGCGCCAGCGCTGAGCGGTGGCGTGAAGTCGGTCCATATTCCACGAAGAGGTTGTAGCCTTGGCCTGAGCTTCCCAAGTAGGGCGGCGAACAACCAATCGGACTACTCTTCGACATGCAATTGAGACGTTCCATCGGAAAATGCCACCGCAAGGCAACATAGGGTCCACCATGGCACGAGCACCGACGCATCGGCCACCGTCACCGAACATTCAGAGGGCAACACCAGCGGACACCTCCGCTCCCACACGGAGGCCTCAGTCGCCGGACGAGCGCCCCGCACCACTAATTCCCTCGTTTATGCTTGATCTGCCTGTATCATTTGCTCTTCTCCGCGCCGATAGGAAGCGATACCACGGTCGCATTTTAGGCGTGCAGTTCATCATTGCGCTGCAGATCTCACTCTAAGGAAAGGAGGATAGTCTTCGCCTACTCACCGCATCATGCGCTGCGCGCTGCATCAACATCCATCTCTATCTTCAAGTTTCGAATTCCTTGATTTCTGGTTGTCACAATTTCCTTACCAAAAGCCTGGAGGTTAATATTGGTAGTATAGCTGCGTTTTCTTTCTTCCCCCCGATGATCAACGAGAGCGATGATGCTTTCACACACCATTTCCTTTGTTTCAATCACGTTCCTGTCACCATTGCTCAACTCTTTTTTATTTGCTGGCCAACATCGGGTACGAGAATAGCCATGAGCATTATGGATCTATCTATCATCTCTCAAATGCCAACTTTTTTCTTTTTTCCTGCGCTTGTTGATTCCTCAAACCACGAGACGGTCGCCTCGACGCTCTCTGGATTGAAGTTGGCCGCCCTTGCCGCTCTCGCATGAATATACTGCTTGGTTCAGGTTTCATCTATTACACACTGCAGCGCTGAAGCCAACACGTCGGGAACCATGACCCGGCCAATCAGCTAGGGCCTCTCCGCTAATCCGCCGCGCCTCACCCACTCGTCGGCCAACGAGAGTGCGATGTTCGATTCTTGGCCAGCATCCAAGCTATCGGAGAAAAGGCGACATGCATTGAGGTGGGCGCCATGTGGAGATACGGATCTCCTCCCCTTGTTCCCCGACCATCCTCTTCGCTCCTCCCGGTCACGGTGGTCATATTTTTCCTGTTGTGGCTGTCGGCCTCCCCTGCGCAACACTCTGGATGACAGGACGTGCGCCTAGGCCGTACAATCCCTAAAACCCCGGTTGCATCGACAGTGCAGTTGGGAGTGGGGTAGAAGTGCCTGTACCGTGGTTTTGGAGCAATACCGCTGCTCCGGACAACTAAAGATGACACGCAGTTTGTCCACATCCCGGTCAGATATGTCCACATCCCGGTGCGGAAAAAACGACTGCTCGCACGCCTTTACAGCCACCCGTGTATCGGGAAGCGAGTTCTTGGTCTCTGTCGCCTTCCTGTGAGTACTCACGCTCGCGCTGTATTTCGGCCGTGGTCGTTTCACAACTACACATGTCCAGCGCCACCACCCCGAGTCTTCAAAGCCACGGCCGAAGCCTCCTATCTCAGCGGACCGATTCTGCGGACCGAGCCTCCTTCCCCGGCATAACATCGGAATCCCGGAAGAATGTAAAGTCCAAACAACGATATAAGCACTGGAAGATAGCGAACCAGCGGATAAACTAGAAGGTGTTCGACCCGGTCGAGCGGCTGTGAGCATGCACATGCGGCAATAAAATACTTCCGAGAACCGCGTTCCCGGTAAGCGGTGGCGCCGAAGGCGTGCCGAACGGGGAGTCCCTAGTTGTACTATGTACTCCCACCTTCTCGTCGGATGGCTAGCGTGAACTGGTCGAAGAAGACAGCAGGGCGAAGGCGCGGTGATAGCCAGCGCTGAGGGGACCCGTACTCGTCGCACTAGGAGCGGTACGGTAGTGGTTCTCCGCTTCGCACAATGCCGTGCGGACTTCGTCGAGCCGCTCAGCTGCTAGGGTCATGACGACTGATGGGCGGCTGGGCAGGACCCTGATTCGAGAAGATGAGGTAGGTGGGTGAAAGTTCAACCACCGCCGTCATTTCCCCATCTCTCTTCCCGCAACTCAGATCGATTAACTTCGATGCTCGTCGATACACTTTCCAACACCTCGATCGCACTCGATCTATGACCGCATGCCGTGCAGACAAACAGGAAAGCAAAAGCAAAGCAGCACGCTGAATGACGCATGGGGCTACGTAGAAACGTGCCGGTCGCGTGCAGCTGTCCTTTGCTTTCCACCCAAGCCCCTCCCTTCCTTCCTCAGCCTCAGCCTCAGCCACGCCTTTGGCGCTAAAGCGGATCCGCCACCGGGCACGCCGTCGCCGGCTGGGGGCGGGGCTACTGCACAGAAGGGGATGCAAGAGAAGAGGCGAAGAAAGAGTAGTAAGAGCTTGGCGATCTGGTTCTTTTTTTTCGCCACCGCCCATCAGCACCACCACCACACCACACCACCTTCGACTACGACCACGCGCTTCGCTCGTGCAGACGCACGCGATGCGCACGCGCTCAGGGCTTGGGGGAATTTGCCTTTACTACACCCGCACCAGGGCGACGATCCCTGGGGGTGTGAGTGCGCGCGTGGCCCCCCCGCCGCCGCCTCCGCCGCCGCCGCTCGCGGCTTTTCCCCTCAGCTCAACCACATTCCTTTCGCTCGTGGGCGATAAGCATGTGGAGGCAATGATCCCTCCTCTTAGTCAATCCTTCCGGACAGATGGGCGAATGGACGTGTTTCGTTAGGAGGGCTGAATTTCATGTGATGTGGGTACGTGTCGGCATATACAGTCAGTATGTATCTGCCGTGCCAGGGAAGGCGTTTGCTGTCATGTTTTTACTTGCATGCATATCTGCGGAAGCCATCAGCGTCAGCAATCTGCAAAAGAACATGCACAGAAGAAGATGGAGCTTTTCGATGCAGCGCAAGGGGCGGGCCGAATGCAGACGGGAGCAGATGATTGGAAAGGAGGCAAAGGAAGAGGCGTTTTTTGCTTTGCTTCTTCCCTCTTCGCCTCGTGGCCATGCACACTTTCTGGAAGAAGCGCGCAAGAGCGGGTGACTAGAAGCTTTGCCAAAGTCAAAAATGAGGGGATGGAAGAAAGCTAGAAGTCCGCTAATGCCGGCTGCGCCGTGGGTGTGCAGCGGGATGGAAGTCGAAGAAAGAAGGAGGGGGTGCTGCAGGTTGGAGTGGTTGTGCCGCTGGGCCGTCCCATGGTTGCTTTTGCTTCTGTACGGCTTCTTCTTGAAGGAGAGAGAGGGTGTAGTAGTAGGAGAATATGCCGGCCGGCCGGCCGGCGACGACTCGGGACCGTGCGCAGGCTGGGCGGGCCGGCACATGGGTGGGATTAGTCTGACAGCTACTTGTCGTTTGCCTTTTTTGCTTTTGGAGGCGATGGCGAAGAAAAGTCTCTTTTTTGTGCCATGGCCAATGCATGCGAGGTTCGTTTGTCGATCGCCGGGGGTTCCGCCGGCCTGTTGTTTCTTCACAGACGTCGCTGCGGTGTTCACCATCGAGGCAGATATTTCTTGTTTGCTGATGCCGAAGTGGAGAATAGGTGACGATGCCGAGCGATGGTGTACCACTCAGCGACGGGGAGCAGCAGCAGCCTGCGAACAATAGTATGGTGTACCAAGCTATGCAGGGGGAGGGGTAGAGGCAGAGTTTTCTCGGGACTGGAGCCTGCTAGCCGGTTGCGGGAGGCTGACGGAATGCTCGCCTATTTGCCCGTAGCTCGGATTGGTACAGGGTGGCGCTTTTAGGTCCCTGACTTACGGAGGGGGAGGACGGGAGGAGGTGGGGGCACGAAACAGTAGCTCCAAAGCGAAGACCCTCTCGTTTACCTGTCTTCGAGGCTGAGCGCCGGGCTGCAAACGCCATGGGAGCAGTCGTTTGTGCTGTGATTAAGGTTCTGCGGTACTTGAGACCTTGCTGACGCACAGCGATGCGTGCAGCCGTGTGCCAGGAGTGCGTACCTGCGGCGTGGTGTGGTTCGTTGACACCCAACCCCGCTCTAGGTACGTCCAGACTCCCGGATTGGCACATCTGCGACGCTCGTCTACGAGTGCTATGGCGCTAGCATCGAATCCTTCCCCGCTCCGCAGACGAGCTTTCGGAAGCGCGAAGATCAGTACTTCTCGACTTGATACGCGCGGACGTCGATCGGATTTGCGGGTGGAAGGCCGGGTGATCTACCGTCGCTGCCCCTTTGGTCTGGGTAGCTGCCGTATTGGGGAAAACGCGCAGCACGGCACGAGGTGGAAGTCGCCCGAAGGCCCGACTGCACAGCTTCATGCCCAAGAAGACGAGCTGACCCTGAACCGCCAGTGGTGGCCCGCTTTGCTCCAACCGGTAAGGACTGTCGATGCGGAGCCGTTAAGGGTCTCCCCCGTTGGTCGCTCCCGTCCAAGCGTCAGGTTTCCTTCCTCTCTGCCGTGCCATCCAACACGCGGTTGACGCCCAATCCTGAACTCCACTCGCTGTGGCTTGGTGGCTGTAGGCCCTACTCCGGAGCCAGAGCTTGCACAGAAGTCCGTCCCCTTGTATCCACACCCTCTCAGGATTATATAGACAGCTTGTGCTACCCGCCGTTTGACTCTCGATCATCAGGGTCTCCCACGTTCAGCTCCAACAATCTTCCGAAGACCTATTTCTCGCCTCGACTCCCTCTGGGATTGACGTCGACAACACCCCACACCACAACATCACAGCTTGCCTTCATGGCCCGCTTCCTCTCCAAGATCTCGTCGCGCGTGACGACCATCCGCTACTGGTTGAGGGCTTCCGGAAGCAGCCCGCAACACGAGGATGGCAACAGTTGGTTCGGCGACCATTCTACCCGTGACATGGATTTCTTCGATATTGGCATTAGCGATAGTGACTCTGCGTATCTACACGCGTGCGTTTCTCGCAAGGAGTCTCGGGTGGGATGATTGCGCCATGATCCTGGCCATGCTTGGATCTCTCACCATATGTCTCCTCCGGTCACTCCGTAAGTCAAACTCAACCGGCTAAACATTGCACACATACTAACAGCCTGCGCAGAAGTCTCTTACGGACTGGGCACACCCTTGTCTTCCACACCTCCGAAATACCAGATCCTCCGCACCGAGCTGATCTGGGCCGTACTCTTTCCCTACTACATCGGGCTCTGCCTGGTGAAGGCCTCGGCACTGCTGCAGATGCTCCGCGTCTTCGCCATTCCGCGCGTGCGGACTGTCTGTCTGACACTCCTTTCCCTCGTCGCTCTCTTTGCCTTCTGGAGAACCGTCACAGCCCTCATTACCTGCCACCGCCCGCCCTTTACCGCTCCCTCCGAAAATAAGCACCTGTTGACTCGAACTGGCCAATGCGTGGAGCCTTACCCTCTCTTATACATCAACTGTGCTTTAAACATAGCCATGGACGTCATCATCACAATGGTTCCCTTGCGAGTCATTTCCCGACTGCGCCTCGCCGCCCACCGCAAACGGATGCTCACAGCCGTCTTCGCCCTCGGATTGATGTGAGTGTCTGCTCCTCCTGCTTCGGGACCCAAATTTGGACATAAACATTTTGGAACTCTCCTGCAAAAGCCCTACGAACCCTCGTTCCTAACAACTCTCCGTCTCAACAGCCCCACCATCCCCTCCGCCATCCGCCTGCACGCCATCATGGCACTCCAAGAGCACGGCGCTCCGCGCCAATTCATCACGTCCAGCCCCATGGCTGCCATCTGGACCGCACTCGACATCAACACCGCCATCATCTGCGCGTGCGTGCCAGCCCTTGGCCCGCTATACACGCGCTTGGCTTCACGGCTACGCCCCGCTGGCAGCAAGGACGATGCGAACCTGTGCACCATGGTCCTATCACCCTCAACGCCATCACCATCGGCGCTCATGGCTGGTTCCGTGTCCATCATCACGCGCGCCGCTGCCGGCGTCGCTGTGCCTATGATTTGGCGGCAGCAGCAAGACAAAGGGAAGAAAGCGGCAGTCGGCCCCGATGACCAGGGTTACGACAAGCGCATTGGCGACGGCGCTGTTGGCGCCGTCGTTGCTTCTAGCGCTGCTGTTGACGACGAAGATGACGATGAAGACTACGAGGCGCTCAGCGATCTCGCCGAGTTTGCAGGCTTCACGGGGCTGACAGGAGATGCGAGCCTGGATGGGTTCCTCGTCGCGGCGCGGTTGGAGAAGGCGACGAGCAGAGAAGAGTTGCTTGCTGTTGCGAACAGCATGTCCACGAGATCGGGCTCGGAGCCGACAGTGAGAGCCTATGAGGTGCTTGGTTATGATCACGACGATACGAACATCACCGGGGATGGCGTTTCGGAGGGCAGAGCCTCGAGCAGGATTGAATTCATTTAATTCATCTCTAGCTCTTGCTTTCCCTCATCCCCAATCACACTCAACTCCCATCTTCATTCACACACACACACTTACACACTCCCTGTATATTTTCTTTTCCTACCTCTTCTTCATTTCTTGCCTGTTTTTCTAGCGTAGACGGCTTACTTCATGAGGGCGGCGTTTGATGCATGCATGACCGGGCGGCGTTTCATCCACGATTTTTCTTTCTGGCTCCAAACTTTTCGATAGCTCTTCAGCGATTTTCATATGACTGCATCAACAATGATCAACGGCTTTTTGAGATTCTAGACACATTGCAGATCGAAAAAGTGAAATTGATGACGTGTGTGGACCAAACTTTGCCTGCACCCTGGTCCAATCATGACGGTTGTGGCTTCTGGGCATATATCACATGCAAGACCTGGTAGGTATGGATTGACGGGTCCATCAGGTGCTTTCTGACGCCCGTCAGAAAGACCTCGACCTCCTCCGTCATCCATCCCAAGCCCTTGCAAAGGGGGCGCAAGGCGATTGCCTGCAAGCCATCCATGGCGATGGCCTGGTAGTAAGTGCCAACTTTCTTGAGCAGCCTGTCCTTCGGCCACGGACCGAACGGAAGCTTAAACGTGCGCTCATGCACGTTTACGAAACCGGCATCGCGCAGCTGGGATTTGATGTTGTGGACGCCGTCGAGGTTGATGCCCATGGCGGCTAGGCCCTGGCCGATTAGGCCTAGCAGCTTCGCCAGTTGGTAGTCGTCAGGCATGGAGCCGTCGTCGCAGCTCGGCGTGTAGTTCATCTCGTGCAGCTCTACCCAGCCTCCCGGTCGAAGGTGCCTGTGTGTTGAGTCAGCTACGGCAGTCGGAGCTTGGCGGGCGGTGAGGGCTTGCCTGTGGGCTTGCTTAAGCATGCCAAGGTAGTTTCTGAATGCTTGAACAGTGTGCCTCGCATGGACGAGGTCGAAGTAGTCGGTCGGGTAGACCCACGGCGCTTCGGCATCGTCGACGAGAAATTTGACGTTTGGTGGAAGCCAAGTAGGTTGAATGGGGCTCAAGTCGACGCCCTGCACAAGCGCGGAAGGATACTGTTCGCCCACTTATCTGATGTCAGGTGACGAACACTTGTTGGTGGTCTGGGAGGCAACACACTCTCAACACACCAGATGCCCGTGCCAGTGCCGAGGTCAAGAATATTCTCCGGGTCATCACGGATGGGGGCGTAGTGTAGGCGATCACCCATAGCTGTGATAAGGGCATAATGCTTCATGTCCTCTCTAACCTAGGGTGAGCTTATGTATCTTTCCAAGCACGGTTTCAGCATACCTCTCCTGTTCCGGTTCGTCGTTTGGGAACTGGTAGAGTCCCTCCTGATAGCGGTGATAACGCCTCCCGAATTCGAATGAGTGGTCACGGATGCTCGAACTCAACGAGGTAGAACCAGTGTCAGAGTCGTACCCTGCTGCGCTGCCAGCCTCGCTGTCGACCTCAATGGTCGTGGATGCTTGGTGAGCGGCATGCTCGGCCGGTGAAGATTCGATAGTAGCTGAAGTCATGTGGACTGTGTGCCTTCTCGAACTCAAATTCTCTCAGGTTTGAGTTTTCGAATATGTAGGGCGACCGGACGCAGGCGATGAGTTGTTCCAGGGTGGTGGGGTTCCTGCCTGTGCCGCACACGAAAAAAGCCATTGCGCCGTAGCATCCCAGATAAAGTCCGCATTTGTCAAGTGGATTGCAAGCGAAGTAGCAGGAAGTGGATGCCAGCAAGGATGGACCACAAACTTGGGAACTCGTCCGTGGCCTGCGTCGAGCGTGTTGCGGTCAAGATATACGGGCCAGGCTGAGTTGTGATTGGATGCCTCGCTAATATGTGTATGCAACATCCTCTCTTGCGCTGCTCGGAGTTATGGATGCATACACACGATGCCGGTGAAAGGAACAGTGACGTTCGGGAAAGAGTTGTTGGTATCGCCGAGGGCGGAAGCGAAAGACGTGGCCGGTTCTTATCGGTGATAGCATCACTTTCGCCTCCGTTTTGCCGCCATCCCAGCTCTTCTCCACGCAGCAATCGAAGCCATGTCGGCACCCCACGAAGGTTCTCTCTTCTTCCGCCTTCCGCGCGAACTTCGCGATGAGGTGTATGCTTCGCTACTCGCCCCGCACAACTTCCGCGTCGAGCACGAAGACGACTACGTCGAATACAAGTACGACCTGCGGCTCTTACGCGTCAATCGCCAGATCTACGAGGAAGCCAAGCAGGTCTTCCGCCGCCTGAACGTTTTCGCGCGTATCGAGACGCCATGGCCTGAGGCGAAGCAGCACATCTCCGACGAGGGCCGCGTGCCCATTATCGCAACCGGCCCTGCCGCCGCCGCTTTTTCCGCAGTCCACCTCCGCGTCTACATTGAGGCCTACCAATACGTCTTCGGCGAGGGGCATACCCACCACCTGGTTATCCTGGCCGACCATCTGCCCTCGTTTTGCAAGATGTGGTATTATTCGGATTTGAGCCACCCGGGCCTCAACGCCCACCTGCGCCTCACTCTGACAATACAAGAACCATTCGCGAACCAAGCAGACAAAGCAGTACCGTCGTCCTTGAAGCGACGGCTGCTGGAACCGTTTGGGGAGATAAAAGGCCTGCATGAGCTGCGTATAGAGGGGCAGGGCGACGGGTCGATTGAGAAGGAGCTACGCGATGCCCAGGCTGTGCCTTACAAGAGTGCGGCAGAATGCTTGGATGAAGCAACGCGGCTCAAGGACGAGGGTAACGCCGCGCTTCAAAAGAACCAGTTCCGCGAAGCATTGCGCCGATACGAAGAGGCATTCAAGGCGATGCACATTGTCGTATCCGGCAAGAGGCGATCCATATGGGGCAATGCCTTCTTCGAAGTAAACCTACATTCCGGTCAATATGCAGAGCAGTACGGCCAGCTGGTGCGCCTCATTCTGCGGGTCAAGCTTGTCGCGAACACCACACTCGCCTACCTGAAGCTCGAGAATTACCACATGGCCAAGTTCTGGGGAATGCGCAGCATTCAGCTCATGCGCGAAGGCATGGGGATTGAGAATGACGACGATGATGAGCCGATGTTGGGATTCGCTGCCGCCAACGAAATGGGCAAGATTTACTATCGGACGGGCCTTGCTTGCAAGGCTCTGGACGAGAGGGAGCAAGCACGAAAGCTCTTGCGTATCGCTGGTCAGTACCTACCGAGGGATCCTCAGGTTGCTGCGGCATATGCTTCCGTCGCTCTGAGAATATTCTAGCGGGGTTCATGCAAGCGACTCACCGCAGCTTTGTGAGCTGGCTCCATTGACTGTTTGGTGAAATGTTTCCACCAGTTCCCGCCAATTCCCGAGTATTCAAGCCCGGAATCACTCATAGCACACGTCAGTGCCAGACGAGTCGATGAACTAATGACGTTTGATGCCGATCCGAGTTTTTATGGACAAGTTTTTAGAGGTCCTGCAGCTTCGTTCCTGCTGGGAACACCCTGTCTATGTTATCTGATTGCGGCTTCTTAAGAAGGTAACCAACATTGTGCCAGAGTCTTGCCGTCGGCCAATAGCCTCTGCCTCATTATCACATCCGACCGGTCTTCGGCACACCCGAACAAGATGATCGTCGATCCGATTCCCTCTTCGAGACTAAGTAGACGCGTAACGGCAACGATGTATAAGGCAGGTCGTAAGGCAGACGATCTCGAGTCAGAAACAACGGCCCGGGTCTCCATGAAACCCCGTTTCAGAAGTTTTGCGGCTCTCCTAAACCTATCCTACGATTATGTGGCCCTGCGCCGGAAGAACACGAGAGGAGCACTGAATAGATAGGTCTGTAGGAAAATCATCATCGCTTTGCATACACGCACACCAGAACGCCATGCCGATCTCTTCTTCGTGCATCTATCTTCGTCATCTTTTCGCTACATCTCATCTCAGCCTCGCAGCATGCGCGTCAAGCCAAACCTCCATGGGGGAGCTATTCAGCATCAAGCAATCGGACCTCGGGCCTAAAATGCTTGGCTATTTCTTGGCTGAATCTCGCAATGACAGGCAGGCAGACAATGCAGGTTCCAAAGCAGTAAACATTCGTAAGCCGCAGTGGGTCCCGGCGAGGCGTCGGCATTTGAGACGCCAATCGGCGCCTTTAGATCTACGGCAGCGGTAAGCATAATCGCTGCGGCTGATCAAAACCAGTATTACCTAGTATAGGAGCTATGGGTACGTTTGAGCTCGCCTTAGGTACGTGCGCCAGGCTATGCGGCACTGTTTCTGAATTACGCGTGGTTGTTTCCTATTACGCCCTCGTTGATTGGGTGCCAGACTCTGGGAAAGAGACACACGCAATGCATACGATTGCAAATGTTTCCCGAGGGGCCTTTGGGAAATGATACCCGTTCCCTTATAAAACTCGCGGGAACACTTCACCCCAATACCCTCTCCACTGCTCGCCGCTCTCTCAGATTCTGTGCCTTTTCTTCTTAGCCGTTCGTTTGGCCCTTCATTCAACAAAAAATGCAGTCCGCTGTTCTCCTCGCCCTCGGGGCGTCTCTCCTATCCGGCGTCGTCGCCCACCCGCACCACAATGATCTCTCCTATGCCGAGCTCACTCGCCGTTCGGACCTTTCGAAGCGCTGCGAGGGCGCCGCCGCAGCCATGAACCGCAAGCGCTGGGCCAAGCGCAACGCGAAGCGCGATCTCGCCACCCGCTCGGCCAATACTACCTACACTATTACTGCCGAGGCACCGTACTACGATGTGCTACAGAACAACACTTGCATCCTGACTGAGGAGGTCACTACGGGCCCGTACATTTGGCCTCGCAGCCAGACGCTCCGTCAGGACATGACCGAGGGCCAGGAGGGCGTGCCGCTGTACCTGGACATTGGCGTCATGGACGTCAACTCCTGCGAGCCGCTGCCCAACGTTCTGGTCGACGTCTGGCACTGCAACGCCACGGGTAGCTACTCGTCGTTCACCGGCCTGAGCCCGGATACCCCGTTCGAGACGCTCCTCGAGCAGCTCAATGCCACCATCGGTGACGACCTGCACACCGACGACACCACGTTCTTGCGCGCAATGGTATGTTTTGACCCCCTTTACCCCTCCCACCCGAATTGAAGCTGACCGCCTTTTTCTTCCCAAAACAGTGGCCCACCGACGACAACGGCATCACCGAGTTCCGCACCATCTTCCCGGGCTACTACGTCGAGCGCACGGTGCACATCCACGTGCAGGTGCACGACAACTGGAGCGTGCGGGCCAACGGCACGGTGGCCTCGTCCGATACCATCTCGACGGGCCAGGTCTTCGCGGCCGAGGACCTGACGCAGCAGATCGTCGCCCTCGAGCCCTACAACAGCCACACGGGCATCAACCGCACCACCAACGCCGTCGACAGCATCTACTCGGAGGAGACCAAGAACGGCTTCGACCCCGTGCTCAGCATCGTGCCCCTCGACGGCGAGGACGTGACAAAGGGCATGGTCGGCTACATTACCATCGGTGTGGATACTGAGGCCCAGGGCGCCATCAGGAGGAAGTTGAGGAAGTTGTAGAGGGTGTATGCACGCTATGTTGGGTATGGGAATGATGTATAGACTCTGTTTCATGTTTGATATTTTGCAATGAAAGTTTGGAAATTTGAAATCTGGCATGACAAATCCCTTAGTCATTCTTCTCTAACTTGTTTCCCTTCTGCTTGTCTTCATTGGACTCTACTGCATTTGCTGCCTCTTCATCTTTGATCCTGTTTTTCCCGTTTATCCAGTACATCCACATCGCCCAAAGACCCATGACTAGGCCTGTGAGTGGAACGGTGATGGCCCAGTATATCCAAAACTGGGATGGATCGGATTCAACCAACGGGGTGCTGAATAGCGCCTGAGATCTTGATCAGTAAAAACTCTCATTGACTGCTCCACTGCACTGACCGAAACGAACGTCCCAGGAAGGAAGACGGTGGTCAAGATGGCTATGGTCTTCATGGATGAGCTGTCCCGTTTAGCCGCGCCGGCAAGCCTTGCTGAATCCCTCGCCATCTGGTGGTTGACCTTCGCCATTTCAAGATTGGTTCTGCTATCTCTTTGAGCGAAAAGCGTGTGGAGCTGCATCAACTAAGGTCAGCAGACTCTCACTGTTGTGCGTGCCTTTTCGACTTACGGCGGAAGCTTGCAGACCAGCTCTCTCCTCCAAGTTACCGATTTTCTGCAGTAGACATTGTGTCTCTGTTATGAGGCCCTCGAATCTGTCCTTAATGCCATCTGCGCAGCGCTGAATTTCGCAATGGCGGGCAGTTTTGGCGGGCCCGGTATCCACGGATCCGACCTTACCATCCACATATGAAATTTCTTTTAGCATGCTTTCGATGAGAACTTTCAGAGTTGCTGTATATTGCCTGCAATTTGCGAGGCTCGCTCTGACATCGGTCCCCATTCGGAGGGCCTCCTCGGCCCGTCTCATGAACTCCTCATTTTCTCGATACCCTTCTCGCAAGCCGACATTTTCCTCAAGGGAGTTAACCCTAGACACACCAACAGAAATCCATTCCGACATTTCTTGAACTTCTCCAAATAGGAGCAAAGCCGGAACAAGCATCGGATGGCAAATGTAGGCTCGTGAAGTCAGGAGGTTGCTGTCGAAACTGTTGCCTATGCCATAACTAGCCACGACCAGCCCTGTTATAAGGTTTTCCTCCGGCGAATATGAGATTGCGGCATTGAGATACTCGTAACGCATGATCCAGCCTTAAATAGTAATTTGTTCAGCGGTTGAAACTCAAACGTTAGAACAGAATACTTACAGGTTCTCTGAGCGTCCTTACAATATCTGAAAACCCCTGCTCCCAACTTCACAGTCTTATCCAAGTACTCGTGTGGTATGTGGAAGATATCAATGCACGCTTTGAGAGCTTCCACTTTAAGTGGTATAGAAAGACAGCTCGCATTATCACTGTCAGCGATGCTGTATGCTTCAGTAAGACATCAAATTAAAGATTGTTCTGATTTCAACTTACAGAAGGCGTAAACCTCTGATGGCAGCTTCAGGGCGGTTCTTGCCATATAAATCAGTCTTAAGAATTAAATGTTGAAAAGGATGGTGGCTTCTCACCGAGTTTCGGATCCAGAGCTCTACTTTATCTGGGGCGTGAGAGTTGACATGCTCCACAAACTCGCCTGAGTCCAGCTCCCACATCTCAATTGATCTGCATTCGACCGGATTAAAATGTCTGCCTCTATCTTTTCCATTGTCTCTATCTTCGAGCAGCCAAGACCAGTGAGAATGATCCAGCATTTTTTTTGACCGATCGCAGGTTTTTCATCACTTCCGGTGCGAAAAAAAAAATTAGGGGCGGCGGTAGATGAGCCAGTATTGGACGCAGCAGACAGGGTGCGGCCTCTTCTCTTTATAGGTCTACTAGTAAGTGAGACGGGCTTGGTGATTGGCTTTCGGGGCGGGTGAGAAATCAGCGATTCAGGCTCAGCCTTGCTTACCGAGCGCCATGCAGTTCCCAGACGGGCGTGCGGACCCAGCCGCATTGCAGCCGCGGTAACAACTCTGCATATCGATCCCTGCAGCTATGCTGATGCCTATACCCTTTTTTGGCGATTCCTGCATGCTCATCCACCAAATCCAACAATTCGCATTGTTAGTTAGAGATTTAGCTACATTCTGGAGACTCATTACTTATCGAAGCATTGAAGACATCAACATGGAAGCAGTGTTTGCTGCACCCAGTGGAATGATCACTCAAGTTCAGCTCTCTAGAATGGCCCCCAACTAAGCATGACGTGGAATGAGGGGGCACCGATCGACTGGCGGTGTAACTGTATCACCGCGACACCACCATAACCACTAACGGTTACCGTTGAAATGATGCAGTGCTATATCGCGACATACAAGAGTTAGCTCCCACAACCTCTAGAATTTCAAGCTCGCCACCAGCCCATCCAATCAATGCTAGTCAACTCCACCACCAGCAACACCAACCCCCTCTCAACCACATATCGAACATGGCCTCTTCACGAAGACAACAACCACAAACAAAACCACCACCTTTCCTCCGCCTCCCCACCGAACTCCACCTCCGCATCATCACGCACCTCGCCTTCCCCGAAACCGCCTTCCTCCGCGCCACATGCCGCCTCTTCACGCGCCTCATCCCCGCTCCCCGCGCGCACCACACCGACCTCCTCGCCGCCGAGCCAGGCGCGTGGGCAACGCGGCGCAACCGGCTAGCATGCGCGACGTGCGCGCGACTACGACCCGCGCGCTTCTTCAGCGACGTCGAGAAGCAAGGCTCACTGGGCTCCGCGCTGCGGGCGTGCGTCTCATGTCAAGGCTATTGGGAGGGCTTCAACGCGAACGGGTGGTGGGACAAGGCGGGCCCCGTCAATAACCACGTGACGAGGACGACGGCGGTGCGGGTGCCGGCGCGGCCGGATTGGAAGGTGAATGGGTTGTGTAAGTGGTGTCATAATGCGTTTGGGAGGTGGGGGAGGTACGATCCGACAAGGGCGGCGTGTAGCGAGTGTTTTTTGAGGGAGGATCCGAGGTGCAGGGAGGCGGCGGAGGTAGGGAGGGTGAGGAGGGATATGTGGAAGTGCTGTTGGAAGGATGCGGGGGAGGTGTTTGAGTGGGAGTTGTTGGAGCAGATTAAGGAGGTGGATTTGTGGCGGTATTATGAACCGGGTTGTACCTGTGATGAGTGTGAAAATGGAATTGACATACCGAAGTGGATGGAGGGCCACAGGGGCGTGCAGGTTATAAAGGTGGAACGTTGAATGAACTTTGTGGTTAAGGTACGCTGAAGAAGATAGCCAGGGTGTGCCTAACATTGACGCCGGGTGTATAAGAGTAACGGATTACACGAAGGCAGAATCATTATAGCAACTATTTTACCACAGAGTTTAAAGTCTGAGAAATCACCCTTCTTGTTTCTGACGATCAGCAAATACCCGACTAAATGGCAGCAGAGAACTGAAAAGAAGGAAAGATGAATAACGCAAACCGGAAGCTTCCCTATCCACAATAGAGCCACCCACCTCAGAGCCCAAACATATCCACCCCTTCCTCATACCCCCAATCTGCACCACCACCTCGTCAGCAATCGCACATCAACGCAGAAAAAACGTGCAAGAGCACCACTCACCCTTCAAAGCCGGCACCGCCCACCCATTCACCAGACCCGCCTCCCCACACACAAACACCCCCGCCCCCTCCCCCGGCCCAAACAACTCCCTCCTAAACACCTCGGCATCATCCATCACCTTCTCCCTCGCCACGCTCGCCACGCTCACTTGTCCCTTGCCCCTCTCCACCGCCGCCTCAAGCTCCTCTTTCAAAAACGACTCGCCCTTCTCCTCCCCGTCCCCGCTCGCCGCCGCCGCCGACGAAGCCACCACGACGAGGGCGTGCACGGGCGTGGGATCCGCACACAGCAGCACGCGCGCGATGAGCGCGTAGCCCCTCGCCACGGCCTCCGGGCCGCCAGCCAGGACGAGGGAGATGCGGGAGAAGAAGAAGGAGGATGAGGGCTGCTGATCCGATGGTTGTGCTGCTCGAATTTCGCGGCCGTCGGCGTCGGCGTCGTAGTCGTCGTCGGCGGCGGCCCCGATGGCGAAGGCGCCGCAGCCGTTGTAGACGATGGAGCCGAGGGGCCCGCGGCAGGACACGGCGGTCGAGCCGAGAGGGAGCTGCGCCAAGAGGGCGAGGAAGGGGTCGGCAACGCTGGTGCTGGGCTGTTGTGCGGTAGTGGTAGAGGAAGAACGAGGAGGTGGTGGTGGCGGGTGGGCTGGGACGGTGATGTCGAAGGTGCCGTCTAGGCCGTCGCGGAGGCTGTAGCTCAGGCTATCGCGGCGAGTGGTGTTGGAAGCTGTGGAGAGATACGGGCCGGGTATGGAAGGAGGGCGTGTCGACCGCGGGGATACGGGCGAGCTGGGGGAGGCCGGACGGGCGGTATGATGGTCGTTGTGGTGAACGCTGTGTTTGAAGGCTGGTAAAAGGGGACGAGTGGGAGTGTAGGAACGGATGAGCATGCGGTCTGGTAGGTGAAAGCCGAGCTGTAGGTACTGACATGTCCCTAGACCGAGGGCAGATTGGCCGTCTGGCAAAGCGAAGGTGTATGTGTGGGCATTGGCACTGTTTTGCCGGTTGACGAGCCTGATGGGCACCCATCTGCTTTTACGTAGCGTGAGGTGGCTGTCATCTCCCTCGTATATTTGCCGAGAATACGTTCTTGCTTCTGTGGCGAGTGTGGCATTCTTCTTGATGAGGCTGGCGACTTTATCCGTAACGTTGCCAAGGATACATTCTATACACAAGATGAGCTTCTTTATACTCGGCTCGGTTTGGCTTGACATACCTTCCAGCTTCCGGTAAGCATAGGCATCATGAATGCTTGCGAATTCGTCACTTGTCTCCTGATGCGCTTTGCCCGCATGGCCGAGAATTGCCACCTTGCCGCCCGGATGCCAGGATAAAACACTGGTCACGTCGTATACTCTACCATCGATAACGATCCAGCAGTCGTTATCCTTGTCATGCCTTTCTATCTCTTCTCTGGTAAATTGCTTCTGTGGCACGGTAATCTGCCGTCCAGCATATCTGAGATCATCCTCCATGCTTGGCCTCATCCATCCTCCATTTGCGGTTCCGGGTTCAACTGGATGCTGAAAAAGTATCGAAGGCACGTCTGAATCTTCACTGTCCGTAATAATTGTCCGAAGAACGTACCAGCCGTTGTTCATTAAGCCCAGGACATTCCAGTCTGCCTTCTGTGGTTGTGTGATCTTGAACACATTGCAGCCGCGCACAGTGATACTCTTCGCTCGGAGCAGGTGAGAAAGCTCGACATCAATGTGCCAATGTAGCCAAGTCCAAAACTTGTGTCCGTGCCGGATGGGGTAGTCAGGATATTGACGGATGCAATAAAGCCAGGTATCTCCGCCGTCAAGAGACACTTCGACGCGTTGGACTTCGTGCCCACCGCCATCGTAAGCGTATCCGGAAATGCGGTAGCTTTGGCCTTTCTGAGCCTGACTGAGTGGTATCCTCTCTCCATGTGCTGGTTTGACAATGACCGAGTTGAGAGTCTGCTCGTTGCAAGCCGTGCTCCGGAGGTGGAACAAGGCATCAGCAAACTCGCCGTCCTTCTCCACCACAAAACTTGGCAAGAGCCTGTTGTCCCAGATGTGATAGTACGAATCGTTCTCCCGGTCACTAACCCATATTCTTTCGAGCCACTTGACGCTTCGCTCACCAATATGACCAGGGACGACCAGTCGCACGGGGTACCCCTGATCTGGAGGGAGAGGTACGTCGTTCATTTCCATTGCCAGCAGGACGTCGTTCTTCGGATCCATTGCGTATTCCAACGAAAGGCATGTTGCATACTTGCCCTCGCTCGGTTCACCTGCGCCCTCGAAGTGCACCCAGAAGCGCCTGGTGTTGCCCTGTGGCGTGGATTGGGACACACCGGCAGCCAATAGTACGTCCCGGAGCAGTGGCCCTTTCCAAAACGCACAGCCCACAGCGCCGGCTCCCCAGTCGAAGCCTTTGCTTCTCTTGGCCATGTTAAGCTCTTTTCGTCTATTTCCAGCAGATGCGAGCATAACAGGGATGTTGATAGTGCTGTATCTGTTTTTAAGCTCATCCATCGACAGGGTCAGCTTTCCACCCTGGATCACAAGTATGTGGCGTTCCCATAACAATCGCGGAACAGGGCCGTGATTGCGCACGTAATGCAGCTCGTTGGGCGTAATGAGGCCAGCGTCAAACAGGGACGAAAGACGAGGCTCAGCGTTCAGAGGATGCTTGCCTGTCAGGCGAGTAAGGTGCCAGGAGCGTGGGATCCAATTGTCGGGGGTGAGTTGATCTCGCTCGTCGGTGGAAATTTGCGTGCGGCCTCGCTCGTGATGCGGAGATATGCCTTTCCCGTCGTCGACGCGGAGCTGCGAGATATACTCCCTCTCGTGTCGGACACTGCGGAGAAGTGCAATTTCTTGAGGCGTGTACTTTGCAGTAAGGTTATCGGGCTCGGGGTCTTGAAAACCGGTGGGGCCGCTCTGTTCAATTCCGGAGTCGTATCCGGTGTCCTCAACTCCAGAGTAGGCGGCATTGTGCTTATTCTCGCCGCGCGATCTCCTCCACTCGTGCTCTTGCTGGTTGGTTTCCGGCTTGCTTTTGAATTTTCCTGGATTCCCCTCTATCTGCTTTGCTTCAACATTCATTGGGAATTCCTCGGTACCCTTTCCGCAGCTTTCAGACGTTTCAAAAACGTGTCGCCACCCCAGTATATTATTCTCTGGGAAGTCCTGCACTGAATTAGCCCCTTGCTTCCACATGAAAGCGGGGTCCATCTGAAACAGGGTCTCCTGTCAGGTATAACAGGTTGTTCATGATAGCCTCGACCTTCGCTCTCTACTTACCTCTGAGTGTCTAATCACGTCGCGAAGAGTGATGGGCTCCCCATCCATTGCTTGACTTTTCACCTCACGAGGGTCCGGACCAAATATCTCAAGACCTCCGTCGTATTCGCCTTCTTGATGAGTTATGCCAACTTTGTGGTCTTGGCCATCTTTGAAACCAATGTAGCGCTTTTGGCGTGCTCCCCAGTCGGGCTCCTTGGCAACGTCGTCGGCAGAGGATCCAGGATGATGGCGCACCTTGACTGTCCAGGGAATCGGTGGCATTGTCAGTGAGAACAATGCGTCGCAGGTTGATTGGATTGTGTTTCACGTCCTACCGAAGGACGATGCAGAAGGAATTGAAGACGACAACACTCGAAGGGAGGGGCCGCCCTTTGTTGCCAAATTCAAACTGGGCCATGACGTCAGCCAGAAACGCGCTAGAAGGTGGAATTCTGTGGTTGAAGCTAAGCAGATCCAGCAATATCTAACGTTGACATGGCACGCGATTGCGAGGAATACGAGAAAAAGAAAGTCATGAAGAGATGGGCCGGATGGAGATGGATCGGGCTGCTCGTGAAGGGCAGTGTGGGCGTCGCATCCTTCCGCTGCACGATGGCGGGTCGGACCGCCGTCGGATCGCGATCGCAAGCAGATCCAACTGATCTTGCACAAGATGAAGAGTAGGGCTCATCATGGTGTTGACTTCTTAGCGGCGATCTCCCGACGGGCGACCTATGACGCAATTGTCTCTATTAGTCAGCTGCCAGACAGGCAACAGCGAGCCCCGCTCGGACTAAACTCACCGCACGAGTCCACTCATCTCAGGCCGCCTGTCAAGTTAAGCCCGTTGGCAGACTATCGGAAAGGTGCACGGATGTCTTACACAGACTGCGTCCCCGCATTGACAGCCCCAGCCACACTCCGCTCCTTCGGCTGCCATCAACTCAACCGCCGCCATGCAATTGGACCATTCCACGCACTTCGGTAACTAACCCCCGCTGGGTCAGCCGTAGGTCGCAGTAATTACTGCATCGGGAAGTGATGATGGAGGCCGAGGAAATAAAGCCGCCGCCTTCCGCCAGTAATTAAGTCCGAGCTGGCAGCCTTGCCGGGCACTGTTGGCACTTGTATAAGAGTAATCAAGCCCATTCAATTCATAGTTGGTAAGGCCCCGACCGCACCCGCTCAGCCTTCAATCACAACCATGCGCTTCACGGGGACGCCGTTCGGCGCCACAGCGACTCTGTTGTCACTGACCGCAGGCGTTGCCTTTGCGCAGAACAGCTCACCGTCTCTCCCCGTTGTCGATCTGGGTTACCAGTTGCAGCAAGCATCCGAATTCAACGTACGCCTCTGAAGTTCCGGACGAGAATGAAGTCGCACGTGGAAAAGGTTCACTGACAACGGCTTCAGGAAACCGGAGCTTACTACAACTTTTCCAACATTCGATACGCTGCGCCTCCGGTTGGTGACTTGCGCTTCCGTCCACCAACCTCGCCCGCCACCAACCGTTCCAGTGTGCAAGATGGCTCAGAGCTCAGGATCTGCCCACAGGCAAGTCCTGCATGGTTGGCCATCGCTGCCGAGTTCATTCCGCAGTACCTGATCTCCGGCAAACTGCCGAATGTCTCCACTACCGAGCCTACCGTTGCAGAAAATGTGACGATTGGGCCGTCGGAGTCCGAGGACTGCTTATTTTTGGATGTTATTGTGCCTGAGAAGGTTTTCAAGCGTGCCGGTAAAGGCTATGGCGCCCCGGTTTTGGTCTGGATCTATGGTAAGCATACGCGAATCTAGCTTTCAAGCGTATGTGGTGACAGTATATTGACTCGATTCGCAGGTGGTGGCTACACCACAGGCTCCAAAATTGCCTCAGGAGATCCGCTTGGGCTGATTGCGAGAAGTCAGACCGACTCGTCTGATGGGGTTATCTATGTTGCCATGAATTACCGCCTCGGAGCTTTCGGATGGCTCTCGGGGCCTACGTACCAGGAGGACGGCACTGCGAACCTCGGTCTGCACGATCAGCGCTTCGCTTTGGAGTGGATTCAGAATAACATTCACCTCTTCGGCGGTGACAAGAACCGCGTCACGGTGTTTGGCGAGTCTGCTGGTGGTGGCTCCATCATGCACCAGATTACCGCTTTTGGTGGTTCTGCACCGTCTCTCTTCCAGCAAGCCATTCCCCAGTCTCCAGCTTGGCTACCACTCACCTCTCCTTACGAGCAAGAGCAGTCATTCCAGAGCTATCTCAAAGAGTTGAATGTCACCAGCCTGGCAGAAGCCCGGAACCTTTCTTCGGAGGAACTCATGACCGCCAACATCCGTACAGTCGGCGCTGCGCCCTACAGCACTTTCGTCTTCGGCCCTACAGTGGACGGCGACATCGTGCCGCAGGACCCAAAGTACCTGCTGAGCCATGGCCAATTTGACAAGTCAGTACGGCTCCTCGCGGGCCACAACACGGACGAGGGCCTCATCTTCACGCCGCCACTCACCAATGAATCCGAGTTCACCACCTACCTCCAGGGCAGCATGCCCAATGCCCGGCCTTCCATCATCTCACACATCACCGAAACGATGTACCCTCCTGTCTACGACGGCAGCCACGGCTACCGCGACCTGATCGGCCGCGCGACGCTAGCACTGTCAGAGTTTGCCTTCACCTGCAACAACTTCGCACTCGGCAACGCCTTCCCCAACGCCATGCACGGCTACGTCTTCGGCGTCTCCCCCGGCATCCACGGCCAGGACGTGCCGTACACGTACTACAACCCGGACACCCCCCAAACTGATGGAGGTAGTAGCCTGGCGTTTGCCGGTGCCGTGAATGAAACCGTTGCGTTCGTGCTGCAGGACTACATCACTAGCTTCGCTACCCACGGCATCCCCGAGAGCGCTGTGGATGGCCTGCCAGAGTTCCCGGTGTATGGAAAGGAGGCGAGTGCTGTGAGATTGACGGGAAGCGGCATCAACGTGACAAAGGACGAGGTGGCGAATGAGAGGTGCAGGTGGTGGCAGCTTGGTCTGTATAACTGAGGGGACTGGGCTTCTAATAACGTATCATACACTGCCTAATTCAAATAATGTATCAGTCATCTGAGTTGACATACGACTCTTCCGTATGCAAAAATGTTGGTGGTGAGGTCAGACAAGCGAGGTTGGAGGATCGAGTGAGAGAGAGGAGCACCGATGGAGCACATGGGTGACTCAATTGATTAAGCAGACCTCGTCACGGAAGGCCGCGTCGTGGGTAGGCGAACAATGGACTCCATGAAACAATGCTGTGATCTGACGTTGTAAGCAATTACAATTACTGAGGTAGAAGTGCCGGATACAAGAAAGGATCGCCTTAGCTAACTGGTACCCATGCGGGGCTCTGTCGTCTAAAAGGCATAGTAATGAATCAATCGTGTTTCCATGAGTGCAATATTAACTTGAAAAAAGCATAACATCTGCTTTTGTCGCTGCTTCTTACTTTTCTCTCTCTCTCTGTATTGTTTTTGTCGTGTCACAGGCCCAGGGTTAGTCTTGCTTAACACATATGTCTTTAATAGTTCATGGCTTTTTCACAGCCTCTTTCCAGAAATGGGTATCTCAGACCATCATTCTGCCCTTCAAATCCCAATGACGCCGAAAGCCTCCTCAGAGCCATGGTCAACCCTAAACGCCTATCGCTAATGCACAAAGACCCTACCACCCACAGACCCAATCCATTCTCTTCACCCAATCGACCCGCTCACGGCCTCCGCGCCTTCATAATGCGCTCATCCAACAGCCCCAACAACCTATCCTTCTCCTCCTTCGCCTCATCCAGCTTCTCCTGCTCAGCGCGCAACTCGCGATCCAGCTCCGCCAAGCGGGCCAGCTGCTCCTGCTCGCTAAAGCCGATGCCAGGCAGCCGGTCGGCCAGGGCGTTGATGCGCGCCATGTTCATGATGATGTCGCTCGCGATTTCGTGCTGCGTGACGGCAAAGTTCGGATCCGGTGGCGGCGAGCGAGGGCGGTCGCCCGCAGCGCCGTTGTTGCCGGGCCCGTTTTCGGTTGCGCCGCCGGTGGAGGCGGAGGGGTTGTTGATGTCGCGATCGGCGTCGTGGGGTTGGCTGGGGATGTCGCCGTAGGGGTGGCGGGTGTGGGTATACATGAGGCCGGCGTACATTTGCTGGACGAGCTGGGAGGAGTGTGAGAAGTAGGTTTTGCGGAGGGGAGCGGGAATACGTACGATGTCGATCGCGTCTTGGAGTTGGGTGAGGATGTCCGACATGGTTGCGATGCGGAGTTTGTAGATGTTGAGTGGAGAGAAAGGGCGGCTTAAGCTTCGAGAGCGGCTAGCAGCAAGTAATTGTTGCGGTGACGTGAGGTGTTGAGGAGGAGTAGGTTGTGGATGCGCGGTGGGAAGCTCAAGCTTCAGCTCGGCAGATCGGCGTTTGTTCCTGGCCGCGGCTCCTCCGAGCACTTTTCTTCCATCACTTGCGTCATCGTACTCTACACCATCGTGGAGCCATTGGCGATTATAAGTCGCTCAAATCGCTGTAAATCACTCATGTACTAGCAGCTATGCTTGATTCATCATATTTCTCACCCTCAAATCCCCACAAACTTTCACGATGAGGCCGCTCCTCCTCCGATCTTTCAAACCGCCGCTCCTCCGGCCCATCTTCACACCCGTCCGCGCCGCCTCCAGGAAGAAATATGTCCCAGACGAGCCCACCATAGCTCCAGGATCCGAAAACCACCATGACCTTCCCTCCTTCCTCGCATACGCGGAGCGCGTCGAGCTCGCCCCCGACCGCACCGTCTACGTCGGCACGCACTACGAATATACCGTCGCCGCCACGCTCAAGCGGTTCGGGTTTCGCCTCACCCGCACCGGCCGCGCCTCCGACTTCGGTATCGACCTGCTAGGCACATGGACTCTGCCCATCTCCGACGGACATACAAAGAAGAAAAGGAAGGACGCTGATGCTCATGCTCTACGCGTCCTCGTACAGTGCAAAGCCAGCAACAAGATCCTCAATCCCAAGAACGTGCGCGAGCTCGAGGGTGCATTCACGGGCGCGCCCGCGCTGTGGCGCGAGGAAGACTTTCTGGGCTTGCTGGCAACGACACAGAAGGCGACGAAGGGCGTTATGGAGGCGCTCGGCCGCAGTCGTTGGCCGATGGGATTCTTGAAGGTGGATCCGGATGGGCGGGTGGAGCAGTTTTTGTGGAATGCAAGCGCGAAAGCGAGGGGGTTGGAAGGGCTGGGAGTCACGCTGAGGTATCTAGTGGACGAGAAGAGCGAAGATGGAGAGATTAAGGTTGACATAGCTTTGACGTGGCAAGGGAGGCCGCTACCGTACGTAGAGTTGGAAGAGGAGGCGGAGGCTTTGCCCACGTTGCAGATGAGATCTGCAGAACTGGAGGAGATGGTGTCTGAACCTGTATCAGAACCTGTTAAAGAAAGGCCAAAAAAGAAGAGGTCTGCAAAACTAGAGGAGGAAAATGTGTCCGAGCCTGAACCTGTGTCAGAGCACATGGAAGAAAAACCAAAAAGGAAGAGGATTGCGAAGCGGAAGGAGGAAAAGGCGTTTGAGCCTGAGCCTGAGCCTGTATCAGAGAACATCGAGGAGAAGCCGGAAAAGAAGAAGCGCGGCAGGCCAAGGAAGAAGAGGGAGGAGGAGGAAGCTTGAAGCGAGCGTATCTGTACGCGTGTACAACATTGTCCTATTTCTTGAGCATATTTAGCGCTAGACTATGTGCCTGTGCTTGCAGAGATACCCCATTTGAATCAATACTGCAAAAGTAGCGTAAGTCAATATATATGCCTGAGGCAAAAAGACGGCTAAGCATTAAGCGGGGCGGCGCGGCGCGCATCACGCGTCATCGCGTCTCCCTCGAACGCGGTTCGCCTCCGCAACCACCATGACCTGAAATGGCGACCATCAAGCCCATAGAGGGCCGCTCGGTAGGTCCCACGCGTCGCCTCACACCATCGATGCATCTACTGACTTGCGACACTTCAGATACATCAAATCCAGTCCGGGCAGGTTATCGTCGACCTTAACTCCGTCGTCAAAGAGCTTGTCGAAAACAGCTTAGATGCCGGAGCCACCTCAATAGGCAAGTCGCGGACAACACTGTCTGTGGATGTCGTGGGCTGACTTTCCGAGCCAGACGTGCGATTTAAAAACAATGGCCTTGACGCAATCGAGGTGCAGGACAATGGCCACGGCATTTCGCCGAATGATTACGAGACGATCGGTACGCTGACTGTCGGACGCGCTTCCTGCCGCTTGCTAATGTGCTGTGATAGCTTTGAAACATTACACCTCGAAACTTTCCACCTACAATGACCTTTCTTCTCTCCAAACCTTCGGCTTCCGCGGCGAAGCCCTGTCCTCGCTCTGCGCTCTCTCAAATTTCCACATACTTACTGCTCGCGCCAGCGATGGTCCGAAAGGCACCCGGCTTGATTTCGAGACCTCCGGCAAACTGAAAGGCACATCGGTTGCGGCGAGCCAGAAGGGAACAACCGTGGCTGTGGAGAACCTATTCTACAACCTGCCGGTCAGAAGAAGGGAACTCGAGAAAAATCTCAAGCGGGAATATGGAAAAGTGCTCGGCCTTCTGCATGCCTATGCATGCATCAGCGTCGGTGTGAGGTTCGCTGTGAGCAATCAGCCTACCAAAGGGTAATGGCAATATATCGCGAGTTTGATAAGGTGCTAACTGACTGCAGGAAGAAAATGGTCGTCTTCTCCACCAAAGCAAATCCCACTACGCGTGAGAATATTGCCAATGTCTACGGCGCGAAAACATTACTGGCTTTGATTCCCCTAGACCTGAAACTGGAAATGACACCAACTACTGTAGGGACACAAAGTGCGAAAAGCTGGAGTACCCAAGACGATCTGCAATCGAAAGAGGTCCGCATCGAAGGTCACATCTCCCGGCCCGTTGTTGGCGAAGGTAGACAGACTCCGGACCGTCAGATGTTTTTCGTCAACTCCAGACCATGTGCTTTGCCTCAAGTTTCCAAAGCCATCAATGAGGTTTATAAGTCTTACAATGTCACCCAATCCCCTTTCATCTTCGCAAACCTCGTCATGGACACCAATGCCTACGATGTTAATGTTTCGCCTGATAAGCGAACTATCCTGTTACACGACCAGATGGCCCTGCTGGAAGCATTGAAAGAAGCGCTGATTGCCCTGTTCGAAGAGCATGATCAGAGCGTTCCTCAGGCACAGCTGGGCGTGAAGAAACTTGGCCAGTTCAAGCCCTTGAGTCTATCCAGGCAACAATCCACGGCTCGAGAGTCTGAAAATAGAGAGGATGCTCCTGATCCTCGAAGTGAGGCTGATGATTCAAATGCCGGTTCGAGCTCGCCACGCACGCACCAAAATGACAGCGCTTCTGCCAGCTTGATACAGCAGTTCGTTGGCAGAGACGCAACAAGCCGAAGCCAGCTTCCGCCTGTTGATCAGACTCGGCGGAAAAGTGGGGAGACATCCAAGGATAAACAGGCGCTTGCCCAATTTCTGGCGAAAGGCAACGAAGGACCTGAGCCCCAGCCTCAAGAGGACGCGGATGACATGCAACTCGACTCTTCACCTCCGAGAACGCCGGTTCTACCCCGAGCAGTACAGGATTTCAATGATCGTATCGCAAGCCAAGAAGCCAAATCTCGCCACAAACAACTGCAGGAGCTATCCCCTGAGCGTGTTAATGACGAGGAACAAGAGCCGAGCATTGCAGTCATCAGGACTTCATCTCAGAAGAGCAACCCAGGCCCAGTTCAGAACGCCTTTGATCGGATGCGTCCGAAGCGCGCGCCAGCAGAAACAGCTACAATTACCATAGGCGACAAGACAACTACGATGAAAATCGGCACTCCTGAAGCAAAACGTCGAAGGATCCATACGCCGAAACATGGTCTGAATGGTGGCATGCTGCCTTCCCCAGGGAAAAAGTCTGGTTTTGTAAGCAGCCTCAAGCTTTTTGCAGCTCCGGGGACGCAAGTCGACGAAGAAAACGACGAGATATCAGATGACGCATCGAATGGCGAGGAGCAAGAAAAGCAAAATGACAGTGAAAGCGAAGAAGCGCAGAACTCTTCCTCTCCGGAAGGGGCTCAAGAAAGTGAAAGCGACGCTGAGATGGCAGAACCTGGAGACGATGCTGAAGACGAGGATGCCGAAGAAGCCGTTGGTGATGTATCAAAGGAGAGACTGTACGACTCCGAGCCTCGCAAAGAAGCCGGTGATAATGATGAGGGAAGCCGAGAAGATTTACCCCGCGCAGACTCTCCTCTCTTTGTGCAGCAAGATGAAGACGAGGATGAGGAATACTTGGACGAGGACGAAAAGAAGGCACGAGAGGACGCCCGCGTCGCTGAGATCATTGCGAAGGCTGAAGAGAACGCTGCGCGACCAACGCAGGACAACATCAAACGAGCTAATAATATCCTCAAAGGAAGCCTGAAGAAGACTTCGACACTGCAGCTGATTCAACATCTTGAGACGTCTGTCTCGCGCATTGAGCAGACTCTATCTCATCTGACCGAACAGCTTGAAGCTTGTGCAAAAGTGGCCGACGGGGACGCAGTGCTTCCGGATGGAAAGACTGATCAGACACCGGAGGAACGTCTATCCCTGACAGTCTCGAAGTCTGACTTCGGCCGCATGCGCATCATTGGACAGTTCAATCTCGGTTTCATCCTTGCCGTGCGTCCTGCTACCGACTATGCTTCACGGTCAACACCCAAGCCGACCTCCGCGCCAGCGCCGTCCGCAATTTCCAATGCAGACGAGCTGTTCATCATCGATCAGCACGCCTCAGACGAGAAAATCAACTTCGAACGCTTGAGCAACACCACCATCCTCGCACCCCAACGCCTCGTGCACCCACACCCACTCGACCTCACCGCCATTGAGGAGGAAATCATCCTCTCACACCCCTCCGCCTTCGCCGCCAATGGCTTCATGCTCACCACCGACACCAGCGGCGACAGTCCCGTCGGCCGCCGCTGCCGCCTGCTCGGTCTGCCCGTCAGCAAGGAAACCACCTTCGCCGTGTCCGACCTTGAGGAGCTGATCGCGCTACTGAACGAGTCGTCGCTGTCGCCAGAGAAGGAGAACAGCATTCCTCGCCCGGGGAAGGTGCGGAAGATGCTGGCGATGCGGGCGTGCAGGAGCAGCATCATGATCGGGAAGACTTTGACGAAGAGACAGATGGGGCGCGTGGTGGCGGAGATGGGTGAAATCGATAAGCCGTGGAACTGTCCGCATGGCAGGCCGACGATGCGGCATTTGGCGACTTTGGGGGATTGGGAAGGGTGGACGGAGGGGGATGGGGTTGTCGGGTTGGGAGAGGTGAAAAAGGAGAAGGGAACGGCGTGGGGTGCGTTCATGAAGGGTGAGAGGAAGGGGGTATAGTGATCGTGTAGGCACACAGGCATCGCTCGGTTGGTGTGGTGTAGGTACTTGTGGATAGGTGTTTATGTGAATATACTGGTATGAACATCTGTAATTGAATCAGGCAGTTGGGCTATCGACAGGTAACCCGCATTCTCGGATTATTGTAAAGAAAATGTATATTAGGTAACTAAGACTCTTTTCGGGTACTGGTGTATTGCATCCGGTCAGTGGCCTTCTTAGAGAATAAATTCTCATCTAAAACATCCACTTACAGATAAGGGAAGGAAGAAGAAAGTGCGTGAGTGAATGTAAAGGCGTGCTAGGGATATAGGAGAAATGCAGAGAAGATAGAACAAAGAGACGGAAATAGAGCGAGGGTGGGAAAATAGAAGGAGAGGATAGACTAGATGTAATACTTAGATGTGTTTTAAACACTTTTCACCTTTCTCATATTTCCTAAGCATAAGCTACCTCTTCCGTAACGTAAGGTTCATTCTCTTTTCCATCTGTCTATTATCTAAGGTCGTGGCTTTCTAAACGGAAAGTAAAGGAAAAACAAAGGCAAAGGCCGAGTAACCTTTCTTTTAGACACTTGCACCCCCCGTTGATTTAAGAAAAAATGGAATCAAGGGAAAAAGTAGTGGTATAAAGGACAAAAGTCATTTCGATTCGGGTATACTAAACGGGTTGGAAGATCTTGCATTGTTTGTGAGCACAAGGAAATTGACCGCTTGTCTCCCTTTAGCAAATGTATGTCACTCTTTAACAAAAACATTAGCTGGAGCGAGCTCAAGCCGCATATGCAGCAATTAAAGCCTCCAAATTCATTACATCAATTATACAAAGGTACCACGACGGCATTAACTGCCTTAAATTACCCACTTAGAACCATACTCAATCTCGAGAAAGCCATCATTGTTTACGTATAACCCCTATATCAAATGGCTAAACAATGCACAACACCCAGACATGTATACAAGACCATTGTTACAGCCGTTTTAGGACTATATCATCAGAAGGACTCGCTCCCGGCTGTCACTCGCTCATGATTCAAAAGCAATCCCGCCAGTTCACCACCACTTACCACCATCCAATTACACTGTGAGCAAAACACGGTAGAAGGACAACAGCGATCTTACGACCACGCCACAGCCATGGTCCAGGAACGTTACTTCGTTATCGGCTACCGCAAGGATGCTGCCCTTGGCGGAAGCTGCTCGCAATGCAGTGAGCAGTATCGCGAAGACTCCGAGCCGAACATCCCCATAACCCTGGTGGAGTGCGGCCAGGTCCTCTGCTTCCGCTGTGTTGAAGCTGTCCATTTGTGGCAGCTGAAGGAAACCCCGGACCGTTACTATTGCAACCACTGCAATGGTACTCACCATACCGGAGTCTACAACACGAACAAGCTGATCAGTGTTGACACGGAGTACGAGTGGCAGAACAAATTGATGCTCGTACACTTCTTCTTTGGCGACGAACCCAAGCCTCGTTCTTCTAAGTCCTCCACTTCAGACTCTTCCCTGGCCCGTCAACTCCACGGCCTCAGCATGGCTCACAGCACGTCTTCAAAGTAGATCTTCTATGAAAAGACATTGTAACGGCTATAGAGATGTAGTGGTGAGATAAAGTTTGACGATTTGAGTAGATATGATGATGAGCGATAACAGAAGTACTGTTGAGTCTGTCTACAAAGGAAGACAAAGGAAAAAATAGAGTCCTGTAGCCGAGATGCTTGATCAAATACAACTTTTTGCTGTAAGTTTCACCATAATTGACATAGCCCTGAGTTTCTAGCAAAGTACAGTAGAATATCGAGTTGAAATCGCCTTCAAATAATCATCTTCTCCTTCCCCATACTGTTATTACTCCATTCCTGACCGTTAGTGTTCTTCACCACCGCTTCTTCAATTTTCTCCTTCAAAAGCCTCCTTTCTGCTTCAACCACTTCCGTAGTGCTATTAAAAGCAATTAGTTCCTTCACTGGCTTCGTCCCCAAAGTCTGACACCTTCCTTTTTCGTACTCTTCCTTCCTCACACCCACCCCTCGCCCTCCCAGTACCGTGATCGGCGCCTGTAACAAGCCGATCGGCAATCCCACGAGGACAAAAAGCCTACCATTCCGCACGGACGGGCTGATCGGCGACTTACGTGGGCGAGGACATGTCCTCATCCGCGTCGTCGCGGGGCTGAAATGTACGCTGCGTCCCCCGCTCCCGCTGAGGCCGCGGAGGGAGCGACGTTGGGGAGAACCGCGGGCTGGCGGGGTCGTAGACTGCAGAAGAAGCAGCGCCGTGCGTGCGCCAAGGGGAAGTGAGGAGCGGGTCGGCGGGGTCGTAACGGGGGTTGGAGGGATCGCAATATGGGTACGTGGGCGAATAGCCCTGGCGGGCAAGGGAGTAGTCTTGGGTGGTTGGGAGCGGCAATTTGGGCGTTGGGAAATAGAGGGCCTGTAGCCGGCCGCGGTCGAGATCGGGCGGTGGGGATGGCGGCAGTCGGAAGGCGCTGGTGTTAGCGAGGTTGATAGAGGTGGCATAGGGAGTGCCAAGTTTCGTGGGTACGGTTGAAGTGGAGGGCTCATGTTTGTCTTCTGCGGTTTGGGTCTCTGGTGCAGGAGTGGCCGTGGAAGCTGCCCGGCTTTTGGTCATCTCAGGGGTGACAACCGTCTTCGTAGGAGTGCTCCTGGAACTAGCAGTTCGTTTGGAAGATTTGGAATTTAGACTCGTAGAGAGTCTAGAGGCTGCGACTGTTTTGGCCTTTCGAGGCGGGTTCTTGCGGGGAATTATGGCCATGTTGTCCTTCTCAGTCACGTTTGGACCAGGATGACGAGAGTTTCGAGAGCGCTGGACTTGAGCTTGGGCTACCAGTTAAATCGCTGAGAAAGTGAAGTGGTGGAGTGATTCTTTGTTCTGACGGATGATAAAAAGGTGTGCCGGAAAAGGTGATGATGCGCTCTTTGTACGGTAACCTACGTCCTGACAGTGCTTCATGCATCGCGTCTGGACTGTACTGATAAGAAATGAATGGGATTTCACGAAGCGTATTGCCTTTTTAAATGATGTTTATACCATCAAGCCCCAAGTTTGTCACTGTTAGCGGATTAGAACCATCAGAAGGCTTGGTTTGTCCCACAGTTTTTCCTTTATCACCCCGTGGAGGCAGGTGCACCAGAGCACGGTAGCCCAGATGAAGGCTTTGGAGAAGGAATTGGATGCCATTGCGGGTAGCAGACGCGTTGTGGATGTAAAGAAGGGCTCATGAAATTGTATGAACGGAACAGGTGGGTGACATTTATCATAAATAGCTGTAGTCGATTTTGTGCTACGTCTGTAACACCATGGTCGCACCCGTGCTGCTGAGCTGGAAGCGAGCTAATTTAGTATCTGCAGCTCGAAAGAGATTAGTGACATTGTTAATTTTCTCTTTTTTTTTTATACCGTAGCTGGCGATACGACTATTCAAAACCCCGGTTACCGATTGGTTTGCCGTGATAGGCTGGTTGCTTGTTCTCTTTTTCTACGTAGCAATCGCTACCACTCGCCTAGGAGGTCAGGCTACCCTCATGACTTTCCTTTTACGCGTTATATAGTCGTGTTACTTTTATGGTGACTTCATTGATAGGAATTATGGAGTGGGGTCCATCTCTGAACCTGAACTTGGCGCTCGCCTTGGGATCCACATCAACTTACCATAATTTTGGCTATGGCTAGCTCAAATGAGATAGAGGCAATATTCTCGCTCATTACAGAATAGTTGTATGTAGCGGATAGACGGTCGGGCCGGTCCGGAAAAGAACGCAATGATGTCTCAATCTTTACTTTTCGGAGAGCTTACATCGATAACTCCGCCCCCGTGCATGAGTCGGGGCCACAAATCCGTGTTTGACCGTGATTCTTGTCGCAAAAATAGTTTCTTTGGATTATTACAAGGGCGGTCGCGTACAAAGCTTGCATGAGCTGAGGTGAGCTGTTGCCTTGGCTGCTGTCAGCATAAGGCGGCATCGACCTCTCGGCGCCACCGCCCACTGAATTAGTACAAGCGTACGCTATCTTAAAATGTGGAGAAATCCGGGGTAAGTATCGATATCAAAAAGCATGACTGATGGCGAGCGTCGTTGATGTTGTCGCTCAGCACCACTTCACAAGCGAGAATTGCAGCGTGCGGCTAACAAGCGCAATCGGCGATCAGGAATGAACAAAGGTAGTCTGGCGTGCCTGGGTTCAGGGCAACAATAATGGGTAAATGCCAGTCCCGGAGCGGGCGAGGAATGCACATGGACGAGGCCGGTCGTGGAAAACAAACCGCGGCACTGGGCTGCACTTCCGGGACAGCAGCGCCCGGTGGGCAGTGTCACAGGCGCAGGGCTGGGTACAAACTTTTTTTCTGCAAACCCTGATCGCCGCTCGGAGTGGCTAGGCCCGCAGAAATTATTGCAGGGTGCTGGGAAAAACTTCAGGAACGGGAAGGTGGGCGACGGCCACCGCCACTGCGGCTAATCTCAGATTGCAAAGCGCAGGCATGAAAGACCGGCTTTTCGAATTGCGAGGCTGGAGAAGGCGCGAGCCGGCGACCACAGTACATAGGTACAGCAAGGGCGGTGGAAGATGTCGCAGGCCCGTCCGTCGGCCAGTGTGTTCTCGAAGGCTTCGATGCAGCTGCCGCTAACGGGAAGAGTCGGTGAAAGTGACGATAAGCGCAGCACCGCGGTTGGCTGGGCCGACTAGGGTCATGGCGAGCCAAGTAGCCTCGTTGGGCGGCGCCTGAGCCTTTCCGGCAGCCCTGACGGGGCACGATGTCGGCATACGCGCCGAAGCAAGACGGCTTGTGCTGGCTGCGGGGGATAAGGGATAAGACACACAGCCGTGGGGCGCTCCGTGTGCGCGGGAGGAGGGTGCAGCAGAGAAGAACACGTACTCAGCGAACGGTTGATAGCGTGGCAAAAATAGCAGGCTGAAACGCAGGCGCAGCGCAGCGTAGCCAGGGACGCAGAAGTACGGTCAGCGCTGCCCCAGGCCCCAGGCAGAGAGCAGCCGCGTGCGGCGAGCGAGCGACGGCCGAGGCGGGGGCACGGCGTGGGCTGAAGCGGCGAGATGCAGGCAGGCTTTGTGTCGCGGCAAAACTGGAGCATTGCACTCGTCGGGCTGCGAGGGCAACAGCGAATTGCGACGGCGGCGTTGAGAGTCGGTCGGCGGGCTGCACTGGACCGTGCGCTCAGATCCCTGCAACGCTTACATGCACAGGAAAGGATTTTTTGTGCTGATAGTACAAAAAGCGTCGCCCCCTCTGCGTCGCACCCACCCTCCGCAACTCCCTCCTCTCCCTCGTCCTCACCTTTTTCTCTTTTTGCTTCATAGAAGGGTCTTCAGCTGCGCGCCGCAGTTAGCAGACTCTCCGTGGCTTGCGTCTCGATCGCACTGTCGCGTCGCCACTAGATACCCGACCGCTAGATTTCGACTTTTTCACGGCCCCACCAGGCCTTAATATTAAAGCCGGCGACGCCCCCGACCTTCTCTCTCTCCAACCTTCGCACCTTTTTGTCAAAATGGCTCCCGCCGCTGCACACCCCACCGCCGGGCAGGTCAAGTCCGAGAACGCGAAGAGCGTCAAGGTCCTGGAGGAGCTCCTTGCGAAGCTCAGCGTCTCCAAGGAGCAGGATGAGATCCTCTCCACCTCCCACGACCTCGCCACCTTCATCAACGGCGACATTGAGGAGGGCGATGCCCCCACTCAGTAAGTCTCCGCTCTGCATCAATGCCCTCTTGCTGCCCTGCACCTGCTGACCCTCTCTCTAGGGCCGTCGCTCTGCTGAAGAAGCAGCTCTCCAACAAGAAGGATGCCAACGCCAGGGAACGCGCCCTCGATGCCATCAAGGCCATCGCCTCGCACTCGACCGTCTCTCCTGCCGTCGAGCCCTACCTCGTTGCCCTTCTGCCCGCCACTCTTGCCGCCATCGGCGACAAGATGGTCCCCGTCAAGAACGCTGCCCAGGCTGCTGCCCAGGCCATTGTCGAGGCCACCAACGCCAACGCCGTCAAGGCCGTCATCCCCGCCATCATCGACTCCCTCCACACTGCCCAGAAGTGGCCCGAAAAGATGACCGACCTGCAGTGCATTGAGATCCTCGCCGAGAGGTCCCGCGCTCAGCTGGGCTACCGCGTCCCCGAGCTCATCCCCGTCGTCTCCGAGGCCATGTGGGACACCAAGGCTGAGGTCAAGAAGGCTGCCTACGGCACCATGGAGAAGCTCTGCGAGCTCATCTCCAACAAGGATATCGAGCGCTTCATTCCGGAGCTGATCAAGTGTATCGCCAAGCCTGAGAACGTCCCCGAGACCGTTCACTTGCTCGGTGCCACCACCTTCGTCTCCGACGTCCACGAGCCTACCCTCGCCATCATGGTCCCTCTGCTTGAGCGTGGTCTTGTCGAGCGTGAGACTGCCATCAAGCGTAAGTCGGCCGTCATCATCGACAACATGTGCAAGCTTGTCGAGGACCCCAACATCGTCGCCTCCTTCTTGCCCCGCCTGTACCCGGCTCTCAAGAAGAACTACGACACTCTCGCCGACCCTGAGGCCCGTGAGAAGACCAAGCAGGCCATCGACACCCTGTGCCGTGTTGGTAACATCGTCGATGACAAGCTTCCCGAGCGCTCCCGTGCCGGTGACGTCTCCACCATCCTCCCCGTCCTCAAGAGCGTCCTCGGCGACAAGGGCAACAACGCCAAGTTCGAGCCCATCTACGAGTACATTGCCGCCATTGCCGGTCAGCTCATCGACGAGAAGGAGCAGGAGTCCGCTGTCTGGGCTGCCAACGCCACTGCCTACTTCAACGCCATCGTTGGTGAGGAGAAGGCCAAGGACGTCGCCGATAGCCTCCGCAAGAAGACTCTTCCCGGCTTCACTGAGGCTGATGAGGTTCCTTCTGACGAGGAGGAGGGTGAGGACCTGTGCAACTGCACTTTCTCCCTGGCCTACGGTGCCAAGATCCTGCTCAACCAGACTCACCTTCGTCTGAAGCGTGGTCAGCGTTACGGTCTGCTCGGCCCCAACGGTTCCGGCAAGACCACCCTGATGCGCGCCATCAACAACGAGCAGCTTGAGGGTTTCCCCAAGCAGTCCGAGGTCAAGACCGTCTACGTCGAGCACGACCTTGACTCCGCCGACACTGAGCAGACTGTCATTGGCTGGACCATGAAGAAGCTCGAGTCCGCTGGTGTCACCAAGCCCCAGCCTGAGGTCGAGAACACCCTCGAGGAGTTCGGCTTCGTTCGCAGCCAGCTCGATGGCCCCATCACCGCCCTCTCTGGTGGTTGGAAGATGAAGCTGGCTCTTGCCCGTGCCGTCTTCGAGGAGCCCGATATTCTTCTGCTTGACGAGCCCACCAACCACTTGGACGTCAAGAACGTTGCTTGGCTCGAGAACTACCTCACCACCTCCCCTTGCACCTCCATCATCATCTCCCACGACTCCAAGTTCTTGGACAACGTCATCCAGCACGTTATCCACTACGAGCGCTTCAAGCTCAAGCGTTACCGTGGTAACCTCTCTGAGTTCGTCAAGAGGGTTCCCTCTGCCAAGTCTTACTACGAGCTCGGTGCCTCCGAGATGGAGTTCAAGTTCCCTGAGCCCGGTTTCCTCGAGGGTGTCAAGACCAAGGCCAAGGCTATTGTCCGTGTCAGCAACATGACCTTCCAGTACCCCGGTACCTCCAAGCCCCAGATCTCCGACATCACCTTCCAGTGCTCTCTCGGCTCCCGTATTGCCGTCATTGGTCCCAACGGTGCTGGCAAGTCTACTCTCGTCAACGTTCTGACTGGTGAGCTCATCCCCACTTCGGGTGATGTCTACCACCACGAGAACATCCGTATTGCCTACATCAAGCAGCACGCCTTCGCCCACATCGACCACCACTTGGACAGCACTCCCTCCGAGTACATCCAGTGGCGTTTCCAGACTGGTGAGGACCGTGAGACCATGGACCGTGCCAACAAGCAGATCACCGAGGATGATGAGAAGGCCATGGACAAGATCTTCAAGATCGAGGGTACTCAGCGCAAGGTCATCGGCATCCACTCCCGCAGAAAGTTCAAGAACAGCTACGAGTACGAGTGCTCGTTCGCTCTCGGCGAGAACGTCGGCATGAAGAACGAGCGCTGGACTCCCATGATGACTGCTGACAACGCCTGGATCCCCCGTAACGAGATCATTGCCTCTCACTCCAAGATGGTCGCCGAGGTTGACCAGAAGGAGGCTCTTGCCAGCGGTCAGTTCCGTCCTCTGGTCCGTAAGGAGATTGAGGCCCACTGCGCCAACTTCGGTCTGGACGCTGAGCTCGTCTCCCACTCCCGCATGCGCGGTCTGTCCGGTGGTCAGCGTGTCAAGGTCGTCCTTGCCGCTTGCTCGTGGCAGCGTCCCCACTTGATCGTCCTTGACGAGCCCACCAACTACCTTGACCGTGACTCTCTTGGTGCTCTGTCCAAGGCCATCAAGTCTTTCGAGGGTGGTGTCATCATCATTACTCACTCTGCTGAGTTCACCAAGGACCTCACTGAGGAAGTCTGGGCTGTCATGGACGGCAAGATGACTCCTTCCGGCCACAACTGGGTGACTGGTCAGGGCTCTGGTCCTCGTCTGGCCGAGAAGGGCGATGAGGAGGACAAGTTCGACGCCATGGGTAACAAGATTGAGGGCACCAAGAAGAAGGTCAAGCTTTCTTCTTCTGAGCTCCGCAAGAAGAAGAAGGAGAGGTACGTTTACCCTTTATCAGTTTTGTTCACGATCAAGATGCTAACATACTTTGTAGGATGGCCCGCCGCAAGCGTGGTGAGGAGGTCTTCTCTGACGAGGACGAGTAGATTCGTGCATGAAGGGTTCTGCGAATCTTCTTCGTGCTTTTTCTTCTTGTTTTTTCAGCGATTCCCTGATGTGGACGATCAAAAAAGCATAATGGTGATGGTTTGTCTAGATGCCGGCTAAACACGTATCAAAATGATGTGTGGTGCTTGGCTGGGGTTGGGTTCGGCGTCTTTTCTTTCTCATGTTGATTATGGTGGATTAGAGTCATGGCTTATGATTTCCCACTACTGCGATCATGATGCGCACAAAGCAGCATCTGCTTGGCAGATTAGACATAGATCTTGCTGCTTCGAAAAAAATTGAAGACCCTTGAAAGTTCAATTCCTGTCAAGTTTGCCGTGACCTCTGCTCTTCCTCGAACCGATGGCGCGGGGATGCATCACGTGAGTGGCAAGCCACTTGGACTAGTCAACCATTCAACGTCAATTCTCTCAGCTCTTACATCACTCCTGATGTGGCAACACGGTCCACAATCGAGCTTCGGGTTACGTGTGCCAATGGTAGGAGATTATATCGATTGGACGGAGAGTGACGTACCGGTAGTCCACTTGGTATAGAGGTGAGGCATCATGGTATACTGTTGACAATCAGTCACAAGGGTCCGGCCTTAGCCTCAATTGTGTTTTTTGAAGCATCATTAATGCTTGCTACCTACTTTATGGTGATTTGAAGACTCATGGCAATGCCTTTCCAGCATCTGTGGTTTCCGCAAGGCAATTCGAAGAAGAAACATGTTACTTGCTATTACAGCTCGGCTTCGTCAGGTTTCATGCTAGGACCAAGGAAAGAAATAACTGCTGTCATGAAGTAGTGCAAAAGGCGCAGGCGTTCCCCGGATTGATGGATCTTCTTGCTCATATCATTAGGGATAAACAATTGTTATCAGACACGACGATGAACGGACAAGACTATCCATAGCAATTTGTTTGTGAGTTACTATTTCGCCAGCAGAGGCCAGAATGCTGTTGCCTGCATTGAATGTGATTGCTACTGCATATGCCGTGTGACGCGATTTAAGCCACCGATGGATACTTGCAGGTGCATTTCATGAGCAGGGTACGTGATCAGCACGGCAACGTTCGCCATTTGTTTCACGACAGGCGACAAGCAAACATTACGGGCTGGGTCTACCCGCGTCCATGCACATGTTGTACGCCGAGTGCAAACAAAGGTGCCTGCCTCTGCTGAACGAGCGGCAGCGTAGGGTTGTCATCATGATCTTATCCATTCGTGAGGGTATCTAAAGTATGCAGTACGCCTCCCACACGATCCCATCTGCGTGTACAGACCTATTCAGGCTGTTTATCTACATCGCAGCGCGGTATCATTTCTTTCGACAGCGAGCAAAGCAACGCAGTCTACTGGGTCTTGACTACCTGATCGGCCTCGACGGTGACGTGCTCGTTCGTCGCAAGCGAGTGGACGGTGCCCTCGGGGAACTCGGCACTGTGATGGATGGCTCTGTCAGTGGCACGGACAACCATGTATTTGGGCAACGGCGTGATGGTTATCTTGCGATTGTAGTGATGGGAAATGCAGGCGGGTATCTTGTCTCCGGGGCTGGAGGGTGGGGTAGTCGTACGTGAAGCCCTTGATCAGCTTGAACTCGTGGGTGACCTTGCCGCCCTGGTCCTGAACGGACTTCTTGGCGCTGTGTCGGGAATCAGCGGTTGTTCGTGAGAGGAGATGGTGGGAGCCTTACTTGTCCAGCTCCTCGGCGCTGGCGCCTTCCTTGAGGGTGACCTGACCTAATGTTAGCAACAACAACGGCGACCAAGCAGCAGTAGTCAAGTTCATACGTTGATGGCAGGCATTCTGGCAGTTGCGGTCGTGTATCGACGAAGTGTTCTGAGGATCAGGGTTGTGATGAGTTGAAGATGGGCGAGTGTGGTGATGATGGGGAAGAGAGTTTAAGGTGAGCGAACAGGCTTATGTATCACGCTGCCCCTCCCCCTCCACACAATCAAGGCCGCTGCTAGGCGCCGCTCGATGACGTGCGTTGGCCTGGCTGCGGAGCCAGCGATAACGTGGCGGTCAGCTGGGCGCGGCCAAACGCCTCATGTTCGGCGGCTGAGACGCAGGGTATTGGCTATCGTATCACTACTGCCTGCTAATCCGTATGAATCGTTGTAAGCGCGAGTTCCCCGCAGGCGGTGCTGAGCACGACCCTGAAAGAGCGACGCCAACTGAGCAGTGCAATGAGGGGCAGCGAGTCCCGCCGAACGTCGGCGACTCGGCGACTGTCTTATCGATAACGGCCACACTTGCCTTTCAGGGACTAGCGCAGACGTGTTGCGCCAAAATTCTCTGGGAGCTGTCGCGACTTTTTCGATCGCCGTGAGGTTCGCAGCGCAACAACCATGTCCGAGCAGACGAACAAGCCTCATCGCGCGGGCAAGGAGAAGAAGAAGCCGACGGGGGGTATGTTTAGGCAATCTTATGGCACTGGAACGCCGGTCTGACCGCAATACACAGGGACAAACCCTAAGGCCTTCGCCTTCGCCAACCCGGGAAAGCTGCAGAAGCAGGCCGCACGCTCTCACGATGTAAGCACCTCAGGCTTGCGACGTTATATCCAGATACTGACCCCGTTGTAGGTCAAAGAGAAGCGCCTTCATGTTCCCATGGTGGACCGCCTCCCTGAGGAGGCACCGCCTATTATCGTCGCAGTTGTCGGGCCCCCAGGAGTATGTACACCAATGCGCCGCCGGGACAGTGGAACAAATCACTAATTCTTTTGTGCAGGTTGGCAAGTCGACCCTGATCAAGTCTCTCATCCGTCGCTACACGAAGCAAACGCTGTCGCATCCCACCGGCCCTCTGACCGTCGTTACCTCCAAGCGCCGCCGTCTTACTTTCATCGAAACCCCTGCAGATTCTCTCGCCGCAATGATTGATATTGCCAAGGTTGTGGATATTGTGTTGCTTATGATCGATGGAAACTACGGCTTCGAGATGGAAACCATGGAGTTTTTGAACGTGCTGAGCGCCACCGGCATGCCTGGAAATGTCTTCGGCATCCTGACCCACTTGGATCTGTTCAAGAAGCAGTCCGCGCTCAGCATCCAGAAAAAGAGGTTGAAACACCGCTTCTGGAGCGAGCTGTACCAGGGCGCGAAGCTGTTCTACCTCTCTGGCGTGGTTAATGGAAGATACCCGGACCGCGAGGTTCTCAATCTGTCGAGATTTTTGTCCGTCATGAAGAATCCGAGACCGCTCGTGTGGAGGAACTCCCATCCCTACTGCTTAGCCGACCGCTTCCTCGACATCACCCCGCCGACCGACATGGAGGAGGATCCAAAGTGCGATAGAACTGTCGCATTATACGGTTACCTGAGAGGCACGAACTTCCCAGCTCAAGGCGCCAGAGTACACGTGCCCGGTGTGGGGGACCTGAACGTGTCGATGATTGAGCCATTGCCGGACCCATGCCCTACGCCGTTCCAGGAGAAGGCTGCTGAGAAAGCTACCGGAAAGTCGAAGAGCAGGAGACTGGGCGAGAAGCAGAAGGTCCTCTTTGCTCCCATGTCCGACGTTGGTGGTGTTTTGGTCGACAAAGATGCCGTCTACATTGATGTCAAGAAACCAACATTCAACAAGGATCAAGAGGATGAAGAGCGGGGGTTGGGCGAACAGCTTGTCGTCGGACTACAGGGTGAGAGAAGACTCCTAGGCGAAGCCGACAAGGGTCTCAAGCTCTTCAGCAATGGCGAAGCGATCAGCAAAAATGCGGCAGAGGATGATTCGAACGACAAGGGGCGAACCAGTCAGCGCCACGCTCGTCTGGCGAGTAAAGTCGAGGAGGAGGACGAGTATGGAAGTGAGGACGAAGATGATGAGGACGAGGAGATGCTCGAAAGTGGCGAAGAGGATGAAGAGGACGACACAGGATATCTGGAGGAAAGCCGGCTGGGCCGTGCGTTCCGCAACGAGGATGATAAAGCCGCGAATGGGAATGGCGAAGATGACATTGCGTTCGCTGATAGCGATTCAGACCTCGGATCCATCTCCTCTGTCGAAGACCAAGAACTCGAAGATCCTGATGATCTTAGCGACGAGGACGAAGAGGAAGAAGATTCCTCAGACGACGAAGGCGCTCTGAAGTGGAAGGATAACCTTGCAGAGAATGCACGGAAAGCCCATGGCAGAAAACGACCTTACCGCACCACCGAGCTCGCGCGTTTAATGTATAATGACACCATGTCTCCCACAGAAGTGTTGAAGACATGGCGAGGAGAGCAGCAAGATGAAGATGCCGAGGAGCAAGATCCTGACGAGTTTTTCAAAGCTGTGAAGAACAACTCCGCCGCAGACAGCGAAGACCGTGCCATTCCAGAGTACGACTACAAAGCTCTGGAAGAGAAGTGGACCGATGAGGACAACTTGGAAGCTCTGAGGCGGAGATTTGCATCAACTCGACTTGGAAAAGACGGTGATGAAGATGAAGGTTCAGATGACGAGTTCGAAGGTATCGAAGACGACGATGAGGGCGACGGCGCCTTCGAAGACCTCGAGACTGGAGAAGTCGTAGGTGGCAAGGACAGTGAAGAGGACGAGGAGGCTAAGATGCAAGAGGAGCGTGACAAGAACGCGCGAAAGAAGGAAGAACTCAGACTCAGATTCGAAGAGGAAGACCGCGCCGGCTTCGCCAACGACAAAACCAACGAGCGGGCAGAGGGCGGTGAAGACGAGGAATTCGGCGAGGATGACTGGTATGATGCGCAGAAGGCTGCTATTCAGAAGCAACTGGACATCAACCGCGCCGAGTTTGAGCAATTGGACAACCAGTCACGAGTTCGTGTCGAGGGTTACAAAGCAGGCACATACGCTCGTATTGTGCTTGAGAACGTACCCTATGAGTTCTCCGCCAACTTCAATCCGCGCTTCCCAATCATCATCGGTGGTCTTACGCCCACTGAGGACCGCTTCGGGTATCTTCAGGTGCGCATCAAGCGTCACCGTTGGCACAAGAAGATCCTCAAGACGAACGATCCTCTGATTTTCTCTCTGGGTTGGAGAAGATTCCAAAGTTTACCCGTCTACAGCATCTCAGATTCGCGAGTGCGCAACCGTATGCTCAAATACACCCCTGAGCACATGCACTGCTTTGGTACGTTCTACGGGCCGCTGATTGCACCAAATACCGGTTTCTGTTGCGTGCAAAGCTTTTCCAACAAGAACCCGGGATTCCGAATCGCCGCGACCGGAGTAGTTTTGAATGTCGACGAGAGCTTCGAGATTGTCAAGAAGCTCAAGCTTACTGGTCACCCTTACAAGATTTTCAAGAACACGGCTTTCATCAAAGACATGTTCGGCTCGACGTTGGAAATCGCAAAGTTCGAGGGAGCCAGCATCAAGACTGTGTCTGGCATTCGTGGTCAGATCAAGAGGGCGCTCAGCAAGCCAGAGGGTTGCTTCCGTGCCACATTCGAAGACAAAGTGCTCATGAGCGACATTGTCTTCCTTAGGGCGTGGTACCCTGTCAAGCCGCACAAGTTCTACAACGCAGTCACTAACCTGCTGGACCTCCCCGGCGCAGAGGATGGTGAGGACAGTGGTTGGAAGGGCATGCGTCTTACCGGAGAGGTGCGCCGGGCAGAGGGCATCGAGACGCCAAAGGAGAAGAACTCGGCCTACCGCAAGATTGAGCGTGCGGAACGTCACTTCAACCCTCTTAGAGTGCCGAAGAAGCTCGCTGCGGACCTGCCTTTCTCATCACAGCCGGTGCGGATGCAGAAGCAGAAGAAGGAAACGTACATGCAGAAGCGTGCCGTTGTGGCTGGCAAGGAGGAGAGGGTTGCCAGGAACCTCATGCAGCAGGTCATGACATTGCGGAACGAGAAGGTGGCGAAGCGGAGAGAGGCGCAGGAGAAGAGAAAGGAAGGCTACCGGAGGAAGGTGGCTGAGAACCAGGAGAAGAGGGCCGAGCGCGAGAAGCGCGAGAAGGCAGAGTTTTGGCAGAAAGAAGGACGCAAGAGAAAGGCACAAGAGGCGGCGGCCAACCGTGGCGGGAAGAGAAGAAAGTGAGCAGTCGCATTTTCTAGTGGTCTTATTTTTCTTCGCAGATCGATCTGGGCGAGCTCGTGGTTATCGGGGGCGGTTACGTGCATGGAGGCGTGAGCTCGTTCTTGCAAACAGGCATTTCCCGGCGTTCATTGGGGGCGGCAGGGATTCTACCCGAGATCTAGAGTTGCTTTTTCCTTATGCACATCATCAAAAAAGCGGACTGCAGCGGTGGGCCGTGTAGCGGGTAGCAGGCAATATGAGGGCTTCATTTGACACGAGCAGACGCGCCTCGCGCACGAGCACCTTGTGGGCGCGGTGTTTATCGCGGCGGCGGCGCGCGGCTACACGCCCGGCGAAGCGGGCGCTCGAGGCACATGAACACGCGGAGACCGCGTCTCGCGCCGCCCATCCAACACTCTCACCGTTCTTTGTTGCCCACGAGACACCAGACGCTTGCATCGCAGCACGCGTTACGACTGCATTCTCGAGTTCTCGTCGCTTTTGCCCGGATTTTTGACTGCGCTGCGTGGGAAGACCGCCCGCTCGCACCCCGGTCTCGTGCTCCCGTCTCTCGTCAACACGCGTCAGGCGGGTCAGCTGGGATCAGCGACAACGCCGCAAGCCCCAAGCATTGTGTCATCCGCCATCGACAGGAGCTGCGCAAAGACGTCCCAGGATCGCGTCTCCGGAGCCTCTTCATACTGCGCCCGCCCGCCGCCGACCGCCATGGAGACATTGGCATCTGTCGCGCCTGACGCGGCCATTTCGCCGATCGCGTCTCCGGATATCCATACTGCGCCCGACCGCCGAGCACGAGCTCACCCCGCCGTCCACAGTGAGTAGGACATCGCGTTGACTATCGCGCTGAACGAGACGCCCGACTGATGCGCGACGCAGCGAGCCATCGCGATGCCGATCGCAAGCCCATAAACGCGACTATCACCACCGCCGACGTGAACGTGCTGCCCGCGTCACAGGAGTCTAACGTCTCCGCCTCCAGCAGCGCCAGCTACGCACCAGCTCTGCTCTCCTCCCAGAGCAATGTCTCCACCGAATCAGTCGTCGACACGGAGTTGACCTCGCCTGCGACCTCGAATGTCTCCAGCCAGTGCCAACCCTTCAACCAGGCAGCCCCGGCCCCCGCCAATCAGGAGGATGTCCGGCCACCACCCAGAGCAGTCACCCCTCAGCCAGCACCGAATATGAGCGAAAAGCCTCAGAATACATCCTCCGCGAGCCCCATGACTGTCGACACCCCTACAATATCACAAGGAACGAAACGAACAGCAAGCGGCGCGGTGAAACTCCCCAGCAGCAGTGCCGGCCTGACTGCCACGGGGCTCTGCACCAGCGAGAACCCCGTGAGCACCAACGCGTTAGCAAGCTTGAGCAGGATAGGAAAGGTGAGAATACGACGCGACGCGGACGCGTCCTTAAAGCAGCTATTGACTGTTTGGCGTTCTACAGCTGTCAGCGGACTTGAAGACGCGTCTTTCCTATGCCATGATCAAGGTGCAGAACGGGTGGGAGCAAAAGTCTATTGATGAGCTGGAGACGGCGACCACGTCACAGAGGACGTCGCGGTCGGCCACTCAGACACCTACCTCGGCAAAGTTCAGGAATGCGACAGACTCTCCCCATGCGTATGATCGACGCAGACGCCCAAGCGCACTGTCTGACCCGTCAGATCGGTATCTGGGAACACCAGGCGCGCAACGGAGCCCATCAAAGATCCGGACGTTTGGTCCAACTGGTAAGGTCGATCCTTGGCTTACATTTTCAGAATCTTCTCTGACTTATCAACTTCTTCCATCCAGACTTTGGCCGTGTGGATCCAACTGATGAGGATGCACGACCCTCCACGGCTTCCACCTTCAGCAGCTCCGCATCGTCAGCTCCGACCTTGGCGCCAGCATTAGACATCAGTCCCAAGCGACATCGCCGCTCGACATCGACTCGTGCTCCACCCATGCTCGGGTCTCAGCCCAAAGTGCAGATCACGAAACCTTTCACCGACGTCGGTGCACCAGCAACGCCTATGCCCGGCAAGCCTCAGCGGCCGGTGGGCATCCTCCGCATGCCCAGCCAGCAGGCGGAGATGGACGCCGTCGATTCGTTGCTTTTCATGAGCAGTCCCAACAACTCAGCCCATCTCGCGCACACCAGCGCGAGTGCAACCTCGACGGCACACCCCAGCCCGCTCAAGACGGAGTTCCCGGCTGCGAAGAGAGTTGCGTTCGACGATCGGAGTAGCAGCAGCAACAGCAGCGAGACGGAGCGCGAGATGAGCTCGGGCCGAGCGCGAGTCGTGCAGGCGGCGAGTTCGGAGGCACGAGAGCGGGTCGTGGCGCTTGGCGGGCAAGCCTAGATCAGGGAGAGTGGATGATTGTTGTTGAGAGAACAGTTGGATGAAACGTCAGTATCGTAACGTTGAGATTTGCTAACCATTTAGTCTATGAAAAGGGGGGATGGGCTATTCTTGATGGGGTGGGTAGGGTTGGTGGGAAGCTTTTGGCCGATCATGAGCAAAGCAGGCGTTTGGGTGATACCCATCTGCGTGTGATGGCATATTTCATTTGGTTGGGAACACACTGGCTCGCTTTTGGCACTGGATATCTGGGTTCCAGAGCGGCGCGAAGGAGTTGAGTGATTTGATTTGCATAGCGGACATGGCGGCGGGCTACGTGTTGCATCACCTTTTTTGCATCTCGGGTCGCTTTCTGTTCTTGTTTTCTCATTTGGGTCTGTTTTTCCTAAAGGTACCGCACCTTGTTGAATGCTCGCATCAGAAGCATGCAATGCTTGTTGCTGGACTTCCTCCTGGAGGAGGGAATGGGTAAAGGAAATAGGCAGGGGAGGGAGTATAGGCGTTGGCAGATAGATCTCAGGGTCCATCAACTGGGACGTTGGGGTGTACATAACGAATATGATGACACATCAACTACTACATGGATATTTGCTATTATCACCCGTTTACGGTAGTTTCACCTTCCCTGAATTAGGTGGGGGGAGTGCGCGTGGAGCCGGTTAGGGATCATAGGCGGAGCTTTCTAGGCTGAAAATTTCTCGGAAGGTACGTGCACACCGGCCCGGTGATACGTCAAGGCTGAGTTGCATACTTGATTGTGCCGTGCCGAGTCCGATCACGGGTTGCATGGTATTGTATCACGGTGAGAAGACTTGGGGCGTTCATATGAACGGCAGTGTACTTTTACTACAGGGAAAGTATCTACAACTGGGTCCGGATAGGAGCTTCAACTGAGTCCCGTGGCGAGCATAGTATTGGAACGATGATTCTTTCTGATGAAAACAGAGAACAAGTGTTCCGTTTCGCTCTCCAAACGGCGGCACTAGATGTGGTGGCATGCAATTCTTGGCTCCGCCGATACTTGCTTGTTCAGCGCTGACCAGAATTGGGCTCCGCGCGGCGGACATTGGACCCTGCGGAGGTCGCGTAGGGCGGCAAGAACTGGGACCGCTTGAACAATGCTGACGGTGGGGGGCGAATGTGGTCAGCTGGGATGTTGGAATTGTGATACCAGCAAGTTCCGTGGGGCCTCTGACTTCAGGGGAGGAGGGAGGACTGGGTGTTGGCGCGGCGCCTTACGAGTCGCAAGGCCACGAGGCGCCGGCGCTAGTGACCGATGGGGTCACAAGCGCTCTGCAGTGAGGCTCATCGGGAGCCGGCCCGGGCGCAGGTGGTTCGACATCAATCGCGTTTCTGGAGAACTGGAGAACTGGAGGGCGTGGAGGCGGCCGGGTTCCACGAGAAAACCAGAAGGGAAGCTTGACGTTCTGTTGAATTCGGCTGGCGGCTGGATTGGTCAACGGCAGCACTCATTGGCAGGCGCGAGATGCACGCGCAACGCGTTCTGGAAGCGGCCGGCAGCGCTCGGACTAAGCGGCGGGAACTCGGCGGGATGCGGCGATGTGATATCATACCACCGCGGCCAAATCTTCGCGCCATGCCCCTCGTTTGTTATGCTCCCGCGCTATCGCCCTCCAATTCCTGTGCCGCAGTGCATTGGAGCTCTTCTGGACCAATCCCGGCCGCACCCCGGCCTGCGGCCCCGGAATCCTGATCAATCGCCTAAGGGCTTGTGGGGTCGTCGCGCGCACATTTAGTCTTGTCGCACCCAAGCTCCACATCTTCCATTCCTCCGTCCGAGGAAATTGTCATAGCTTCTGGTCGCAGCTCATCTCCCGCCACGACTCTTGCTTTCTTTTTCCCCCTCCTCCGCACATTTCGCGTCCTTTCAATTGCTCGTCTCCCCGCTCTCCACTCTCCGTTTCTTCTTATCCCGCGTCTTTCCTTTCCGTCCCTTCCGCGGCGTGATTTCAGCAACAATGGCAGCCTCCGCACTTCTTAGGAGCAGAGTCAGGCGGCCGTCCTACCTGCAGAAGCTCGCAAAGGCCGAGGACCTCATCGACCTGTTCCCTCACAACTCGTACATCGGCTGGTCCGGCTTCACCGGCGTTGGCTACCCCAAGTAAGCTCCCCCCACCCAGCGACTGCATCTTATCCTCCCGCACTCCAATCCCGCCATTGGCGCACCAGTTGCTCACAGCCTGCCACAGGAAGGTTCCTACGGCTTTGGCCGACCACGTTGAGAAGAATGGCCTCGAGGGCAAGCTCAAGTACAACCTGTTCGTTGGCGCGTCGTCTGGCGCGGAGACGGAGAACCGGTGGGCGCGGCTTAACATGATTGAGCGCCGCAGCCCTCACCAGGTCGGCAAGGAGATCGCCAAGGGCATCAACAACGGCAACATCAACTTTTTCGACAAGCATTTGTCCATGTTCCCCGTCGACCTGATGTACGGCTACTACACGCTCAACAAGCCGAACAACAAGCTGGATGTGACCATCGTCGAGGCTTCGGCCATCACTGAGGACGGTGGCATCATCCCCGGTGCTAGCGTGGGCGCCAGCCCTGAACTGATCCAGATGGCCGACAAGATCATCATCGAAGTTAACACTGCTGCGCCCTCGTTCGAAGGCCTGCACGACATCACCATGACCGATCTGCCGCCGCGCCGCAAGCCCTACCTGATCATGGCCCCCGAGGACCGCATCGGTACGCCTCACATCCCTGTTGACCCGGAAAAGGTTGTCGCTATCGTCGAGTCCGACTACCCCGACCAGACCCAACCCAACTCGCCTGAGGACGAGAGCTCCCGCAAGATTGCCCAGCACTTGATTGAGTTCCTCAAGCACGAGGTCAACCACGGCAGGCTGCCCCAGAACCTCCTGCCCATCCAGTCGGGTATCGGTAACATTGCCAACGCTGTCGTTGGTGGTCTTTCTGTAAGTTTCCCAATTTGAAACCTGAGAATTCAAGGGTTAGAAGAGAAGAGGAAAGACAAAAACTAACAGATAAAACAGTCCGGTGGTGCAGACTTCAAGAACCTGAAGGTCTGGACCGAGGTGCTTCAGGACTCTTTCCTCGATCTCTTCGACAGCGGCAATCTGGACTTCGCGACGGCCACTTCGATCCGCTTCTCGCCCGATGGCTTCAAGCGCTTCTACGATAACTGGGAGCGTTACGCGCCTAAGCTGCTGCTGCGCTCGCAGCAGGTGTCCAACTCGCCCGAGATCATCCGTCGCCTGGGCGTCATTGGCATGAACACGCCGGTCGAAGTCGACATCTACGCGCACGCCAACTCGACGTGCGTCATGGGCAGCCGTATGCTGAATGGCCTCGGCGGCTCGGCCGACTTCCTGCGCAGCGCCAAGTACTCGATCATGCACACTCCCAGCACTCGTCCCAGCAAGACCGACCCCACTGGTGTCAGCTGCATCGTCCCCATGTGCACGCACGTTGACCAGACCGAGCACGACCTGGATGTCGTTGTCACTGAGCAGGTACGACATACACATACCCCTTCCCCAAGGCACAATAGGACAGCAAAACTAACATAATTCTCAATAGGGTCTCGCCGACGTCCGCGGCCTGTCGCCCAAGGAGCGTGCGCGCGTCATCATCGAGAAGTGCTCGCACCCTGACTACAAGCCGATCCTGCAGGACTACTTTGCCAAGGCCGAGTACGAGTGCCTACGCAAGGGCATGGGCCACGAGCCGCACCTGCTGTTCCAGGCCTTCAACATGCACAAGAACCTCCAGGAGAACGGCACGATGAAGATCAAGAGCTGGGACTAAGCGACTATTTAGAGAGAAAAGGAAATAAAAGTAGGGGATATACGTTGTTGTGATTCTTTTGCATAGGGATGGCGAATTTTTGAAATGGATATACACCTGTTAATCGTGTGTAGGGTAGATCTTTTGGGAATGATTGATGGCTTTCCTTTTTGTGTGTTGATGTTACGTTCTTGCTGCATTGTACGATGATCCCAACTTTGGGCTACCGGTTTGAAGATAGGCTGAGTCAATAGGTGATGGAGATATTCCTGCTAGGCTGATATTACATAGCCTCTTATCCTTCAGCGTTGTCTGATGGCTACCCATACCGCAACATTTTCTAGATCATTTAAGCTGAGTACTTTATCTGGATGCACAGACCTAGCTTGGCTAGGACATTGATCTTCCGGACAGAGATGCTTTTCAAGACTTTGCAACTGCATCGCCTACAGCATGCCGTGACGATACGAAAATCCTGGGTCTATGGACGACATGAGATCATTCTTCGGTAGGAATTAATGCTCGCTCCACACAGGTCTTCTTATACCTGGTCAAACGAGCAACCAATGGGGTTACTCGATATTGCGTTATAGCGCATAGCGTAGTTATCAGCACTGGAGAGCTTGAGCCGAGGAGAGAAGACATCATACCAAGTGTGGCGCTAACGCGGCTATGTCACTTCACTAGACGTCCACGATGCCACCGCCCCACGTGGCCGCACATGTCGTCGACCGCAGTGTGTGTTCCTGTTCTCCTGCTGTGCTTGAGATGCTCTTTGATGATTGGTGCCCTGCTTTCTCCCGCACATAAATAGCCCGCATTCCTGAGGGCCTATCCAAAAGCGATTAGCGTATATGTACCGCAAAGTGATATTGCCGCACCAGGGCCACCCCTCATCATTCCAGTTGGAACATTCCGCAGCATCACAGCCTAGAGGTCGCTCACTTCGTGTTCTATAAGATGCTTGCTTCAAAGCGACGACAACTCATCATCAACTCCGTTCGAGCATTCCTCCATTGTTTCTGCTCCAGCCTCCAAATGGCGCACTACATATATCAACGATCACCTGATTTTTCACCTGGAGATTACATTAACCTCGTTGGTGTTATTGTTGCCTTCCTTGGAGCTCTTTTCAGCGTTTTATTGGCTTATCTTACACTTCGCCGTTCCGTGCACCCCTCAATAAGTCAGTGTAAGTGACTGAGACCTGTATCTATTCGCCTTGAGGCTAAGTTTCAGTACCAAGACCTGAATTCTACTTCATTCCAATTGCAGTCTTTCGACAGTGAAATGCAAACCCTACCACGTAACAGGGTTCTCGGCCAGCGCCTTCAAAACTCCTATACCTGCGAGGAAGTCGAGCTTCAAACAACAGCAACAACAGACTTGGCTTTCTCTCCACAATACTTAGACGACATGCGACCAGAGCAGACGATCAGACACGAAGGACAGGAGTGTGATCAGGAGACGGTCAGCCAAGTGTTCGAGCTTCCGGCGTAGCGACTCCATCGAAGGATGCTACGCAAATACTACCAAACGCTTCACGTCCCAACACAACTTAATGTCTGCGTCGTCCACAGATCACTTCTCTACTGTGAACTTAGTTTTTTTTTTTTTTTTTTTGGCCGTGGGTCACGGTGTAGGTAGTGAGGACATCGGAGGCTACGGATTCTTTAGTGTCTCCGTCTATTCGATTGTCAATCTTCCATCGCTGACCGACCATAAAATATATTCGGTTCTTTATTACCAAGCAAGTGTATCAATGTGACGGACCGGTAAGGTACTTTACATGATCTCTGATATTCTTCGAATTCATAGTTCATGCCTTTGCTCACGCTGTGCAGAAATGGCCCATTATTTCGTCAGGGGTGCTATATTTTTTTTTCTTCCTCTAGAATAAAACACGGTCGGGTAGAAATCACAGATGTTGCACTTCTGGCCTATCTGGATTGGAAGGATAAGATCAATCTGTCTTTTTCCAAGTGTCAGCTCCTAATGAACTCATTAAAGTGTAGCCTACGAGAAGTGTATCAAGTCTAGTGCAACGTATGTGTTGAGTTATATTGCTGGATACGCGAATGTGCTAATATTTTTTGAAGGAAAAAAGTTGTGATGTTGACGGACTCCATCCCGCGGGCAGTGTGGGACGTCATCGGATCGGCTGCCCCGCTCTGTGATTTACTCAACACCAAACAATGCCGCCCGCACCCGCCAAGCCGCAAACAGTCGGCTCTCGTTCATCGTTCGATCCTGAAGAGTTCTTGTCCTCATGGAATCCGGAACTACTTCCTCAAGATGATGATCTCCGTGGATCCCTTACAAAAGCCTTTAATCTCCCGCCGAAGGATAGCTACGTCTATCGCGCCATCGCAGAAGTCACACTAGACCAGGTACAACATGCCATTGGCTTTGGCGGCCAACACGGCCTGCATGGCTGGTACGTCGACGATGAAGATAAACCAGTAAGCCAACCGCATCAGGGTCTTTGCGACCAGGACCGGGACCTGCTGCTCGAGAGTTCAGCGCTCATCCTAAGCTACCTGTCCGTGTAGATCCCGCCTCCTCCCGAGGCAGACATAGCCGCGTATACGAATATCTTCTCGCCGAGCACCTCGACTGCATCGGCCCTGCGCGGTCTTGCCTCGAATGCGAAGAAAGACTCGCTTCGCGCCGCTATTGCCGCGCACCTGCAGTCGCAATTCTATCTCGCGCCCGCCGAATCCTCGCCCGCTCCGCTCACGCTGCCGAACAAGCGCAAACAACCGCTCGCGAACCCATACTATGATTACTGGGCGTGGTCGTGCCGCAATCTCGAGTGGGCGGGGCCGGTGCCAAACACAGCCAAGACGCGCATCTCGCACCACGTGTTGCCCGTCTTCTACCACCACTTTGGCTGCATCGTGCCGACGTGGGACGCGCTGTCGGTGGTCGTGCAGCTGACGCAACACGCGCCGCCGCAGCCCAAGCCCAAGGGCTGGCCCGGCCGCGAGGTCGTCGAGATCGGATCCGGCAATGGGTACTGGGCGATGCTGCTGCGTCGCGCAGCCGGGTGCAAGGTCACAGCGGTGGATAATGCGCACAGCGAATGGCGGACAATGTGGATTGGCGACACGATATGGGCGGACGGGGTGAAGTTCCTGGAGAAGCAGGGCGGCGCGAAGGAAGCGGTGCTGCTGCTGGTGTATCCGCAGGTCGGCGCGGATTTCACCGGGAAAGTGCTAAGGGCGTACCAGGGCGATTACGTGGTCGTGGCTGGGACGCAGAATGGAAATGGGTTCACCGGCTTCAAGGACGAGACAATTGCAGACTGGATGGCGAGGGAGAGGAAGGAGTTCGAGCGCGTCGCACAGGTGCCGCTGCCTAGTTTTGCAGGAAAGGACGAGGCGCTGTTTGTGTTTGTGAGGAGAAAATAGGGTCACCCACACGTGGCCCGACCCAATAGACCAGGTGTAAAGAAATATAAAGCTGTTCAGACCGAAACATCCAATCCCTGCCTTTTCACCACGCAGCAGCGCAGCTGATCTCTGGTTGCATCACCGGTGTGGCCCAAGCTCCTCTGCACAGCTTCAAGCTGCTTCCGATTCCTCACCTGCCCTTGATAAATCAAAATCTTTGCCGCCTCTGCATCACCCAGCCTCCCGACCGATCAATCGCAACCAGCTCATGCCACTGCTCACCAAAATGGCCTCCAGAGTCGTACCACTCACCAACATTCCCACTCTAACCACCCTCTACGCCAGCAAGATGCTGGCTGCCCCGCTCCCCGCCGCCGCCGCCGCTCCGCCCAACGCCTCGCACAACGCGCGCATCGCGCTGATCCGCACCGACATCACGACGCTGGGCGTCGACGCCATCGTCAACGCCGCCAACGAGTCGCTGCTGGGCGGTGGCGGTGTCGACGGCGCCATCCATCGCGCCGCTGGGCCCGAACTGCTCGACGAGTGCGCCATGCTGGACGGCTGCGACACCGGCTCGGCTAAGATCACGAAGGGCTACAGGCTGCCTGCCAAGCACGTCATTCACGCTGTCGGCCCGGTGTATGCGCGCAAGAATATGAGGGGTCGCCACGAGCACTTGCTGCGCGGGTGCTATCGCAGGAGCTTGGACCTGGCGAAGCAGAACGGATGCAAGAGCGTGGCGTTCAGCGCGCTGAGTACGGGCATTTATGGATACCCCAGCGGTGAGGCGGCCGAGGCGGCGACGAGTGAGGTGCGGGCGTGGTTGGACGAGCAAGAAGGAGACGTGTTGGACAGGATTGTGTTTTGCAATTTTCTGAAGAAGGACGAGGATGCCTACCTAAGGGTGCTGCCGTAAGTATCTTTCCATGGCAATGTGTTAGTCGGATTTTTTCATGCTAATGCTGGATGCTACGCTGTAGGAAGTACTTCCCTCCCGCCGAGAACACTGAGCAAGGCAAGGAGACCGAGACGGAAGCTGAGAACCTGGCGAAGCGTTTGCCCGACCCTCCCACCACTGAACCTAAACTTGATGGATCACCTGACATCAAGAGACAGAAGACTGAACACACTACATCAAAGGTCACAGAGGCCAAGCCCGCAACCGTCGAAGATGCCGGGGAAGATTAGGAGAAGAGGCATCTACGTGCGAAAGAACAACAACAATAAAAACAACAAACATCAAGTCAGACAATCCTACTAGATTCGGGGAAGTATGATTTTCTTAGGTGCGCGACAGAGGGGGCATTACTTTTGCAAGGAGGGAGCACTTGATATCCACCACTACAGCTTTTGGATTGAATTGGATTACGGTTGGCAGGATACACCAAATCACTCGAACTTTCTGGTGCCGTGATTGGAGTAATTATTGTGCTGATCGAAGCCATCTCTCAAACGGCCTTCCCAGGCTTTGGCCAAAACAGTACTCATTTCACCTTGCCATTGCATACGTGGCTGTCAGCTTACAGCCACCGCTCGGATAAAATCGCGAAACAGGAATTACACTCACCCTTTATCAACACGTGGTTTAGGGAGTAGATGCATGCACAGCAGTGCCTGATTTCTCCACGCGTATTACCTAAATAGGAACCGTTTGCCGAGCCACTTAGCCTCGAGGTCCTCTAAAAACCCACTCTCTAATATCTTATTCCCTCGCTGTGACCCGGAAATGTCTGCAAGATAAGCTTGGACGTGCTTAGCCTGAGGGGCCACACGGCAGATAAAGCTTAGTGCTTACCCCACCAACTGGGATTCTGCGACGATCACTTAAATGGTACGGGGGCCGATATGCAAACAGTATATCAGAGTCGGAGCTCGGTGAGAAAAAGTAGTCAGCTCTCTGACACTTTCTTCCCTTCTTCCTACTCAAGCCCTCGATTGTAGATTTCCTGCTTCAACAATGCCATACCTTTCCCCAGAATACCCCGAGATCAGCACAAAAGACATTCTGTCCTGGGGCCTTGACGATGGAGAATATGACCAGGATAAGCTCGTGCGTTCCTCGTTAACCAACCTCAGTCTGGAGAATCTGACAAAGGGTGGCAGCTCTGGGTCGATGCGTTAGACCCCTCACGTTCAGTTTCAGCCAAAGAGACCCGCGCCATAATCAGGCAGCTTGTTGCTGGCTTCAAGAAAGCGGGGCTCAAGCCTGGTGATACAGTCTGCATTACTTCGTTCAGCGATGTAAGTCTGCTCTTTATCACAACCATTCCTCTGCCATGGCTCATCCTGACTGAAAATCTCTTACCGAATTTAGATATACTATTCCGTCCTCGTCCTCGGCATTATAGCCGCCGGATGTGTCTTTACTGGCACCAACCCTGGCTACACTCCCTTTGAGCTCGAGCACCACCTACGTGCGTCTCGTGTGAAGATGGTCATCAGCGAGCCAGACCTCCTCCCTGCAATTCTCGCCACCCCCTACGGCAAGGATCTGCTCGCTCAGCAAGACGACCATCGGCCTCGCGTCCTCATCTTCGACCACCACGTCCCACTCTCCACTCCCACCTCGGCCAGCACCACCTCGCACCCGTCCTGGCGCACACTCCTCCAGCACGGCTCGCAGGACTGGCACCGTCTTCACGCGCCCTCCTCCTCCTCCCCGTCGTCCTCCACCGCCGCCGCCGCCAACGCCACCACCACTGCCATGCTCCTCTTCAGCTCCGGCACCTCAGGCCTCCCCAAGCCCGTGCCCCTCACGCACGCCAACCTGATCGCGCAGCACACGCTCGCCTTCTACCACGTCTCGCCCAACCGCAACAACCAGCACCTGTCGTCGGCGCCGCCGTGGCGGGCCTACGCGCGCCGCATCAGCTTCCTGCCGCCCTTCCACGCCGCCATCGCGCCGTCGCTGCACGTCGGCACGCTGCGCTCGGGCGACACGACGTACGTCATGCCGCGCTTCGACCCGGCCGCGGTGCTGCGCGCCATCTGCGCGCACGCGATTACCGATGTCATCGTCGTGCCGCCCTGCGTGCTAGCCCTCGTCAACCTGCCGCCGGAGATGCTGAAGGATCCGCGCTGCTCCTTGGCTAGCGTACGCTGGATCCGTTGTGGTGCGGCGCCGCTGTCGGCGGGGGTGCAGGCGAGGCTGCAGGCGCTGCTGGATCGGAAGGTGGATGAGGGCGGCGCGGAGGGCCAGGCGGTCATCACGCAGGTTTGGGGCATGACGGAGACGGCGTGCGTGGTGACGCAGTTTGCGCCGGGGGAGAGGGATGATGGGCCGTCGGGTGCGGTGGGGAGGCCGTTGGCTGGGTTGGATGTGAAGGTGGTGGATGAGGACGGGAAGGAGGTGGGTGAGGGGGGCGTGGTGGAGGGGAAGGGGAGGGTGGTGAGGGGCGAGATTTGCGTGAGGGGTCCGACGGTTGTGATGGGGTATGTTGATGTCGAGAGGGGTGGGGTGAGCAGGGCGGAGTGGGATGAGGAGGGATTTTTCCACACCGGGGATGTGGTTGAGGCCGTGGATAAGGATGATGGGAAGGGCCCTGTGTTTTGGATTGTGGACAGGAAGAAGGTATGTTGCTGCTCCGGTTTCTTTGCTCCCCCTCTTGCTGCGTTCTCTTTTCACTTTTTGAGAAGGGGGAGAAGAGCTCATGAGGACCTACTAATACGGGGTAGGAACTTATCAAAGTCCGTGGCTTCCAGGTTGCGCCGCCAGAAGTCGAGGGAGTACTGCTGGCGCATCCCGACGTGCTGGATGCAGCGGTCATTGGAGTGTTCGACACTGCGACACAATCCGAAGTCCCTCGAGCATACATTATGAAGAGGGCTGGGGCAAGCTTGACTGTGAGAGATGTTAAACAATGGGTTAGTGAGCGGTTGGCGAAATACAAGTGCTTGGATGGAGGTGTGGTGTTCTTGGACGTTATTCCAAAGACGGCAAGTGGAAAGATTTTGAAGAGAGTTCTGAGAGAAATGGCGAAGCGGGAGATGGGAAAAGAGTCAAAGCTCTGAATCCTGTACTAAACAGCGAGTACTGCTTTAGGCGGCGTGATAAGCATTAGCTGGTTGTGTGCGTATATTCTGGCAGAACGGTCTCTATTACATGACAAATGGAACTATCTTCTTCTTCGTCTCCTTCTCCTTACTTTTTTCTTTCTTTTTCTTCATGCTTTTCTTTTTTTCAAACAAAGGAACGAAGCGTTAATTTGCAGCAGTCTACAAATACCATCTGCACAAAGATACTAAATTGCCTGAATAAAACTCGGTACTCGCGAATTTGCCTACCTACGGAAGAGTGGATACCGTGAGCTGGGTGAGTTTCGACTGGCTTCCGGATGTTATTGAAATACATCGTTTTACGCTGATTTTAGATCTCGATTCTACGTTTAAACAGTTGATGACACATCAAAGTGTAAAAAAAAAGAAAAAAAAGAGAGGGGAAAGGAATATCGAGGAATCAGGGCTGATGTTTCACAAGCCCCTCCGGAAAGCAGCCTTGTCAGCTCTCGCCTAATTTAGGAGCTGTCAGCTGGAGCTGAAGAACAAAACGGTTGCTTTTCGATCTGATCAGCCTTGCGCAATCCACCTCCCCTCTTCCATCATCTTTCTCCTTTTGCAACTCTGAGAGTTCAACTACAGCACTTCCGTATATCTATCTACTTGTGAACAGACACCTCGATGGACCACGAAACAGCTAGCGGCGCTTCAGGCCTTTGCCAGACCTGCCAGAACTTCGACCTACGCGGCTCGTACTTCGAATACGGATCCGGCGACGACGCCCCGGACTCAGCAGGAGAATTCCACTTGGGAACGCTTTCGGATATTATCGAGAGGCAAAACTGTCCGTTGTGTAGGCTGGCTCTTTCGGCAATAGGTGCGAGGAGCACTGAACTGCCAGATGAAACTGCCAGGACCATTCAATGCTACCTTGATTGGGAGGATGAAAAAACAATCTTCAGGCCTACTGAGGATACGTGGAATTACGACCTCGGAAACTGGCAAGATATCAAGGACATGTGGGAATCCAACTTTGACTACTGGGGAAAGTATAAGGATACGTGGGAATTTGACCCCAATAGGACCGTCGACACGATTCCACATGACTCTATTCCTGTCACGCGCTGCATACGTGTAAGGGCAGAGCCGTGGATGGACCCGATGAACGAATCAGATCTTATAACCACGATTCCCGACTCAGAAAAGCCTTTCCTCGGTAGAGAGTGGAAGCAGGATCATATCGACTTCGACCTAGTGAAGAGCTGGATCTTCCAATGCCGCAAGATCCATTTGGGCGACGATGAGACTATCCTGCCGTCAGAGGGAGAAGCGGGCCAGATTGCCCATTTTAAACTGATCGATGTGCAGGACATGTGCATTGTGGACGCATCCAGCCACACCGAGTACATAGCATTATCGTATGTTTGGGGAACCAAGAACACTTTCCTAACGACATCGAAGAACATCTCGAGATTGCGAGAACGCGGCGCGTTGTCAGATCTGGAGGGAGAGATACCGGCCACAATTCGGGATGCCATGCTCCTAGTCTCAAGACTTTCATTCCGCTATCTATGGATTGATAGCCTCTGCATTGTGCAGGATGATTCCCAGACAAAATCCGCCGCTATCAATGCAATGGATGTGATGTAGGTCATAAAATTCGTTACTATACTCGGTAACTGATATCTTGTAGATATTCTCGCTCACTATTCACTATCATTGCTGCTTCTGGAAATGATGCGAATTCCGGACTCAGTGGTGTGCGTCCAGGTAGTAGAAGTGAGATGCAAAATATAGAGGTTGTCAGGGGTGTGAAGCTCCTGTCTATCACTCACTTGGATGACTACCTTTCCAATTCAGTCTATGATACGCGTGCATGGACGTAAGAAAGAACCATATCTTTCGCGATATTCGGCTCGCTGATATATAACACCGTAGATTTCAGGAGCGCCACCTCAGCAATCGCATCTTGTTTTTGGTTGGCGGTCAGGCGATATGGCAGTGCTCGACAGGCACATATCGTGAAGATATTACTTCCGATCCCGCCGTACCAGCTGAAGGGTTCGATGACTTCGAAAATTACCGCATCAACATACTCTATGTGAGAAGGTATCCCGATAAAGCTTTTGTTGAATATATGGCACTCGTTCATCACTATAGCGCACGGCACCTGAGTTACGACGGCGACATCCTCAATGCTTTCGAAGGAGTCTCGAAGGTCCTATCGACTGTGCTCCAAACAACATTTCATTGGGGTCTTCCGGTCTCTTTGTTAGACTGGGCACTTCTCTGGGAAGCAAAAGGGTACGTTGCTCGCCGCCCTAATTGTCCAAGCTGGTCATGGACTGGCTGGAAGGGCAACAGCTTGGTGCGGCACGCTTCATTTCAAGAGAAGGAAGGGGAGCGAAGGGGTCATCTAGGGATGCCGACAGAAAGCTGTTCTGATGGAGACTACACATTCGACGATCTACAGCAGTGGCTCAAATTCTGTACATGGAATAGGTGGTACCGCTACGAGAGCCGGGACGACAATCCAATTCCAATTACCAAACCCCCATCCGGATCGACAGGGTGTAATAACCGTTTTGCGGGGATCGACTGTACCAGAACTCTACCCGCAAAGAAGATACCAAAAGATTTGGAGATCTTCCCGCCACCGCAAAAAAGCACGGCTGCTGCTCCAATTCCGAGACCTGGAATGACCTCACTGCTGCACTTCTGGACCATTTCCGCCCACTTTCGCCTTGGTGATCTTCCCAACGATTACCAGCCGGATGAGCTCGCCACCAGTGCAGGTCTTAGATGCCATGGACTGTACGACAAAGACGGTGTGGTCTCTGGAGATGTATGGGCTTGTGACGATTGGGAGCCGCCTTCAAGTGGAATATGTCAGCTGCTGGTTCTTTCTGAGGGATTACCCTTTTACAACGAATACGAGGAGTACAAAATCGAGACATACGAGGCAAACGTACGCCTGATTCGCGGTGGTGACGATGCCAGGGTAGATGAGGACAGAGCACATATCAAAGCACTCGATGCTGACAGCATCATTGAGGTGGACGAGGTTTCTGAAAGTGGATCTGAAATTGATGAGAACGAAGGTCAGGTACAAGTTGGGCACCTTTTCAACATGTTGCTGGTTCAGCCCGTCTCGAACTCCCACGGTCTTCCCTTGGTGGAGCGCATCGGTCATGGGAAGCTCTTCCGGGATGCACTCAACTATCCGTGTGATCCTGGAGTCAATTGGGAGGAAATTCTTCTCGTTTGAATATAAGTTTCTATTATGTCAACCTCACCACTTCTTACGTTCATTATCGCGTGTATCTGCCGCGTTTATTTGCTTTTTCTCAATACCAAATATTCACCCCAGTACCTCTTACTTGTAGCACCTCCAATAGGCTATCTACTCCCTTTGCCTTCACGATGCCAATTTAGAACTCTGTGTTTATAATTAAGTAATTTAGTTGCTCATTCAGAGGGAGCAAAAGCGTTTATTCATAAAGTTGCAGTGTTTAACAGAATGTTGGTCCAAGCGCGGTCAAATCGGCGTGATTTCCATCAGTCCACCTTCCGCCCACCATGGGCCTTCGGCCATCCTTCTGATCGGGTCATGACCGCCAGATCTCAGCCTTCCATTTTCTTTTTTTTTTTGGGCAAACTGCTGGAACCTCAGCCTCATAGAAAGAGAGGGGGAGCTATTTATAGGCTTTATTGTGGTCAGTTGACACGAGCTCACCTGATTTGGTGTTGCCACAAGCGGCCAGCTTCAGAAAAATAGCAGAAGCGCTTAGTGTGTACAGTTAGGAAAGCAGAATCAATAGAGATAGCGGAATTCATTGTGTCACAACACTGAGGCTGAAGAATCAGCACCCGGTCACGTGAAGCGGGGTGGTGAATTCTTGGGTAGCGGCATGGCTCAACATGGCATCTGATTGGCTGCTCGAGCTCTCCCAGTAAGACCAACTTGGTGGCTTGGTAACATGCGGCGGTATGACTCCGCGGTGTCAGGAATGAGTCAATGGCTGGCATGACGAACTTATAAGCTCGCAGCTGCGAGCCATTCGCCGGGCGACCACGGTTTCAATCTGCGCGGTAACCCGTGAGAGTTACCGCAGTCGGAGCTAAGGCCCTAAACCCCGCCAGATGCGGCACACCACGATACGCCTAGCTATGAGTCGACAAGCCCGGCCCCGACGATGTGGCGCTGGCAATGGAATGCGATGACGAGAAGCGGATTCCGAGGGCAATCGTGCGGGTCGATGGGGGCGGGGTTCTCTGGTGCGTCGCGGCGGGCGATGGGCGCTTGAGAAGATGGCTGTGTGGATTGCCGCGCTCGAGCTCTGCCATTGGGCATCGTGTGCATTAAGCGAGCCCCACCGCCGCCCAGCCAGCGCAAAACCATCATCCCACCTGCTGTCCGACCTTTCCTTTCTCCCTCCACACTCGTCCTCGATCACCTCGAGCTTTAAAAGGCACGCCCGGCCTTTGAAAACTCGTGCTTGATCGCAGTTACCTCCTCCCCAAGGCTGCGCCTCTCAACACAGCGTTCGCTGAGCGTCGCCCTCCACCTCAAAAGCGGGGTATCTTTGATTCCTCGAGAAAAGTCTTTTCAAGTCGGCACATCCGCGCAACACCGCCAAGATGGTCAAGTAAGTCCTGCATCCCTTCGCTCGCTGCGTCCTGCGTCTTCCGAGCAGCGTCAGCGCTGTCTCCGCGAGTCGCCGGGCGCTGCGGCGCAATCCAGCCTATGCGACACTTGCTGACAATTCGCTCACAGCTTCACCGTCGAGGAGGTACGTCGAAGACAGCAACATCTGCGAAGACGAATGGCATACTGACATGATCAAAGATCCGTGGTCTCATGGACAATCCTATTAACATTAGGAACATGTCCGTCATTGCCCATGGTAAGTCGCAACACCATCTGGAGACCCGGTCGGGCGCTGACAATTCCCACAGTCGACCACGGCAAGTCTACCCTGACCGACTCCCTCGTCCAGCGTGCCGGTATCATTTCCGCCGCCAAGGCTGGTGAGGCTCGTTTCACCGATACTCGTCCCGACGAGCAGGAGCGTGGTGTCACCATCAAGTCCACTGCCATCTCCCTGTACGCCCAGCTCATCGATGCCGAGGACCTGAAGGACATTCCCGTCAAGACCGAGAAGAACGACTTCTTGATCAACCTGATTGACTCGCCCGGTCACGTTGACTTCTCTTCTGAGGTCACTGCTGCCCTCCGTGTCACTGATGGTGCTCTCGTCGTCGTCGACACCGTCGAGGGTGTCTGCGTCCAGACCGAGACTGTCCTGCGTCAGGCCCTTGGTGAGCGTATCAAGCCCGTCGTCATCATCAACAAGGTCGACCGTGCTCTTCTCGAGCTCCAGGTCTCCAAGGAGGACCTGTACCAGAACTTCTCCCGTGTCATCGAGTCCGTCAACGTCGTCATTGCCACCTACTTCGACAAGGTCCTCGGTGACGTCCAGGTCTACCCCGACAAGGGTACCGTTGCCTTCGGTTCCGGTCTCCACGGCTGGGCTTTCACCGTCCGCCAGTTCGCTTCTAGGTACTCCAAGAAGTTCGGTGTTGACAAGAACAAGATGATGGAGCGTCTCTGGGTAGGTCCTGATTCTCCCGAAAATTTTAGCCCTCAAATTGCTAATCCGACCACAGGGCGACAACTACTTCAACCCCAAGACCAAGAAGTGGACCAAGACCGCTCCCGAGAACGGCGAGCGTGCCTTCAACCAGTTCATCCTTGACCCCATCTTCCGCATCTTCAACGCGGTCATGAACTTCAAGAAGGATGAGATCCCCACTCTCCTCGAGAAGCTCGAGATCAAGCTCACCAGCGACGAGAAGGACCTCGAGGGCAAGCAGCTCCTCAAGGTCGTCATGAGGAAGTTCCTTCCTGCCGCTGATGCCCTGCTTGAGATGATGATTCTCCACCTTCCTTCTCCCGCCACCGCTCAGAAGTACCGTATGGAGACTCTGTACGAGGGTCCCCACGATGACGAGAACGCCATCGGTATCCGTGACTGCGACCCCAAGGCTCCTCTCATGCTGTACGTCTCGAAGATGGTTCCGACCTCTGATAAGGGTCGTTTCTACGCTTTCGGTCGTGTCTTCTCCGGTACCGTCCGCTCTGGTCTCAAGGTCCGCATCCAGGGCCCCAACTACACCCCCGGCCGCAAGGAGGACCTGTTCGTCAAGGCCATCCAGCGTACCATTCTCATGATGGGTCGTTTCGTCGAGCCCATCGAGGATGTCCCTGCCGGTAACATCCTGGGTCTGGTCGGTATTGACCAGTTCCTGCTCAAGTCTGGTACCCTCACCACCAACGAGACCGCCCACAACATGAAGGTCATGAAGTTCTCTGTCTCGCCCGTCGTCCAGCGCTCCGTCGAGGTCAAGAACGCCAACGATCTGCCCAAGCTTGTCGAGGGTCTCAAGCGTCTGTCCAAGTCCGACCCTTGCGTCCTTACCTACATCTCCGACTCTGGTGAGCACGTCGTTGCTGGTGCTGGTGAGCTCCACCTCGAGATTTGCTTGAAGGATCTTGAGGAGGACCACGCCGGTGTTCCTCTCCGCATCTCCGACCCCGTCGTCCAGTACCGTGAGACCGTCGGTGGCGAGTCCCGCATCACTGCCCTGTCCAAGTCGCCCAACAAGCACAACCGTCTGTACGTCACCGCTCAGCCTCTTACTGAGGAGGTGTCCAAGGACATTGAGGCTGGCAAGATCGGCCCGCGTGACGATTTCAAGGCTCGTGCCCGTTACCTTGCTGACGAGCACGGCTGGGATGTCACCGATGCCCGTAAGATTTGGTGCTTCGGTCCCGACACCAACGGTGCCAACCTCCTCGTTGACCAGACCAAGGCCGTCCAGTACCTCAACGAAATCAAGGACTCCGTCGTCTCCGGTTTCCAGTGGGCCACCAAGGAAGGTCCCATTGCCGAGGAGCCCATGCGCTCGATCCGCTTCAACATCATGGATGTTACCCTGCACGCCGATGCTATCCACCGTGGTGGTGGCCAGATCATCCCCACTGCTCGCCGTGTCCTGTACGCTGCTACCCTGCTTGCCGACCCCGGTCTCCTCGAGCCCGTCTTCTTGGTCGAGATCCAGGTTCCCGAGCAGGCCATGGGTGGTATCTACGGTGTCCTTACCCGCAGGAGAGGTCACGTCTTCGAGGAGGCCCAGCGCCCCGGTACCCCTCTGTTCAACGTCAAGGCTTACCTGCCCGTCAAGGAGTCCTTCGGTTTCAACGCCGATCTCCGCTCCAACACTTCCGGCCAGGCCTTCCCCCAGTCCGTCTTCGACCACTGGCAGATCCTGCCCGGTGGCTCCCCTCTGGACAAGACCTCCCAGCCCGGCCAGGTCGTCGAGGAGATGCGCAAGAGGAAGGGTCTCAAGCCCGAGGTTCCCGGTTACGAGAACGTAAGTTTGATCACATCCCGTTTATGCATGAGTTCGCCGCTAACAATCACTGCAGTACTACGACAAGTTGTAAGAGGTTTCTATCGCAAAAAGATGGAATCTCTTTTCTCAAAAATATCCGGTCTTCGGGGCATCATCAGGAATGCTCATCATCTTTATCCCCGTTTAGGAAACGGCGACGGGGGTTTCGATATCTCACCGGGCTCAATGTAGAGATATGATGGATGATTGGCAAGGGATATCCGTTCGGTAGAAGGCCGACTTTGATGATGCGCTTGATGTCCTTTTCTTTTAGCATGTTTCTTTTTTTGTGTATCCCGGGCGCTAGAAATTTACGATATGACACAAATGACCTGTCCCTGCGGTGCCTTGATAAAATGTACACAAATCTATGGAAACTACCCATGCACTTGCAGCGAAGGCACGTGACCGAGGCGGAATTTCTCTAGCTCCGAGCGCGCGCCGTGAGCTCTTCGTCATAGCGTGTTTCTGGACAATGATTTTGGGGACCATTCGCGCGCCCGCCGCTCTCCACACCTTAAACCATTCCACCATCAGCGCAGCACTTCAATGCGAACTTTCCGCTAGCGCCTCACCAGTTCGGCATACCTTTTCTTTGCGCCAACTTCGCCGGATCACACACCCGTTCGATCGCCGCCGAGGCCGACCGCGAAGATGCTCATCAGCGACGATGACGCCGTGCTGCTAAAGAAATGGATTGTCAAGAGGCTGGAAGACATGTATGGCCGCGTTCAGGGATGATCTTGCCACAAGGGTGGACACTGACCTGCTCAGCAGCTCCGACGCAGATTCCGATGTCCTCGCAGACTACGTACTAGCTTTGGTCAGGTCCGAAGATTCAGATGAGCAGGTGAAGGTCAATTGCTTGGAGAATCTGGAAGATTTCTTGCGCGACCGTAATTTCACCCCGCCGTATACATGTGAGCGACGTTGATGTAATCTGTAGACACTGGATCGTTCGTCGACGACGTCTTCAACACCATCCGCACGAAATCGTACCTTCCGGAAGACGCGTCTTCAGCGCCTCAAGAAACACAAGCCGAGTCGCAGCCTTTCAACCCGCCTAGTGGCCCCGCCAATGGTAATCGACGCCCAAGCGCACAATTTCAGAACGGCTTTCATAACAGCAACGCAGATCAATCGCGCAAGCGGACATGGGGAGATCGGGCAGGCAGCGAGCAGCGCGATGGTCCGGACTCTCACTATAGCCGCGGAACCGGTGGAGAAAGGGCCATCAAGCAGATGCGCCGAGGAAACTACCAGGGTGGGGGCGGCCGGGGAGGTCGCCACGGAGACATGAGCATTGCGGGTATGCCAGGCGCTGGACAGGCAGCCATGCCGCAAATGCCCAATCTTCCGCAAGGCTTCCCTCAGGTTGACCCCAACAACCCGATGAGCGCGATCATGGCCATGCAAGCTTTAGGCTTTCCCCCTCTGCCGGGCATGCCGCAGCTGCCCATGGGCGCGCCGAACAACTTCGGCCAGAGTGCGTTTCCTCACGCAGGCTCTCCGCCGCCGCGGAAGATTGGAGAAAGATGCCATGATTACGATACCAAGGGCTTCTGCGCATTGGGCAGCGCATGTCCATACGAACACGGTACAGATCCGATAATCGTGCCTACTGATGGTGGGACCAACATCCTTTCAGCATACCGGGCTAGCTTTGCACCACCCGCCGTCCGACGGCAGCTGGGAGAGGCGATGCCTGCACCATTCCAACCTGCTAACCCACGTCCCCCAGAATACGACCCGAAGAACGCTTCCATCGATACCGACCGCAGAGCGAACGGTCACAGCGATCGCCGCCATCATGATAGGAGCCGTGGAGGTAGAGGGCGTGGCCGCGGTGACAGTGGTCGCCGTGGAGGACGCGCCCACTTCTCCCAAGCCGGGCCCAATCATGACCGCTCCATCACGACCATCGTCATAGAAAACATTCCCGAAGAGAAATTCTCCGAAGACGCCGTACGCGAGTTTTTTTCCGAGTTCGGCAACATCGAGGAGATCACGATGCATGGATACAAGCGTCTTGCGATGGTCAAGTACGATGACTACTCGTCTGCTCGCAAAGCGTACGACAGCCCGAAGGTCATCTTCGATAACCGCTTCGTAAAGGTATACTGGTATAAGCCGGACCAACACTCGGACGTCAATGGTTCAAATGGCAGGCGTAGTACCGAAGGCGTGAAGAAGGAGGAAGAAGAGATGATCGATATGGAGGAGATTAAGCGGAGGCAAGAGGAAGCGCAGAAGGCACACGAGGAGAAGCAACAAAAGCTTAGAGAGGCGGAGGCGAAGAAGGCTGAGTTAGATGCGAAAATCAAGGCGCAAGCCGAAGAGCGCAAAAAGCTACTGGAGAAATTGGCAGCGAAGTCGGCCAACAAGAAAACCGAGGCGCCAAGCTCGCCAACGATCAAGGGCGGCGATGCGGACGTCAAGTCGGATGCGTCATCGTCGATAGGAGCCAACGGCTCGAGCGAGTCAAGGACCCCTGGCTCGCAAACCGAGGCATTGCGGTTGAAGCTCGCGCAGCTGGAGGCGGAGGCGGAGAGCATGGGGCTCAACCCCAACGATCCTGGCTATGGTACAAGCACTTCGTATCGTGGCCGCGGCGGCAGGGGAGCTTCCCGTGGACGCGGCAGCTGGGCTCCTCGCGGTCGTGGTGGCTACGATCCTTCATACAGAGGCGGATATCGCGGTCGTGGCGGCTATGGCATGCCCAGGGGCGGCGCCGTCAAGCGTTTGGACTTCCGGCCTAGGAGAGTCGTGGCCAAGATTGGCAATGGAGAGGAAGAGTGGACGCCAGATAGGGATGAGGCGCTGCGCAGCCACCTTTTCGTAAGTTGTTTCTCACAGGCTTGTAGTTGGAACCTGGTTGAGCGGAGTTTGAGAAAGACCATGACCTTACTAATGTTTTATTCGCGCAGAACAACTTCGAGTTTGACAGCATCGACACATACCCGGAGGGAGGCAAGAACGCCATGGTCATCGCCTTCAAGGAGCGGTACATTGCTGAGAACGTAAGTCCCCCCCCCCCCCCCCCTTTTCTTAAACTCTATCCTTTGCAATTTTATCACGTTTGAACTCTTGACCCAAGACTGACACACGCGATGCTATGCACAGTTCATTGCACAATCTCAAGAGATCCCGTCGATTGGTAGAGTCCAGCTCTCATGGGCACCCAATCCGCCGAACGCAAACAACCAGCAGCTACAACAAGGCGTGTCGTCGAAGCCGGAGTCGGTGGCTGATGGTGATAGCGGAGAAGACGTGAGTATGGGCGAGGCGGGTGCTGGTGCGGTGAGCAGCAGTGCTGGTGTCGGCGGCGGTGCGGAGGAGTTTGATGTTGCTGATGATGAGGACCGCTGGATGGCGGCTTAAGGGGAGAAAGCCAGTTCTGAACACCCTTCAAAGCTGACGGTTTTATTGGATGGAGTGGTCATGCAGAAGCCGAAGAGGTGTTTTATACTATTTTTATTCGCGGGTGGATGCAGCCTTTTGTACGATGATGATCATGACTGCGAATCAGGAACGGGGATAAGCGGAAGAGAAACCCCCGAGAGGTAGTTGAAGGGGTTTTACTACCGATTTAATTTCCTTTTCAGATTTCCTTTCCGATTTTGCCTCTTTTCCTTTGGGTGGTGCGAACAGCAGCATGGCATGATATGGCAGGGTGCATTGGGTAGGCGTTTACTCATCTCAAGTGGGTAGCGAAGGAATGTTGGGAAAGAATCGTCAAGTCTGCTTGCAATATGAGTCGTCTCGTATTGATGAGAGTACCTGGGCCTTCCTTGATAAACTTCTATAAGCTACTCTTTGCCCTTGACAATTATTTTGACCTTGTACCCTATGTAGTGTCTGGCTTTGATTGTCGTCAGCGCCAGGGCTTCTCAGTAAACTTTTCTCTGATCATTTTCTAGCAGTTCCTATCGGGCTGCGGCGGTAGCCCATACTTCAATCACCCTTTTCAAAGCGCAGGATCGCCCTGTCTTTCGCAATGGCCTGGAACCATTCACGATATTTTCCGTGCCGTCGCGCTTTCAAGCCATGGGAGTCCCCCCATCAGTCCCAATCTTTTTTGTCCCTCCTGGACTTGAGTGTAATGAACCAATGTTAAAAGAAAAGAGAGCCCCGGGTATATATCACTTACCACCAATTCCTCTCTTCCCACCTCTCGTCGTCTTTCTTATTTCTTTTCTTTCTTTTCTCCTTCCTTCGGTGTCTGATCCTCACCTCCGGCCCCTTCCTCGGTCCCTGTCCCTATCCCGTTCCCTATCTCTCTCCCTGTCCCTATCCCTCTCCCTATCTCTGTCCCTCTCCCTGTCCCTGTCACGCTCCCTATCCCTCTCCCTCTCGCCACCGCTATCAATCCGCCCACCATCGTTAGCGGTGTTGCCACCTCCGCCACTCACTTCGACCTCGACCTCGTACTCTTCCTCTTCGTCCTTGAAGTAGCGCTCGACAGCCTTCTTCTCTTCCTGCGCGCACGACGCGTCCAGCATGAAGCGCACCGTGCCGCCGACGCCGCGGGTGCCGATGGCCGAGATGGGGAGCGCGAGGGGCCCCATCGCTGCTACTGACGGGGGCGGCACTACTGCTGCTGCGGGAGGTTGTTGTTGTTGGTGTAGGGCGGAGGTGCCGTTTGCCCCGGTGGGTGTCGTCGCTGCGGTGCCGGGTTTGGGCGGGAGGCCGTTGGCGGCTGCGGCGGCGGGCTTGGGGGGAAGGGTGGAGGAGCTGCTTGCGCCGGTGCCGGCGGCGGCGGCGGTGGTGGTTGAGGGGGCGGAGGAAGAAGTGGCGGTGGCGTATTGCGTGTAGCGGGGCAGGTGGGCGTCCTTGGACTCTTGGTTTAGCGCGATGCGCACGTTGATGTACGTGTCGAGCGGGTGGTGGGGGCCGATGAGGCTGGTGTTGCGGTGGTGGGTGTAGAGGTCGAGGAGGTCCAGCATGGTTTCTGAGGAGCCCGCAGGTCAGTTTGGTGGTCTTAGTGGAGGAGAATGTCGAGATGGTGGTAGTGCTGTTGTTGCTTACCCATGACCTCCGCCCTCGAAATCTTCCACCGCGCGTAGTCAATCGCCTGGACGCGCTCTAGACGGGCGTCACACAGACGTGCCGCCAGCTCGACACATGCCAGGGCCATGGTGGCCGTCGTCTGCTTCAGCGGCGCGAAGGTTCGGTATAGGTCGAGTGACATGTTGTACGCGGTTTTGCCGACGCGCTCCTTGGTGAATCCGCACCAGCGCGCCAACTTGATGACCAACTTCTGCGGCTGACGGCTGCGGAAGTCGAAGCCGGCGCCTTCCAGCATCAGCCGCTCGAGGCCGATGATGACTTTGGAGGGTTGTTCCAATTGCTTGAGGCGGGAGAAGAGCTACGTGTTATTAAGTGGTTTCGGGAGAACTTGGGCAGAGCCGGGTAAGGATAGAAGCTTACTGGGTCATCGGGAGAGAGCTGATCTCCTAGGGGTAGTTTGAGGTTGAAGGAGGCGCAGATGATTTCCTTGGATTTCTTGAGCGTATCTTCGATCTTGCAAGCTGTGAAGAGGGCAGCCAGTGCGGCTTCCTATGGACTGATCAGCTAACGAGGTATAGGGAAACGTCAGAGAGGGCATATACTTACGACTAGATTGTACTCGTTGTCGGCGTGGACCAGGCGGAACTTGTGGTAGTAGACACATGCTGTGTTGAATGTACGAACCGGTCTAACCATGTTAGTATCGGCAAAATAAGTATAGGACAGGGGTGTTTACAGTTGCAATGATTTTCTAACGTTGTCGATAAGTTGCACACCTTGAAGTCGGATGCTGTCCTCCTTCGCCTCGGGCATGGCAATGGCGGCGAGGTATTGCTCGACCTTTTGTTGGAAGATGTACGGCTTGGCAACCTCGATGAAGGAGGGATGAGGCCCCGGCTGGCCGTTGGGGGCGGCCAGCGGAGCAGGAGCGGGCGCCATGCGGGCAGCAGAAGCGTCGTCTCCGTCGCTCAGCGGCGTTAGCTGGCCGTAGGGCCTCAGACACAGCAATTTCGCAGGCCTCGCGTCCTCGTCGGCGTCCTCTTCCCAGACGGGCTCAGCAGCACTCAGCTGCACACGGCTGGTCTCTTGCCACTGCGACTTGGCGGGGCGGTCGTCGTCGTCGTAGTTGCGTCGATTGAGCTTGTTGCGCGCGCCCAGCGCGATGAGGTTCGGATTGTCCAGGTCCGGACGGGCCGCAGAGCGGTCTGAGACGGCTGATGTCGCTCCTCCGCTGCTCCCTTGTCCTTGTGGCTGACGTCGCGCCGGCGCCGCCTTTTCTCCGGCGGCAGCCTGTCCGCCGCCGAGCCGCTGCGACGCGCCCTTGACTCTAAATTCCACCTCCTCCATAACGTCGCGGACCGGCCCGTTGCTGTGACGCGACCATTCGCGCGGAAGCGATGGCCGGTCCAGGCGCAGCCTCCTCGTTCGTTTTCCCATTGTCTCTACTGGAATTCCAGAGTGCTTGGCTGACGCTGATTGGCGGGAGCTGGACGTGTCGCTGAAAAAGGTTCGGAGTCGGACAGAGGCTGCGAAGAGCTGGACGGTGATGGCGGATGAGGAGGATGCTCAAGAGTAGGAGGAAAGCAATCGAATTCGCGAGTCGCAATTGTGCTGTGCTCAAGAATGCGATCGGAGGTGGCGTTGAAAGTGACGTATTCCGGCCAGGACCACAGGTAACAAACAAACGACCTGCATCGCAGTTTGCTCAGGGTCCAAGACCCCGGTCACATGCTGCTACTACCATTGCTCCGGGGACCGTGCCCGCTGTTCAAGCCTGGTTCACGTGGGCTTTTGCTTCCTTCGGTGTCTGAGCACTGGCTCCGGCTTGCCGCACGCGCGCCTTACTGCTAACAGAAGTTTCCCTAAGCATCCATAGTCACTCGTGTCATCGCCATTCACTAACCCCGCGGCACATATCATAAAATCTCATCGTAGCTCCGCTCCTCAACTCTACATCTACCGACTCCCCACCGCCAGCCTGGACAAACCCGAACCACCTGAACTTCAAATCCCTGTCGGACAACCCTATCATCGCGCACCCATCGCCATGGCTGACCCTCCCGAAGACCCTTTGGCTTTCGTTGATATCATTGGCGTCGACTATTTTGGTCCTGAGCAACGCTTTCCTCTCCTGGGCCTACCCCGCGAGCTGAGAGACGCTGTCTACGAGCGCATGCTGGTTCGAAAGGCCATCAACATCGTGCCGGGCTACTGCTGGGAGAAGAAGGCCTGGGGCAACCCACAATGGTTCGATCTACGAGTGCCTGAGCATCAACGGTCGACTTACGAACGTACACTCGCCGCTGGAATGCAGTACGCAAGCTACGAAGAGAGGAAGGGAGGATCGCGGCGAAACCACAACTGTCCGAACCTGAACATCTTCTTGACCTGCCGTCAAGTTTATGACGAATCGTCTTCCGTATACTACAAGCGGAACCTCTTCTTTTTCCGCTTCGCCGGCCGTACCAATGAAATCTTGTCAGTCCAGGCTTGTCACGCGTTTCTTCTGGACCGTCCGCTTCGATCTCTACAGCGCCTGCGGTTCATCAAGCTCACAATCGACAATCCCAGTTTGCGCCGCCCGGCTGCTTCTTGGCTGGACGGTGACGTCGTTGTTCCGTTAGTCAACTTCATGCGCGACAATTTGTGCCTGGATTGCTTTTCTCTCGATGTGCATGGATGGGCTCCAGACATGCGATCAGCACCTTGGGACTGGTCCGGCACGGACCGGGATTGCAATGAGGATCCACGCAAGTGGGTTGGCGCCTTCGCGCGTTTGACCAACCTAAAAAGCCTTGAGATTACCCTTACCGCCTCTGATGACGGGGACTACGGCCGCCTTGTGGCATGTGCCGCCTTCCTGCGTTCGAGCATGCTCATCAACGGAGCCGCGCTGGGAACGAAGAACATTCATGCGTACCACCGACATGACGACAATTCCTACTGGAAGATTGACAACAAGCCTTGTGATATTCACTACAGGGAGCCCGGACGCCTTTTCGTCGTGCAGTGCTACGACAATGAGCATGGAAAATCCTTGCTCCCACAAAAGTCGCACCCCTCACCATCATTTCCCGGGATCAAAGCCAAGCGCGTTCAGCAAGGGCATGATCCCGCGGCTGTGGAGAGGGCACTTCGCGACGCTATCGCCGAGAAGCCTGATCAAGACCTCCACACCTACCGTATTTTCTGCGATGAAGATCAGGATGATGATGGAGAAAGCGACGACGATTCTGTGTGGAATCAGCTCGATTATGATCTCAGTGATGATGGCGACAATGATAGCTTGATAAGCATCGATCTGAGTGGTCTTGAAGTGGATTATGTTAGGGATGATGAGTACTTTGAGTATTTCGACGAGCTTGGTAAGCATCCAGAGCCGAGCGGATGAACAGACATTGGCTGACTTTTTTTGCCAGAACATGATCACAAGCCCTGCACCACTGGATAACCAACTCTACACGTATTCCATCAAGAAAGTTTACTTAGACAAGGTGAATGCCACAAGGTAGATACTTCAGCAACAGTGGATTACAATGCACTTTACCCTTCCGTGTTTGATGAGCAGCGGCACTTTCCACAATGTGTGCTTCAATCTATGTGTTGACATGTCCGAGTGTACTCATATGCAAGTGAGGTTTACTATACGCTAGCGGATTACTTGAAATCCAGCATGCCCCCTCACACAGTATGCTGTCTTGGCTGCGCTCACCGTGGTTATGACTACCCCAACAAGGTTCAGCGCAAGTGAGGCAGCTTCCGAGGTCGTGCCTGCCTTCTCATCGTCTTTTCTTGGCACCCTGCCGCCATCTGCACAGGCCTCTTGACTACTGCACCTGCCCGTTCCTCCCTTCGCTCTTTCCCCCACGCCACGCCTCTGTCACAGACAAAAGCGAACCGGCCGGTCTCATCACGCTAGCTTCGTCACTCTTTGACCCGACTGCGGGCGCAGTTCATCTCCCTGGCGCTAAATCACAAGGCAAACTCCGTACTTCAACACCCAACGCAGACAAAAGACGACGGAATGGCCGGGCCCGACGCACAGTCCGCCACTGAAACCTCTGGGAATCTTCCCGACCACCCGACTTACCGTAAGATCTCGCCTCACTTTCCCTTCCTCGAGCTCCCGCCAGAAATCAGGGTCATCATCTATGAATACCTACTGGTGTTTCCGGACAACGAAAACGGTGGCTTAAGGATCGAGCTCCATCCGGATACCGAAGCTTCTGAGCGCAGCTGTCGAGCCGCCAGTGACAGCAGTGTCGTCCGCAATCGGGCGCTCAACATCTTACTGGTTAGCAAAGCCGTCTTTTCAGAAGCCGGTAAGGTCTTCTATTCTGACTGCAATTTCAACTTCGACGACAAGCCCGACAATCCCGATGGAAAGTTCGAGTCCATCCTCATCTGCCAGGCATTCCTGACTGCTCGCTCGTCGTTTACGCTGAAATACATCACATCCGTCGCGTTCACCATCCACCTGGACTGGATGGCAGATAAAAACCCGAACGCAAAGGTCCTAGGTTCCCTCGTCAACACCCTAAACACCGACCTACCTGCATTTGAACAGCTTGGTCTCACACTCTATGGCTCATGTCCAGAGACCCGCCGCACGCCCTGGAATTGGTACCCGCCAAATGATAAACATGACCATCCGCAGAAGTGGTTTGGGGTGCTTCTCGAACTTCGAAAGGTCAAGTACTTGTTAATCAATTACAAGGACTTCGAGCCCTATGATCTATATCCCTATGACGACGAGGATTTGGAGTTTGCCAAAGAACGTATCGGCCGCTCAGTGGCTTTCGTAAGTTTTTTACGGGCTCATCTTCTCAAGAACGCCGGCGAACTTGGAACACGGAATATCCTTGTTTACAGCCGCCACATTGCGACGTTCACGCAGGAACGTTGGAAGAGGAAAATGGATCGCATAAGCATAATCATATGCTATGATGATGAAAACGGGAAATCGATTCAGGAAAAGTCGGCGATGCGTCCATCACCACTGCATATCGGTGTCCTTGAGAAATGCGTCAAAGAAGGGAAGGATCCAAAGGAGTTCGAAGAAGAATTGCGGGTCAATATAGTGGCTAACGACGACGACTTGGGATACTCGATATTCTCTCGAAACTTGTTTCTCGAAGGGGCTCTTGAGCTAGGCATGTCTGACACAGAGGACTGGGACGTGAGTGACGGTGGGGACAACGACAGTCTGAAGGATGTCGACCTTGGGAGCTTTGACTGCACTTTCATCACGGATGAGGAGTTCTTCAAGACCTACCATCAGCTTCCCGGTTGAACCGTGATGTTTCAGGAGGTCCATTTGGGTTGATGCAGTCCTATTCCTCGAGTCAAGGCGTTTGGGAATGCTTCAGTAAGAAATGGTGGGACAATATTCATCTTGATGACAACTTCGACAGAAGGCGCCAGTATATTCACACAAACTCTGAACGAATACCTTAGGAGAACTCCTCGAAAGCAGTTTCAAGTAGCAGAACCTCAATCACGGTCTAGAAATCTATGGAAGCATGCGTTGTGGCACGGAACAAAATTAATAAAGCATGCATACAGCTTGAAAGTGAACACTTATATCAAAACGCTGAACTAACCATCCTCCAAATTTCTTCACAGCTTCGTCTGTGTGGCATGCTCCCTACCTCTCTGGTTAAACTCATTGACGGATTCCGTGGGTGCTTGCGAACTCAGGCCGGGATCGGTGGAGAGGAATCGAGTTGCGGTGTTAGCGTCTCGGTGGTATAGTGAGTGAGTGAGTGAATGAGCCGGGGAATTTCTGTACTCAGGTGGGTCGCCGGGCTTTCGGTCGCATCCCATTCACCGTGAGCGGGCACTATAAGGTAGACCCGCGGGTCGTTTTCCCTTCGTCCAGCTGCAACTCTCGGCGAACCACAACCGACCCTCTCCGAATCAGCAAGCCGCCATTCCTGACTTCACACCGAACCGCGCACTGAGCTGCATTCTTGCAAGCGCTACAGCAAAGATGTCGGCCGAGCCACCCGGTTTCATCCATGTTGTCGACCCCAGCTACTTTGACCCCGACCCGATGGAGCCATTCCGCCTCCTCGACCTTCCAAGGGAGCTCCGCGATGTGATTTACGAGCACATGGTCGTATGCGGCACCGTCTACATCATCCCCGGCGACTGCTGGAAGCCTGAGCAAGAGAAACGGAACGGGCACCCGCGCGCCTGGCAACTCCATACGAGGCAGGTACGCAGGACGACTTACCTGAGAAGCACCCACGCACCTGGCGGCTACTATAGCTATCACGACCCACACTACACAGACGTTGAGCGCGTCAATGTCAGCGTTTTCCTGGTCAATAGGCAGGTCTACCAAGAGGCATCCGCCATTTACTACAAGAAGAATACCTTTTACTTCGGCAACGCAGGCCCCTGTGACGAGATACTTTCTGTGCCTGCCTGCTACGCCTTCCTCGTGGAACGCACGCCACACACATTGCGCAACCTCAAAGCCATCACCCTCATGATCGACTCTCAGGGCGTCAACGCCCCCATGGGCAGCTGGTTGGATGGCGAATACATGTTCGACCTCATCGATTTCATCAACAAGAACCTGGCTCTCGAAACCTTCGGCCTGGACCTTTGTGGCTGGCCGCCGGACGTCCGCCTCTCGACCTGGAACTGGAACGTGCCGCATCCCCGCTCCTGGATTCGCTACCATCGCATGAGCTGGGTAGGCGCACTCTTACAGCTGAACAGAGTCGAGAAGCTTTTCATCGATATAGTCGCATCTGATGGCACTCCGGAACGTCTGGCCGCCTTCTTGTGCTTACTCCGCTACCACCTGCTGGAGAACGGTGAGCTCCTGGGCACTCGCAACATCAAATTTTACGCTCGTCACTTTGGCGAGTACTGCAGCCGCAAGAACAGCGCCAGCGGAGACGCCGAGATCTACTACAAGCGGAAGAGGGAGGGCCGCAGGCTCCAGCTTTTGTCGCACGACGACGCGAATGGCCGGTCCTTTGTTCAGCCCGCTACACGCGCGTCTCCGCTGTGTGAGGGCGCCGTTGCGAAGCGCGTCGCCGACGGTCTGGGGCTCGATGAAGCGAGGGAGCAAGTGCAGGAGGAAGCAGAAAACAACAGGTACACGTCCATCTACCGATTCCCAGGCGATGAAGACTCGGACATCTCGGACTACGACGCGAGCGATGACGGCGACAACGATAGCTTGAACAGCTTGGAGCTGGATGAAGATGATATGGACTTCGTCATGGATGAAGATTACATCGAGACTTTCCGTGATCTTGATGATCGGAGGCAGGAAGAAAACGAGAGGCGTTACCTGGCTGGTGCGCAGGCTTATCCGGACACCGAGGGGTTGGAGTAGCGACACTTCTGATTCATTACCCTGACAGGGCACTAGAAGTTATTGTCAATGGCTTACGGATAACTGGGAGTAGCATAGATTGAGACTATAACCGTGGAAAGAAGTATTAGAGTTACATCTACGAGAGGCTTTGGGCTCGAGCTCAGGGAAGATTTGCCTGCGTTTGGAAAGTTATGTACTTGTAGCAGCAGAGCAAACCTGAAATATAATATGATTTGGCGAACAGTGAGGTCCATGGAGCTGAAAGATTGTTGAGGGACAAAGCAAGCATGCTTTACCAAATATCGAGGAGCCACTGAAAGGGAAGGCTTAGCTGACCACAAAGAACCAATGAATACTCAAAGTGACCACTGACGTCAACAATTCCTTGACCAACACCATATGTCGAATAGGTCGGCAATTGCAAGTAGCAAGGGCCGAAAAGGCCTGGCCCGAAAACAGTACCATGGTGCGGAGATTCGATGCAGTGATGATGGTTCTCGTATTCAAGTCCTAAGATTTTCCGTTCATCTCCCGTCGCAGTTCCGCTATCTCCTGAGATCTATCGCCACCGATCCTTCAGCAGGGGCGGTAAAATTTTTGCGGGGAAGTGCAAAGCTATAATCGACGTCTTCAGGCAAGCATAAGCGGCGGAGCGGGTAGTGATTTAGTACTCATGGCCGGTGCCAAGAATTTCAAATCAATATATAGTGGAGTAATAAGTAGGCCGGACTGGAGCCACGATTCTGCGAAGCAGCAGGGGCCCATGGTTTGCCGATTGCCACCGACATGGGGTGGCGACCAGCCCTAAGATGAAGCGGAGAGAGCAGGTTAATGAATCTGCACTAGTGCAAATCAGGAAAGAATACTCCCTGAGCCAATGGCGCGGGGAACCCCAACGTCGTGCGTGATGTAGAGATGACATTTTGCGCTCGGCTTTCCGTCAGTTGGGCTGGCGTGATGCTGCTCGTGTATGCTAAGGGCAATGGCTCCCTAAGCACTTGCTAGATGCACCGAGAGCCGCAGCTGAAATATATTGGAATCCCTGTTGTCCCGGCAATTGCTCGCTTGTCGACCCGAAGCCAAGACGGCAGCCCATATCCCCCACGACAATTCTTCGCCCCGCCGCGGAATCATGCAATTGTCTTGACACACATTTTTCCATCCAAGCTGACATTCCTTCACAGCACCGGCTTCAGCTGGGTCGGAGCTGAGGCAGGCGGCCCGCGCGACGGGCTTGACTTCAGTTTGCAGCACGCGCCGCTTCGTATATGCCGACTACGACATATTCTCGTGGTCGCGCCCGCTGCAACTGCTGTGTTCCGCCCTCGTGGCTGGGTCGGAGACTTTTTGCTTTCCCCTTGCCCCTGTCCCCTGTGCGTGCCCGTCGGATGCTGCGGGCTGGAGAGACGCAATAACGGGCAACATCAAGACAAGGCTGACAAGGGCTAGACCGCCGGCGAAGGGCCCAAGGCAGCAGCAGCGCTTTTCTTTCCCGTCCGCTCGGTTCATGCTCGCTTCCGCGCCGGGTAGGAGCCCGGCGACGCGGCGTGCGCACCACCACACACGCCGCGCCGCAATACGCCGCCGCGCCCCGGAAGACGGAATTCGAGTGTGCCTGGAATCGAGGTACCGGAACGCCTGACCACGAGCTGGGCGCAGGCGTGTTGGTGCGACGGCGAGGCGCCATGATACAGCCATGCTTTCCCTCGCACAAAAGTCCGGGGTCCACAGCCGTCTGTGTTACCGAAACAGGGGACCAAATTAGCAACAACAACAAGGCAATTGTGGGCGCACTCAAGCGGTCTGTGTGCGCCCGCCCCCGCCGCCCAAGACATGCAGGCAAGTGCGTTCCATACATTGACTTGCCGTCGTACGAGGCGCATGTACATGCATGAATGACCCGTAGCCGAACGAAAGATCACTCGGACTCGGGTAGGGCAGCAGAAGGCCTTCTCGCCCTGTCGTTATAGAAATGCTGGGGGGGGACCCTTTCCCGCGAAGGACGGCCTGAGACGGTAGCCTGCCTTGTCTTTTCTTGCATTGCTGGCGCTTCGTTGAAAAGTGTCGTTGCTCTTTTGTCTCCCGCTCCATCTCCATCTCCCCGACTCCGACGCGCAGCAGATGTCGTGATACCCGCCCTTGTCTTCCACCATACACCGTCCATCGCTGTCAATTGCTCGCCGAGTGGCACGATAACTGTCTGCGCAGCTGACGCGCTTGAACCCACCTCCTAAGTCCGAGGCCGAAGCTGCTATAAATCCTCCGACTGCACCTTTGAGGCCTAGAATCTCTCGATCACCAGTCTCTCTCCGTCGCTTGAGATTGCCGAATTGCTTTTTTTCCCTGTTACCGACCAATTTAACCAACTTAACGCACTGGGGACAGGCCACTCCCAATTACACCACCAACATGGAATCCCTCTCCGACACAACCACCAACCCCCTACCACCACCCCGCGCACACACCCCTCCACCAGCATACACACCCTCGCCTTCACATCAACATCAACAACAACGCTGCTACCACACCCGCCCGGGTTCCACCCAACCATCCGCCTACGTTCCACGCGGCCACCCACGCAGCAGCACCACCTCCTTAATTCACCACCAACACCACCGGGTATCAGCCGCCGCCGCCGCCAACGAAAAAGAAGTTCTCTTCTACAAGCCCGCCGGCCACGACGCGGAACCCGCGCCTGCGTATTCGGAAGGAGAGGACGACTACTACGACTACGACGACGACGACGACGGGGAAGGAGCGAGGGAGAGGAGGGGACGAGGGGAGGAAGGAGGTGTTGCGTGCTATTCGCCGTCGCAGCATCAGCACCGCAGGACGTCGAAGTTGGAGGCGAGGATACGCGCGTTGGAGGCGCAGTTGGCGGCGCGGGGTGGGAAGTGAATTGGTGGCATATGAGAAGTTGGTCACTCGATTCTCTGATTATTTAATGTTTTGTTATGAGCGCTTGAGGCGCTATTGGAAGCAGGGAGGTGTTGTTTTCCCTTGAGTAGGGCTCTGTGATGGTTGCGTTCGCTGGTGGTGTGGGAGATTGGGGAGTTAATGTTGAAGGTGGGTAAGGTGGTGCTTAGTTGAATGACGCCTGAATAATCAGGATTGGACAGAACGACATACAGGGTTTGTTAGGCTTTGTATGACGTTTTCAAAATAGCGATAGAGTTGTGACCATAACAGCACAAGGAAAATACCATAGTTGGTAACGAAAGGGTTGATTGCACAACACGAACACAGAGCTGTTACACTATGGTTACAGTCTGCGTCTTCCACCCTTTTGACCACCAAGCCTGAAGTGCCCGTTTCCTTTCGGTATCCAAGTCCGCAACACGCGGACTTTCAATATAACATCCAACGCGCTGATATGTATCCGTTCGTTCGTCATAAGAAAGAACCAGCGCAATGGCAGCATATTCCTTCCCCCTACCATAGTCCCCTACATGAAGAGGCGCAACCTCAAGACAAGACACCACCATTCTTCCACTCCTCTCCTTCAGCAGGTCTATCGGAAATGGCCACGCAAGCATATCTGTCATGAGTGGATCGTCATTCAGAAGTTCAGCCAGGAAGGCTACTTCGTCACCCGCGTCCCATTCGCACCAGGCTTTTTTGAGCCGCCCCTTCAGAGTGAGCCTCCCACCGACTACGTCACCAAAAGGAGCTTTCTCTAATTTCAGCTTTACCTCTGCAGAGACAATGCAGCACGATGGTTTTGTACCACTTTCGAAAATACACGTGCTCCTGTACCATTCTACTCCCGCAGAAACCGATGCCCAGGACCACGATGGCACATGCGAGACTCTTGTAGATGAACCATATCTTACTTCCCATGTGCACTTCTGTAAGAGGTCTTTCTCCCACATTCCTGCAATGTATCGTCCCCAATTCCCCAAGTTTGCAAAACGCTCAGCGACAGCAGATATTGCGAGAAGCTTATCCGCATCATATGTGAGCCTGCGTGTGCTGTACATGCTGATAAGATTCAGCCACGTGCTGTTAGCATAAGCCCTTCTAGATATTAGATACGGAAATCTTTGGATCCTTTGAGGCATGAGTGCTGATGTGCGGTGTTGAGAACTCATTTTAGATCTGTCCATGTACTGAGTCGACGTGAGGCCCGTGTCAAAGCCCAGACGCGGATTTGTGAATCGACGCATCATGCAAGAGTTCAATTTTTCTTGAGGGCAGTACCAGTGCAGATGACCGTATTCGAAGGAGAGTATGCGAGGAGAAAGAAGCGTCTCTTGAAGGGTCCAGGCTCTGGTTACAAGAGGCATTTTTTGAAGCGGATGTGCGGAACATTTTCCGATAGCCCTGACGTCTTTTGAACCGTCTGCGCTCGTAACGGCGACTTTGCAGACTAACCCGAAAGGATTGGACATCGAAAGGAACCCGTCGGAGCTGCGAGGCGACTGTGTGGCGGCGATGGTGACGTATGATCCCTCGAAAATTTTCGCCATCTGTGATATCTGTTCCAGCATCTCCTCTTCGTCGTCTTGGACGATGCAAAGACTGTCAACCCAGAGATAAGCCACGCCTAGATCACGAGTGACTCTAATCGCATCTTGTATCGTCTCCGGTAAAACTTCCGAAGGCAGGCCTTTTTGTGCAGACGCAATTGTCTTGGATGTTGTTTTGAATCGTTGATCACCTCCCCAGCAATAACTGAGCGTAGCATATTGCACAGGCTCTGTAGGTGATGCTAGAGTAACTTTATCGGGAACACCTTTGCGCGACACTCGGAGAAGACGCAGCGGCATGAAGTCACGCCTGTGTTTTGAGCATTCAGAATGCCGCACGTTGCAGGTTGCTATCCAATTGCGAGAGGTCTCCTGAAGGCCTGTGTTGAAATGCATATGGACCCCTTGCTTGCGGCGAGAAGACTGGACCAGGCTTTCTGATAGCACTTTCAATACAAGTTCTTAGCCTAGGAAACGATGGGTCTGCCTACCATTCAAGGAAAATAGTGCCCATATTCGACCATCTTCACTCCAAAAGTCATCATCGTTGAAGCATTCTTCAAATTTCAATATGACGGACATGCCGCTAATGTCATCAGGGTAGCGAGTACTGAGTAGCGAGTAGGTGATTGGTTTGGAAAGAAAGGCTTTAGGAAGTTCGGAGTACCGATTTCGACCTTTGGCAATATCATCGGTGTTAGTGCGCGGGTCGATATCTGGACCCAAGCTCAAAAAAAACAGGCACCCTTCTTCGGTAGCTCTTTTCGCTTCCGCGTACGTCACGCCCAGGTCGCCAACACGGTGCGCCGGCCTCCTCTTGAAACTTCGTTCATTCTTCATGATGTTCGGCATCGAGTCGATGAGGCGAAGATCGATGGTAATCTTCTGGCAGTGGGAGCAGGAGTGGATGCCATCTTCGTCATAGCCTGTGAGCAGCTGTCCAGGCCAGTCTGGCGCCAGTCTGCTTGCGTCATCGAATGAGCTCCGGCGTGGGATTCGTTGGAGCCTGTGCAGCTTTGGGGCTGACTGGCGTCTTCTGAGATCTGACAGGCTCTTCGTGCGGCGTAACGGAACTGTTTCACCAGAAAACAGTGCGGGACTCGTAGCAGAACTGCTGGGGCTCGCGACAGAGCTGGTGTACCTTGTCGCAGAGCTGTTGCAGCTTCGCGTGTCGGAGGGATTAGAGGATGCCACCGTATCCATGTTTGGTGTTGTCGTGTATTATTGTCTGTGGGTGAGCAAGCCTCTTGAGAGGGTAAGATACAGAATATGTTGACAGAGGAAGGTAAGAGAGAAATAGAGTACAGAGAGCGCAAAACTAAGGTAAAAAAAAACACCCGTGATTTGTAAGCCGCAAAATATGGAGATTGATCAGCCACATACAGGGGTTTCGGCAATCTCGGGCTTGGCTTTCGTTTTCTGTACCTAGATCTTTAGAGGGTGCGTGTTTGGAGTTTAGCCAACAACTGATACCTTCCTTATGTGAGCAAACAATACTGTGGGCATGTACCCAGATGAACAAAGCAAAATGAGGTAGACTTCTTAACGCTAAGAAAGCAAGCCATACAGAGGTTGCTACATCGCCAACACTGGCATCTATGTCTTCTAATAAACTCTTTATCTTACAACGTCTGTACTTCTATATACACCTCTCCCAACTCTACCCATCTAGCACCTTAAGCATATCCTCCCTCCTCACAAACTTCACCCTCTCCCTCCCGGCCTCTCTCCCCTTCTCCCTTTCTACGTCATCAATCTTCTTCCATTCTTCCCAACTCACCGGCCTGGCCCCAGCATCGATCGCCTCCTTCCTCAGCGCCTCCCACCCCTGGCCATCGCCCTCTAAGAACTTGGCCCCACGCTCCAAATCCTCGACGATCGAGTCGGCCGTGGTGAACGCGTCCTCCATGGTGCTCGCGATGACGCCCGTCGGGCCGCGCTTGACCCAGCCGGCGACGTACATGCCGGGGACATGGCCGACGGCGGTGACGCGGCCGAGCATGTCGTTCGGGATGATGCCACGGCGGGAGTCGAAGGGGATGCCGACGTCGTCGAAACCGGGCAGCGGCTCGGACTTGTAGCCGACGGAGCGGAAGGCGATGTCGGCCGGGAAAGTGGTCGATTGGTCGGGAGCGGCGGACTCGACCCGGGCAGCGCGGTCGAAGGGATCGCAGTCGGCAACGAAGGACGTGTGCTGGAAGGTGGCGCTGGCGATGCGGGTGGCGCCGGCGGCGGAGGCGGAGGCGGTGCCGGCGTTGAAGGAAGAGGGCGAGAGGAGGAAGTCGAGCGACCATTGCTTGCTGCCGCTGGGGAGGTCGGCGGGAGGACCGCCGTTGGGGGAGCCTTCTTGGAGGATCTTGGAGAGACGCTTCATCTGCCGGTTGAGCTTGTAGTCTGGAGCCGGGAACAGGGAGGAGGGAATGGGCTTGAAGAAAACGTTGGGGAGGTTGAAGAGCTCCCGGACTTCTTTGATAGTGAAGGCGGCCTGGCAGGGATCAGCGTGATAGGACGGCAGTAGATCTGGATAGGTTGGCACGAACCTGCATGGGTCCTCTGCGGCCGACGATCCGCACGGAGTCTACCTTGTTGCGAGAAAGCTTCTCCAATGCGTGCTCCGCGATGTCCGTCTTCCGCAATTCGTCCACATTACTGAGCAATATACGGGCGACATCGAGAGCAACGTTTCCTTGACCAATGACGACAGCCTCCCTGGCCGTCTCCAGCAGCGGATTTAGGTTTGCATATTCCGGCAACCCATTATACCAGCCTACAAATGCGCGGGCGGAGTATACGCCCTCCAGGTTTTCGCCTGGGATTCCCAGCTCCTTGTCCTTCGAGGCGCCGTACGAGAAGAGGATGGCATCGTAATGGGAAGTCAAATGAGAAAGCGGCAGGTCGCGGCCGACACCAACGTTTCCGATGAAGTTGAAGCGCGGCGAGGCAGCTACTTCCTCGAACTTGTCCTGGCAGTTCTGCGCATTCTCAGCATTGAGTCACGGCAGGACCGGGTGCTCGGAAATTTTACCTTGACCTCCGGATGGTCTGGAGCGACACCAAAGCGGACCAGACCATAGGGGACAGGCTGATGCTCGTACATATCAACGACCGCATCCTGCACCTTGGACATCAGCCGGTAGGCCGAGTAGAAGCCTGCAGGCCCGGAGCCGATAACGGCGAGGCGGAAAGGCCGGCCATTGCGAGTCGTGGCGTAATTTCTGGTGTCTAGAAAGGAGCGAAGAAGCTGAGCATTGGGTCTAGTCGGAGCGCGCAGGTTGCGGGCGCAGGCGCGGCAAACGAAGGACGCGGGGCGTGGGAGGCGCATTTCCTGGAGTCTTGGAGAAAGTGCGGCGGCGTCGGAGTCGCGCAGAGGGCGCAACCAAGGCACAGCGCGTCATCAGCCAACGCACGCGGCTCCCGGCGATCTCGGCTTCACCCGCAGCCCACAACAACACCACCACCCTCCGTCATGATCGGCGTGATCGCGATCAACGGCGAGTCAGCCCCAGCGTCGAGCTGCGGAGAGCCGCAGCAACCGCCCGACCATGACACGGCGCTAGGCCTCTCAGATATATTGCGCCCGAAGCAGGGAACGGTGACGCCTTGGGCGGGCGCGAGGCTGTTGTCCAGCGCGACCAATGCGACAACCCTAGGCCGGTTCCGCACATGTCGGGTCACTTTCGTGCCACCACTAACGCCAAAAGGTGCCTGGCTAGCTGCCAAAACGAGGCGGATGCACGCGGCACGGCTGTCCCGCCTGGCAGGGTAGGTACGTGTTGCTATGGTGACGCGCGCGCCAAAACCAGCCTTAACACCAGCCTTCCCACATCCATGCCCAGGCCTCCGCCGAGCTTCCCCTCCACCACACCCGCCTCTCTTTGTCTCTCGCCGCGTCGATTTTGTCGCGCGTGCGGTTGATGCGCATTCCTCGCGCCCACGTGTGCCGTCGTTCTTTGACCGTCCTTCGTCGCGTTCACTTTGCCCGCCATGCCCAGCCCGCCGTACATGTACGACCCGCCCCAGCGCTACTCGGCCACCTCGGACACTCTCTATGGCTTCGATCCCAAGGCCGTCACCAAAGCGAGCCGCATGCCTCCGAGGAGCCCGCCCAAGAAGCAGGATGGCCCGCTGGTCGATTTCAACAAACACCCCGACAGCTACCTCGTCTTGGCAAATAGCCGCAGCAATGTGAAGCCAATGAACCCGAGGGTCAAGATCGCCATCAAATGGGTGCGATGGGTGCAGCTGGGCTTCAGGGTGCTCCAATTGATTGGTGCAATCGGTCTCCTCATCTGCGTCATTTGTATCAAGGGAACTCAGGACACCGAGGGTTGGATCATCCGGATTCCGGTAGGTTCAGATGGAAAAATATCTCACATAGTAGATTTATTCACAATCTCTAGGCTGCTGTTGACATCGTTTGTGAACTCTACGCGATTTACCACCTTGTCCGCCCCGCTAAGAGCCGCGCTCCGTCCAGCTCTGCTAGCTACCACTTTTTCTCCCTCATCGTCGACACCGGTCTGATTCCCTTCTATGTCTTCACTGCCATGCTTGCCAACAGCAACTGGCAAGAAGCGCCGGGCACCGAAGGGCGGTGGCGTACCTTCTTTAGCACCGATGATGCTACCTCCAAGATCCTACTCACCACTTGGCTGACTTCTGTGACTGTCGGAGGACTGCATCTGATCTCGCTTGGCATCGGCCTCTACCTTACCCTTGTCTTCCGCAAGATTGGGAAGCTTCCGCCTGACATGAACCCGCTTGAGGATAACTTGACCTCTCGCAGAAGCACTAGGCACAAGCACAAGACTTCATCGCTATCCGGCATCACTATACCCCCGGAGAAGCGCTTTAGCGAGTTGTCGGGCAGCACGGCTGTCTCCAGCCCCACTAAGTCCTCATATGGTGCCGAAGATCCTCTGATTCCCGATGTTCGGACCATGCCGTTCATGGACTCACGCAGAAATTCGGACATCCTTTACAACCCTCACAACCCTCGCTCGGCTCGTGAATCGCGCCTTTTCGAAAGCCGACATGGCAGCATGAGCCCGCCCAAGCTTGATCTGAAAAACCTCCCTGTGAAGATGTCTCCGGGTGGCTACGATTCCATGTCACCAACCTCTTCCCCCGAGAGGTCACCCGTCCGCTCCGCCAGGTCCATGAAGCGTCAATCTCTGAAGAGCGACAACTGGTTCGTCCATGCCGAAGGCGAAGGCTCCTCGCCCTCGGACGACGAAGACGAGCCGAACTCCAAGCAGCCTCTGGTCCGCCGCTACTCCTTCGAAGCCGACGACGATGGCGCCGTCACCACCACCACCATCTACAAGGACATTATCGCTCACAACGGCCCGCTCTCCCCGCTCTCAGACGGCGAAAACACCGGCTACCTGCGTCCGCAACCGCTGCGCATGAACCCTCCCTCGCCGCAGCCGCCGATCAACCAGACCAGCAAGAACGGCAACGATCTGACCAAGAACAAGCCGTCCATGCCCCCGCCCATGCCCTCGTTCCAGTCGGAAATCGGCTCCATCTCGTCGGACCGCTCCTCCAACATCGGTCGCGCCCTCACCATCAACTCGTCCGTCACCCGCACCACCGACGCCTGGGGCTACTTCCCGACCCATCACCACCACCACCACGGCAGCAGCAGCAACGTCAGCAGCAACAACGGCCGCAACAGCGTCGAGCCGCCCGCCGGCACCCACTCCAACTTCTCCTCGCCATCGCGCAGCCCGACGCGGAAAGCCCGTTACTACGGCGACCTGCGCGACGCGCAGGAGGGCATCCTCGGCGGCGGTGGCAACCACCGCTCTTCCAATGACCCCCGCAGCGGACTTTTCGCGCAGCATCTCGGCCTGCCTAGCCGCGGCGACGGCACGACCAGGCGCTCCATTGGCCGCAGCCCCGAACGCCCGGCTTACGCGCGCGTCGAGAGCAGCCCGCGGGTCGTCAGCAGGAGCGGTGTCGATGTCGAGCTCGTCGATGGCGATTTGGGCGACGTGAGGAGGAGTGCGGCACCCGGTAGTGGTGGCGGCAGGCAGAGGATCGTGAGCGGGAAGGCGGCGGAGGAGGGGTTGGCGGGGCCGGATTGGGAGGGGGTGACGAGGAGGAAGGTTAGTGGGATGGTGTAGTAAGGGGGGAGGGAATATGGGAGAGAAAAGATGCGGTCCAAGGATACCGTGGGGAATAACGGTTTGTGGGTTGGGTTGGGTTGGGTAAACGGGGGTTTGATGGATTTTCCCTCTCTTCTTGCTTTTTGGGGTTTTGAGTGGATCTGGGGTTTGGGTCTTTCTATGTGATATATCCCCTTCTGTCCGCGACGCTCTGGACGCAAAAGTCGCGTGTCTTGGTTGCTCTTGTTATTGGTATCCGGAATGGCGTATTTGCATCTTTAATTACCCACTCGGGCATTGCTGGGTTGGTCCTTGGTTGAAGGTTTCCTAAAATCTGTAGCTGATACAGATACCTAGACGTTGACTTTCAACTATCCATGCAAGATTCGCTGCAGGGATGCCATGCGCAAGAAAAAAAACAAAAAAAAGGGATCTCAAGGGACCTCGAAGGACCCGCAGCGGGGTCAAGACAACAAACTAATTTTCCGGATCAAAAAAGCAAGGTCATCCTTGGCCGATGTGCGCGTGTCTGTGCTTTAATATATAGGAGTATCGGCCCGTCGGGTAGCCTATCTGTGCAAGATAAGGTTGACTTAGCAGAACCATTATTGCCTCGATCCTTAAATGGAAACAGCTAACCAGTATAAACTAGGTATCCTACGCTTATAGGACTGTACACCGCACCATGACGTTTTCACAATGAACCAGGGACAGGCGCGATCATGAGAAGTGAATTGAGCGACAGTAGCGGTGAGTAGGGCATGAACCACAATATAAAAAGCGCCCGACCAGCAGCACCTGACGTTTGTGCCCAACTGATAAATGTCCATACACCACCTCGATTAGGCAGCCAAGCACGGCTGTCGGATAGCACGGACAGCACAATGCACCCCCTTCGGTTGACCCGTGCGTTGTCTCAACGCCCGAAGATGCTTCACACCACGATCTCCGTCATCAAATCTTGCGGCCACCTCGGCTGATCCACGCCATTCGTCCTGGTGCCGACATTGAATCCCGGCTTGACCTTTTGCTCTTCCGGGACACCTTCGGCTACCTCGTACTGAGCTATGGGCTTCGGCACGCGAATGGCATGGCCCATGTATCCGCACGGGCGGTCTTCGAAAAATTCTGGCTTGAACAGCACGTCGCTGCTGTTCTGCTGCAGCATGGCCAGATAACGCGGTAGCGTGTATAGCATGTGGTGGTAGTGGCGGAAGACCTGCTTTCCGTTTCGTGCCCACACGTCCTCCCATACGGCTTTCGGGTAGGTTCCGACGCTGTTGACGAGCCATTGAGAGTAGTAATTCAGAGCGATCTGATGGCAAATTAGTGGCGGATAGTAGATTTGGTCGGCGAAGGGAGATACTCACGTCGACTTTGTAAGAACCACCGTCTTGGGCCCTTCGCATGAGGGCATCCAGCGTACCGATGATACCACAGATGCCAGTGCAGTAGTCGGAGTTGGGGAAGACGGGAGTGACGGGCTCGTCGTTACCCATCGCACGCCCGAACTCTAAAGAGACGCCAGTATTCTACGAGAGGATCAGCAATCACTCCTTCAGACGTGTGTTTGGTCATAAGCTTACCGCATCACAGATCTGCTGCCAGCCGCTCCTGTAGCTCCACGGGCCATGCCAACCGTACGCGTTCTCTCGAACCACAATCAGACCCCTGTCTCTATCTTTGCAGATGTCGAACAGGCCTTCATACGAGAACCCGTACTTGTCCAACACGCCCGGCCGGTACCCCGTCACGACCACATCCGCCTCTTTAATCAGTTCCACGCACTTCACCCTATCCTCCTCATTCTTGAAATCCAGGCAGGTATTCCACTTGCCCCAATTCAGATCGACAAAACACCCGTGATGGTCCGTCACATTCGGGCTGGTCACCCTCATCACGCTAGCCCCCAGCTCCGCCAACCCCCTCGTCGTCGCCGGCGCCGCCACCATCCGCGTCAGATCCACCACCTTCAACCCAGCCAACGGCCTGCTCGGCCCCGTCTTCAACGCCCCCTTGTCGTACTCCGGCCACCACCCTGGCCGCTGCCTCTCATTCGCAAACGCATCGACCTCGTACAGCCCCACATGCGCATTCGCCCTCCCATGCTCGCTCTCGCGATACTCGTCGACGCTCCAGCAGATGGTCCCGGCCTGCCTCGCCTCATCGCTCGCCATGCGCTGCAGCGTCTGCGAATCAAACCGCGCAACCGCCTCCGCAACCGGCCAGCACGCCTCCTCGGCGCTCGCGGGCTGGACCTCTGGTTCAACCGGCAAGCCCAGCATGCGCAGCGTGGGCGCCGGGTCCATGGAGCCGTGCACGTGGAAGAAGCGGCCGTCGGCACAGCGGTAGATGTTGGTCGCCGCCGTGCGGTGGTGCGTTGCCAGGTGACCGTGCTTGTCCCAATGGGTCGGGAAGTACTTGTCGGCCAGGTCGCGCAGCTGGGCGGATTTGGTGGGGCGCGAGACGCCGAAGGGTTCGCCGCCCAGCGTGTTGGTGATGAGGGACATGAAGAAGAGTTGGGCGTGGTCGCTGTTGTGCGTGGAAGGAAGGATGGCGGGAGAGGTTAGTGGCTGGGGCTGTGTGCGATTCTGCTTGGATATTGATGGCTATGGAGAGAATGCATGAAAAGGTGGAAAGAAATGCGGAAAGGAATCATTGATTATTGGAGAAGTATGAACATATTTCGACTGGGATTTGAGAACGGTAAGAGACAAGCCTTACGTGTTGATGGTGACTTTCTGCGGCTGCACATTGTACTTCTTCTTCAGCAGCACGTTCACCATTGTGGCTTCCAGCGCCTTGAGAGAGGAGACGCTCTCTGCAAACCGCCAATTGATGGGCACGGATGGCAGCCTGGACCCTTCAAATTTCACATAGCCGGCCAGCTCTTCCGCATCTGGCGGCAGAACCTTGGCAATCAAAGGGTTCTTGAGAATTCCTTCATGGAAGATCTTCTCAGTTTCTTCCGGAATCGAGTAAGAGGCGACGTCTCTCTCAACAGCTCCGTTCGTTGCAGCCATTGTGTCGTGGTCGAATGATCTGAAAGTGGGGGAGCTGTGTGTTTAAGAAAGATTGCGCCTCATGGTCGGAAATACGATAACATCGGCCGATACGTGAAGAATTTTGCCGGCATAGAGCGAAGAGGTGGCCAATGGCACGATGGGTACGGATCCTACCGACAAGGGGTTGAGTGTCTATTCTTGGTATGATTAATCATATGATTCAGTACCTATATTCTGCCCGCAACCGGATGATCGTGGAGCTTGGCAGATGGTTGATTGACAGGAAGCCAAAAAGAACCCTGTAAAAAACGGCTGTCCATGACTAGGTAATTGCGGGGCGCGGAAAGCGGAGGCTCGTTCCGACCCCTGACTTTCGAGGACCCTTGATTTCGTTTCTACCCGTCTGCAGTGGCTTCCCCGGCGAGAACTCGAGACGTCTAGCGTGACACAGTGCTAAATGTTCGAAACGGATCACTCCAATGGCCGCCGTCGACTCTTTCGATCAGCATGTTCTGGCCGAATCATGGCCAACTTCGCAGGAGCTCGTCCCCACCGCATCGGCCCGCGCTTCCCTTTGCAGGTGATCACGGTGGGGTGAACCGGCTCTTTGCGCCCCTTTTGAGCGTTTCAACATAGCGTCGGGCACCTCTATCCTGATTGCCGAGCGTGGTTTCTTTTCACTCCTGAGGTTCCCCTTTGCATAGGTTTACACAATTTTGTCCAATAAAACGTGCGCGTCCCACACTTCCCTCCAAACCAACACACGTCTCCGACATGTCTGACGAGGAGGACTGGCGGAAAGACCGCCCGGTGCGGATCGCGAATTGCTCTGGCTACGCCGGTAAGTGCCCCTATCCGGACAAGCAAACAGACCAATTGACGGCTGCAGTTGATCCCGGCTACCACATGCGCTTTCAAGCCGAGAATGGCGACGTGGATTTCATTACCGGCGACTATCTCGCCGAGTTCAACTTGGGCGACATTGCCGAAGCCATGGCGTGCGGCAGCCACCCGGGCTACGCCGCAACGGCGTGGGACGGCATTGAGCAGACGATTGACCTGTTGGCCGAGAGAAAAATAAAGCTCGTAATCAACGGCGGGGCACAAAATCCCAAAGGGCTGGCCCTAAAAACCCAAGAGTTGGTAGGTCGCATTGCATAATCGCAGTGGCCCGGGTGCTGATTAAGGCAGATCACCCGAAAGGGATATGATCTGAAGGTTGCATATGTGGAGGGTGACAACTTGACATCTGTTGTCAAGGACCAACTCGAAAGGGGAGAGCTTCTGCCCCAGCTCGACTCGGAAAATCCCCACGTGGCCACGCCCAGAGATGCTCTCGCCCTGGAAAACACCTCGGATCATCCCGTCGTGACTGCCAATGCGTACTTGGGGGCCCGTGAAATCAAGGTGGGCCTGGGTCTGGGTGCCGACATCGTCATCTGCGGGCGGGTAGCCGATGCATCACCGGTAAGTTCCCCGTTAACGCCACTGGCACCCACGAACAAAGGCTAACTTTTCGCGGGCTGTTGGGGCTGCTGCGTACTGGCATTCCTGGACTGATCAAGACTTTGACTGCCTCGCTGGCGCATTGGTCGCCGGGCACCTGATTGAGTGCTCAAGCTTCGTCACGGGCGCCAACTACTCTGCGTTTTACGAACATGATCTCGACGACCTCTATGACCTTGTGCACCCCATCGCAGAGATTTCTGAGGATGGAACCTGCGTGATCACCAAGCACCAAGCCGGGAAAGGCTTCGTCACCGCCGACACCGTGAAGTGCCAGTTCCTGTACGAGTTGCAGGGCAACATCTACCTGAACAGTGACGTGAATGCACTTCTCGACGATGTCTGTATAGAAGAGATTGGCCCCAACCGGGTCAAAGTCTCGGGCATCCGCGGCGCCCCTCCGCCGCCCACGACCAAGCTGGCCATATTCTACCGCGGGGGATACCAGAGCGAGATTCTCATTAATGCCTGCGGCTATGCCACGGCCGAGAAGTTCAAGCTCTACGAAAAAGTCATCCGCAATGGTCTGAGAAAACACGGGGTTCTCGATCAGTTTGACGCGCTTGAATTCCAAGTGTAAAGCCTCCACCCGCCTCTCTCCATAAACACATGACTGACTGCAACACCAGCATCGGCACCCCCGAAGAGAACCCCCGCTCACAACTACGGAGCACCACTTACCTCCGCATCTTCGCCGAGGCGCCCCGCCCGGACCTCATCTCCACCATACCCAAAGTTGTTGGCGAGTACGCCATGCAGCAGTTCTCTGGTTTGTCACCCCCTTGTCCAGCATCTCCGTCACCACCCACTTACATGCACGCCCAGGTTGGCACGCCACCCGAGATACACGCACCTACGCACCACTCCCCTTCCTCGCCTACTACGCGGCGCTGTACCCGCAAACGTCGCTGCACTCGACCGTCAACATGCTCAGCAGCGACGGCAGCCTCGCGCGGAGCGTACTCACCACGCCTCCACCAACCTTCACCTCGCTCGTGCCGCGCGACTCGTACGACACGTCGTCACCAACGCCGCTCCACAGCCTGGGGCCGACGGTGCGGCTGCGGCTGGGCGACATCGTGCTGGCGCGCTCAGGCGACAAAGGCCCCAACCTGAACATCGGCTTCTTCGTGCGCGACAACACGCCCCGCAACTCGACGCAGTCACCATCGCCGACAGCCGAGACTTTCGCGCTGGCGTGGGAGTGGCTGCGCGCGTGGCTGTCGCGCGAGCGCTTCATCGACGACCTCGTGGGACCCGAGGACTGGGACAGCGAACAGTTCCACGTCGAGCGCGTCGAGTTCGCCCGCATCAAGGCCGTGCACTTTGTCGTCTACGGCTTCCTCGGCCGCGGCGTCAGCAGCTCGCCCCGGCTCGACTGCTTCGGCAAGGGCTTCGCCGACTACGTGCGCGACAAGTGGGTCGACGTGCCCGCCGCGCTGTTGCCCATGCGGAGCCCCGATGGGAGGAGGGTTGAGGAGATTGAGAGGGCGTTGTTGGCCGCCGGGTAATGGATGGGGTAGGCCGGCAGAGGAGCAGAGGAGTAGCTTAGTGTTTTTGTTTGATTCATGTCTTGGAGAATATATACCTAGGGGTCGTTTTAAGCCAGTACTCGAGTACAGTAGTGGCATGTTTGGAAGCCATTCGACAATGTATAAATGTCAACGTTCGCTACCCACACAGTTTTTACGACAGTGCATCTTCGAGAGTCTCAATTTCTGTTGTTTCGGATAGCGATTCCCAGAAGCACGTGGTTGACGCGGAAGACGCCCACGGGTCCGTGAGCGATGTAATAGGAGAGCAGTACGATGGTCCATCAATCACTTCTCATTTTTCGCCTTTTGTACACGCGTGCCAGCTTGCCTCTTAGTCTACCAGAAGCTTCACCGCCCTCTGATCCCTCCATCCTGGAAAAAGTGTGATCTACATGACGTGGAAGCGTGGTCGGATGTTTGATCAAGCCACGTCTGCCACGCCTGGGCTGACCGAGATCCAACCACAAGACACACGGACCCTGCCCGCCCAGCCAGAACCCCGATTGACCACCTCCAATCAAATTTAAACGACCAACAGCCCCCGACCCTTTCCAAGACGTCTTTCGAACATCTTCCACTGATGTTCGTCGTCCGCACATCGCCGCCGACCCACCGCCGCCACCTCCAGCAGCCGACATGGGCAAGCGCACCGCCTTCCTGAGCAGGACGCTCAAGACCATCCCTTATCCCAAAAAAGGATCGGATCGACAACACCTCCTCAAGGATGCCGAGAACAAGGTCTCGCAGCTCGAGGCAGAGCTCGCCCATGTCAAGCACCAGCAACGTCTAGACGGCAAGCTGCTCGCCGAGGCCCAGGCCGACCGCGCCGCCTGGCAGAAAAAGTACGAGCAACTCCACGACATGGTAGGGAGGCACGTCTGCGAACAACAGCGCCCCCAGCTCCCACCATCCCCGGCCAACAGGGACCCGCAGCAACCACCGGGATCACAAGGTGGAGCCAAGGGAATCAGCACCGCCATCGTTCTTTCAGCCACAGCAGTGCCAGCGGCGGACCCCCCTCATCCCAGGCGCGAGCAGCCCCCCGCCCTCCAGGCCACCCCCGCCCCCACCCCGCTGGCCACCGCATCCGCATCCGTATCACGGCCGCCGCAGCGTCTCTCCCTCCCCTCCACGACGGCGACTTCAACTACGACTACGACAATAACCACGACAACAACAGCACTCCAGAAGCCGTCACCACCCCCATCCCACTCCTTCACCACCACCGTCACCTGGATCTCCCCGCGCGTCCTCGTGATCCCAGTCCTCTTCATCCTCTCCGCGCTGACGCGCTTCCTCCAGCGCGGCCCCGTCTACCCTTCCTACCTCGATGCCGCTATTAACAACACCCGGGGCGGCAACGGAGTAGGAGGGCGGCCGGTTTTTGCACCCGGCTCCATCGTCCAGCTGCTCTGTCTGAACATCATCGTCGTGACACTCCTCGGCGAGGTCGCGCGGTGGTACTGGACTGCTGCGCCGTCGCAGCGGCGGTGGAAGCAGACGAAGAAGCAGAAGAAGCCGAAAGGTGTCAGGTTTCTGCTCGAAAAGGGGGCAGCGTCTTGCCACGACGATGGAGAGCACCACGAGGAAGTGGTGGAGGAGGAGTATGACTATGACGATGATGCCGACTTCGCGCCGGCGCACTGCGCCTTCCTTGTGGCCGTCTGCGACGAGGCGTGGAGCATTCTGCTCATGGCCATCCTGGCCTTCGCGCTGCTGCTGTTCGAGGTGCGGGACTTTGCTTTCATATAAAGGGAGAGAGATCCATATTCGATCGAGGTAGATGATGATGATAATAACGGTGGGTGAAAGCTGGGTGCCTCCTTCTTCGATCTCTTTTTTTTTCCCCTCTCCTTTCCAAGTGGCAGTTTTCCACGGTTTTCAAAGGATGGAGAGAAAGCATTTAATAATGATCACTTACGACTTTTTTTTTTCCCTCCCAAGACGAGACGCATCTCATGTAGATTTAAGCTCTTTCTCGGTGCTGCGGCGCGTAATAGGTTTTATACTAGTTAGAGTAAAGGACATATCCTTACCTGGTCTCAGTCATAATTCTGTTCGTATGCTCTCCACAAGTGTTGCTTACCTCGAGGAAAAAGATCGTCCAAGACTCCACACCACGGACCGTCACTCTGAAAAAATCAAGAGCGGAAAACATTCATCAACTTCACTATCCACACGAAGCTTGACATGTACAAACATTACAAGGTCATCATCACCACCACCCAACCCGGCAACTTATGCACACTGGTCGAACACCACAGCAACTGAAAAGCGTAAAAAGAGAACCCTTCCTTTCACTTGGATTACAGCGCCAACTCCCCACCACCACCACTAAACACAAGACACAGGGGCCAACGCCGGGGTGCTCCACAACAATCCCGACATCTTTTCAACAGCAGCAAAAAACAACGACATTGCAAAAAAGGAGTGAGCAAAATACTCTGCATATTGTACAAAGGGCGAATGATGTGTGAGACCTCAACAAGAACCGGTTGACATCTTCAGAGCACTTGTGTGTGAAAACAGAAGAAAGAAAAAAACAAAGGCATCACACGACCATCCCAATTTGGCTTCGGCATCCAATGCCCGCGCGCTGTGCTTGCCGGCGCAATCCGCACACAAAAATTCCCAGAATGCAAAGAAAAGCAAGAAACTGATGTCGCTACCAGCATGGGGGGCAATGGACCTCTCTCTCTCGTGCCAAATCGTGAGAACCAACGAGCTCATATCCGCAGCAAATTTGTGCAAACCCATGTCGCTAATCCCGCCAACCCTTTCCGCGAGACGCTACTGATTCCAGGCGCACCTGCTCGCGGTGAAGAGCCATCAAAAGTGAAATGAGCAAAAAGAAAACGTGTTCAAGGCGCCATGCTAACCTTGGTCAGAAGAAACGCCAGTCGCTGGAATAATGGGGAACGGCCAGGAACCAATGACAAGACCCATGCTGTACAAGAGGGAGCAGGCCGATAACTACACGAATCAGAAACGCAATGCAATGGGGTGAATCCAAATTTGGTTCAGTCGTAAGCAAGATGTGAGGAGAAAATGAGACTCGTTCGCCGTCACTCGGATCAACGTCGTCAGCCTTACACCGGGGCTGAAACCTCGGCCTCGGGAGCGAAGATGCCCTTGTTGTGCTCCAAAAGCGCTTGGATTGCCGTGCGCTGCGGTCCCATGTCCGTCATTTCACGCTCGATGGATTGCGGGCGCATGACAGTCGGCGCGAAAACAACAGCAATATTAACCGCCGTCATCTGCCTCTAGTTAGAAAAGATGTCGCCCAAAGTGCATACGAGCTACTCACCAAGTTGTCCTTCTTGTGTTCCATCACACGAGCCAAATGGAAGACGAGGAACTCGAGACAGTCCCTGTGATGCTGTGGAAGGCTATCGATGGCGAGCCGCATGGCCGGGACGAGCTTCTCGACATCTTGGATCTGACCCGCGGCCAGGAGCTCGTCGTAGACTTCAAACGTAATGAGAGGGTTAGGCAGCCTGCGGAAGTATTGCTTGAGAGCAGAAGTAACTGCGTGAATGTCCAGATCCGGGTCTGAAATGTCGTATTCGGCATCCTTCTCGAACCCGAGGCGTACTTGGTTGACCTGGCCGGAACCACCGCTCTTACGATAGATGCCTTCAACGTCGACACCTGCGTATCTGTTAACAAATCAAAGTGCTTTCGGTTGCTGGGCAATTTTCACGCATACCTCTAAGTTCCACCTCCTGAATACACCTGCGGACAATGCTTGGGATCGTCGCCTTCTCAAACTCGCAGCGCTCCGAGAGATCCGACCCAAACAGCGTCTCCGCAGCAGAGAGTTGGGTCGTGCTGTTGTTGTGGTGGTGCGAGGGCTTCTGGATAGGCTTCTGCACAGCCTTTTGTCCTCCACCAAAGAAGCCACCGAAACCGCGCTCACCACCCTTCTGCGCACCAGCAGCTGGCTCAAGCGATGGCGTAACGCCAGCTTGGATCGCTCCGTACGGTACACCTCCAACGGTAAGACCATCATGCTGGTTCATCGGCTGCTGCGACGCGAACGCTCCCTTGAGACCCTTGGTGACGTTCTTGGCAACAGCTTGACCGCCCTTCTTCCAGTTGAACTTGTTCCCCTTCGACTTGATCTGGACAACTCTGGGTTGAAGCACAGTGCTCTCGTCCATGTTATCCGCGAGCTGGTTCATCTGGTGCTCCTGGACAGCCTTCTGGATGTCGGAAATAGAAACGTCCTTGTCTTTACCATTGTTCATTTGAATGCCAAGCGCGTTGTTGGCCTGGCCGTTAGCACCGCGGTTAGAGGACTTGTACAAGTCCTGAATAGTTTGCACAAGCTGGTTGTTGAGCTCGGCAAGCTGCGTGTTCTTCTGGCTGAGAGACTCGTACTCTTGGTAGCCCTTGTCTTTCATTTTGATGAGGTTCAAGATGTCGTCGTTCACCTCGTTGCGCTTCTGCACCAGTTCCTCTATCTCAGTCCTAATCTTTGCCTTGAACTTCTCCAGCTCGGCGGCAAAGTCGCGGAAAAAGGCGGACTGGAATGCCTGAAGATCCAAAGGACGTTGCTGATCCTTGGCAGCTTTCAAATGCTCAGTCATGATATCTAACTCACGCATGACGACTTCGCGTTGCGTATCCAAGACAGCGATGGTAGATCTCTTCTCCTTCAGCTCCGAGTTAACCTGCTTAATATCAGAAGATCTGCTGGCTGATTCATTTAGCTTGCTGTTGTCAGCTTCGAGCTCGGCAATGCGCTGCTGCGCCTGGCGGAGCTGGGCCTTGAGGTAAAAGGATTCATCCTTGGTGTCCGGGGAGGCCGAAGACGGGCTGCCGATATCCACGGAGCCATTGTGTGGCGATTTCCACTTTTGCGATAGCGATGACCTGGATCCTCTGTCACTAAAACTGCGGCCATGTTTAACTGCGTTCGAAACACGTCGGAGAACTGACGAGTGATTTTCTTCGTTATCCCTGAAAATGCGAGCCATATCTTCATCCACCGAAAAGTCGCCACCGGCACTGTAGCGAAGGAGCGAGGGAGACATCGGGTGCGTCGAACCATCGCTGATGGTGCTGCTGAGCGAATCCTGCGGGCGATGGTTGGAGGTTCCTTGGGGCGGATGCGGCGGGGCCCGGGGCGTCGTGAACGACTCGCCAGCATGGTTGGAGCCATGTACGGGGCGCGAGCCGGATCGTGGAGGCGGGCCATCCAAAATGCTCCTAGTAGTCGGCGATTCCACGGGCTTGGAGATTGTTAGACCACCATTCATCTGTGTTAAAGTGTTGACATCGCGATTAGCAAGAGCAGAGTTGGCCGAAGGTTTGCGTTCATGGCTAGCTCGGGGACCAGTAGGCGTAGAAGGCGAAGAATGACCACCCGTGTTCGACCTCTGCGCACCAAGGGAATCACCTCTCTTAGGCCGATCAATGGCCGGAGCTGAGAACGGGGCAGACATGGGCTGCGGCTCGTCCCCACGCTCGTAGTCCTGCGATGTGGGAGTGTAGCTGGAGTTTGTCGAGACGGGGGAGGTAATGGCACTCGACTCCGAGGCATCCTTCCGAGCCGACGAAGCGCTGTCGTCCGGAGAGCGGAGTTCGGACCTCGACCGAGTTCTGGTCGCCTTCCTGTCCTTTGGCACCTCCTGTAACTTGAAGCCTTCTCCCAATGACCCCGCGGTGGAGGCGGAAGTGGAGTGCTGGGCACGGGGCCGTTCGTTTCCAGCACTGGGCGAGGAGTTTGAGGACGGCACTTCCTTGCGGCGCATAGTGTCGACACGATCGCCCGACATAGCCCGGCCTTTCTCTTGGAACGCGATATGAGGGCTCGACGTGGACTTGCTCCTCCGCTCCAAAGAGCTGGACCGCGAGGACCCAGACCGGCTCTCCTTCAATAGCTCACGATGAGAGGTTGTGCCGGGTTTCCCACCATTGAAGTAATCACGCTGGTTCTTCTTGTCCTCGTCCAAATTGTACGTCCTGCTGTCCGCCAAAGGAGAGGGGCCAGGGGCGGGGTTTGGATCGAGGGCGAAGGGCACGTTTGCGAACATGCCGTCGGGGTCGTCGAAGTTCGTAGACATGGGCATTGCCGACCTTCTCTTCTCCCTGTAGGTGCTGGCGGGCAGCGTTTGCGGTTCTGTGATTTGGATTAGCCACTCAACGTTGCCGCCACCGCGCGCGCCATCTTACCATTGCGGCTGTTGTCCGACGCGGGCGAAGCTTCGCGGCGCAAGTTTGCATTGGCGCCCGAGGTCGCAGCGCGCGGACGGTGCGGGAGGTCCTCCGGAGTCTCGATTTCGGGAGGAGTCTCCAAGTCGGGCGAGAAATGAGAGGCGCCGGGAGGCAGGGCAGGAAGCGACTTGTCGAGCACGGCTGGGGCCTTGTTTTCGGCCTGTTGTCGATTAGCTTTTGTTTTTTTCCGCCGTCGAGCCATGAGCGACTCGTGACAGCTCATGCAGAAGATGCCCTGAGAGGTCCTCGCATAGCGGAGGTTCTCGATCTTGCGCTTGCAGTTGCGGCATCGGAAGCAGCTCGCGCAGAAGGCCTGGTCGCCGGTGAGGATGGCGAGGTCCTCGATCTTGTTGTTGCAAGCGCTGCAGCTGTAGGTGCAATTGTTGCAGATGAGGGAGCCGTCGCCGAGCAGCAGGAGGTTCGCGTCCGAGTCGAGCAGGGTGCCGCAGGTATTGCAGCGGAAGCAGTCAATGTGCCACCGGTTGCCAGCTACAGACTCATCGTCAGTCTCGCACATGGCGGCGGGGGAGCGCGCGGGTCGGAAGGAGAGCTTGTGCGGGTCAGGGGAGCGTGAGGAATTCATGCATACCTAGCTCGAAGGCCTTGCCTTCCTCCAAGATCTAACAAGACATTAGCGACGTCCTTGGATCCCAATTGAGCGGCGGAGACGCACCTCGCCGCAGCCCTTGCAGTGGTAGATGACGTCCATGTCGTCCATGCCGGGCGAGTCTGGGTAGGCGCCGGGGGACTCCATGGTGGCGGCGTGCAGCAAAGGGTCTTCTGGCCGGCCAGCAGGGAGTGGGAGTGGATCGTGAAGCGCGAGGGCGGCGGAACGGGTTGGCCCAGGGGAGCGGTAGGGCTGCGCCTGGTGCGGAGCGCGGAGGGAGAGGCTCTACGATTAAGGGAGGCCGCTTTGGGAGGGAGCGAGGGCAATTGCGGGCGCTCGCATGACAGGGCAGGCTGGGGGAGGAGGAAGCGTGCGGCCTGCTTGGGCCCGTCTCAGCGGCGGAGGAGGTTGTCGTACGGTCGCAGGCGTCGCAGCCGTCTGGAGGGCGTCGAGCGATGGCGATGGTTCTAGGTAATCGAGCCCGGGGGTGCTAGCTAGGCCGCAAGCGTATTAGAGCCAGGGTCCCCCGACGCACTCACGTCTCCTTCACAACCCCCCATAAGCATGCGCGGGTGCCGCGTGGGCCATCATCTACCTACTGCGCAGCCGGTGTCCTCTTGCAGCCCTCCGCTGCCGCTCTTATCGCGCTGCACAGCTAATCCTCCGCGCTGCTCATCTGCACACGGGCGAATAGTGAGCGACGGCACCAACAGCAAGCGCACCCTAGCAAGCCACCTCGCCGTCAGCGAGGGGCAAGCAGAGTCGATGCAGTCACATCGCCATGCATCATCCATCGGGCATCCTGAAACTACTTGCGCAGTGCCCGCTCCAATCGCGCCTGCCCGCCCCGCGCCGCGCCAGCACTCCGCCCGTGTTTCTGCTTGCGGCGGCCACCAGCAAACAGCTCTCCAGCCGTACGACGGCGAGTCAGGCGCACGCAATCCACGATGGCCGTCTAACGTGGGCTACCCGGAGAAGCGCAGCCACCGCCCAGCGTCAGCCCGCCCGTTCAAAAATAGCAGCCCGTGCTCTTTTACGTACGATCGACCACGACTCAGCGGACAAGGTGTGCTGAGATGGTGGCCGCGGCCTTGAAACCGTCCACCCCGGGCGTGGTCTGGATGCTGTTTCAGGACGGCGTACCAAGTACTCCCCTGCACACGTGTCTCGCTGCCGTTCCCGTCCGCCGCAACGGGTCGAAAACAATGCACTCTGCGCTGCAAGCGGCCAGCTTCCAACGTCGACGGATCTCCAAATTTGCAGGATCTGGATCTGCCGCAGAGCTCATCTCCCGCCGGCCGTGCGCCGTTATGGCTATACTCACCACACGGGCTTTGCACCGCGCTCCCGCAACCGCTGTAGAAGTAGATCTGTTCCACCGTGCGAGCCGTCTCGCTAGCCCGAGCGCTCCTGGCACATGCCGACCACCCTGTCGGTCGTCGAGTGCAAGCGGGAGCCGACGGCATGTGTTTCAATGCAGACCCGGCTTTGGTTCCGACGGACTGCGGACGCTCCGGCTCTCTTTGAGCGCCAGGGCGGGATAAGCTCACCTTCATTACAATAATACCGCCGCTGCAAGGTGCCCTGGTATCGAAGGGAGAGAATGGGCGCGGACAAACGCCAGGGCGGGAGAGGCGTACGCACCCTCGGAGTCAGCCACACTCGCCTGTCGCTCGCAACTTCGGATATTAACCGCTGCGGTCGTTTCGGCATCGCCTCGTTGCTGTGGCCCCTTCCCAACTCCTATCCCCGCACTTTGCTGCCTCGGGAATTGGCTCGCAAATGGTGACGTCCCGAGTCCTACTTATAGCATCAATGTTTCGTGAAACATCTCAGAGAGACTGGCGATCGTTGCCGTGAATCCGTGTAAAGGGGGCGTCCGTTTGGTATTCCAAAAAAAAAAAAAGACCAAAAAAAGATTAACCGCTATCAGTGCCCATGAATAGTTGCTTGAGAAGGGGGTGGTGCCGGGGTCGCAGAACAGACCAATACCGATCCTCAGCTGCCAATCGGTGCCTGCATGATTGCGGCCCAGAGCACGATAGCGAAGCCTAGCAGAACGCTGCAGCACGCCATTATCCGGCTCTTTCAAACCATCGAGAGTAGTACCTATTCTCCTTCCCGATAGCACTCGTCTTTTACCCGGCCAGTCACTTCTCAGCCACCGTCGCACCGGATGGGCTAGACATGTGTTCTCGTCGCCGGTACCGTAATCCCTCTTCAACGTCACTCACCACCTGCATCATCCCGATGCTGCATACGCCGCTGCCACGCTGCAGCAAGAGACAGGCACGTACGACCGGCCCGCATGCATGAGACCTCCTCGAAGAATTCTTCGTCCTGGCCATTCAATGACAGAATCCACCACACTTTACACCAAAACATTCTCTTATTTCCACGAATGATGACCACCCTCCCGAACGCCTGCCCCTGCGTCTCCCGCACTTCAGATCCCGCGCCGTCCCTGCTGCTTGACTCTTCCCGTTTCCTGCGCGTCATTTACCATTGCGTCGAGGGTCGCTTACCCTTCTTCATGCGCGCAAGCAGCACTCCCTGGTCACCGCAGGATTGGAAAGAACGAAAACAAAGCTTAGGAAACAAGCAATTCATTAAATTTATAACCCCCGTCCACCACGAACGGACATCCCAGAGGAACCTCCGCTTCCCCACCCAACCAAGCAACCTGGCCGTTCCACCCTCTTTCCCAATTCGGCTTCGAGGACCCCTATAACAAGCCGCCACTATTGTTCACCCAGGCACACAAACACTGCCATGCATGCACGCACGCGGCGGGGGAGGGTAGGGGGCAGCGAAATGCCGTGCTGGCAGCAGCACCCCCCTGGTGGCGTTTCCTCGCGGATACACACACCCCACCCTTCTTGCAACTGCACCTCGTCCGCCATCTGCCGGAACCCGCCCGTGACATTTACCCCTCCCTTCATCCACGTGCTGAGGGCCTGAATCGCTGCAACATGTAAGCAGCGTGTCTTACTGACTTGTGTCCGTCATGAGACCCGGCGACTTACATGATCTGTATTGCCTTTCGCGATCTTGGCTGTTCCTTGTCCCTCTCTTCCTTTTCGCTTACGTGGTTGATGCTGTGCGTGCGAATGGAAATTGGACATGTCCTCAATTATTAGCAAGATCGCAATTTCTCCTGACCCTTTTTTATTCCCGTAGGCACTGTCACCTAAAACCATGGCTCAGCTGTACCGTTGACCGTAGCTCAATAACCAGAACAGAAGCCGAAGAATACATACTAGTTGAAAAAGCAAAGGCCATTCCCCTCCTGAGCCATTATTGGGAGGCCAAAATTGGAACGATTTCTCTGGGGCCCAATTTGCCTCTTCCCCAACTGGGCATTTCATGCAACTAGGCGTCCATCAAATGCCGGAACAAAAAATAAGAAGCGTCAGCAATCTCTACCTCACCTGACAACCCTCATCAGAGCTTATAAGTGAATCGCCAAGTCATTGCCTAAAGAAAACAAAGGTCGTGGAATTAAAAAAGGACTATACTCCCTATAGACTGAGACACGAAAAGAAAAATGAACAGGAAGCGTAAGAAGAAAAAAAAAGGTTCGACAACCAAGAACCATGGAAGCTAGGTATATTAGTCCAGAAACGCCGCCAACGAGACTCACCCTATAGAGTCAAAGAACAGACCAGGAAAGATAAGGAAGGTGGTATGGTATACTAAGAGGCCAAAGAGACAAAGGAAAAACCAGCAATGGGGCCGAAAAGAGAAGAATGCCAGAAGAGCAACCTCTGCAACCACCAGCCCGCTCGTGTGCAGTAGCAGCTCAGTAAAGAATGACCAAGAGTGATAAGGAAAGACCCGCCGTCAAAGGTGTGTATGAGTTTGAGACCGCCAGCCCGCAAAATGTCGTCACCGAATCCCTGCCACCAGCGCCGAAACTTTTATTCGCTTCTTCTTTACTTTCGCTGGACGAATGGAACGCTTTTGTCCTTGCTGCATGCTCAACGCTTCTTTCAAACACGCCAATGAACGCCCCCCTCCTTCATCAATCTGCGCGTTTTCCGCTTTTCAACCATCCGTGCTCCCTAGCGGGTATCTAGATCAAAGGAATAAAACCCATCCATGGTCCTTGCGTTTTCATTTTTTTTTCTTGGTTTTGACTCTTGTTATGCCTTGCTGCGCCTCGCGAGATAGTACGTGATTAGGTTGAGATGGCCCTTGTCAGCACCGCTCACGGCTTTCCAAAAGCCGCCGTCCTGCTCACCCCCAAGGCGCTCGTGCAGCTGGACGCAGAAGTCCATGTCGGCTCTGCGCACGTCCGGGTCGAGACTGCCTAGGAATTTAACAGCCAGACGTCCCAGCTGCTGAGCCTGCGCCTCAGAGACTGGTACGCTCTTGGCGGAAGATACCTGCAGCAGGCTGGAGAGGGTCTGGAGAGAAAGAGTAACGGTACGCGGAGAGGGGGATGCGGAGGCCGGGCGGCTCTGGTCCGAAGATACGGCAGAGGCAGGGGAAGTAGGAGTGTTCGAGGAGTCAAGGAATTCAAGGATGCCGGTGATGAGATCAGAAGGATGGCCGTACTTCACAATTTCCTCAGCCGTCTTCTCGATATCAGTGGTAATGTGACTGGCGGTATCCCACTGAGCACGAGAAGCAAGGATGGAGCAGAGAGCACGGGCGTAGTACGGGCTCGACTTCTTGCGGTGGAGGACCAGCATGGCCCGGATCGTGCCGAGGACTTGGGTCTTCAAGTTCTGGGCCTTGACATTCGGGGTCTTCGTATCAATCGGCGCCTCCAGGTATTCAAGCAGAGCCATCAGAAGCTCCCCAAAACGCTGGTCGTGCTCACCCCAAATGTCAAGGTCTCCCTTAACAACATCTTGAAGACGACGGAACCCGTGGGCATCAAGTGTCTTGGCTCGGATGCGCTCAATACCACTAGCCAGGAGTCGGCGAGTGCGAAGAACCTCTGGCCTGTCTTGGGCAGCATCCTCAGTGCCGTTCGACTTTTGGCCTTCCTCAGTGCGCTCGCCCTCAGGGGTCCCGCTGCTCACCCGGCGGTCACGGTTCTGCTCATTAACAGGCAGCTCTTCCAGGACTGGCTTCTCATCGCTGGATGGTTTCTGAGATTCGCTGGCAAAAGGATCTTCGTAAACCTTGACCTCTTCGGTAGAAATAGCGTCATTGATTGAGGCACGTTCAGGCGACTTCGACTTCTGGTTCTTGTTCTGCGTTAGGGCGCGGAGTTCTGGAGAACTGATGCCAAGGCTTGCTGACAGGGAAAGCGGCCGTGGTGAGGGGATCTTGGATGGGCTTGCGTGTGGGGAGAATCTTTGGTTTTCAGATCGAGAGAAATTGACTTTAGGGATTACCATCGTGAAGCTGTCATCATCGTTCTGACCAAGTCTACCTTCCGTCATGGCGTGGTCTAGCGAAGGACGCTGCCTGTACGGCATGACCATTGTTAGATCCTCTGCCTTTGACGGGCTCGCAGTCACGCTGTCTAGGCTTGGAGACTTTTGGTGCATGGCTTCCAAACGAGACTTCGGCCTTGGCGGGCTGGCGACGGGGCTGTTCTTATTAGACGGCGCACGAGGTCTACCCTTCAAAGTGCTGGCCTTCTTGGTCGTTCCTTTGTCAGGGCTACCAGCCGGTGTCATAGACGGGGTCTCTGCACGTTCGACATTCCTGTTCCTGGAAGCATACGGGTCTGCAGTCTGGGGTCGAGGTGCCATTCGAGGCCGACGAACGGGCTTTGACATCAAGCTGCCACCTCCGCTGGCAGAGGAAGACTTCTCACTTGGGGTATTCCTGGATGTCGACATCGCAGACGGGGGACGTCCGTGCACAGACTTTGAGAGAGAGCCGGCAGGGCGGTCTGCGGCACCAGGCTTGGCCGGGGAAAGGTTAGCTTGTGCGGAGCTTGGGCGCTCTGGCATTTTCCGTGCCGCGAGAGCAGCTTTCCTCTGCGCTGCGATGGTGTCCTTCAAAGAAGACCGAGAGGCTTGTGATTTGAGCTTCGAGACCGTACCCTTACCGCCGCTTGAGCCGGCGGGAGCATTGGGGTTGTTCGGGTCCTTCTGGAGCAATGATTGCGCCTTCGCATCCATGGCCTCCATAATAGCCTCAGCCCTGTCAGGCCACATCTTAGAGAAAGCCCAGTAAGTTGCCCTGAAGTTCTCGCGGACCTTCGGGTTGGCATCTGCAAGACCCTTCTTGATGATGGTGACTGCAGAATCCAGGCCTCCGGCATGCTCGAAGTGGGACTTGTGTGAAGCGTTTTTCTGAAGCAATGTCTTCAACCAGCCCGCTGAGAACGTCCGTGGCTGAACATTCTTGTCGGCAACAGCAAATCCAACGTGTTGCATCATTCTGTTCGTGTACGAAGCGTGCGCAAAAATGGTGTCAACCGTCGCATTGCCATTCTGCGCAGCGATGTTCTTGGTATTGGCGCTCATCTTGATGAAGTTTTGCAGCATGATCTCGACCATGGGGTCAATAGCAGGGCCAATCGTCCGTGCGAGTTCCTGCACCAGCTGGCAACCATTGGAGGCGTGAGTTGTTCTCAACGAATTGCAGACCTTCAGAATGCCATCCCGCAGGCTCAAAACTCCCGCGACGAACACGGACTCGTGCTCTGTTGGCGCGTTTCCCTTGAGCATACGACGAATCTTCAAAACAGCCTTTTCTCTAGGTAGCCAGTTGTGCTCCGTCTCCCTCCCCTCGAAATGCTGGTGCATGTCTCTGAAGATATCTTCCAACTCTCTATGGCCGTACACATACATGGGCTCCATAGAAATCGTCTCCGTCGGCGGTGGCCGTGAGTCCGCACTAGAATTGTCGGCGGGAGCAGATTCTGACGGCAGGATGGGCATTGTGGGGAGCGATACAAGAGGTGGCTTGGCATCCGCGTCGGTAGCTCCTGGAAGACCGAGGTTGGATATGATGTAATTTGCGATCGTCTTCCGCACGTTGTGACTGTTCATCTTTTTCTTCAGATCGTTCTTCGCGTGATCAGGCGCGTTCCTGCATATTCGTGTCAGCAAGTTTTCTTGTGCAACCTGCCCGCGCGCCGACGCACTTAAACAATTCCACGACGGCAGATTTCGCAGTCTCTCTGACCATGCCGTCGGAATCTTCCAGGTTTGCTACCAAGTATGGAACGAAGCTCTTGAACGGGAGGTTGTCGCTAGCGTGCATCTATGCGGGGTCAGTCTGTTTGTAACACCACAACAGAGGGGACTTGGGCGCGCGCGCCTGATTGCTGACTGACCTTGACGACCCATTGCATGGCGATTTCTTTTGCGCGCGAGTTTGTGCCGCCCAAAGCGCCCTCGCGGACTATGCCCTCGACGCCGGCATGGTTGTAGGGCCAGATGTCAGACAGCGCCTGCGAGGCGGCATTGCGGTGGCTCTCGCGCGCATCGCCCAACCGGTCAAGGAGGACGGACAGCAGCTGGTTGGACTGCTGCGTGACAATCTGTGTCTGGCTCTGCAGGTTAAGGCGCTTGACAAGGTGGCCAAGGGTTGAGAAGCCGGTGGACACGAGCGTCGACGAGGTTTGGGCTGCGATGGCAAGGCGCACGCATTCGAAGATGTCCGTAGTGCACTCCTGGGGAACGCGAAGATGCTTGATGCTGCTCTTGAGGGTGTTGAATTGCGTCAATTTTTGGTCGATCGGAGCCGAAGGCTTCTTCAGCGTAGCCAAAAGGCTCGCTGCCTGTTCCTCCATGGTGGCGTTGGCGCAGGCGGTGGGATGGTGTTCTGTTGACGCTGAGAGTTGTTTGGGAAAAGCGGCGACCAGCCGACTGCTGCTGGGGCAGCGCCTTGATCCCGCCCCACTCCGAGCTACCCTCGCCCAACCCAGGGCCTCTGCGCGCACCGATGGACGTGCTTGCGCGGATGATTAGACCCCCGGTATCCCTTCGCGGATGCCGCGCCACGGGCCTGGAGCACTGCTCGGAGTTCGTATTGCTCATCGGCGAACCTGTCCATCTCGCGCGTTCTCGGCACTGGTAGGACGCTCTCGCGTCTCCGGTGTGCGGCCACGACTTGTGCGGCGCGCGCAGCTTCACGGCAGCCTGGCACCAACCTCGTCCTTTGCTCCCACGCTCCCCACATCCCTGCCTGACTCGACCGTGCCCTTGCGTATATCAGCGCTGCCGTTGCCAACGTCCCGCCACCTGGGTCCACCCGAGCGCACTATATCCAGCAGGTACCGCACCGCGCTACCGCGAGCCATGCCTCTCCCTCCCGTCTACTTCCAGACCATGACGCCCGTCCCTACTCCCGAGGCGAAGAAGCCCGTGCCGAAGCGCAAGCCTCTGCTGCGCCTGGAGGTGCGCGACCTCTCGCACGAGGGCACCCGGTCTTTCCTCGCCCACCTGGATGCCTCACAGGTCCTCGAAGAAGCCGTCTCCAGCGTGTTGCAGCTGCTATACTCGCCGCACGCCGACATCCCGCCTGTCCGCTCCATCACCCTCATCCTGCGCTCCATGGGTGGCGTTGCATACACTACAGGAAAGGACATAGACAGCGATCACAAGGAAATCCACTTCTCGCTTGATTACATATCGCACATAGCCAAGGACCGGAGAAAGGAGGAGATGCTGGGTGTTCTACGGCACGAGATGGTGCATTGTTGGCAGTGGAACGGCCTGGGGACGGCACCGGGTGGCTTGATTGAGGGCATTGCGGACTACGTGCGCTTGAGAAGTGGCTTCGTGCCTCCGCACTGGAAGCAAGAAGCTGACGGGGACTGGGACGCCGGCTACCAACACACTGGCTATTTCCTGGATCATTTGGAAAAGACCTACGGCCATGGTAGCGTGATGGCTATCAATGAGTCTCTACGGAGGAAAGAGTATTGCGAAGATACGTTTTGGAAAGACCTCTTCGGAAAATCTGTCAAGCATCTGTGGAAAGAGTACGGGCGCGCGCTGAAACGCGATGACGACTGCAAAGACGAACAGAAGACAAGCCCAGAGACAACTCAGAATAGCGAAGATGCCCCAGCTGAAGCAACATGACCTACACCAGGGAACCTGCGGACGCTCTACGATAGCTCAGTTCTACCCCCCTCAACTCGGATCTAAACAATACTATCATCTACCATGGCCAACTTTGCTGCAATCCAGTTGAGATTCTAGAAAAAGATAAGACAATGTAGATGGCCGGCCTGAGCCGGAAATATGACCGTTAAGCGTAATGAAGTGCGCTTATGCAATCATCCAGTTGTTCTATGTCCGGGGTTTGATTACTCTCCGCACCCAAGCGAACTTACTAAAAATACTGCGCGAAGATCGGCCTACGGGATCGACTTGAGAGGTGGGTCATTGGGAGGCGTCGTGAAGAACTGTGGAAAGATGGTGCGGAGCTCCTCGAGATGATGGATCTGGTACTGTGCTGCCTGCTGAGCTGGTGCCGATTCTGTAGATTCGACGAAGTGCACGGCGGTCCAGCCAAGCTCCTGAGCTGCGTGTACGTTGGAGGCGGAGTCGTCTGATTAATTTCACTTAGATGAGCTCAACATGAGATTGGGATATACGAGGCACGCACCAACGAAGTAACAATCGTCTGCCCTCTCGACGCCTGCTTCTTCCATGGCCTTCCGGAACATGTCCGTGTGCGGCTTGCACAAGAACCTCTCTGCGCCGTAGTCGCAGTAAGTGATTCCTTCGAACAAGTCGTCGATTCCAAGAAGCTTCACAACCCTCTTGCCGTGGTTGACGTAGGCGTTAGTGAAGAGCCAGAGCCGGACCTTATCCCGATCGATGTCTTCCAGCATTTTCCGTAGCTGGGGATTCGGCTTGATGACCTGTTCAAGGGGCAGAGCGTCGTCGACTTTGCTGTTGTACTCGAGAGGGTCGACCTTGTGATGACGGACAAGACCCTCGATGGCAAGACCGTAATCCTTGTAGTACTTCATATGCAAGGTGTTGGCCTCTTCCTGAGTGAGGGACAAATGCGCCTGGAAGTACTTGTCTGCGTGATTGTGAGTAGAATGCCCACTCGGAAGATGATCGGGTAACGCACCGATAAGATCGGACATCATGTTGGCGACGCGCGTGTCTGCAGCGAGCAGCTGTTAACCCTACATTCCTACGGGTTGCCGTAATAGGAAGCCTACTTTTGGAGTAAAGCTGCAGGGGTAAGCAGTCATCCGAGATACGAGGTCACGGGACGGGACATACACAGTTGTCGATGTCGAAGAAGAACACGGGTTTGCTTGAAACTTGGGCCATTGTTGCGGCAGTGAATGCCCTGGGGCTCTGGAACGCGCGACGTACGCCGGAGTGCTGGGAGGCAAGAAGTGCGGGGCAAGGTTGGCAGCGAAGAAAGAACTGCGGCCGAGCGAAGAGTGAGACCATATGCCCTTCCACAGCACGTTGTTGGGCGGTGTCAAGAAGGAGTCACCAGCAGGGAGCCGCTCATGAATCATGCTTAAGGCCCTCGGCGCTTCGGCACCGCCTCCGGCAGAATATTCTACTACGTACGCCAGCTTTGGGAGCGCCGGGTAATTGCCCTTGCTCCCAGGTGCTGTTGCTGGATGGATAATACACATTCGTTGTCGTTTTACTCGGAAGAAATTCAATTTGCTGGACGGCCCTGGACGGGAAAATGCTGCGGGTAACTCGATAGCGCTGAGGCAGCCTTGTGAAGCTTGGCGGCGCTGCGAGGCCGACAATGCTGGTGCAGAGCAGCTCTAACTGGGGTCAGGTCAATCAGCAGCGTGGTATTTCCGTAGATGACTATTGCGAAAATACACTGATGAGACTGAGAAGGTTGACAGTCGGAGACAGCACTGGCACTGTTGGGTGCTCGGAAATGGCAAGGCGGCCGGGCGGACCAATATTTCGATTCGGCGCGGTCGACACCTCCGTTCCTCGCCCTTCAAAACTCCACCGGCTGCCACGCGGCACCGTGAACATTACCATCGATCCCTCGCGCTTGTGCATCGCTTGCACCAGTCGCATCTGCGCGTGCATCCAACCAGACACTGACATGGCTTCCGCTGTGCCAGCACTGCCCGTGCAGGCCAACGGCGATGACCAGCATCCCGACCTGGAGACGCGCCGCCTCGCAGACTTCTACCAGCAACTGCTGCAGTTGCGAGATGAGGTGCTTGCGGGCAAGCACCCGCGGCTCAAGCTCCCTGACCATGCTCTAGAGAAACTGCTTCCGCAGCCCCATGGCCGGCCATCATCTACTGCTCGCCCACCATCCAACGCCGCCCTGAATGGCGCCGCCCAGCATGCCTATACGCACACGCCGCACAGCACCAGCTCCTACAACTCTACCCCTTCTACATCTTTCGCTCGACCTCAGAGCTCCCAGCGCCCACCAGTCCTGAAGCCGTCCTCGTCCGGGATTGATCCGGTACTTCTGACAAAATCTGACGATCTTGTGCGCGCCGAGATCCAGCTCAAGCGGCAGAGAATCGAGCGCGCGCTCAAGGATCAGGTGGATCAGAAGCGCGTTCAATCTCGCGACAGAGATGGCGGTGTTGATGCTGAGCCGCTTGACGTTTCAGACGTGTTGACCAAAGCCCTGGCGATTGCTCAACCGGTATCTGGCTTACGTTCAGAGACTAATTCCAACAGCCCGACCAGTGATTCCTTCGATGAAAACTCGTACTACTCAAGCCAGGCGAACAGCTGGTCTTCTAGCGACCATGACAGCTCGGGAACCACGAGTGCCGTGGAGGTGGCAGGTGTATCATCAAGCAGCAAGGCTGCAGCGGCGGCGCCGCTGAACGGTAATGCCGAGACAGATGCCCAGACTCTTTCTCAGATGGAGCTGCACGACGACATGGAGTTGATTGAGGATGGAGACGAGTCCGACTACGAGCCGCCAGGCGCTGAAGCCTTCACCACCACCGCCCCTCCACCGCCTACCCATGGCCCCGTTCCAGGTCAAAATCCAAACAGCACCCATGGTTCGCTTCCCTCCCCAACAGTGCACGTCATTACGAACCATATTCAGACACCAGTGGCTCCCCAGCCAGCCCGCGTTTCACCGCTGACGTTTGCCAAAGTACCTGGTTTGGATGCGGCCCGAGGCCCCGTTGCTCAACCGCTCGCAACGAGCGCAAACTCCTCCCCCAAAAATGGTTCCCGCGGGAAGGGCAATGGGAATCGAAACGAGAACTCACCCCGTTCAGGCCGACAGAGTCCCGCAGCGCCTCGTCAACAGAACAATTCGCGGAAGCGTCGCAGGGAAGCCAAGGAGGCTGAGAAGGCTGATAAGCAAAGGCGAGTGTCGAACAACAAGCGTGTTGCTGATTCTCCGGAACCATACATCAAGGAAGAACCGGTCTCCCCACCCCCGCTCGCTGGCCTGGCAGAACCCGCCCAAGACGCAAGACGCAGGACCACGCGCGCTCTGCACGACGATGTCGAGATCGTGTCACCCAGGGACGCGCATCATCCCGTCTATTACATGGAATACGAGCAGCCCGCACCAGCCCCTCGATATGAGCTTGAGCCGGAAGTCGTTCGGGTTCCGTCGCGGATAGCATATCGGCGGGCTGAGAGGGACGATCAGGACTTGAGGAGGATGGCTAGCATCCAACATGCAAGACGGCCATACTCACCTCCGCAGCCGGGTCCGTATGAATCTGTGCGCGCTGTATCACATGCTTATTTTGACGGCCATGCCACCCCGGTATTCCGGGAAGGATCTGTTCGGCCTGGGGCAACTCGGTACATCCGTTCGGAAAGGTCGCTTTCTCCGCCGTATGCCATGGAGCCCTACCAGAGGATTCGGTCTCCGGCCATCATGGCTCCTCCGCCTGTTCCAAGACGTGTCGTCATGGATCAATATGGCAACAGGTACTATGCGGAACCAGCCATGGTAGACAGGAGGGCCTCGGTGGCGCCAGCTCCACGACGTGCTGGCGAAGAAGTGCTTTATGAACGTGCACGGACTCGTGAACCCACCATGCGTCCGGTTGCACGTGTGGAGCCCTATGAGGAGGATGAATCATCGCAAAGAATGCTACCACCGCAGCCGCGCAGATATGTTGACCAGCCGGAGCTTGAGATTGTAGAACCGCACCGTCCGTATAGACAGCGGGAATACTCCATGCGTCCGGGAGAGCCCCTGAGAGAAGAACTGGTTCCGGCACAGGAGCCTCTGGAGAGGCATCTGCCTGCTCGTTACGAGGAGATGCCGCCGCCTCCGCGAGGCGAATACATCGCCCGAGCTTACAGCGTCCGGCCGGATGCTGTTCGGCGGGAAGTCCCTGCCGAATACATGTCTCGGCATGGCAGTGTTGCGCCAAGCGGGGGCTACGCTCGCAGAGTGGAAGCTCTGCCTCCCGGATACCGGGCTGTCAGTGTCGTGCACGAAGGAGATGGATTCGATGAACGTCGGTACGCGTACGCTCCGACGCACCCGGCGCGTCGGTATGTGGACGAGCCGGAAATTATCGAGGGCCCTATGGAGAGACAGGAGTACGGCGGGGAGCCACGCAATATTGCATACAGGTACTGATGAGATACGTTCACGTTGGCATAGCATGATGTTTGTAAAATTGGGGTGGACTTTTGGACTTTTTGCATGGCATGGCTTGGTGCTGGGCGGGCCTTTTGGTTTTTGTATTGTTCTCGTTCGTCTACTAGCTAGACCGAGGATCCGCAACGGATTTGAACGGGACTCGGCAGCATCATCATCGTCATCATATGTATACTTTGGCTCCTGTAAAAACAGCGTGATTCTGGTTGGATAGAACGGAAAGGAGAAGCTCATGGTCCGATGATAGACCCCACTGAGCGGGCATTGTGCGTAATGGGTGCAGGCGATCTGCACCTCTTCTCCACATGACTGACGGAGGTGGATGACAAAGAACGGGCCCTCCGCCGTCTCGCATTCGACGATCTAGCCGTCGAGTATCCCCGAGCAGCGCCGACTTGTTCGGGTCGGTCCAGCTGGAGGGCCGAAGCGCAAGCCGGCTCGAGATCCAAATGCCTCACGAAGGAACAGCGTCTTGCCTGGTTTGGGCATGACGCATTTTTGCACTCTGGCGCAGGCGTGGCTAGCCTCTGGCGGGGCTTGGGCGACTCAGGTTCGTTTGTTCTTCGGGCTGGCCAGCGTCTTGCAGATGTGAAACGGCCGCCTTCAGAGCTGCAGCGAGGCGCGTGGAAAAGCCGCCGGCGCCCTGTCGTTCTGGGCACACCCGCTCGCAATCATCAGGCTACTACTGGTGCTTGCAGGGCTCCACGCGCCGCCTTAGCTGCAAGCACATAGTCATGTCACAGGGAAGGGGCGCGAGCGACAAGCCTTTCAGCAGAGACAAGCTCGACAGTTATCGGCGTCCGCACTGACACGCGAGCGATGCCGTCCGTAAGCAGAAGCTGGCTGGCTCATCCGCTCTACTGGCAGTGCTCGAACCGTGGACAGGCTTTTAGCGCCGCGCATAGTGCAGCCAGCTGGGAGTGCCAGGGAGCCTTCGGGCTCAGGCATTGATGACGAAACAAGCAGCCGGGGCTTCCGCGTGCCGCGAGAAGCGGCCGAATCAAGGTGGGCGAAAGGCATGCTAAGGCAGGCGAGAGGCTCAACGCAGCCACTCAAAGGACAGCGCAAGGCTTGCACGTGAAGAGAAGGCCACAAGGCCGCCGTGTCGCTGCGTGCCCCTTGATCGTCGAGTGAGCATGATTATTGTTTCTTTTTTTTGCTGCTGCTGCTGCTGCGTGGCCGGGCAGCTGTCCCAATGCAATTAAGGTTCGGGAGACGGCATCGTTCTGGCATTTTGAGCCCGCGTGGGACGGGAGCCAGACGGGCTCCAGCACGCGGAGAGGTGCGGCGATGGCCGTGGCTGGTGGGTGTCTTTCTAGCAGCTACTGTGGACCGGGCGGCCAGCATCGCGTGCGGAGAGACGCTCGACGGCAGCCGCGCTGGAAGCCGCCTCCCTAGTGGACAGGCGCCAGAGTCGTAGTGTACCTGCATGCGACCACCCAGGCAAGACAAGGCGACAAGACGAGCGCCAGGGCTGGGTGCCGCTGCTGATTGCTGGCGGTGGCTGAGCAAGCGCTCGGAGCAGTGGGCAGACGTCGCGTGCTCGCCGTCGCACTGCTCTCGTCGGCGGCGGACGAGGGGCGTGAGGGCGGGAGAGCCAGGCCGCCAGGCCGCGAGCCGGACGGGGTGGGCGACTGGCCATGTTTTTCGGCGGTCTAAACACGGCAACGCGCCCAGCTGCACGCATCCCTCGACGGCCTCGCGGAAACGGCGCGGCCCTCGAACAGTGCCCAGCGCTGGATGCACCCGGGCGACGACTCGGCGCCGGCCGCTGCGTGCTCTGCCTGCCTGTGTTGCGGCACGCAGGGCGTGGTGTTGCTGGCAGCAGGATCTACGCGACGCACAGCCCGGCTCGCGCTTGGCGGCCTTAGGTTGATTTCATCGAACGAACGCTCCCGGGCGATCCAGTCGTGCCAGTGGCCGGCCGTTCGCCAAATCCTACGCCCTTCTCTCGCTCCAACGTCCACCACCCCAGCTCTCCATACCCATCACCTCACCACCACCACACCCGCACCACGCCTCCCCTCCCTCCTCCATCGCCTTCCTGCCAGTCGTGGGGCGTGCAGCCGGCCACGATGCACAAGATATCCAACTTCACCGGCCAGGCCCGCCATGGATGGGAGAAGATGACGCCCTCGATGGGCTTCGGCATGTCACGATCACATAACGACCTCCCCAACCAGCCCGTCAAGCGCCCTTCCAACGCCGCCGCCGTCACGCCCACCATAACGCCCGGCACCTGGGTCAACCTCTCCTTCAACGTCCCCTTCGCCTCCAACCTCGCCGGCCCTGACGCCGACGATGTCATCTACGCGAGTCCCGGCGCTTTCGCCCGGTGGGTCCGGCAAGAAGAGGCACCTGATGGCGCACTGCCGCCGCCGACACACACGCTGCCCGTTCACGTCGCCAACGTCGAGAACCTGCGCGCATTATGCAAGCACCTGAGTGCCAGCACCAACGGCCAGCTCGAGGCGACCGTCGTGTCCTCGGAACCAAAGCCGCTGCCAGGCCTGCAGCGCGTCACCACCCTCGTTACGAACGTCTGCCTGTCGGGAGAGGCCGAGCAGGTGCGCCAGACTCGGTGCCAGATCCTGAACGAGACGCCGATTTCGCTGGTATGTTGTCGCCCGGGAGAGGGCCCGCCCGGTTGTTTAAGCGCCACGGATGCTGACTTTTCCTCCCCCGGCGCTTAGCGGTGTGCCACTGTGGACGTAGATTACAGCTTAGTGTTTGAGAACGATGGCGTCAAGTCACAGGTCCTGAACCATCTTGATGAGATTTCCAAGGTTACCAAGGCAGATATCTTCCTGCTGCAGCCTAAGCCCATCGACATCGAGTCTGCCAGTATCAACGGCACGCTGCACGATGCGGAGCAGCGCCTCAGGTGCGCCATTTACGGCGATATGGAGAGTGCAGAGCACGCGAAGACGCGTGTTCTGATCATGATCGATCAGATTGTACGTGACGTGCAGTGGTTCGACTCGCGTGATGCACTTGCTAATCGATTTTTGCTTAGCTTCAACGCCATGTCGATACCATGAAGCTCGAGCTCTCCATGCACACGCTCATCTGTGGGCGGGCTCGCAAGAACATCAAGTTGATCGAGTCTGCAACTAACACGGCCATCTACTTTCCCCCGCCGTTCCCTCGCTTGTACGGTTACACGCCACCAGGGGCAATCCGGCGGCCTGAAGACGAGATCATCATCACTGGCGAGAACCCCGATGACATCTTGCAGGCCAAGCGGAGGCTGCATGACCTTGTCCTGAGCACCCGGGCGTTTGTGAAGGAGGTCATTGTCACCACCAGCAAGATCGACAGCATTTTGCTCGAGCGTCTCGACAAGGTTCGCAAGATTATCGAGAACAACGGCTCGTATATCTTGCTGCCCCCACTGGGATTCCAGCGCGGTCCGATCCGCGTGCAGGGAACGGATGTTCTGAACGTTGAGCGGACCGTGCGGGAGCTCATGGCATTGGTACGTTTCCATATATGTCACTTATGCCACTGCACGCTTGCTGATCATGATACAGGCCGGTCAGTTCTACAGCGCTTCGTGGTGCATCACCCACCCCGATGGTCACCAGAGGCCTCCTACCCCGGACGACGTGCGGGCCATGCTGTCGGATATTTGCATCAACTCTGGTGCTGAGATCAGCTTCGAGAGGTTGAACTTCCACATCAGTGGATCTGACGATGCTGTGAAGGCCGCCATGATGGTCATCAACAACATCCCTTTCGTCCGCAAGTCCCAGTACCAGATGAGCGTCAAGATCGAGCTGGCCAACGAGCACAAGGAGTTCGTCAGCGGCAAGAAGAACGGCAAGATCAACAAGATCATGAGCCAGAGCAATGTCCAGATTGTCTTTGATGGCTTCAACGAGTACAACTTCTACATTGTCGTCCGCGGCAACCGCTACGACGATGTCAAGGGGGGTCTTGATCTCGTGGAACAGGAGATGCCTGCGGCAATTTCGTTCCACGTGCCTGACCAGTACCACAAGCGCATCATCGGTATCGGTGGTCAGCACATCCAACGCATCATGAAGAAGTACTCTGTCTTCGTCAAGTTCTCCAATGCGATGGATCGCGGCGGTCTCGGCAAGGAGGAAGACGACATCAAGGTCGACAATGTCATCTGCCGTACTCCTGCTCGTAACGCGCAGAACCTTGACCTCGTCAAGCAGGAGATCATGGACATGGTTGAGAAGGTTGACGCCGAGTTCGTCTCTGAGCACGTCGTCATCAACCGTCTCTACCACCGTGAGCTGATCTCTCGCATGTCTGATATCGAGGACCTCGAGAAGAAGTGGAACTGCAAGATCGTCTTCCCGAGCACCGAGCAGGCCAGCGATGTCGTCACGGTCTCCGGCCCCGAGTACCAGGTGCCCCAGGCCGTCGATGAGTTCTTGGCCATGGTTCCTGAGAACCACGAGATGACTTTCATGGCCCCTGCCGAGCTGAAGGACTTCCTCCGCTCCGAGGACTTCAAGAAGGATGTCGTTCTGAAGATGAAGACCCAGTACAACATGGACATTCATCTGCACGACACTCAGCCCGGCCCCGCCGATGCCCCTGACCGTACGATCGAGGCTCTGGTCATGAGCTACACTCGCAACTATGCTGGCGGTCTCAAGGACGCGATCGACTTCCTGATCGCTCGCCTTGTCGGACACGGTCTGGATGTTACCCAGATCATCAAGGGTGCTATTCCTCGTCCGAAGTCCGACTCGTTCGAGGATAGCCTGCCTTACTTCTCGTCCAAGGTTCTCCAGCCTGCCGAGCCTCGTCTTGACTCGACCGACTCGCCGACTCGCTCCGTCTTTGGCGATGACAACCACTCGATCCACGAGCGTGTTGGCTTCCTTGACCGGCTCCGCAAGCCTGGCAGCATGTCGTCCTTCTCGTCGTTCATCGAGCGCCGCAAGAACGGATCCAACTCCCCCGGATCTCTGTTCACGCATGCGTCTCGTAACGCGTCGAAGGCGTCGCTGGTGTCGCTGGAGTCGACCAACAGCTACCGCAACCCCTGGAACGACAGCGGTATCAACTTGCCTGAGGATGAACACCACCACACCAATGGCTGGCCCGTACCGGCAGCCCCCGGCTTTGGCTACCACTCGAACTCTTCCAAACTTTCTTTTCACACGCCCACTACTACCGCGGCGCCTGGGGACATGACACCCCGGTACGACCCCCGGGCGTCGGTTGACAGTGGGCGCCCTAGCACTTCCCATTCTGCTTCTGGATACCCGGCCCCGATTGGGCCTCCTCGTTGAACCAACAAAAAAGAATTTAGCCGTGCAGCCCAGAAAAGCTCTTTCTCTCTTCGTCGATGAAGATACCCCGACTGACTACGACGATTGAATACCCATCACTTTCCCTCACCCTCGATACCGAAATCTGGCTATGAAAGACAATATACCCCGGGCGAATCACAAAAAGCGAATGCTGCTTTTCGGTCGTCGTTCGTCTGTATGTATGCGTGGTGCTTGTTGCGTGTATGCGGCGCGGTTGCTATCCTCTCAGTTCCGTCGTTCTACCCGGAGGCGTTCTTGCTGCTTTGATTCGTCTGCTTTCCTCTCCTAAGGCGCTAAAAGAAATATACCAATTTGCTCTTTTTGCTCTTTTCCTACCTAACCACTTGCCTACTGTTTAGCCGCTCGTTACCCCTCGGCGTTTGATAGTGTGTTTTCGCTTTCTGCTTTATACTATAACCCTACGAAATAGCGGTCGATGATGGAAGAGCTTTGGGCGATGGTGTGGCTAGCGCATACGTAGTCTAGCGTACACATGATAGATGACCCGACCCCATAAGCTGCGATTGGATGCTAAGATGACGTGCGTGACGGTGGTCAATGCCTGCCCCAATTGTTGATCTCCCGGAGAATGACGGCGACTGGAGAAATTCTAGAGCTGGTCACGTGGTTGATAAGTAGCTCGCGTCGATATGACGCAAAAAGTCTGGGGAAGCTGCGCGACCCTCCGAAAGCTCTCTCCGACCGCCATCCAACATCATCCTCCACCCGTTGCACCTCAAAATACCATCGCAATGGCTTCCCGACGAGCATTGATGCGCTTCTCTCTGCGCTCCGCAACTACGGCTGCTGTGCGTCGTGCGGCTCCCCTACATTTCGCCACACCTGCACGCGCGTCGAGCGCCGCTGTCGCCCAGCCCGTAGTGCAGAAGCAGCTCACCCAAATCCGGTGGCACTCGGCCGAGCACGGCTCGAAGTCCAAGGTCTACGACTTCAATAGCGTAAGCGTCTTATCTTGTCTCTGCATCTTCCTCTTCGTACTCTAGCTTAAGAAGATCGTTGCGTCAAGCGCACGACTACCATGCTCGATCCCCCAATTCACATCTTACCCTCGCGATTCCCCATCGCGAAGAGAGGAAGATAGATTAGTGACTGATCGGTATCCTTTCCAACCACATAGATCAAGAAGCTCCTCGAGAACCCCGCCCCCGACTGCACACTGATCGATGTGCGCGAGCCGCACGAGTTCGCCGGCGGCTTCATCCCGACGGCGTATAACATGCCGATCGCTTCGGTACCCGAGGGCATATTTCTGCCGGCCGAAGAGTTCGAGGAGCGCTTCGGCTTCGAGAAACCTCCGGCGGGCAACGAGCTCGTGTTCTATTGTAAGGCGGGCGTGAGGAGTAGCAGCGCGGCTCAGCTAGCCCAGCAAGCAGGATATGAGCGCGTGGGCGAGTATAGGGGGAGCTGGCTGGACTGGGTTAAGAATGGCGGGGAGACGAGCGAGGGGCCGAAATGAGTTCGTCAATCCATGAGTGGGGGACTTGTAGGGTAAAAGGAGATGCTGGATGTTGGGGCTCTGCGTCTGGAAGGGACCACACAACGTGGGCTTCTATGAATAACTCGGCAGGGAACCCTTCCGGTTCCAAAATTCCGGTGAGTCTAGCTGTCCCATGGCGGCGTGGTCGTGCCAAGCTGATCTTCTTTTCGATCAGTGTGAATACGTTTCAAGGCACTCCTTTTGATCACATTCCCAATGCTTCTCGTGTAGCCCTAGTTCCAGGCCGTGGGCCCGGAAACACCGAAATTCATACGTCATATATTAATACCATCAACTATATATGTCCTTACGTACCCCCGGGTATGCGGCACCGTTATATTGGGTATGAATTTCATGAGCCTTACCACACTCACGGAAGCGGTGACACCGTCGTTTCATATAACCTTATACGGACGTTCTGGCGATCATTCAGGGCTTGAGATCTACTGCCAAGAGGACCGCAGCAACTACGAGGAGGAATATCTTCTCGACGTGCGCTCGAGTATGCGCCGGACGGGTGGTTTCTCGGTCGTCGCTTTCGACCACTCCTGCAGGCAAATCACAGAGTTTTTCCGGATCCTGGTAGGTGTTTGTTATACTCTTTGAGTGTCTAATTGTTCTTTTACTCAGGGTTTTGTGCTTTGGGCATGTTAATCGGTGAGGGAAATCCCACTGCGGACATATATTGATATACAGTGTGAGTTGACTTAACACACAGATGCACGATAAATACCCCGATGATGTACAGCTGAGCTATTATACCAGAACAGCAAGTGTTCATCTACATACTTGTTCAGTATAGTTCGTGTGCGATATGGAAACGACAAGCAAGCCAAGACCGACACTCTCTCGCTTGGCCGTTCAATGTCTCGCAAAAAAAGAAAAAGTTTCTCCGTTGCTCCGAGGGTCGGTATCCGAGTACTGCGCGTCTATCTCCGTTGGGTGAATGAGTGGCGCGGCGTGTTTCCAGCTGTTGTCGGTCGGTTGGACTCGGGCGCGCTCTCGGATCACCCTGGCGGCCTAACCACCACGCTGCTCTCGAGGCTCAACTCCTGCACGACTCAGTATGGTCATCATCTGTGGGTTTCCCGTGGTGTTGGGCCTTGGACGCGTAAAAAAGGCAAGCGGAAGCATCTCCTTTCATATAGGAACATGCCGCTCCCTTCGCCTTGTGGCTTGACACCCTCGTATTCATTCGCTTACCAGTCTACTCGCGACGTCTATTGTTTCGTCACAGTAGATCCCCCAGCATGACCGTGCGCCTACATTCTCTACTATGAGGGTGATTTCCATAAGGCGGGCACTTCTATATACGTAGGGCTATCCACGATAGCATGACTTTGGAGAGGGTGCGTTACAGCGGAAAGAGCGAGCCTCTTCCTCGATTTTATTTTTTTTTTCGATTCTTCATTTACAGACCAACTTTCATCTCCCTGGAGGAGTGAGACTATTCATTCTTTTACAGACCTCAATTCATAATCCAGGAGTCGGCGAGTAAGAGCGTGTGGCATGACGCGGCATCCTAGTCGGCTAGCTATTTACGAACGATAGAGAAAGCATAGGGAAAAATAACCATGGTAAGGCCAACCTCCCTCGGAATATTCGAGGCCCCCACTATCGTTCGACCCTTTTTCATTTCATGTGGCGCAATGCTTTCTACGAGCTCTCCACCGCTGAAGTAGCAATAATTTTTCACGAGTCACTGTTTTAACACCTTTCACTCCAGTATCTGAACATGATACGCAGAGCACGAGACATTTTGGACTATACCACGGGCTGGGACCCGGCTATCGCCATACCCACTTTAGTGGGAAGTCTGTTGTCATTCTTCGCTTCGAGCATTGTCATCACACTCTGGGCTGCGTTCGGTGCGGAGCGGAGGTCCTTCCGGTACGCACTCATCCTGAACCTTACGGTAGCTGGTAAGTAGCAGTCCACTGGTTCACCTCTCGCAACTCTGAGCTCACCGTACATAGAGTTCATTAATTCTTTGAACAACTCGATATCGGGGCTATACATCGTCATCAATAAAGGAAAGGCCCACGACGGGCCGTCATGCGATCTAAACGGTTGGATAGGCCAGTTTTCCGTGCAGGTAAGTAATCAATGAACTCCAAACCATTCCGGCAATGCGCTTATGCAGGCTTCTAGGCGGTTGACTTCTCAATCTTGGCCATCGCGGTCGTTACACTCCTGACGATTCAATTCAAGTCGTACATCCTGTACGCCCCGACTTACAGAAAGGTCCTGATCTGCCTGTCCATCTGGATCGTCCCGCTCATCACCAGTGCGTTGCCCCACCCCCCACCAAATGTCCGTGATTCTCACATTGAGCACAGGCAGCACCGCCCTCGGCCTCAACGTCATCCGACCCGTGTCGGGCAATTGGTGCTGGATCTCGGGCGAACACCGGTACCTGCGGTACGCGCTGGGCCACGGCTGGCGCATCGCCATCATCATCCTGACCTTCTGCATCTACGTCTACGTCTTCGCGTACATGCACCAGCGGCTACGCATGCGCGACAAGTCGGACCAAGCGCGCACGTACTCGTTCGACTACGGCAACGGCGCCAACGGCTTCGAGATGAACTTCTGGCTCGCCAACGGCGGGCCCGTGAATGGTGGTACCGGTGCTAGGGGCCAGGCAGGGACGGGGAAGGGGGTGGATGATGGCGGCGAGGAAGGCTTGCCGCTGCCGCCGCCGAAGGCGTTTGGAGGCGCGGCGGCGAAGAGCGGGGGCCGCGACGAGGCGGAGGAGAAGCTGATTGCGCCGCCGAGGATGAGGATCAGGCAGACGACGGATATCGACAAGGACGTGTGGCGGATGGTGCTGCTGAACTTGTATCCGGTCACGTACTTGATACTGTGGCTGCCCGGGATAGCGAATCGGATCGTCGAGGCGACGGGGAATTACAGTCGCCCGTTGGGGATCTTGCAGAGCTCGACGCAGTATGTCGGGTTTGCGAATGCCTGCGTGTACGGCTTTAAAGAGCATTGGGATGATATCAAGTACTGGTGGGGAAAGTTGAGGAGTTGAAGGAGGCCATGAAGGACTCTCGGTGTTTGGGATCTTTACACTCTGATGAACGGAAAGGCATCGGTACATGGTTGGCGCTCCCGGCGTGTAGTGGGTAGAGGTGTACTTCTGGTATCAATTCCCTATGTTTTTTTATCGCACCCACAGGCAAGCCGAAACTTTGCTTTCCTTTTTTTTGTCTTCTTCCCCTGCGATTACTATCTGCCCCGGACTATATTTCTGACTAAGCATAAATGTAACCGCCCCCACTCTAGGCAACGGCTTCAGCTTCGTGCCAACTCAACAACTCCTGTCTCAAAACTTCAAAATTCATTTCGATAGGCGCTTGACGCGTTGCTTCAACGTCCACCCCCACAGTATTGCGGTTTTTAGTGACTCTTCTTAGCGTTGCTGCTACTGCTTTGTGAATGCGTAGATCAACCAGCCATTCTTATCCCAATCTTAAAGAATTGGGCTCAAACTTCCACATTCCTCTACCCCAGCCAACATGGAAGAGGATTATTGCCAATGCAAGGTTCCGGACCTCCACGGCATATCTGGCGGAGTACTCTGCTACGGATGTGGCAACCCACCCCAGCCTCTGGAAGAAGGAGACCTGGATTCTTTGGACAAGTCATACAGGAAAGCTTCCTGCTTTCATCACAAGCCTTTGGTCAAGTCGAGCGACTTCCGCTTAGTACGCCTTTTTCCTGGCCAGGGCCAAAGCCCAATCGTGTGCCATGTTCTCCGTTTCGGGCTGGAAGAGCATCCGAGATATGAGGCAGTCTCATATACTTGGGGCAATCAGGAAAGCCCGAAGCAGATTTTCACGCAATCCGGGTCTCTTTCGGTGACTCCCAGCTGCCATGCTGCACTCTCCGACCTGAGATATTCGGATGAAGATCGCTACCTTTGGATTGACGCTGTTTGCATCAACCAAGCTGACAATCTCGAAAAGAATCATCAGATTCCGCTAATGAAGAGGATTTATGCGGAGGCTGACCGGGTTTTGATTCATTTGAGAAATGTCTTCCAGTTGGATGCTCGCCCTTTTTTCACGGCGCTGAAATTGTTGCAACCCCTGGACCTCCCGGACGGTCAAATTATCACTTCTCAATTCTTATCCGAGCCATGGTTTTCAAGAGCTTGGGTCTTACAGGAAGCTACTGCCGCCCGATCTGCACTTATCATCATGGGCGTAGATACTATTGATTGGTCCTATATTTCAGCAGGTCGCCTACAAGCTCTTGGAGTCAGGGCGGTCAATTGGGAAGACCGGATTCCGCCTGCGCTTTTGAACAAGGAAAGAAAACCATTGCGAGACCTGCTTTCGCTCCTGAACGTGGCACGGAGCTGTTCCTGCACAGACCCACGAGATCGCATATACGCCTTGATGGGCCTCCTTAGAAACTCTGCAGATTTACATCTGGTTGCAGACTACAACAAGCCAGCTGAGGATGTCTACGCGGAAGTGACAGCCCAAGTCATCATGAGATACAATCATTTGGATATTCTGGCTGAGGCTTCCAATCTACCTCATCTTCTACATGACGCTGTACATGACGCTGCGGAAAGCTTCACGAGTGTGCATGGACTGCGAAGTATATTGCAGCTACGTGCGGTCCCTGCAGAGTATCGTGTATTTGGGCCCTCAATGCCTATACTTGCGGGTGTCGAAGCTTGGGTACATGCTGCGGAACTGATGAGTCTTCCAAAGACACCCCAGCAGCAGGCGAGATGGATCGCAAATCTAAAAGATGAATGGAAGAACTTGAAAAGGACTGTTCAGGAAGTCTCAGCGAAACCGAAAACGAAGCTTGATTTCTTCCCGTGGCACCCAGAGGAAGAAGCGCCTCTGCCAACCTTCTACTCTCAGCTGGAAGTTTCGACAATGGCCGAGGAGATAGTTCTCGGCAAGAATATACTCCATTCTTCATTCCTCGCCACGTGCTCGATCAACTCTACGACACCTCCAAATGAAACCGCACTTACAGCTGCTTTCAACGCCCAAATTCGCCCTCTGCCTCGGAATATAAAATTGCTCATCCGCGATGCCCTGTACCTTCACTACATGGCAGTTGAGAAAATCCAAGAGGAATTTCGCGCTTCCAAAAAGACAGCTTTGTTATTCGAAATGATCGGACTCGAATCGGACGATTTGGCAAAATGGAGGTCAGCAATGACAGAAGAGCAGGTGCTGCGCTTGCCTTCATGGGTTCCTGATTTCCGAACCCATCCAGCTCTGCCATCACTTGCCAACTGGAGACCGAATAGAGCGCAAGGGACTGGAATCACACTAGATATCGGTAGTGCGGGAGATGTCGGTACCCTTTCAGCCAAGGTGCTCAAACTGGACTCCATCATAGACTGTGCTCTCCAAGATGGTCTGTCAGATCCAGACAAACTTGAGTGGAAAGACTCGACTGGTGAGACCGTCAGCCACAATGCTCACAGCTTCTACCAGATGTTTTCTAGCACTTTCGACCAAACGCACTACGGGAGGCTATTTGCAGACGTTTGGAATTTTCGGCAGGGTCGGAAGTTTTGCCCAACTGGACGATCATTCGCCATCGCTCCTGCCTCGGCTTCAGTGTCCGATGGTATATACTTTTTGTACGGTGCAAATGTGCCGTTCGTTTTGCGAGCAGTCCCTGATCAGGATGAGACGTTCCACCTTCTCGGAGAGTGCTACTTGCACGGGTGTAGGGGGGCACCATTCGGTCATGATTACCTAGAGCTTCTCGGAAGTTACAAGCAGTGTTTCAGCGCGTCTGCCGTAGAGGATCTACCTTGGGAGACTGCCCATCTGGTCTGATGGTCCAAATAATTTGTGTTTTCCGGGCCACTTGAGTGCGAATTCTTGGTAGATTTAGATGCATCATCCTGGACTTCTTGGCCTCTATTGTTATACGGACGAATCCGTATTCGTAATTGAGCCTATTTGTGCGCGAGGCAAGAGACGCAACAACAGTGCATTTGCTTTCGCTTGCGGTTTCAGTGTACACGCTTGCAAAGCAAGTTCTTCCGCAGCAATGCCTCAAGCGCGGCTATTGCCGCGTTCCCGACTCAGGTAAAGGCTGGACCCATCGCATGATGGTCAGGCAGGTGGGTTGAGCCACGATTCCGGGCCGATACGCCAGTCATTCTCCAATCACTTTCGTCGGCAACGATTGCGATTGGCGGGTTCGGGAGACCGTAATTATTACCGGTTCTGGAGTACGTCTGCTCATAAATCCGATAGATTCCGCATCATTGATTGGACCTCGCATCGGTTGCATAATAGCGCGCTTGTGGCTTTCCAAAATCTGTCGATTCTTATAGTATAGCGGCGCCGGCTATAGTGTCATGTATACAACAAGCATTACAAGCTTCCGCAAGCAGCGGAACCGTCCCTGCTTGCGAGGGCGGTGCGGCAACGACTCATCCAGCACGGTCAGGGCTCTCGTCTCGCCTATGAATGCCTTCTGTGTGTCACTAGTATCTCCTTCCCAAACGCCTTTCGTCTTACCTTTCTGCCACACGACCCGCTTTTACGGGCCACCTGCGTCATTAACTACCAGTCGTGGTCGCCCATTAAACCCCCATCATTTTCCCGACTCACTCTACAACCTCGACTCGACGGCCACCGGCTGCGCTCCATCGGCAGCCTTCGCGTCCGGGTCGGGCAGGAAGTCCAGCCACGGGCCGGCGCGCGAGAAGGCGGCGTACAGGTCGGCCTTGCGGCCGTCGGGAATGTAGGGGCTGACCCAACGGCTGGCCATCTTCAAGTACCAGGTGTCCTGGGCCTCGTAGCGAGTGACGACGCCGGACAGGGAGACAACCGTCTCAGCGCGGCCGCGGTGGTTGGCCTCGTATGTGGCCTCGAACAGCTCCTTGAGCTGCGCGACCGACGGCTGCGGCGCGAGCGAGAGCAGGGTGCGCAGCCCGTTGGTCAGGCGCACGATGCCCTCGTAGGCCGTGTTGGCTCCGAGGCCGGGGTTGACGGTTGCCTTTGGGGAGTGTCAGTTCAAGATTGTTGGTAAGGAAGAATGTATATATACCTTGTGCACAGCGTCTCCGACCAGCACGACGCGGCCGTTGCTCCACTTCTTGCTCACGCCCTCCTCGAGTGGGGCCAGGGTCGCGCGCACGCGGTTGTCCCACAGATCCTGCAACGTGTATCCCGGGCCCAGCACCGTCTTGCCGTATTCGGTAACCACCTTGGCGGCGTCCTCGTCGGTGAAGCGCGGCACGTTGGGCATGCGCGACACCTTGTCCATCTTGACGTAGAAGAACCAGAAGAGCAGGCCGGGCACGCCCGCGGTGGAGAAGGACGAGTGGTAGTCGTAGTAAGCGGTGTGGATCATGCCATCGGGCATCATGGGCTTGCTGGGGTCGTTCTTGGACACGCCGAAGAGGCACTTGTACTCGGTCGTGAAGCCTGCGAGTGGGGCGTGTCAATTGGCTGCCTTCCAGAAGGGGATTTTGGCGAGTATTACCCTCCTTGATTTCCTTGGCCAGATCGGGCTCCGTCTTGGCAACCTCGTCGGCCATCAGGGTCCTGACGTGGCTGTGGATGCCGTCGGAGCCAACCAGGATGCTGCCCTCGATGGTCTCGCCGGTGCTGGTCTTCACCGTAATGCCGTTCTCCGACTCGGTGTAGCTCTCGATGGCCGTGTGCGCGCGGACCTTGGACTTGTCCTTGACGTGGTTGTAGAGGATCTTGATGGCCTCGCAGCGCTCCAAGAAGACCCACGGGCGGCCCATCCTGCGCCGAAATTAACACAAAGCTGGGCAGGAGACAATGCTGGCGTACTTTTCATAGATGTCGGCGAACAGGCGCGAGTCTTCGAAACACTTGCAATTCTCGTCGAAGTGCTGGCGGTACATAATGGGCACAGTCGTGTTCTTGAAGTCCTCCCACACGCCCAGCTGCTCGAAGACCTTGATCGAGTGCGGCTGGAAGCCGATGGAGGCGCCCAGCTGCGGCCCAATCTCGCCCTTCTCGAGCAGGACAAAGTCAATGCCGGCAGCCTCGAGGCAGAGGGCGAGCATCAGGCCGCCCAAGCTGCCGCCGGCAATGATGACCTTGAAGGAGGAAGACATGGTGGGTTACCGAATGGGGTGGAGTGAAACTGGTGGGTTATGCGGGGAGGTTCTGACGTGCTGCGATCCCCGGACGTTCGGGAAAGTGTGGGAGAAAAGGCCGGACGAAAGAGGGCATTTTGCTGCTTAAAACCTCAGGCAAGGTTAAATAGTCTGTGCGGATGAATCGACGAGCTGTGCATCAGGCCACGCGTGGTCTGGTGTTGCTCACGATAAGTAGCTGCGGCGTGGCTTCCAGGTTTGTGTTATTGCGGCCCCCGCCATGAATCGATAGCTGGTTTCAAGGGCGGTGATTGGCATTGCCATGACAAGAACAGGGCGATCTAACTTTTTGGGTCCCTATACAGCGGGTTGTGCAGAAGCAATATGCAGGGGAATAACAGACCAATGGGGGATATGCGGCTCCGATGCGGCACAGCGTGTCTGTGCGCGAAAAGCTTGCTGGTGCCTGCCGCCGGACAGAGAACAGCAGGAGCGTTCCTGGCAGACAGCTCAGGCAGGCGGCCCACAGCAACACAGAACGACCACGCGATTCTGAGACAGATTCTTATTCATGAGCACGATGTCGGCCATGAAGGGGCGGCTGACGACGCAGGGGCACCATGGTACACCGCACGCGGTCTGGCCCCAGGCACCCAGGGTCCGCAGCGGAGCGAATCAGCTGGAGATGCGCCGCGCAAAAACGGCGGCGGCGCGGACGGCTGCCGGCTCGAGCGGCTGCAACGGTAGCCCTCCCGCGCGTGGGACCACCGGCCTCTTTTCTTCGCCGGCTTTACTTCCGCGCAGCCAACGGGAATCAGCGGCGGTGAGGCATGCACATCCACCATCTTCCATCCCGCTTTCGTCTTCTTCCATGTCGAGCAGAAGTCAATCTTCCCCGACCTCGGCATTTGGCGCCTTCTTTGCCGGCCACAGCAGCGGCTCACCCGTGTCCCGCGCCACTCAAATCCTGCAGACCCAGCGGTGCTGTCAAAGCGCTCGCCGCCCTCGTTTCGTGCTCCTGACTCGAGTGCTGTGGGAACAGCCTTAATGGGATCGCTTATTTGTCGTCAAGATTCTTTCCTATCAATGCGATCGCAGCTCCGCCGAGAGTCAGTTGGTCCTCCGGGGTCCGATGGTGCCATAATCTTCGGCATGCCGTCTGTAAAAAGCACCTGCGCCCAATCGAGACGGCCGGGATTTTCCTGATGCCCTGACTTTACTTTTTTGCACACACCAGGGGCATCGCATTGTTGCCCTTTAATTAACCAACACCAAGCCTTTTGCTTCGCCCGCCCTCGCTCTGTCTCTCCTTTCTCCTCACAGGCTTTCGTGATGCCTGTGGTACTCGAGCCACAGAAGCTGTTGACATGGTTTCCTCGAGATGAGAGCCAGAGCTACACGCCCGCCGACATCCCCATGGCGGGCAGAATCATGTCCGTAAGTCGGAAGCCGGTCCAGGAGATGCGCTCCAGCTGACGTCGGCCGCAGATGATTCTCTCGCTTGTCACCCTCTGCGTGCTCTCCATCTGCATATGTCGCCGTGTGCAAGGCATTCACCGCTGGTCAACAGTTCCGCTCGGCGCCTGGTACATTTTGTTGATCTATGTCGACTCCTTTCTCTTCGTCTTCATCACTGCCGTCTTCAAGGATGTTGGCCTCAATGAGACGGTGACAATCTGCAGAGGTGCAATTCTGCTTTGTCTGACTCTCTACCTGTCAACAAAGGTGTGCGTCTACTTGTTCCTGGTCGAGAAAGCCGTGAGTCTGCATCCCCTGCACAGACATCGCAGCACCCGCTCATTGCCATAGTACATCGTTCGCGGATGCAATGAACCGAGGCATAGAGACAAGTTATACATGTTCAACATCTGCGCTGCCATGGGCCCCTATGCCGTCCTTGCCGTCTTGAACATCATCTGGTAACTTCCACCAACCCTTCCACATCACCCATGCTGACTTCAAACAGGAGATTCTCGCATATCGAAGACGGTACCTGCATCATCGGCATGCAGAAGAAGGCAATGATGCCGCTAATCATCTTCGACGCCGCCGTCAATGTCTACCTGACCACCCTCTTCATCGTGCCCCTCCGCCGTACGCACCACCAATTACCCATCTCGATTCACACCCGCTAACCGCCCGCAGAGCTGTATTCGTACAAGTCACAACACAATACGACACTACACACCATGGCCGTCCGCACTTTCTTCGGCTCCTGCGCCACCCTGACCTCTTCCATCGCCAACCTAACCTTACTCATGGTCCTGGACGGCGAGCCTGCTTGGATCTGTTTCCTGAGCTGCAATGCCGAAAGTACGTCAAAAATTCATCATTCCGTACCAAGAAAAAGAAAACAAGAGAAAAAGAAATTAAAGGCCCCACAAAAACACCCAAAAGACAAAACAAGGGAACCGGAGAATTCGGAGAATAGGAGAATATCCACAAAGGAAAAAGAAAAGAAAAAAGGCTAACAAAACCCTCCCCAACAGTCCTCTTCTCAGTCCTCACCCTCCACTGGGTCACCTCGCGCGACAAGACGGGCCAAACCACCAACCGCAGCTACAGCCGCAGCGGCGAGCCCAGCAACGGCAACGGCTCGAGCTCCAACCAGCTCTCGTTAAACAAAAGCCGCAACAGAAACAACGCGCCCATCGGCACCGAGACGCTCATCTCGGAGCACTACCAGGACCGCGCCGCCGCCAACAAACCCGGCGCCAACGTCAGCGTGTGGGGCGAGGACGACGAGCTCACGACGCGCATGCTGGACGACGCCTACCAGGGCCGCGGCGCCGGCGGCTCGCCCTGGCCCGAGGACACGCGCGCCGTCGTCAGCGCCAGCTGCGGGCGCGCCGACGAAAACGATCTCATTGCCAGCAGTAGCACCGGGGCGGGGGCGGACAGCATCGCGTTGGGCCGGATCGTGGTGACGAAGCAGAGCGAAATCCGGGCGCTGACGCGGGAAGAGGAGCGACGGGAGCAGGAGGAAAGGGAGCGGCGGAGAAGGAAGGGCGGCGTGGCGGGCAGGAACAGCAGGCACGGCAGCAGGACCGTCACCGGCGGCGTGGTGATGACGACGACGACGACCATGACGACGAACGACGCCGAGAGCGACACGTCGCGGACGACGGCCGAGGGAAGTAGGAGGGAGGGCAGTACGGATGGGATAATTTTGGCGCCGGGCCCGGCGCATATGGTTTAGAGAAGAGTATGGGGTGAAAAGAGGACGCGGTTTTACGAAGACTTACGGTCTGCTGGCGTTTTGGTGGTATACATATATCATACCCGTACAACTGGATTTTTTTTTTTACCCCGGGTGTTGCGAGGAGTTTTAGCCCTCATTTGTATTGCAATAAGTAGCATGGCCGGAGCTCTAAAAAATTGAAATAATTCTCCATACGCCACACAGGCTGACGGGCGCGGGTCCCTATGTACACATGCAGTCACAAAAAAGCTTACCATGAGGCTCACTAGATCGCAGGCCGCGAGCCCAACAACCAGGCTCTTGGGTACGGTGGCTCTGTGGGTATGTCTTGGAGCCAAATATGCGTGACATTTGCCCCCGGCGGACCCCGGTCCGCGGCACCGAGACCTGGTCCTGACCGGGTGTAATGTGGGTCTGGTGCAGGTGAGGGATTATGGAAATTTATGACGTGATTAGTATAAATGCCATGCTCGCACCGAATCCGAGGGGACGAATACAGGTCCATGTCATAGCGCTTATGAACCCTGGATTGGCTTGCTAGCTTTCTTCTTTCACTTTTTTTGCTTCAAACACCAGCTTTTACGCTGACGAGAAACTGTTACTGTTATTAATCATTCTACAAGCAATAAACGAGACGTGCTCTTAAAAAGAAGATGAGATAACAGCTACTGCCAGATCCTCGGGTAGCAGGGTGTAGCCTAAGATAAGTATCTGGTATTCATCACTGTCCAACCAGTGAATCACTATTGATGTGTAGCGCGTAGAATCATGCTAGCATTTCGACATACAAGGATTGTTGCATGATATTTTTCTCTTAGTACTGACGAGGGGTTGGACGTTTGGGCAGAACCTAGGATGATCGGTCGTAGCAGTGAACACGTTGAAATGAGAAGGCTGGAGGCAAAGAGTAGCGCTGGTGAGGCTAGAATAAGCAGAAGCAAAAGAGAGTGAATTGTTGTTGTTGAAAGCTATCCAAGCCACTTTTATACCCGCGTTCCGTGCCCAAACAAACCGAATCTGGAAGGCCGAAGCCTTGGCCAGTAGGTCTGCCTTTGCAAGCAACGAAAGAAAAGGTCATCTATCTACACGCCTTCCACTGCCACAGTATTTTTTTTTTTAGCGGCACTGGGAAAGAACAGATGACATTCAAAAAAGAAAACGAAATTTACGGTCTATCTATTCAAGCAAGAAGCAGGGTTCTTCTCACCATGGCCATGTCGTTGGCCCAGCCAGCACGTCCTGCAGGAATGAGTGGTGTTGACATATAAGCCACTCGGGCAGCCATCCTGGTATGCTAGTCACGCTCAAAGAGGTGGTGCTTGGTTAAATGAGAGCCTGAAGGTTTAGGTAGGGCAGCCCAAGTTACCACCCGTCCTCTGTGGGTAATAAAGAGGTCGAAGGTTCGAACACGGACTAGGGAAGGCAAAAAAGACGGTCCCAAGGAGTCTTTCTGAGCTTAACCCGCATGTAGCGGGGTTCAGTTTTGCCCTTTTCTTGTCTCTTATTTTTTGCATCACTGACACTCATCCTCCTCCTCCTCTTCCCCGCCTCGTTCTGTCAGAAGATAACCGTTTGCAACTCTGCCTACGCTCCTCTACATAATAATACAAAGTTAAGTGCGAATCCCAGCCACACTTCAAAACCCTAAAGCAAACAACCAATCACGTAACGTTTAAGACCTATATTACTACTTGTATAACAGGTCAGATTGCTGAAAAGAAATCTATTTCTAATGCGTTAATCCTTTTTGGGGGGCACAGCCTCGAAGGATTCATGGTCGAACGTCTAACGAAAGCGCGTAAAAGGACTGGCGTAGAAGGAAGCGACACAGCCACACTACCCTAGCCCGTCTTTCTCTCCAGCCACCTTTTATCACCAAGGTTATCGCATCCAACAAGGCTGTACCTGGCAATTTTGGGAAATCGTGTAACCTGAAAATCACAAGCATAGCCCTGCAACGCCGATCGTGGAACTTGGTGGGGGGCCAAAAGTTGGCTTATACGTGGCTTGAACAGTCCTTATTTCACCCGGTAGCCAGGTTCGATTTCATTTTCTTCACAGTCCCGAAGACCTTACATCCTATCCATCATCCAGGCTACCAGATAAATAAAGATGGCGAACGACGACCACATCCGGAGCACACTGGAGCAAGATCTACTACGCCGTATGGACCAGTGCCAGCGTTCCATCGACGCCTCGACTCACACAGTCGCTCGGCTTGAGAAAAGCATCCAGCATCTCGGCGGGCACATGGAAAAGGCTAACACGCTCCAAATACTCGGCGTCAGCGGGCCGTCCGGGTTCGCGGAGCGAGTCTACGACCTGATCCGCATGAAGGCCGACGAGACGCGGGGCACGAACGACAAGTACTTCGTCTACCACCCGGACAACTTCTGGTACGCGGCGTTCCACAGCCTGGTCGAGCGCAACGGCGGCGGCGGCGGCCTTCCGGAGTCGTTTTGCATGAAATCGGACTCGTTGGACGCGCTCTGCCTCCACATGCAGAGCCTGCGGAGCATGCTTCCTGGCGGGGATAATGCTACGTTCCACATCCTGATACCCGCTTGGGACAATATTTGTATCAGCGAGCCGCTCTGCTTTCCGGACGAGCTTTTTCCCCTGAGCATCGAAGGCACGACGTATAGTGGCTGGCCGTTCGTCACTATGAACGTTCCACGGGCACCGAGGGGTTTGCTCCGCAGCGTATCGAACAAAGTGCAGCCGGAGTGGCTCAATCCTTTTGCCAAAGTCCTGTCGAGCGCGGCGTTCGGGGCGGGAATGATGGGTGTTGGCTGGGCCAGCCTGTGGGCGGCTCACTCGTACTTTCCGGACGTTACATACGCGCCTTACGCCATCAGTTGCGTCGCGGGTGTAGCTTCCTTCAGTCCTCTCAGGTATCTTACTGCTGGATTAGAGAACCACGTGAGAGTGACTCCTCCGAGACTGGTGGGTTCAGACAAAAGGCTGGAGTTGAAAGAAATCAACAGGAGGACATAAAGGTCGAATCGGGCTACAATCATTTCCATTCCATTCCAAACTCGTCTATATTCAATGGGTAACATGTAAAGCGAACGACGGATATCTCAACTTAATCGCAAGCCATAGAAGCATAAATGTAGAAAACCAGATGAAAAAGAGACGCACTCACCCCTCCACAATGGATCAGTGACTCGACTCATCCGCCAGCTCCGACAGCGCCTCGTCGTCCTCGGGCGGCGCATTCTCCGTCGTCGTAATAACAATCCAAAGAATCCTGTTCGCAATCCTCTCCTCCTTCTTATCACTCTTCTTAATCTTCTTCTCACCCGCCTTCTTAATCTCCTCGATAATCTGCGCCCTCTTCTCCAAACTGACAGCCAGATCCTGACTCGCCATCCTCTGATGGCCTGCGGGACGGACGGCTGCGCGCTGCTGATTCGCAACGTACTGCTCCTCGACAACCTCCTGCGCGGCGGCTAGGCGCTCGAGCTCCTCGATCTCGCGGTTCGCGGCGGTGAGCTCGTCGTCGAGCTGGGCGGCCTTCTCGCGGCGCTCGCGCAGGCCCTTTTCGCGGGCGGTCGTCAGCGCGCGCACGTTGCGGCCGTTCATCCAGCGCGTCGGCGCGGTGCTGTAGCGCTTGAGGGCGCCGCGCGGCAGCGGCGCCGGCGGCACGTCGAAGGTGACGGGCGTGACGGAGCCTTCGAGCGCGCGGAGGCGGCGCATGCGCGGGTCTTCCATCGGTACGCCGCCTTCTTGGGCTGACGCCGATCCCGACGCCGCTGATGTCGTGCTGGGGGTCCTGCTGTGGAGGGGTGGGCGGCCGCCGTCGGAGGAAGTGGTGGTGGTGGTCTGGGTGAGGCCGTGGACGAGGTCGTCGACGTCCTCGAGCGGCGGGAGGGTGAGGCGCGTCTCGTCGCCGCGGCCGACGGCCTGCATCATGCGCTTGGTGGTGCAGGTGCGCACGGCGAGGCCGCGCGGGTTGAAGATGTCGGCGTTGGCGCGCTTGAGGAACTGCTTCGCGCGCAGCAGCGTCACCGCGCCCGAGCCCAGCGCCGCCAGCGCCTGCAGGCCGCCGCCTGCGATCTGCACCGGCAGGATCGGCGCCGACATGACCATGCCGCCCGCCATGAAGCCCGCCTGGAAGAACGGGTGCATCATGAAGGCGTCGTTGAGCCCGTCGATGAAGGCCAGGAACTCGTCTTGCGAGATGGGGTTGGGGAGGTCGGCGAGGGCGGGGGCGTAGGCACGGGCGAAGGGTGAGAATGAGCGGACGTAGAACATGTTGATGGTTTCTGGGGGGTGGTTGGGTCAGTTTTCTGCTTCTTGCGTGTTTTGGGAAAAAGGGGGACTTACGAGGAATGACGATGGGCTTGTGGATGTTACGCATGGTCGATGACCTTGACCGCGATGGCTCTCCGTGGCTGGGGAGCTCGACTGCGTGAGACTGGACCTCGGGGAGCTTGTCGGCTTCTTCTTGATACGCCGGGGGCTGTTGCTTGAAGTCTGCCATTTTCTTCGGTTTCAGGTATAGCTGAATTTGTGTGGTAGGGCTGAATTGATGGAGTTCGGATGTGGTAAGGCTGAAGGAGGTTCGCTGTAGTTAAGCAAAGAAAAGCTTGTGTGGATGGAAGCTTGACTGTTCTATGAGACTTGCTGGACTTTATAGATATAGAGCCCATGTTGAAATATGCTTCAGCCTTAGGCGTCCAAGCGTCCCATACCTGTGTCATGGTGAGCTCGAGCTATTTTTGTCCATAGAGTGCACCAAGCTTTGTGGTCGTCGAGGGGGACCCATGGTGTTGAACTGCGCCAGCATACGTACTCTAGTGGCTGAACAGGTAGATCCTCCAGGCTTCCACATAGATGGCGAGCCGAGTACGAATAAGGTTTCGGATCGTAGTGACTGATTAGGTCTAAGTTAAGCTTTCCGAAGCGTCCGCTCGTTCCGCCCTGCCAATCCGGAGATCGCATCTTATACCGAATACGAAACACGAGATCTACGGTTGTGCTGACACTTCACTCTGCGTCATTTACTGCAAGATCTTCAGAAATCGTGGAGAATGGAGGCAGTGCAATATATACCGGTGGACGTGTACGGGTTGCCCAAGTGACACAATGAGCACACGACACTGCCGTTGGGCCGCTCAGTTTGGTGCGAAATTGCCCATGACTCACGACAACCACTGCCCTACCACCCATTTGATCAGCTAAGATATCCTGCGGGACACTGCTTTACGGAGTTACGGAGTGCATACGTTTGGTTGGTTGTGAGTAGGAAAGCGAGTCGTCTGCCTGGCAGTTCCAAAATTGAAAATGCTATCCAGGGATGCCTGCATGCCTCCACGATCCGAGTTTTCGAACTCAGCAGGTTTTCTGAGATTAAAATAGTTCCCCGACTTTGTTCGCAACTAGTCTAGGTCGTATATATTTTCGTTTTAGTGTCGCCTCTTCCCGCAGCCCTAAGCCACATATCATTTAGCATGTCTTTTACTCACATCTCAATCACAACCGGCGTTTCCTTGAGAAATCTCAATCTAGTCTCGACAAGAAATCTTTTCCAAAGCTGGAAACACAAACATCTGCGAAAGCCAGACAACCATTCTGGAGAGAGGGCCCTCCATAAAACGTTCGTTTGCCTTCTTTGGCATCTGTTTCAATATTTGAGTTCAGCCATGTTCAATACAAACTGGATTATTCAGATTGTGGCCCACAACAAACGGCGCGATCGGGAGGCAGGTACAAGACGGCTCTGGCGAGCATTCGGGCTCTGCGCCATGCGTAGGAACGACTTGGCGTGGTGGCGGTAAGAAGACACGGGAATGAGAGCAATCATCTGAGCCTCAACACGAAAACTCATGTCAGAAAGGTCTATAGTGAACTAGACTGATTGTCAGCTAAATTAATCAGTGGCGTGATTCGTGTTATACCTTGGCAAATACGGCGGCTCTTGGAATGCAAAGCGGTGATCATGTTCCGGAAACCCGGCGCAGATACTCGAACAACTCCTTGTCTGTCCTGAATAGGTTTAGCTGGACCTGCTGGAGAATTTTAGAGTGTCCACTAGAGTCCACAGCGAAAAGCGAACAAGCTGTGTTCATGAATGGAGGCATCAGTAGATTGTCTAGCATCTGAGCGACAACTTCTGGTTTTGCAAAAGTCCTACTGCTTTGATCTTCTCCGAGTACTCGACAGCATGACACACCATAGCACTCGGGATATGAAGACAAGCAAAGGTGTTAGAAATTCGTGTACAACATCGAGAACTCCTCGCTTAATATTTCGGTTGACGAGCTGGTTGAGTAAGTCGAGAACAGAAGTCAGCAGAGCTGCTTATCCAACTTCGGCCATTTTAGTTGCTTCTCCCTCATGTAGGATCGCGTCTAAAGTTTCTAGGCGATCCGCCCATGGTTGCAGGGTCTGCTGGGGTATGTTTTGCAAGATCGTCCATTTGTAGTCCAGGATTCTAAAAGCTTATGTTTTAGCTTGCGGCCTTCTGCCGTTATACTTTACACACAGCCTCAACGCCAAACGCAGCGAAATGACTAGATGACGTTACGAGTAAGGCTGACCGTGGTAGGTACTCGGAGGTGATTCGTTGAAGACTGACCCTGCAGCCGCGCCGCAGTGGGGTTCCGCCGGGACTGCACGTACAATTGGTGAGAACCTGGTGGGGCCCCAGACATGCATCTGATACCGCGGACATGCATAGGTAAATTCCAACCTTGTGTGAACAACCTCGACCTTTCACCTTTGGTTTTCCAGCCAAAAGCCTCTGGCCTGTTCGATCCATTTTCTTCCGGAAGAAGCTCCATCTTCACCTTCCTCTTTCGCTCTTAGCCTTCCCCGCATCCGGAGGCTGTTGACCCGAGAAGTACGGTGCCTGACAGGGGTGACTAATGACGTACAGCACAGCTGTTGCTTTTACGTGTCTTCCGGATAGATGGAGGTAGCTCGTTTCAGGAATACGATGGCCGGCAAACGCATTGAAAAAGGCGGAGCCGTGTTTCATCGGTGGAGGTTTTGCCGGCTTGGCTGTAACGTCAACCATTCGGGAGAAGGCGTGCGCTCTGGACTCCAAGCTTAAAGGCTGAAGGTTTCCTCGTGCGGTCAGTAAGACGTACCGGCAAGCGCCAAATCCCACATAGCACTTCGATCAAGATGATTGGCTTCTCCAGAATCCTGCTTCCTCTCTGCCTTTCCTTTACGGTCAACGGGCTCCCCCACGATCAAATCAAGCCGCGCGCCAATCTCCCGGCGGCATTCTTCCTTGCGGGAGACAGCACAACGGCTACAGGCGGTGGCTGGGGAGATGGATTCCTCGCCTCGACCCTCGTCAATGGAGCTTGGGGTACAAATTTTGCGAAAGGTGGCGCCACCACTGTAAGCTTTCGCAACGGCGGCTATTGGGCTTCAACCATCGAGGCGGTCAAGAATGTCTCGGCAAATGGACAGTATACTCCGTGGGTGACGATTCAGGTAGGTCGACCGAAGAGCACGTTTGCGGAAGGACTTGGCAACTGACTCGTTGCAGTTTGGCCACAACGACCAGAAGGCTGAGGCGGGCATCTCGATTGAAGACTTCTCTGCCAATCTTGGTGCTTTCGTCGATGAGGTGCGCGAGGCGGGCGGCAATCCGGTAAACCATCCTCATTCTCCTCACATACAGATCTTCGTCTGACTGGAACAAGATTTTGGTTTCCTCCCTGTCTCGTCGTGGCTACGAAGGGGACCCTGAGCGCATCGTCGAGAATCTGGCCAATGAGGCGGCTGCAGCTCTGGCGGTGGCGAACGAGAAGGGGGCTCTGTCCATCGACCTGAACAGGGCATCGACCGACTATCTGAATGCGATTGGAAGTGCAAACGCTTGGACGTACAACCTGGCCTCAAACGATCGAACGCACTTGAATGCAGCTGGAGAGGTTGTGTTTGGGAACATGGTGGCCTGGCTGCTTGGCAACAGCGCCGAGGGCGAGACGCTGAAACAGTCGACTGTGGCGGGCGAGGCCTATGTGGAGGCGTTCGAGAACGGCGTCTTCATCGCCGAGTGATGATCTGAGAGACGATCTTTTGGTCTTGGTCGGCGCGATGAGGCTGCAGACCCTGAGGGCAGGTGGCGACTTGTTGCAATCCTTTGGCAGATCGAAATATAAGGCTACGCGTCTCTCCACTTCGAACAAGCATTTTCGGATGCGGTCCGGCGGAAGGGCGGCGCACGCACGCGCGCCCGGTGTGCACCCCGGACCGCGCTATCGCCCGAAGCGGTAACGCTCTGAGCACCTCCTGGCAGATCATCCACCTCCAATTGCGTCGTCGTAAGATCTGGTGACTTCTGCCTGCCCCCTAACACGTCATTGTTGTGTTTCCATCAGCCCGAGTACCTAAAGCCTCTAACTCTAGTCTCTAAGCATCACTTGCCATCAAAGTCACAATATTTGCTCGGACCAGTCCATGTGAATGTGGAATTGATATCCATTATGGTTATACATTAGAGGAAACCTCCCAAGCGTAAGTCTATAGGTACATGATCTAACGAGTCGTAAACATTCCAGCCTTCCCATGCATTGCCAGAATGCAGACACATTAAGCGTTCTTGCCCACCACCTTGATGTGCTTCTCGGGCGTCTCATCGAACGAAACCTCAGCAGTGTACATGGCGCGTCCACCGTCAGCATCGGCGGCGTGGAAGACCATGTGCTTTCCATCAAGCGCGATCGAAGCGCCACCAGGCGCCTTCAGGCCAGCGACGCCAGTGACGGCGAAGGGGCCGCCCTTGGTGTAGGGGCCCTCGACGCTATCAGCCGAAGCGTAGCCGATGTCGTAGAGGTCGGTCGAGTAGCAGTTGGACGAGAAGAACAGCACGTACTTGCCGCTCTCGGTGCGGTGCAGGAAGGGGGCCTCGACGAGCGGGCCGTCAGCCTCGCCGCGGTCGAGAATCTGCTTGGGCTCGCCAATCTTGGTGACGCCGTCCGGGCCGACCTCCTGCAGCATGATCGGGGTGGGCACCTGCGGGGCCTTCGTGTTGCCGCAGAGGCCGCCGTTGCCGGCGTTGTTGCCGTCGATCTTGTACACGACGTAGCGCTTGCCCGTGGCCGTGTCCTTGAAGCCCGCCGGGTCGATGCTGCCGCCCTGGTCGTCGTGGCACGCGAACGGCTCGGCCTGGGGCTGGAAGGGCCCGTCCGGCGTCGCGGCCAGTGCGGCTCCGACGCAGTGCCGAGGCTTGTCCTTCTTCGCCGCCGAGTAGTACAGCACGTACATGCCCTCGTCGTTGGTCTGCACGTCCGGCGCCCACACGGCCGGCGGCGCGTTCGACCACGGCCACCGGCCCTCGAGCAGATCGCCAATCGTGTCCAGGAAGTCGCTGGACGTCGGCATCAGCTTGTTCGTCTGCATCTTGGGCTGCGCCGTCCATGCTCCGGCGTGCGGAAGCGCGTCCCAGTTTTCCTTGACGGTCCAGGTGTTGAAGTCGGTCGAGGTGGCAACGCGGACGTTTTGCTTGCCATTGTTGGTCGCGAAGGCGTACCAGGTGTCGCCGTCGTGCAGCAGACCCGGGTCGGCGAATTGCTTTGGCACCACCTTCTGCGTCTTGAAGTGTGGCGGCTTGGTGACAGGATTGCCGGGTGTCGGGGCTGCGTCGACAGTGAGGGCGGACAGCAGAGCTGCCGCGGCGAAACGGGCGTAGAACATTGTTTCTGAGGAATTGACTGCCTGAAGGCTTTAACGAGTGTAAAATGTTGGAGAAGTCTGCAGGCAGTTGAGCTGTGATGGCTGGGGAAGTCCTCTGGGGATGCTGTATTTATGGTCCAAGACGTCGAGAACTGCTAGAAGCCTTCGAGAAGCCGTTCAGGCATGCAATCATTACCAGATCAAGCAATTGGATGCTCTTGGGCGCCCAATTGATCCACGCTCCCTGGTCATTCCTGATCAACCACCAACCCCTTGGTGATCGACTTTTAGTGTGGGTCTTGTTGATCGCAACCCTGCATTCACCGACACTTAACTCTCCTGAGACAATGCTAGCATTTTTTAGCACCAGCAAATCCTCAATCACGACCAACTGCTGCATGCCTCCAGAATGATGCAAGTCACAGCCACGCTGACGCATGAACTTGACGTCAAGTCCCAGTTCCATGCTCATCAGATGAGCTGTCCAAGCCGACAACATGGCAAGCTTGATTACATGTGGGACTCTATCAGCATAGACCATTATAATATTACTGCAGCCCTGTGCGAGCCTGGCTTGGACCACTATCACACAATAGACCTCTGCAAACGGAATCGTGAAGTCTGTGCTGCTCTCCAGAATCCTTCTCCGCCTTCCAGCGCCACTTGGATAACCTTCTCCTTACCTTACTCCATCATCATGCAATACCCTGCACGGTAGATCGATGGTTATCAGGGGCGCTAAAGACGCGCAACCCATTATCTCTTCACGTGATAGTTGTGATCAAAGCTGCGGGGTTGTTAAGTAACTGGCTTTCCTCTGCTCCACAAAATGCCTTCTATCCGTCCCCTTTGCACCATGTCATGATTCATCTCAGAGCCATCTGCCAATCTCATTCGAGGGTCAAAGCGGAAGAAATATGAGCTGGGGAAGTGCGCGATAAGACACCTTCTGGAAATGGTGACTTTCGAACGATAGCCTCATTCTTAGGCTGATTCACATCGAATGTGGTTAAATGTATACTTCTCTGTGTCTAGTGTTTTTATAGTGTCAAGGGCGCTTTCTGGCTCTTGCGTCCCTTGTTCGATAACTGTACTCATTTTCCACTTCATCTCTTCCATAAGCCGTTGAAGCACCGGGATTCAAGAGCTGCTCCATACATCACATGCAAGAAGGACACTAAATGCAGAAAAATTTCCCTCAAAGATCAATCTGCCTTGCTGTGGCTCTTTCATATCAAGTTGTAGGAAGCTATTCCGACCCACGAGATGTTAGCCTCGATTGTGACGCACGGACCCATGAACTGGTGTTGATGAGATCCCCAAGACACTTTCACACAGCATTTTCCAACGAAGTGCAAAATCCATCACACTCTTTCTGTCAAAGGGCGCATAGGATTAGTATCCTTGCGTCGCTTAATCAACACCTCAAAAATCCGGCCCCCAATACTACGCCATTATCAACGACACACTAACACAATGTAACGCCAAGTGACTCATACATACACTAATTCATTCCTTCTTCACTCACGCCTTCTTCTTTCACTTTCCTCAAATCTTCTCAGACTCCAACCTCTCACCCAGTCCACCCTGATTCCAGCTCATCACCGACCACCACCACCAAAAAAAAAAAACAACCAACCAAAACCATGGCCGTCCGCTACAACCCCACCACCAACGAGCCGTACCTGCAGTTCCCATCGCCGCACGTGCACCTGCGCCTGACGCCCATGCGCCACTCCGACGGCCCGGCCACCATCGCCGCCATGAACGACCCGCGCGTCTACATGAACATCCTCAGCCCGCCGTTCCCTTACCTGCCGCAGCACTGGGACCAACAGTTCGCCACCATCGACGCCGCCACGCGCAGGGCGCGCGAGGAGCTGGATGCCGTCGAGGCGTGGCGGAAGCAGGGCGGATCAGGGCCGAAGATGTGGGTGGGGTCGGGGTTGCCGTTTACTGCGATAAGGGAGGTGGTGGTGGTTGAGGGGCCGGAAGGAAAAGAGGAGGAAGAAAGGTTTTTGGGGAGAATCAACATTCGGAGGAAGGATTTCAGGACGGTGGTGGATGAGGGGGAGAGGAAGGCGCTGAAGGCGGCGAATGACGCGAAGGTTGCGGGGGATCCGGAGATTGAGTGGGAGATGGGATGTAAGTCTTCTCTTTCCCTCACTTATGGCGCTTGGAAAAAAAAGATTTTTGATGCGGACATTATGTTGATACGCACTTGCAGTCTGGCTCTGCCCTTCAGCTCAAGGGCGCGGCGTCATGACGACAGTTCTGCGCACCCTGATGGAGACATTCTTCGTTGGCTACATGAATGTGCACCGACTGAGAGGCTCTCATCTCGACCACAATAAAGGTAGCGGGAGAGTGCTTGAGAAATGTGGATTCGTGTTGGAGGGTAAAGAAGCGGATGTCTTCGAGGTAAACGAAAATAAGACAGGAATAAAAGGTCAGAAGGTTGGGGCTGTTCACTTTAGGTGGACAGCTTGATTAAGCGCTTCGTGGCTCATATCTCTCTTTTTCCGTGTATTTTGAGTTAGGTTAAAGGTCCTTCCAACCATGAACTAAAGTATTGATACGAGATACTGACTGTCAGCGGCTTTTCTTTCGATATGGTGAACAACAGGCACGGGCGGTGTGTCGGTGATCACAGCAGTACAATAACACAACAATAGCCACGCTGCTATTGTTAGCACAATAGCACGTGGAGAACTCTGGGCTTTCGCGTCGGCTTCTTCATAGAAGACTTCCATTTCATGTTTCTTCTTCCCTTCTCCTTCTTCTCAGACCACGACCGCATTCGCAGACCGTCGCAGCGCCCGACCGCAATAGCAATGGCAGACCTATTTGCCACTATGGCCAGCACCGCGCAGCAGCCGGTACAAGGCGACGACCCTTCAGTCACCACCGATCCCCAAGAACAAAGCTCGCACCAACCTGCGCCCAGTCAGACAAGCAAACGCGATTCGGAAGACTTCGACCTTAACCTCTTCACCACGCTTAACCCTTCCAGTGACGAGCTTATGGGCGCGATCCTCAGCGAGTTCAACCATAACCTGGATTCCCTTCACGACGCACCTGCTCCCAAAATGCAGCAAGCTTCCACTCCCGCATCGACGGACCACACGGACAGCTCTAGCCATGACCAGCAGAAGCAGCGTCCCACGAGGCGTCTCAACAACAGCGACCTGATTAGGTCTTTTGCGCCCAAGAACAACGACAAGTCGCATGAGACACGCTGCCACCAGCGCCAGCCTACAAGCCCGGTCACGCAGAGCAGGAAGCGCAGGCTCGCCGACGAGCCCGCCGTCGCATGCCCAACACCAGCGTCGCTGGAACAGCATCTACACAAGCTCCCAAGAACTGGCAACTACAGCATCGCCGACATGTTCATGGCCAAGGCCTTCGATAACATTGCCCGACTCCAAACCCCCGGGTCTTCGTACGCCACTCACAACAACTGGCAACAGTCTGGTTCCTCCCAAGAGAATCCGCTGGTCGTTGATGATGACGACGATGACGGCAACAGCGACATCACTGGTCAACAGCACTGCGGCACCACTGCCCAACAGCACGGCGGTCCACCACCCTCTTATCCCACCGCAAAGCCGGCCACTCTGCCCGAGACGACAACCAAACAAGCCTTCAGCACCTGCAACAACGCGGTCGCCTTCGCCGTCGAGGAAACCATCCCTCTGCCCCCCACCATCGGCGGCGGCCATGCGCACCGCACCTTCACCTTCTCGCCCGCCTGCCAGATCAGCATCCGCCGCGGCGGACGACTCATCTCCATCAAGAAGGATCAGCAGGTCTTGCACTTCACGAGCAACAAGAAGAAGAACAACAACGAAAGCATCACAAAGAACCACACTGGAGACGGGGAACTGGACGAGTCCGGAAGCTGCGTTCACGGCAGCAGCAGCAGCAGCGTTGGTGAGGACGAGGAAGCCGACGGAGATCAGCCTCGCGAAGTCTCCCGCTTCAAGGCCGTCGGCTTTGGGCCCTGCAGCCGCTGCCAGAGCGCACCTGGTGGTAGTGGGACGAGGCTGTGCGATCGCGGTTTTCCGTGCGGTCCGTGTCTCGCCGAGGCTGGTGGCGATGTCGGAGTGGCGATGAAGAAGTGTCTATTGCCCGTCGTGGCGAGGCCCGAGGGCGCCATCGATGGGGATGAGCTGCTCAAGAGGGGCGTTAAAGTTGTGAGGCCGGGAATGGTGGTGGCGGCAGTGGAGCAGGGCAAGGCCGTTGAAGGCTTTGGTGTCGGCGAACATTAAGGGGAGTAAGGCTTGGCTCTCGTGGGCCAGGATGTGGTAAATGTCAAGTTGGGAATCAAGAGGATGAGTGCCGGTGGTGGGGGAGACAATGCCGGAACATGGATAGTACGGTCTAGGCGTCACAAAGGGTCGGCGCGTAGTAATTCTAACTGGGGTCTAAAAGGCTCTAGATCACTCAGTAGTGAAGAATCTTGTCATATTCAAAAACAGAACTGAGTTGAGTAGTGACTCCACCTATCTGTCTGAGATTCGCGCAAAGGTGGGACGAGAAAGCACCCACATGAATTCAAAAGCTTCCGTGCCATCGTCGCTGCGGGCATTGATGAACTTGGGCCATAGTGGGACTGAATTAATATAACGATGCATACAGATTCGGAATCAAGAGCCAGCGAAGGCCAGCGGTGGGTACATGGAGGGGAAGGCAGGCATCCTGGGGCGGATATACGGGTGAATCGCCCGACCCTTGCATGCCGGCGCTTCAATACTGGCTCGGGTGCATCGTCGGATCTATGCGAGCTAACGTGGTCTTGCGGATCAAAACGTACAGCTGACTGCAGACTCTTCACGGGTGTGTCAGCTCATTATTCCCGGCGATCCGATATGGAAGATACCCCAATCGGCAGCAATCCCCTCTCCGATAGCCCTGCGGAGACCTTGCAGCATGCGTCATACGGCTAAGGAATAGCACCGCAGTTTAGGCGCGAAGGGTCGGTGATACGAGAGATGCTGTTCACCAGCAGTATCTATGGAGTAGTAGCTTATGGCTCAAGAGGCAAGCGTGCCAAGCACCTTCAGCCTGTGATAGGCCTTGTACGAGACAGTTCGCGGTTCGCGGTTCGCGGACCAATTGCCTTATGCGTGAAACACGCAATCAGAAGGCAGCCCGAGATCCTTCCACCATGTACGCATAACAGTGCCACAGCAGTGCGTCTGGATTCTCGCAGAAAATACCATCGCGTAGTTCACAGGCTGATATGTGACATCTCACATTCCGGCGGCAACGGTCTGGATAAAGACAAGGTCTAGGTACGTAAGTCCCATGTCTCAGCTGCGCTCATCGTGCCAAGCTGCTGGTGGATGTAGACGCGCGCTTCCGCTTTCGAAGATCAACCCTTGTAAATGGCATCAGAAGAGCCCGACAGGGAGCGTCCATGTCTCCGATGCCAGACATGGGAAAGCCACCCACATGTATAAGCATGCCGGGGTCACTCATATCCTGTCTCTTTGGTGCGGTAACCAATCACTCTGCTCATTACTGTCTGTCTCTCCATGCACATGGCTACACGAACCAAACTCGAGTGTAGAGTGTGCCGCTGGCCGAGCCCAACCGCATTTGCCGAATTGATCACCGTCGAGGCGTCTTTAGCTTGGACCCTGAGAAGCGATGTCAAAAGACCTCTCTTTCTATACATTGACATGGCCCTGGTCCGAGTTTCCTTGTAGGATCCAAACCAAGGCTGTGGGCCGATGCGGTGGATGCTTGAAACGCTTGCCAGCAATGTCTCGGCGGCAGATTGCTGGATGACCTGTGCTTGCAGCCCCGGCGAATAGAAATTGCAGAAAGGTCCGTGCATCACGATAATCCAGATCACTTGAGGGAGTTGTATTCCAGGAATGTTCTGGTCCGCCCTCATTAGACCAGAGATGGCTGTTCCGGGAGAGCTCGTATTACAACGCATCGCATTGCAGCTTTTGGTACTCATGGAACGGGAATAACATCCCTCAGAAGGCAAGCATTGACAGGCCCACGTTGTGGAAAGTGGTGTGATCAAAAGCAAGTACACGATGCGCGCTGTGGACACGACTGCATATGGCGACAGACTCCTTGATGTCAGCGTTCCAAGCCCATGTGTTTGCTTATTTCGCATTGCAGGGGTACACCGACTCGAGAAAACCCGCCCAACGCCCATTTTCAGCTTGAAATGCGTGAGATCGAGGTAGTACGGTAAATCGGCCTCAAAAACTTGACTTTTGGCTCAAAGGGGCGCCAATTCCATTGGTTCATGAAGTTTGTTATCGTGAGTTGGAAAAGTGTGCCAAAGGAGCTCGCAGATGGCCAGGGGGGTTCTATGCAGAATGAGGCGGCCTGAAGAGTGTACGACATGCGTCAAAACGGTGCGGGGAATCTCACTGTAGAACCTGGGAGGTTTACCTTGATTAGCGACTTTGTGCGACGGTACACTGCAGGATGAGTATCCTTCCGCACGCCACAAGTTGTGATGGACTGTTGGCGACATTGATGAGAAAACTGGATATTTTTCGCACAGACTTTAATCGATCTCGGTGAGGCAAGCAAGTTTCGATCTATTAGAAAAAGCCACGGTGGGTTGCGTTTCCCTCACCGCTACGGCACTTTAACGTCCGACATATGTAGTCCCAGTCGGCGCTGCAGGGCTTGGTCCCTGCGGGGCAAGTCGTACATGAAAGCAGCCAAAGGCAGCACGATACGCGGCAGGTCCGGGCTTCTAATCGCTGGGTTGCATGCCGATCAACAAATCTCGGCAGGGCGATGAATAACATGTTGTGCTAGGCTGTAACTGACATCTATCATGATCCTGCAGCCAAATGTCTCCAATACTCCTAGCGCTTTCTATTCTGATCAGACTCCGCTGTACTCCGCGCTCAAAAAGGATATCTCGATCTGGTCCTCTCCGTGCGGGCCCACCTTCTCATCGATCGAGTCCTGTATCCGGGATTCACCACAAGGATCGACTGCAAGCTCAATCCTGATTTTCGTGTCCAAGCCGTCCCATGGCCGCAAGGAAACTTTTGGCGTAGGATGAGCGGCTAACACCCGAGGAGCGTCGACGACCCATTCGGTGTTTGCCGCATTGCCCGGACGCGTCAAGATAGCGTCGTAAGCGCCATGAAGCCGCGCGCTTGCTGGCGTGTAGACAGAGATATTGCTAACGCCGATCGCACCACAAGGGTGATGCAGGCCTTGAGGGCTCGCCGGGACCCTGAGCTCTCTGGGCGTGACATCGTGGCACCAAAACGGGGCGACGCCCCTGGTGGCGCCTTCGGGAAACGTCACGAACCAGGCAATCTCCTGCCCGTCGGGTCTGCGTCGTCCACCGCGTCGAGGCTGCGCATAGGCAAGCGTAGCCAATGCACCATCATGCTGCTTGCTTCTCCACTCGTCAAGTCGAGCTGCCACGCGACTAACATCTTGGACGTCGGGGGATGTGAGGGCCCAATCTATGACTCCGTATCGCTTATCGCCCCACCAATGGCCGTCTTTGTTGGTGGGATCGTCATTGATGAAGGCGATAAGCTCGATGTATGTGCCGTCCTGGAAGACAATGAGCTTGTTCTCCGTTTTGCCGTCTGCATGGCGGCCACCGGGGCTGAGGGTGAAGTTGGAGGTGATCCAGGCGGGAGGGTCCAACAGGTCCCGGTGGGGGAGGAGGATAATGATGTGATCAAGCTGAGGGGGCTGTTGTTCAACCATGTTGTTGAGATCTGGCGGGAGTTGCAGTCAGTGAAAGCGGGCGAAGGTGAGGTGCCTGCTGTGTCATTGAGTCACAAATGCACGCCATCGCTGTTCTGGGAAGGCGTGTGGGGCCCCGCGACCCTGGCGCTCCTGCTTTCTTCACACGCCCCTCACATGCCGCGCTTCGGCCTCCATATGGCCATTTTCAGCCTTGTACTCCTGGTGACTGGCTGTGCTGTGCTGCGCTTGCGCCAATCCTGCAAGACGCATGCTGGAGGAAGGGCTCATGTCCCACAGTCCTCTCTTGCCCGCAACCTGGTCAAGATGTGATGGCTCCCGCAGCCATGCACTTGACAGCCCAGAGCTGATGTCAACCTTTGACCAAACATCTCTGTTCCCGTCGTCCCGCGTCCAATTCAGATCTAGATTCATACCCGCTCTCATGCAAGCAACGCGGAAGGCCGAGGTTTGTAACGGGAAAGACACTTGGCGGCGCCACACCATCTTGTGCAAGGTGACTTTCGGCCAGGAACCCTCCGGGCATCAAAGAGAGGGGACTGGGTGCAGCAATTGGCCAATGCATGCATGTAGGAAGACTTCGAGTGCTGCTCTCGTAGCATATTCCAATGCCGCGACCTTTGTGCCGGACGTAAAGGACATTAGTCTGCCGATTTGGCATTGAAATGAAAACGAGGAGTGATCTTTCTTGAAATTTGATCCAGGTTAGTTGTAATTAGTATGTTTGGGGGCAGTAATATCGGGGGGTTGGGAAGAGAGGAGGTAGTCTAGCGTTCTTAGAGCCGGCGGGGCAAGGGCCCGTGTCCGCGTCGCAACTGACCTCATCTTATCTGAACCCCACCAACAACACTCGACCAAAGTCCAGCTCCAGACGTGCACTCAACAGCCACGGGTATTCTATACCCACGCTTGCCGATTCAAGCGCTCCACGCCATATTGGCCCGCCATGTCTGCTCAGCAGCCCGCCATTCTGGTGGCGCGCTTCCTGCGAGCAAATAACTTTTCCAATGTCGCTCCCCGCCTTCGGCTGTAGAGCCTGTCCGTCCACTGACCGGCGTCCTCGAAACAGACTTTGGCTGCCTTCCTCCAGGAAGCAAATCTGCCTCCCGATGCAGGCATGCTTTCGAAAGGCGATCTCACCATCGAGCAGGTGCTTCGCGAGAAGGAGACGTTCGATCTGAGCTTGAACTTTGAGAGGCTCGGTGTCGAAGATGCGGATAAAGGGTGGCGGACTCCAGGTACGTCTGCCTAATGTAGACCAAGTTTTGTGATACTGACACGCTGTTAGCGCCGTCAACTGCCACCGAGCTCACAACGTTACCCGCTGCGTCGAACATACTGAATACATCCGTCGAACTTCTGGCTCTATCCGACAACGCGCCGAAGCCCTTCATACTGTCCACAACAGCAGATCGTCGGCTAGACATCTTGTCGACCTGTGATGGCTCGTTCAAGCTCGAGCGCTCGCTCAGCCAGGTACAGGATTCGCCAATCCTATCGTACAGCGTGCTCGGTCAAAGTCACATTCTCATGACCAGCATGTCGGGAAAAATTGTGCTCTACGATTGCCTCTCTAACACGGTTGTCAGCGAGCGGCGGGATCATTCTAAATATGCTGTGAGGGTTGTCAGTCGCGTACAGGAAGATGGTACATTGGTTGCAACCGCGGGGTGGGATGCGAAAGTGTTTCTCTACTTCATTCAAGGCTCTGCAAGTGGCTCACTGCAGCTTCAAGCCCCCATCGCCACACTGACGCTTCCCACGAACCCGGAAGCCTTGCTAATCATCGAGCATCCCGAAACCGCAAAGCCTCTGCTCGTGCTGACAAGACGAGACTCGACGTTCCTGTATTACTATGCTCTCCCTGAATCAGGAACTGCCGTCACAGACGGCCTCAAGTTGCTCGGGAGGCAGAACCTCGCACCAAGTTCAAACGCCTGGGTAGCCTTCACGCCGTCAAGCATTTCACTCTGCCCGACGGACTCCTCTGTTGTGGCGGTGGCAACGTCTGCTGTTCCACACATGAAGCTCATTATCCTGCGCCTGCTTGTACCGCCCGCGGCCGGCACCGAAGCTGGCTCGGAGGAGGTAGATAGTGCGCTTGCGGCCCCAGCTCCGGGCACGAATCAGAATGAGTTCATGACGCTGAACCAAACAATGCAAGCGCGAGCGGCTTTGGCTCTACAAGAGCGCGAGCTTGCAGCGATCGTTGTCCAGTGCAACACGATGGCACCGCAAACAGCGTACTCGACGCCAACACTGGCATGGCGGCCAGACGGGAGTGGTGTGTGGGTGAACGGCGACGACGGGGTTGTTCGAGGGATAGAAGCCAGCACGGGCAAGGTGGTGGCGAGCCTGGGCGGACACGAGGCAGCGTCAAAGGTGCGGTGCGTTTGGGCTGGCAGAGTTGGGCAGGATGGCGAGGAATGGATGCTCAGCGGCGGATTCGATCAGAAGCTGATCGTTTGGCGAATGCCGTCAGCGGGGGCTGAATCTTCGCAGACAGTGACCCGGTGACCGCTGACTGCAACGATAATGAAGCACCGCGCTCAACGGCATTTGCTAGTGCGGTATTGACGTTGGTTGGCTGGCTGGCGGGGGGCATGAACCATTGGCGATGCGATGAGCAGCTGCAGCTCCCACGACGACGAACGACGCGCCCGCGCTACTCGGTCGACAGTTTCGCAGGACGCGTGCCGCACATGATGGTCGCGTCGCACAAGAAGCATGCGGCGGGCAACGCCGGCGGGCCAGAGCGGAGTAGCCAACGGGCACTGTCGCCACACTATCTCTTGTGCCTGTGCCCGTGCCCGGAGGATCAAGGGCCTCGCGCAGATGCAGAGTGGAGCCGCCGAGCTACGTATCGAAAGCGGCATCCCGGCGAGGCTGGCAGGCGGCCGCTCGCTGCCCTCTGACGTCCCCGGATTGTTCTGGGTCTACCCCATGCCGTCATCCCTGCTCGCATGCGCCCGGCAAGCGGGCCCTCGAACCATGTCGCTGCTGGCCCATCCCTGCTGCAAGGGCCTCCAGCGCCGGGCGGGCGGTTCGTCTGCATGCTACGTCTCCCGTGCCCCCGGGGTGTCCTCTCGCTCGGTTGTCTTGTATGCCACGCATCTCATGGGCGCGTCAACGCGCTGCTTGCTCCAGCTTGCTGAGCCAGCAGCCGGCGTATAAATCCAGCCGGTGCTTCGCTGGCCCTCTGTCCTTCATTGCGCCCTCTCTTCCCTTTGTTTACTTGTCCCAGCATCTGTCAAGCGGCTTCCCACAGCTACGTCCCTCCTTCCAGCATGGGCTTCTCCCGCCCTGGGCCTCTGCGGCCCCAGAGCGAAAAGAACTTCTTCATCGTCACTGGAGTACGCTTGCTGCCGTCCTTGGTCTTGCTCCCGCCCTAACTGTTCGCAGCTGCCCGAGCACTTCAATTGGCAGAAGCTGAAGGACCTTGTCCGAGATGCCACAACCAACCAACCGGGTTGGACGAATATAGACGAGTCCTGGCATGGCCCCGAGGGCGCCAAGGGCTACTTCAGCGTCAAGTCGCAGCAAGATGCAGACAGCGTTTACGGTTAGACCGCCCGGTGCTAAGCTCATGATTGGCGACTAACGGAGCATTGCAGATCTCTTAGTAACGGTCATGTACATTCGGCTTGGGCGGCCATTGCTCGTCCACCACTTTGATGCCTCAAGCACGGAGCCTCGCTTGGTCAAATGCAACTGCAACAGCTACTACCCCGATTCCGGCGGCGGCCACTCGGAAAACAAATCTCGCATCACTTCCAGATCTGTGCTGGCGGCGCAAAACAGCGCGGACTGGCAGCCCATTGCCCACCCTCAGTACATCCCCAACGTCTCGATCCCAATGCAGCACCCTGGCATGACGGTGCCCATTGCGATGCCGCAGGTCCCAATGTACGCACCGGCGGTAAGCTACTACCCGGCGGCTCCAGCCATGACGGCGCCCATCATCCTGATGCCGGCAATGATCAACGAACACGGGCTCCCCATCAATGCCACGAACGGCGTGGTCCGCACCGAGTCGCGAGGGCTGCACATCTCCGGGCTGAACTGGCACGCGTCAGAGGCCGAGCTGCGCGACCTGCTCCGGCCGTACGGGCGGCCGCTGGGCGTGGACCTGAAGCGAAGCTACGCCACGGTCCGGTTCGGCACGACGGAAGAGGTCAGGCGGGCCATCGAGAGCCTCGACAAGAGGTCGTGGAAGGGACGGACGATTGCGGTGAAGGAGGACCGCGACTCGACGGCGGTCTCGCAGCCGGTGATTGTCAGAAGCGCGCCGCAACAGGTAAGAGTGCATGCGCCACAGATAGCTTGATTGTCGCTGACATGCATGGGCGGCAGAAGGCAAACAGGTGAGAGGGGGTGCGCATGGCGTTCTGGGCAGGATGATCGTTCAAGGGGGCGTTGGTCTGGACGGGCGGGGCGGGGGGCGTTAACGGAGTCTGTTTTCCTTCATTCATTAGATACGCCAAACTGTACGAGTATTGCGGCCGAGGATTGCCATGCAGTGGTGAAGAAGCGCCAAGCGAAGCAGCGCGGGCCAACGCCCGTTTCGCGCGCGTCTGTGCAACATTCATCTTTGCGACCGCTCACCTCGACCCGCGGCTCCGCCGGCCGGCCTTCCGCTTGGTTGGCTAGGCGCAGCTGGTCGCCTGCCGTCGTCCCTGAACATCTGCCTGGAGATGGCGCTCTGCTGTCGCACCGATGGCCTGGCATCCCGGCGAACGCAGCCGCCGTGCACGCTCACCCACAGTAGTCCATCACACGCCCGCGGTGCGCCCTTGGCTGCCTCGGCAAGGTGCACCTCTCCACGCGTCCACCTGCCGCCTGGGAAAATGCCAACGCATTCCCGCTGGGCATCGCTGTCTTGCCTCTGTGCCGCCTCAATCTCGTTTCCGTTGAAGATCGAAGACGCTCTGCCTGCAAGGCTGACGACCAACACTCGTGACGGTCCGCATGCCTTCAAACCGCCCTGTACGACGTGCTCCGTAGAGACATACAAGCCCATGAGGTGGCTGAGATGCTGTCAGCGCCTTCAGACACGACTACTCGGCCAAAGCAGGCAACCAGGCAAACGAAACGACGGCTCAGGTTTGCCCTTCTTGAGGAAAGCGCGCCTGCTGGACTGCGCCTGCCGAGTCCGATCGTGCTTCGGGCCGTTCCTAAGGCCAATCCATTCGTGTGGAGACCGCGGCCGGAGTCAACTCCGTGCTCCAACAGTTAAAAAGACAACTCGTCCAGGCACCAGCGTCGTCCTATGTCCCCCCTCGGGTCTACGAACGCGACTGCGACGCCCCGGTGCCGTTACGAAAACCCGCCCCACACTTTCGGCAGCTCCACCAACTGAACTGCGCGCTGCTGACGGGATGCCCAGTCGAGACTAGCAGACTGCTCGCAGCGAACCAGATCGCTCCTGAATCATACGAAGCCCACAGTTTGGCCCTTTCCTTGGTCGGGACCAGCCCCCTGGAATGACGCACATCTGCCCCAGCTCATGCATCAGCGGCTGTACCCGTCGTTGGGAGTATCAAGTCCGCATCGTCCCGCACCCTCATTTGCCGGTTTCCCGCCACCGTCTGTGGGGCAGATTCATCAAAGACTCACCTCACGGCACAATGTACCGCACGACATTCCGTCATCATGGTCCCGTGTTACTACGATAGCACCACTGCCCACAATTCGATACGACCCCGTCGAGATCGATGCTACTACCAACAAGAAACGTGCGTTGTTATACAATGTACAGACCCGCCGCGCTACCTTGAGCCTAACGCCACAAGTGGAATCGGATCGCATCTACCGTCACTGGCGCATTGGTGGGCCTGTGTACAAGCGTCTCTTGGCACTCGGACCATATCGGACTCGGATATCCCGGGCCTGTCGTCGTCCATGGCCGCTACGCAAGGGACTCAGTTATATCGATGCTGGCAGGCACGGCAGCGATTGGAGACTAAGGATGCCGGTCGCGTCCTCGACAGCCTGAGGCTTAGGTGATACTGACTTTGACCGTCATCTACGATCAGCCTCACCTCTTGGGCCGTTGAGATTGGGCGCGCTCGAAAGGAACCAGACCGTGCAGCCGAGGCAGCAATCGGTCAACAAACACTTGCAGGCTCTGCTGACACGGTGCTCAGGTCTGTGGCGCCCTCCGTGTGTTACAGAACAAACTTTCGCATATTGCAGAACGCTACGAACTGCGTGCATACGACAGCTCATTTCTACGAGAGCCAACGTCCTGTCGAAGCCTGTGTCTTAGCCCCTACCACTGAGCTTCTGGAAAGTCCCTCGGATCCTCTTCGAATCCTTACAAGAAGTCATTTGATCAGCATCCTGCAGCAGTGTCGTGAGCCCGTGCAAGTTGCTTCCATCGGCGCTAGAGCACGGAGCAGGGCGATCAGCCGGCGAAGCACAGCATGATTGCGCTCTCGGCCCAAGATCATTGTCCCACCCCAGGGTTGATGGCGCAAGGTTTGCGGGAGACGGGCCTGAATCCGGCCAACACTTCGACAACGACACAGCTCAGCATGCATCCACAGCGACACCAAAGCGGGTATTGGTCGGCCCGACCCCGCAAAATGCACGCAAGGACCCACCTCCGCGGTTTTGTACTACCGCCAGCCCTCCTGCCCGCTGCGGAGAAGCCCGAAAGGAGGGCTTTCCGACGCGAGGCTGGAGGCCCAGCTTTTCGCGAATGGAATGATTACTCTGCCACATCACCGCCTATCTGCCCCTTTCTGAGAAATGCCCTTCGCAGACGCCACGGATCTCATATCCGATGCCCCGCAAGCAAGAACGGTGATGAGACGTGGGCGCTCCGCCAAAGCGCAGCTCCACTGCACTCCAGAAAGAACCATTTGGAATCTGGCCCTTTCCTCGGGCTACTCTCGTGGAACCGACCGATGTCGGAGTCTGATTTGTTGACCCCTTTCTCTGTGTCAGAGCATATCAGTGGTGCATAGTTCATATACCCTCACTTCCATCGCTAAGTCAATCTTGCCGGGATGTCCGGAAAAGGTTCACATGGGCGGACACGGCATGTGAAAACGTGGTCTTGCGCTGGCCAACCTATCAGCCTTTCAATCTCAGCGAGGGAGAATTTTAGCGGAAGCCCTGCGTTCGCGCAGCAGGCCTATTGCATCAGCTCCACGACAGCCCAAGCAAGCGCCGTTCACGCCCGGAAGATCCTCTCCAACTCAACGGTTACATTCGCTTCGAGGCCTGCGGGTCTGGCACAACAGTAAACCATCGCTGCGTAAGCATAAGACGAAGCAGGGAAGTTCGTGGCGGCTAAAGCTCAATCTCAGCACTCCGCGCCCAGGCCTAAGTGTCTGGCAACCCAAAGCGGCGGGCCCGAGGTGTCAAAGCCACTGACATGAACACAAGTTGCGATTGTATCACACTACCACGTTATGGATCATGCCATGAAGCACGCGCGAGGGGAACACGGAGAGTTCGCTTCACGATAAGGCCCACATTGACGTGCGATTTTTTTTTTCGATGTGGGATCCTGCAACAGACGTGCACATGCATTCGTGCTATGCACGTCGGAACGCATCCACTCCGGACAAACTGCCTGCAATCCCAGCGCCCATCAAAGGCTGTTGATCTACACAGTGCGACCGGGTAGCGTGCTCTAAGCATACATGGCGCGTGAGGGTCGGTCCACCTTGGTCTGTTTTCCCCTTGTTCGCTTCCATTGTACGACACTTGTTTTGCCGCCGCTGCTTGCAGCCCAAGAGGCATGCATTAGATGATGTTGTTAGCAAACTGCATTGCATGTACGGCGCCTGGATCTCACACGCGTTACGAGCGTAAGACAGATTCAGGGCCACAGAATCACTGCCACGCTGGAAGAGTAGATAGAGCCCCGCCCCGGTCCGTAGCGCTAACGGAAATGCGTGAGCGTGCGACAAAGCCCCGTTTCGACTCGCTGACGGGCCTCGAGAGCTGCGGAGGGGGCTCCGAGGCCGATGGCCAATGACGTACTGAGTTGCAGCGGGGGCGCCCGGCCGCCGTGATGGGAAAGCATCGCTAAGGCCATAATGTCGTAATTATGCAGCATGAGGCGCACAACAAAAGTGTTCACTCTGCCCGGGCAAAATCGATGAGAGTGGCACAGCCTAGGCACTGCAACCCGCAAAAAGGTAGGATGTGCAATAGTCTACGAAGGCACGGCGCGAATCTCCTTGCTTGGCAACCTTTGTATTTTAGTTGCGCTTGCGTCACAAGCTACTCCTCTTTTTCCCGGCGTCAATTCCGCATGAAGTTTTATTTTTGGAGCGGCCAACGGTTATCCTTTTCCTGGTGGCCGTTGAGAGTACGCACCCCAACCTGTGATCTTTCCTACCACGGAGCCCGTCATTCCACCTACCATCGGCCGTCCCTGGTCACCAAGAATCTCTACGTATCCGGTAGTCATCAGGCACCAATAGGAATGCTTTAACCATCTCTCCACCAGCTAACACCGACGTACGCGGCGCTTACCCAACTCCCTTATTCTGCGGAGGTGGAACCTCTTATCTCCTTCACCGCACTCTTGAAACGCATGTGCATCTCTCCTTCGGACTCCAGCAAGTTGCACCCAAGATTTCTACCCAGTTTTACGCATTGGACGGAGTGGTCTCCGTGCCAATTGCATTCCCTTGCCCTCTCAGGCATATCTCATTGAAGATCCGTGGCGCCATTCACCTGGCAGTTGCTCCGAATTAAATCGAGGGTCTAGACGGGGTCCTTTCGGTGTTCCGCTGTGCAGATCGTACTAATCTCTACCGGCAATTGCCAAAGGATAAAGGTAAAGGGACCAAAACTGCGGAGCATAGTTGCGTCAGGAGATTCATCTCAAACCGTGGGAAGGCTGACCGCGTCTTGCATGTAGAGCGGCGTGACAAGTATCTCGACTTCCCAAGCGTGTGTAGCAATCAATTATCCTCGTTTTACCACGTGCGGCTCAACGAACAGTAAGGCAAAGAAAGAGCAGCAGAAATCACTCGGGCAACGAAAACAGTGCAGGCACATCCACAGACACTCGAGAATCCGCGTAAGTGTTTGTACGTGGGTTCATGTGGATGGACGTACGTGCCGTTAGTGCATTTGATTAGGTTCATGCTCGCATCCGTCCGTACTACGTGGTATGCGCACGCCCACGAAGCCTCCCAAACAAAAGTGGCGTACAGAGGTATCCCGCATGAAGGCAATCTTACATCCGGCTAGGATCTCGCAGGGGGTTTGCTACGGACTGGAGAATCTCAGTCAGAAAATGCTCATGTTTCCGGATGAGGTTAAGAAGCAGGGTTCCTTTCTCGTGGCACATGGAGGAGGCTCTTTCCCATAAAACGCTCGTCATCAGCCTCGGACTCGGGCGTTCTCATCTTCTCTTCTTTCCGTCAGATTGGCAAGCCAGGGTCAGATCTCAGTCCAGACCCTTCCCTCTTTGACACCTGTTGATCCAGACCTGGAGTGGGTCCGGTCGGCCAAGCATCGCCGAGGCAGATGGTCCATACCCCGGAAGAGGCTCCGTGACGCTTTCCTTGTTCAAGGAACGATCAAATGCTAGATCTCCCAACGATCTAGCGCTATTCCGTCATTCTCGTGGAGGCTGACCGCAGCCCATGCCTGCTTGCTAACAAGAGTTGTTATAAACAAGGTTTAGCATGGTTTTTTCAACATGCAAATGGCATTGCCATGATGCATTTCCCTGGGAAGCAGCTCCCATAGGCCCGTAGGATCCGGTGGTGAAGAGAGTCGAATCTTTCCTGAGGGATTCACGCCGACAGAAGGCTCTAGAGACGAATGCTCGAAGTCAGTCACGTTTTGCAGAGATCAGCACGCACTTCGCTTGGGCGCCGCTTGCCATGGACAAGCATTTTCTCGGGGCCAATTCGTGCAGACGGCACGGGCCAACGGATGACAGGCACTCGCTCCGCCAGCGGAACCCCGCCGGCAGGACGAAAGGCGAGGACATCAAGTTGATCGATTGGCATTCCTTGTCGATGATGCGAGTGCCGGGGCCGCTGGCTCGCATGCTGCTTTTTTGGCATCGGTTGCAGCTCGATGCACAGCATTCCACACCGCAATTGCTTCCCCGGGCAGCCCTCACATATGACAATTCAGCACGCTAGACGGATAACGACCAATCCCGGCAGGGTAAGAACCGGTCTATTAGCCACGGCAAGTGTCCGGCAGAGGAGCTGCGGCGTGTAGCGATTCCCGAGCGGACGGGTTCGTTAGCTCTCGCCCAGTTCCGGATGATCGTTGCTAGAGCAGGCACGACGTGGTCTGACACAGGACCTTGACGGTTGGAGCCGAGCGGCGGGGCGAGCGCGGATGAGGTGCAGGGCATAAGATGGGCGGGATCGACCCCGACTCGCGGCCTGAGGATGAGGGTGCCGGGGGGTGGAGCTTCCCAGCGGACCGTGCCGTCCGGGAGCGCGTCGAACAACACTCCACGGGGATTTCTGCGTGCCGTGACTCGCCGGCAGTGGGAGAGACGGGTGCTGCAGGAACTCCTCGCGCACGGCGGAGGCTGCCAAGACGGGATGGAAGCTGCAAGTCCAGGGTGCGGAGTCCAGGTTTGAAAACGGCGGGGGGCGTGCAATATCAACTGCGCCAATGACACGAGGCAAACAGAGTCGGCGTCGAGGCCTTCTTAACAAACGCAGAGGTGAGGCGCTGGCGGGTGACAACGGCCGCCTTGGCACGCGCGTCAGGCACACGTCAAAGCTCCCGCTAGCACCGCGCGCCCTGCGATCAGTCCTCCGCCTAGCTCCCGTCCCCGAAACCACCCATCCTACAACGCCCGGCTATGTGGTTGCACCCACTCGCATCTCGATCGCCTTGATGTTCGCCTTCACAGCCTCGCGCCGCCAGGTCGCCACCTACCTGTTTGGCGTCGCCCTGTTCAGCATCTCCTTCCTGGTCTTCCTCAACAGCACCGTCTCCTTCGTCATCACCGATCGCATCGGCCGCAAACATGGCGTCGGCGATGCCGTTGGCACCCTGGGCTTTGCCGACGAGCTGGTTGCTCTTGTTGGCTGCCCGCTGTGGGGCATGGTCAGCGACCGCGTCGGCGTCGCCAAGGTCGCCGTCGTGGGCTATGCCATCGTCGCATTGAGCCTGTTCCTCTTCGTCCAGGCCTCCAATGTCTACCCGCAGTTGCTGCTGGGCCGCCTGCTGTTCGCCCTGGGCGCTTCGGCAACGTATGCTGCCACCTGTGAATCCTGCTCCCACCTGTGCTAACCACAATCCCTCGCAGAACCACCATGGTGACTGCTGTCCTGCCCGCCATGACCCATGTCGCGAGCCGCCCCCCAGAGCCAGACTTGTTGTCGCCCAGCAGAGGCCCCAACGGACATAATATCGCGCCCTCGATATCGTCCGAGCTGACCATCACCCCTGCCCGCCTCAATTCCTCCGCCTCCTCGCACCCTCCCATCCGCACCACCCCGGGAAACTCTGCCGCTTCCACCTCCAACCTGGCAGGCCTCGTCGGCATGTTTACCGGGCTCGGTGCCCTCCTTGCTCTCGGCGTCTTCTTGCCTCTGCCAGCCCGATTCCAGAAGAGCGGCATCGAACCCAGCAAAGCAGTCGAATACTCATTCTACGTAGTTGGGTCCGTGGCGTTCGTCGTCGCCTTTGCATGTATGCTTGGCTTGCGGAACCTGCCGGGAGAAGAGAACAAGGGCTGGCGCAACTTGTTCGCCGTCAAAGAGAAGGATGAATCCACTTCTGGGCCGATGCTTCCCTATCCGCGCCTGTTGCTGAACTCTCTGGCTCTGGGCCTGAGAGACACTAACATCGGCCTGGGTTATCTGGGAGGATTCGTTGCACGCGCGTCTTCTGTCGCTATTTCCTTATTCATTCCCCTGTTTGCCAATGCCTACTTCATTGAACACGGCTACTGCAAACCCGGGGATGGGAAGACTTCGGACGACGTGAAAAGGAATTGCCGGCGGGCTTACCTGGTAGCCTCCGCGTTGACAGGCACTTCGCAGCTGGTAGCCCTGCTCTGTGCCCCTCTATTTGGCTATCTGGCTGGCCGCTACAAGAAGCACAACCAGCCATTGATACTTGCAACTGTTTCGGGTATTGCGGGCTACATAGCCTTTGGCCTGCTAAAAAGCCCGGATCCACAGTCCGAAGATGGGAGTGCTGGCGTTTTCTTGATCGTCGCGCTCCTCGGCATCAGTCAGATTGGCGCGATCGTGTGCAGCCTGGGGTTGCTCGGCCGCGGCATCCAGGGTGATGAGGCGGACATAGATGCCGCCGACGAGCAAGAAGAACAGTCTTCCGGATTCAATGTTGGCACGCACATCCAGAGCGCGCCTCCTAGCGGCTACCGGCATGCGGCGCAACACCTAGACCCAGAAGCAACGCCGGTTCCTTCTTCCCCCAACATCGCCTCACCGCGTGATCCTCTGCTCGGCGGCGGTACCTCCGCAACATCCACCCCTCCGCACCGCCCTCTCGGCACCCGCAACAGCAGCGGCGGCAGTAACAATGCCGGCAGCGCCGGCGGTGGCGCTTATTCAGAATCCTCCCCGCTCCTCCCTTCGCACTTCCGCCGCCTGCCGCCGTCGGGCCTTGCGTCGAACCGCACCCACCTGAAGGGCTCCATCGCCGGCGTGTACAGCCTCGCGGGCGGCGCGGGCATCCTGATCCTGACGAAACTGGGTGGCCTAATGTTCGATCGCCTCGATCCTGGCGCGCCGTTCTTCGTCATGGCTGCTTTCAACGCCATTCTGTTGGCCGCGGTCGTGGCGAATGGGTTGAGGAAAGCCGTCAGGGGGTGGAGAACGAGGGTTGTCATGCCGTGATTTTTTTTTCTGTCTCTTTGTGTACCCGTATATATATATGTATGTGCTTTGTGCTGGTGGTGTGTATAAGAGGGCAAGAGATGGTGTGGGTGAGGACGGTGGAAGCAAAGATTATGGAGAGCGTTTCTCTGGACCCATTCTATGCGCCCCAATATTCCTTCCGCTCTGGGGAAGATTGGGCGGGCATAGATCCTTTTCTTTGTATCTATGTATGTATGTGGACCGGCCTTATATGGCTATCCTCAGGGAGAGGGGGGTTAGTTGGCTGAACCATGGCTTTTGTTCTGTTTTATTTCATGACTTCGAGTGGGAGATTTCGCGATGATACCAAAAAATGAAGCTTTTCTTTCTTTTGCCCTCCAGTGGAGTAGTGCTTAAGCTGGTCATCTGTGCTCAACAGGAAATAGTTGGGAGAGATTCAGCAACAGTTCAAAGAGCGTGAACAGAAGTTACGAATTGATTTCTTCTTCTTGCTAGAGCATTTCTTCCAGTTGCAAACATTGTGTGCCGTAATAGATCAGGCTTTCTTCGTTATCCTCCGGTGACTGTGTCTTCTGTATGTCGATTTCCATTTCCTCTTGCTGAGGCAGAGCCTGTCGGTGTTTCATCCTCTTCCCTGAAAAGAGCAGTGCGCATATCCATAGGGCGTTTCCCCTCGTTACAGATCTCAGAAAGACTAGCCAAAAATAGAAGAGATCTCAAACTACCTGGTCGCCAACGCTCTATCACGTTTGAGGTCAGATGATCTTGGAGATACTGCAGGAATAATCTACTTGAGACCGCCACTTTCTTGTCTAATGTCAGGTGTGTTGCGTTCGTAATTATTGTCTTGTCATAGTGGAGCTCTCTACCGGCATCTCCACCACGGTTCCTTGTACGGGCTTCTTTCCTTCTTCCACCCTTTCCTTTACTGTCTCGTACGCTAAGCTGGCAGCATTATACCGATAGAAGCCAGTGAACACCTGTCTCTCTATCCAACACAAATTACCATCAGAAGACTTCGTTTCAAGGAAAGTCAACCCTTCCAACCGATACTCGCCTAATAGCACTAGCCAGAACGCCACGCTTCAGTGAGCTCACGTCATCCATCATCTTCCAGCAACACGGAAAAGAGAGACGAACAGGCAAACAAGAAGAAAAGCAAAAAAACGAAAAGGCCGCACAAAACACCATTCCTTTTTTTCTCGTCCCTAACTTGATTTTGTCCGACCTCCAGCGCCATGCCTCAATGACTCTACCCTCCCAGTTTCGTTAAAACAGAAAGCGGAATACAAACGCGCCTAGACTAACTCGGCCGTAATACAAACGTACGTACGTACAACAGTGGCTCAGTTTCGTTTCAGATGACCTCCACAACGACTCTCAACACGCCCTCCATCCACACGGCGCGCCCAACCTCGGCTAGAACGGCGCGCCACTCGTCGTCACCGGTTATCAGGACGAGGCCACGGCCCGTTAGCGCGCGGATCTCGAGGGTGATGTCATCGATACCGGGTTCGTCTTCCAGTGCCTGCCGTTGCTGTTGTTGGGACTGCAGGGTGGAGCCGTCGCCATCGTTTGCAACGCCCTCTTTAACTGGCGGCGCCTCCTTTTGCTGGTCCATGTCTGGTTGCTGTTGCTGCTGCTGCTCATCGCTGCCTGCCTCCCCCATATCAACATCGGCTGGCTGTTGAGTTTCTGCAACGGTAGAGGATGTAGCGGTAGTAGCAGGGGCGACATTTTCTCCGGCCCTGCTTGCCGTGGCTGGGGCTGTTGTTGCCATCGTCGGCGTTTTTGTCGGAGACGCCCGCCTGATCCCCAGGTCCAATCCTCTCTTCAACAACCCCCTGACCTCCTCCTCTATGGCTCGCCGCAGGTCTGCCAACGGCAAGGTGTGGTGCGGCGTGCTAGGCCAGGACGGCATGTCAATGCGTGGCAGGAGCTTGGTGTTGTTCTTGGTAATAAGCACCTGAATCACGTTCTGGTCTGGCGGAGGCTGCTGCTGATGGTGATGGTGGAAGTGTTGGTGGTGGTGGTCCTGGTCACTGTTCGCCCCTGTTGGATGAGGACCAGCCGGCACCGCTGTGCTGTATATCGATTGTGCCGGCTGCGTCTGCAGGAAGCGCGGGTACTGCGTTGGTGGAGGGCCATAAGGTGCCGGCTGTGGAGGGGCGACTGCTGGGTAATGTGATTGTAGGTTGGGTGGCGGAGCATGGGTCAGGGGAGGCTGAGGAGGTTGAGGCGTGCTTAATGAAGGGTCGATGGCTAGATTAGGTGGAGAATGGCTGGCATCGAAAGGTGCTGTGGATGATGGCGTGGTTGCGGTAGCTGAAGCGGCGGCAGCGGCGGCGGCAGCAGCAGCAGCAACAGCGGCCGCGGCGTCTTGTGAGGAAGTATCGCGAGATGCAGTGTCGGTCTTGGTCTTCTTTCCCGTTCCCTTCCGCGTCTCCTGAGCGTACTGCCGCTGCCGCTCATTAGTCACCATCCGCCGCAGCAGCGGCGTCACCAGGCTGACGATCTTGTTCCCGTCGCGCGGCCACACCCACTTCCGACCCGGCATCGTCTCGCCCTCCAACACCTCGTTCTCTGTTGGCGCAGGCACATCCGGACCGAAGAAGCGCTCGCCGATGCCGTCGTTCAGAAAGTCGCGGCAGCAGTTGAATAGCCGCAGCTTGACCATGTCTGTGTCCCCCTTTCCCCTGCTACCCACGCAGCTCTGTCGCTCGGGGTGCGCCTCGTCCAGCATGTATGTCTTGGCCGCCGCCTGCAGCCGCAGAAAGTTCTCCGGTGTTAGCTGCAGCGATGCGAACAGCTTCGACATGGGCGGTCGTGTGTGCTTCTTCGCCGCGCTGCTAGCTGATGGCTGCCGGAAGAGAGCTGCCGCCGAGTGCACGCCCACAGCTCTTGCATCCGTGAGTCCAAAACCTTCCTGCTGGTGCTGCTGGTGGTGGATCATCGTTGGACTCTGCTGGTGGTGGTGGTAATGGTGCATATCTGCTGAAGACGCATGGTGTTGCATCTCCGCTACTCCCGTCGTAGGCGTCTGCCTCGCGCGCTTTCGCGGGCTCTGACTCCCCGCGCGCCCACCTTCCTGTCCCTCTCCTTCCTCTATACCATGGATATCGCTACCGCCCTCGCCCACGCCCGAAGGCGTGACGGCCCTCTTGCGCTTCTGCCCCACGGCTGATAGCGCCTCCTCCTGCATGGCCGTGCCCCTTAAGTCCGTGACGCGCGCTACCTTGCGCAACCCCGCAGCACCTCCTCCCGCCTGCTGCTGCTGCTGCTGTTGTTGCTGCGCCGCGGCGTGCCGCTGCGACTCGGTCGTCGCCTTCGCTGCAGCTTCAAGGAGCTCTGCCATGTTGCCCTCCAGACTACTGGGCGTCGTCGACTGCCCGTACGCCACGGTGGACTGTCCGCCGGCGGTCGGCGGAATTTCGTAGGTCTGGCCATCGCCGGCTGCTGCGGAGGTTGTGTCGTTCGGTACGCTGTTGCGGCGGTCTCCGGAGGCGGCGGCGGCGTAGAAGGCGCCCGAGCTCATCATGGAAGAGGAATAGGCATGAAGGCGGATCGCGAGGTTTTCACGGCGGGCGTTGGTCTCGACAAAAGAAAAGAATTGTAGCGATTGTAAATTTGCGGATGTTTGAGTAGTCGCGAGTCAGCGACAGCTGCAGGGTACAATTGAGAAGGAACAGAGAGCGAGAAAGAAAATCTAAATCATCTAGGGCGGGAGATTGTCAGAACCACGGGTCGTAAACGAGACTGACAACGGGGCTATGGATCGCATTTCCGATGGCTGCGCGGGCGAGTGTGTGCTCACCAGGAAAAAAGCGCTCAAAGGTCGCTTCGGCTAGTAGAGGGAGGGAGCTTCACCGAGCTAGAGGTGTTTTCCTGATCGGGTTGGGTGTTTGCATTCTGTGCGTTTGTGTTGTTTGATTTTGTTTGTTCGCCTGCATTCCGCACGGCGCCTGAGAGTGTTGCTCGGCGGCTAGACCAAACTTGGCTGACGCCCCATTCCTTGGGCTATGACGTTTACTATTTTTGGAGGGTCGCGGCAACGAAGTTCAATAAATACCTAGGCCATATGTACTGCACTCTCGAGAAACATACCGAATCCCTCACGCGTACGAATTATGAGCCTTTTTCCGCGAAAAATGACTCAATAACTGCATGAATCGGCGAGTCCTCATGCCAAATCACCTGCGCCTCATGCCTAGCAGACGACGGTATTTGTCAGGGCTATGTTGGTTGCCGCATCTTCGCGAGTATTGGTCGTCACCAAGTCATCCGCACCGGACGCACGCTCAAAGCGTATACATATCAGCTCTCTATGTGCATGAATACTAGTCCTACCTCTCAAAAAAGGAGTCTAACCCTTTTGCGCCAGATGTGTATGCGCGGAGCCGCTGTACAAACAAGGAAAATGCACGCTGTCCTCCCTGCCTCTAGTGAAATACCCCCATGATATCAGGTGCCCAAGAAAATTCCAAATACAGACCTACCGTTGAACGCCCGAGTCCCTATAGTCTGTCGATCGAAGAAGTTGAACCAGCGTTCAGAACCAGTCCCCTTCCTTCCACTCCCTACCGCTGTCCTGCGCCCGGATCCTAGGGTCGTTGCCCCTTTCTATTGCGGCATCCCTCCTTTGCTTTAAGTCCTGCTTGATGCGCTCAATCTCCTCTTCCAGCCACACGTCCCGCCCCACCTCAGGGATATCGAGTTCGGCGAGCTCGTCAAAGGTGCCGTCCTCCATCGACTGCTGCACTAGCTTCTCCTTGTCGTGCCAATCCCTGAGCTCGTATTCGTAGCCCAGCTGCGTGAAGCGCAGGTCCGTCCACGCCTTGTACTTTTCTTCGCTGCCGAAGCATATGCCGAAGCCGTCGCAGGAGCATACGTGCTGGATGGGGCAGTAGACGTTGTGGCCGGTGAAGATGTATTGCCAGATGTACTCCCACACGCGGCCCGAGAGCGCATCGCTGAGCGGTGTCCGGAGCAGCCAGTCTCGGTAGGCGACGAAGCGTTGCAGCGGGATGGCGCGGATGCGATCGCGGCTCAGGGCGAACTGCGCGCAGCACGGCTGCGCTAGCACTTCCGGAATGGGGTCCAGGGGGAAGATTTCGCTCCAAGCCTTGGCGAGAAGCTTCTGTTCGTGCTTCTGGGAATCGTCTTCCACTTCGCCCGGGTGCCTGCGGCTTTTTAGAATCACCTACTGTCAGACAGGCTCTGGCAAGAAAACTTACATCCAATCAGGGCAACCCGGGTCCCAGTGGCAGCGCATGTTCATGTAACCTTCGCGGAGCACGCGGTTGCGGTTCAGACGCTGGATCATTTGCACAGCATCCAAGTCCAACATGTCGCTATTGTGCCAGGCGTACCGGTGGGCGTGCATGAAGACCGCAACGTCCGGCAGATCCGCGTAATTGTCGATGATCCAAGTCAGATATATCATGACTTCGTGCCCCTTGTTCTTCGGCGGGTGTAGCGGTGCGCTGTTGTCGTTGGCGACGTATATCGCTGTCTGGTACTCGGGAAGGTATTCGTCAATCCAACCGACGTCCTCGCTGCTCGTCCGTGGAATCACCAGGACGGTGCTGAAGTTGTAATCCGCGGGCATGCCGACCCCTCCTTCGAACTTCGGAATCGAGCTCCACGTTTGCTTGGGTTTTGCTGGGCTCTCGATCGGCGACCCTGTCGCACCTGTGCTTGCGCTCGCCCACGGCGATGGCGCCGGCGATGACGACGACGGCTCCGGTACTGCCTCTCCGAGGCCGATCTTCTGCGGCAGGCCCCTCCACGATTCCCTCACATTGGTGCTGTAGAAGAGGAAGGAGAAGAACGAAACGCAGGCGATGGCCAGGAGGGGGAGCAGGCTGCGCGGGGAGAGCATGGCGGGCGGCTTCCGCGGAGGAGCGCGGATGGCGAGGGTTGCGTGAAGAAACGGAGGTAGGAAACAGGCGCCTTAAGAGGACAACATGCGGCCTTTCTACTGGGGAAAATGATCAGCATCTTGCCTGCTGCGGAGTCAAGAAGACAACCCCTCCTTTGCAGCGTCGGCGTGGTTGAACAGAGGGAGGCATAGTGGGACGGTACCTGAACGAAGACTTCGTGACACAGCCCGCTCACTGGCTTTGGATCCTGACCAGCATCGCTCGAAACACGGGCGATTGAGGATGCGCGCGCAGACGGTGTGGAGTTAGAGGTGGAGGTTCAGGCGGGCGGGAGCTGGAGGATTGTCGTATCGCGGCTGGGGGCCTGTCCAGAAATTGCGGAGCTTTCCAGCAAGGTTGAGCAAGGCTCCGTAACCAAGCTTTGACTAGCGATCATTCGGGACGACTTGTTTCGAGTGTGGGCGTCAATTGGCCCCAGGAGAGATGTGCTTGCGCGGCCAGCCTGCTCGTTACTGGATAAGGTTGTGTGATCGGCCGTTCGCGCGACAACGGCTGCTCGGACCTGCGACGCCATCGCCGTTATAAACGCCTGTCAGTAACCAGACATCCCCACACCTGCCCTCGCTGCTCAAAACATTGGCCCCATCATGCCTGCCCCCGACTGTGCGATCGAGATTCGTCGCAAACGTTGGCAGCGGGAGCCAGACGCCAGCCGCCTGTCAACCTGCAGTAGTGGCACCACCGCCCAACACCGGCACATGCGCTCATCGCCACAGAACGCCCCCACAGTCAGAATCTCTCATCACCAAATGTCAGACGCGGCGCAGCAGCTTCATCAGCTTAAGCTGGTCATTGTTATTCCTCTGCACTTCAGAACTATCTTCTAAGCTATACATCTCTCGCGCGACGAAAGCGCCGCATATGGTGCTGACAGCTATCAGATCAGGGAACTTGTTTCATACAAGCGTGCCTCGAGTCCGCATCATACTCGGACAGAGCAGCAATATGCTTGAGTAAGGGCGTGATCTTCTTGAATCGCTTTCTGGATCCGCAACACTGGAAGTGGTAGAGACCCAAGTCTCCATGTCCATCTACAAAGCACGTTGCCTACGCGTACGTACCTGAGGAGCTCCGGGGTGCGATTCGAAGCTTGCGACAGCATGATGATGTCAGACCGCGCTGTGGACACGGAAAAAGCCCGGATGTCATGGTAGGGCCACTCACCGACCACTGCAAAAGCAGCGTGACGATGAGAATTAAATGAAACGAGAAAGGGACGAAAACCTGAGAAATCTAATGACAGGAGAAGGAATGGAGGCTTCCATTGGTCTTGGAACCAGATCAAGGGGTGCCTTGGCGAAACGCGCAAAGGGAAAGAGCAAACAGCCAGACTATTGACCGGTGCAGAAAACGGATGCAGAGATCGGGGATGACTGGAAATTCCACGATGAGCGGAAACTCACCGTAGTACCATGCACGGCAGCCGCGAACGATGCCAGAGTGCGTCGGCTCCCTGCAGCAGCTTGGTGCAAGCCAGCAGCAACTCCCCGGGCAGGCACGGCAAACGTGTCTGCATCCAGAACGTCGGAAAATTGTCGTCACGGCAAACGGCTTCAGCGGGGACGCACGGCTGGGCTCGTTTTTTTCGGTCCTCATTTTTTTTATTACACCGGACGGCGGCATCGTGCATAGATTGGGCGATGTTGCTGTTTACTACGAGGATTGTCGCTCCCGTCTCGCCAGAGACAGAAGTGCAAGGACGGCAGGGCACTCTAAGCTGATGGATGTCGAACGGTCTCAAGGGGGGCGTGGACAAACGAGGTCGCCGGTACAGGCAGGCTCTGCAATGGTGCTGCACGCAACGTGTTGGACATGGGAACGTGTCGACAAGCGCAGAAAATGTCGGGTGTGATGGGAAGGCATAGTAGTACAAAGTGATCTGAAGTCGGATAGGGAAGAGCTGCTCCAGGAGATCCAGTTTTTTTCGTCACCAATTCGAATTAAAAGCATGTTTGCCGCAAGAATCCGTAGCCGTTCTCTGTTAAAGGAAATCCACCGAAATTCACCGGAAGCCGAGACCTTTAGATGTGGCGTAGGCAAATCGCTTAAGCCGAGTTACACCCATGCCTTAGGTGAGGTCTTCCGTCCAGCAGTCAGATTGAGTGAAAAAGCCGTTCTGTTTTTTGTGAACCGTCGCCCGCCGAAGATATCGCTGAAATTCGCCGTAATCCGATCGCATGTCGGAGACGCGAGGATGCAAAAGCCAGGAAGCAAGTAATACAGGGGCGAAGATGAGGCAGCAATCTCGAAAAACGAACTCGTTCTCGAGGGTGCGTATCACTCCGGGAGTGATGGAACCCTGCTCTTCCGCCGTTACTCGCGAGGGGGTTCTGGAACAATTAGTCGAGCGTTCTAGTGGCGAGAATAGTAGTCATCACCACGGTCGTCGTAGGCCCTTCCACCACCACCACCACCACCATAGGGCTCGTCAGTAGGTGCGCCACCGTAAGCACCGCCGTCGCGGCCGTAGCGATCGTCGCGGCTCGAGCCGTAGCGGTAGCGGTCATCGCGGCCGGAGGCGTCGCGACCGGAAGCGTAGCGATCGACGCCGCGAGGAGGACCGTAGTCGCGGTCACGGCGGGAGTAGCTGCCGCGGTCGTAGCCACGGTCGGAACCACGGTCGTAGCCGCGGTCGTAGGAGTCGTAGCGCGGGCCGCGAGAGGAGTAGTCGTCACGACGGCCGCCGTAGCCGCGCCTGTCGTCATAGCGGTCGCCGTAGAAGCGACCGCCGCGGCCACCGCGGAAGTCTGCTACGCAGGTCAGCTTTTCCAAACTTGAGTTTCAAAGGGAAGTAACCGTGATAGTAAAGCATACCGCGCTTGGGCGGACCGTAGTACTTGCCCGGAGTGGGCGTCCTGGGGCGTGAGCGGCGAGCCTTCTCAATGCTGAGCGTGCGGCCCTCAATGACTTCACCCTGCAGTCCCTCCTTTGCGGCATCAGCCTGGTCGGGCGTGACCATCTTCACGAAGCCGAAGCCACGCGATTCCTTGGTGTGCGGGTCACGCATGATGTTGCACTTCTCAACATCGCCGTACTTCTCGAACAGGCGCGTGACCTCCTCCTCACTGAGACGCGGGTGGATGCCGGTGACGAAGAGGTTGGAGCCCGGGTTGATGGACTCGTCATCGCGGTCGCGCATGGGCTCGTTCATCGGGCTGTCATGGGCCTTGTCAGCAGGTGTTACAGCGGGTTGAGCGGTGAATTATTGCTATACCGGTCGTCAATGCGGTCGCGCGCGCCGGGGGAGGCACTGCGAGCGCGGGCATCGTCGTCGACACGGCGGTCGTTGCGCGGAGAGCGGCTGCGGTCGCGCTCGTAGTCGCGCGGCTCGTCTGTTTGCAAGGGCGTGTCAGCGGCGCGTCGTCGCGGTAAGACGGGCGGCACGGTGGCGAGGGAGCAGACTTACCGTCATACGGACGCGGCTCGGTCTCGTAATCCATGGTGGACATGACGGAGAGCTGTAGAGTGTCGGGGCGATGAAGGCGGCTGGGTGGAGCTGAAAACAGGCGGCGGAAGAGGTGGTTGCGACAAAGCGGCGGCCGGCAAGGCAGCTCCGATCGGCTGGAAAAGGACCGTCGCAGTGAAAGCTAGGTGAGGCAGAAAGTAAAAGAAAAGGTGCGTCGGTGCGGACGGCACGTTGCCAGGCTGTGGTGAAGGAGCGAAGTGAAGCGGCTTTCGCGACGCCGGACAAACGCGCAGTGACAGGCGCAGGCTGACAGAAAGTCCAGGCGGCCTATCAAGGGGCGCAACCAAGGAACACCCGCGAGCGAGCCGCAGCGTCTTGGCTCCTTCCCGCACTGCCTCAGCAAACGTGCATTGCACTCACTCGCCAGGTCGCATTTTGCTTGTTGCGGCACACCTCGCTCGCCGGCGCTCGGTGGGCGAAAATCACTGCAGTCGTTGCGGTAAAAATACAAGCGTCCATGCTCCATCGCTCTAGCTAATCGACACCGCGCCAACAACACAAGCCAGCAAGCAAATAGGTATACTGAGCCCTATGCCACAACGCCGTGCGCCGACGACCCTTCCCGTCTTCCCTACGAAAGCCAGCCCAGCGTGCCCGAATATTACGACCGGCAAGGAAAATGGTATACAGCTCGTCACCGCCGGTGCCCCCAGAAAAAGAAAACGCCCTACAACAAAGAGATGTCGCAATCAAGGAAAAAAAAAAATCAGCCTTGGTTCACCCCGTTGACGCGTCTCGATGCATTCCTCCGCTGCTGCACCCGTGCCTTGGCGCGCTGCGCGCGCTGCACCGTGCTTCCTTCTGCGTCCATGGAGTCAGCCGGCGCATCCACCATCTCCTCGTCTCCCAACATGCCGTCAAGCTCGGCATCGTCAATTTCGCTGAGTTCCTCGCTCATTCCCCGTACAACCTCACGGCCAGACCAGACCTCATCGTAAATAGTGGTGCCGCGAGGATCAAAACTCTGCAGATACCATGGCACCCCACCGTGTGACAGCGCGAGCGCGTCTCCATCAGACTGTGGTGGTGTGAGAGGATCGGGGTTGGTTGTGGATGGATGCGTGCTGCCTGAGTTGGACAGAGCCGGGGCGGTTCCGATGCTGCCTTGGCGAGCATTCGTAGATTCGCCTCCAGAGTTTTCCGCGGGTGCCTCTGTTGTTTCTTCAGGCAGCTGCAGTTGCAACCTTATCGCAGCGTCATCAGCCTCGTGATCAGGCTCGTCGGCCTCTGCTCCAGTGCTCTTTCCAGCATCATGGTCTTTCAGTTCTCTGTCACCATCGACAAGACCATTCGTCCTCGCATTGCCATTCGTGAGGTATTCCATGGCCTCGGTCATTTCTACGTCTTGAGAGACGTGCGGTCGTTCTGCCCCTTTGTCATTACCCTTGTCGCTAGCATCGTGGGAAGCTTGAGCTGACGTGGGTCCCGAACGCCCGCTACCGTCCAGCATGGCATTAAGCTCCCGCAGCTCCTGGTCATATGGCTTACCAGCAATCTGCGCCTCCTTGACGGTGGCATCTTCAAGGGTCGGGTGTATTGCCTTCATGATCCGCTTTGCCAGCTTTTTCTTATCTTTTTGTTCTGGCGTCAAGTCGCCATGGGGGCCGCTTCCATCATTCAGATGTTCATGAACTTCGTGGGCGTCCGTGATCTCGTCGATGCCGAGGACCGAACGGAAGACTGCGGCGATATCGCCTGAGAAAGTCAACACAGATGTATAGAACCTCTCTTCAAGTTTCTTCTCGATCGCATCCAGGCCCTCTTTGAAAACACCTTTGGAATCCAGGCTAATTAAAAGTCAGCTTCTGTACCCGAATGTGGTGAAATCCGAACTGACCTTTGGGCTTTCTCCAGTATCGGCCAAAGGAGAGGGTATATAGGAAAGTAGACGGTGTCGACAATGCTCTTCAAAACGTCCACATCGTCGAGTTTCTTCTCTTCCCTTTCTTTGACCAAGCGACACAAGTCTCTGACCTTCTCCATGTCTTTCTCGAGTAATTCCGCAAACTCGATCCGTCGGTGAAGTCTTGGACGTCCTGCAGCGCCCATACCTGCGAAGTTACGTCTTGTAATCTCCATCGAAGAAAATGTTTCCATCTGGAGCTGAAGCCGCTTGAGCAAAGCCGCGCCGCGGCGAGCCTCCCTTTTGAGTGTCCAATATTTGCATGCCTCGGCCACATACTCTTTGCGCTTACGAACATTGAAGCGTACTAGCGACCCTTCAACTTTCTCGTACACGAGTTGAGGCACTACAGGCGCACCCGACGGTAGTCTCCAGACACCTTTGGTAGATTGACTGCGCTTCCGCTTGTTGCTGCCTAGCACCTGAGTTGAATCATCCATATCATCGTCCATGCTCATCGCACTAGACGAGTTGCGGGCTGCTGCCGCTTGGCTTTCTGCCCACCGCCGGCCTCGCATCGTTTGGCGGTAGAATGACATGGCCTCTCGTGTAGCAGTCTCGACGTCGTTCTCTCGGCGCCAATCGTTCGGAACGTGCTTGTGGCAGAAAGCCTTGAGCACGCTGGCATCGACGTTGGCGGGTCCGCTGTGCGCAGACTTCATCCGAAGGAACAATTTGGCGCGTCGTGCACAGGTAACATGGAAGGCAGAATAGCAATTCTTGTTCCCACATTGAATGCATGCACCCATTTTCTGATCGCAGATGTAGCATTGCTATATTCGTTAGTTCAATCGAATAAAGGTGTGAAAAATGCAATAGCTCACCAGTTTCCATCTTTGCTTGGGAACCTTCTCAACATCCATGACAGGCTCCATAAAGGTGGTGTTGCCAAGTGAAACCTCGGGGATCCAAATGGCGCAGAGCAGGTGCGACCATCGTTGAGGATTGGCGGTCTGTTTGAAAGCCCCATCGACATTCGGACAGAATATGCAGGTCTGCGGTATGTTAGTAACACGACCAGGCTAACAAGAGGTACGAAGATACTCACGGGTGTTCCTCGGCCAATCAGCTGGCACTTGCGGCACAACCACTGGCCCTCAGGTATAAAAGGAACTCCGTAGCACTCCTGGTGCACGGCGAGATCGCAGCCGTCACAGAAAACGATGGCGTTTGTGTTTTCACAATCGCCGTCGTCACAAACAGCACACTTTGTGTCTTGTTCCTCACCATTCCCCACCGGTTCACCGTTAACCGCAGCCGCCGAGCTCGAACGTGGTCGATGGGTCTGGGGAGGTTTCGGATTTGGCTTGGGAATCCCTTGGACGCAAGCGAGTCAGCACAAATACATCACACCGAGTAAACCACAACTCACGTTTCTCAAGCGCATGCCATTCCTTTTCGATCTGCGTCATCGTTATCTCGAAAATCGCAGGCTTGATGGCCTCGACTTGTTCCTCTTTCCTTTGCGCGTTGTACGCCTCCAGCCACCGATCGTCTTGTTCGTCCATGTCATACTCGACTCGTCCGATGGGGTGACCAGGTGTTTCGTTTTCGAGACTCAGCGCAAGATCCAGGTCTTCTTCGAGGTTCCCATCAACAATGCGGATCAACCGCTTCTCAGGCCGTATGAACATGTCGCTCTCCTGATATCCTACGCTCGCCATTGTGCGGTCAACGTAGTTGACCTGCGCTGAGGGGTCTTGTTCGTAGTGCGAAAACGTATCGATTGTCCGATAAGACGGCTTCGGAAGGCTCAGTTTTTCGCGCTTGTCTTTGGTCGGCAGTGGCTCAATCCTGGGTGCTGGAGGCGAGCCTAGACCGGTAAGCATGGAACCGGGGCGCCGTGGAGGCCTGCCAGGCCGTCGCTTGATGATCGTAGGCGTCGTGGGCTGCTCACTAGAGCCCCCCACGTTGACGATGTCCTCGTCTGGGTCGGCGAAAGAGGAGTTTTGTGTCTTGAGGGCCGGGACCTCATTTGGAGTGGGAGCGTCGTCTGGTGCCGAGAAGGACTGGCTCAGCCCAAGAACGGGTGTTGTCGGCTTCGTTACCGGCGGGCTGATGCCATCTACTTCCTCCGCACTGAATACCATGAACTCCGCATCAATGTCCAGGTCCTGGTGGAATTCCTCCCATCCTCGCTCCTCTCTTGGCTTGTACCCATCGTTTTGGGCTACTGCAGCGGCAGCGGCAGAGGCAGAGCTGGCCCGCGGGCCAGCAGCTGGGCGATCACGCCGGGGGCGCGTATAGGGCCGGGAGGGTGATGCGGCATCGGGAGAGTATTTGCGGATTGTAGCCGGAGTACGCGACGGACGCGGCCGCGGCGCGCTGTGCCTCCGGCCAGCCGCCTTGAGCAGCGGAATCGCAATCTCCTTAGGTATCTCAGCGCCGGTGTCTGGGTCGATGTAGCGGCCACCACCGCCTGGTCCACCCGGAATGTACTTGGGCCTCTTGGGCGGCGCAGAGGCAGGGGCGGTGGGTGTGGAACTGGGGTCGACGCGTGGAGGGCGGCCGGGACCGCGCTGGTTGCGCCTCGTGGGCGTGTCGGATGGCACCGCCATGGGTGGTCAGGCTGGGGATGTCCGTATGATCGCGTTGGGCACAGTGAGACTCCGGTCACGCAGCGCGAATGGAGGCGCAAGGAGAGGACAGCAGATGCCAAGCTACCGGCTGCGCGGACGCGTTGTGCTGCGAGGTCGGGCGAAAGACATGTGTGGACGGCGCGGCAGATACGGAGGACGCGGAAGGAGGTGCTGCGACGGTTTGCTCCAGGCGTGGGCCAACTGGCGCGTCTCGCCGCTGCAACCTCTGGAGGTGATGTTGAAGGTCGCGCTAGTGCACCTGGCCCGTGCGCTTTCCCCACGCGCTGAGCGCCTTCCCCGATCGCCCAGCAGCTGGTCGTGCACTTTTGAAGCCACCCTACGAGCACCATCCATGCGGCTCATCTCGCCCCTCACCGCATCGCGGCAAGCCCGCCCAGCAGACGACGCGCCTCCGCCAGGACCCTGAGCGGCATCAGGCTCTCCCGCGGTCACGTGTTCAGTTTTGATGATGCCATCGCCATACGGCACACTAATGGCGTTGTTTTGGAAGGAGCTCGCGCCTAAAGTGGGGAGGGTTCCCACGTAATCCCATCTCCTTCGGGCCGCAGCCTTCTCGCTCTCTCGACAATATTTTCTGCAACTCTCACAGCCGCCGCACACCATGGCTTCGCCCGAAGTCATCTACCTCGCCCGAGCCCTCTCGCGGGTTCTGGGATGGACATAGTATGCTAGCGCGGACCTCTCCCGTCCATATGCCGACGCTGACTGAACTTGAGCTTCATGTGCTGGTCAGGCTCGTTCTATCCCCAGCCGCTCATGAACTGGCGGCGGAAGTCGACGCTTGGCTTCGGCATCGACTTTCCTACTCTCAACATTCTTGGCTTCGCTGCATACACCATCTCTACCGCGGCGACCTTGTGGTCGCCCACCATCCGGGCACAGTACGCGGCTCGGTATCCGGTCGCTCCGGAGCCCACCGTCCGCTTCAACGATTTTGCCTTTGCGTTGCATGCCATCATCTTGTCCATCATCATCTACAGCCAGTTTTGGCTGAAGGCTTGGGGCTTCAAGGTCGGCGCAGACCAGAAGATGAGCTCTTTGGCTAAAGGGATTTTCTGGGGCAATATCCTCGGAGTGCTCTTTGTGATTCTTATGGTCTTGGCCAAGGGCAAAGACGGTGGAAATGATGCAAGTGGCTGGGCGTGGATTGATGTGGTACGTTGCTCTGGATGTCCGCCCTGTTGCGTGTACAGGGCCCAGAGAGTCCCGTGGCATACGCACACGCCCTCGGGTTTGCTTGAAACGTTCGTTGAGACCAGGTTGTCACGATTAGTGTATTCCTGTGCCTAGACGAACGCTGCAGCTGCCCCAGGCGGTTCCGTACGCCCGGAAACTTTCAGAGCGGGCCCCGGATCCTGCACAGAAGACCTTCGCGCAGGATCTTTGCAAGCTAACTTGTTGTTCCAAGATTTACGCCATTGGATACGTCAAGCTCGTAGTGACCATCGTTAAATACGTTCCACAAGTGTGGTTAAACTACAAGCGCAAATCCACTGTGGGATTTAGTATTGGTGGAATGCTACTGGACTTCTCGGGCGGTATTTTGTCCAACTTACAGTTGATCATCGACTCATCTCTGGAAGCCGACTGGTCTGGAATTACCGGGAACCCTGTCAAGTTCGGCCTCGCAAACGTCAGCATCATATTCGATGTTATATTCATTGTGCAGCATTACGTGGTGTATAGACACGCAAGAGAGGCCGAAGAAACGGACGTGGAATCCAGCGGCGAACGACGACATTTGTTGAGCGCCGAATCGTAACTTATTTGGAAGTCAGCCAAGATTGGTGCGCAGCGTGAATTTCGTCACCAGGCGCAAGAATATTTTGAAGAAGATCTTTAGCACTTTGGGCGATATAGACGTGAGAGTTTCGCCAAGTCATGGCTGATCAGAACATTTTCGAAATCAGACCATCTTCATCAATGGAACGAGACGGCAAGTTAAAACATTGCGGAGCGCAGGGTTCCTACTGCACACGTGCCGAGCATCTTTGCGGCTATCGTTTGCGGTAGATTCGTGCTAGTGTTGCTGTACGGTGACGTTAAGCGGCGAGCTAAGAGACGGAGTGATGTCAAGAGCATGTTGGTACCTGAGCGGCTCAGTGTGCAGCCTCGCCAAACTTGTGGCTTGCTGCTCGACGCTGAAGAAACCAAATCAAAAAAGGGGCTAAGTTTCCCGTCCTGATTAACCCACGATGTCCGAAGGCCAATCTCGATTTCCGGGGCCTTTCGGCTTTTCTCGAGCACTCCCGCGATCGAGCAGCTTGTGAAAAGACTATGCAGATGAACATCTATAAGATCAACGCTGAGGTCGAGTCAAAACGCTCTGGGGCCCACCATCCTCAATGACGATCTGACATGAGTGGGACAGCGCCTGCAGCAGAGTCCGGAAGCTGTTCCTGATGCCTGGTAGAGCTGTCAGCAAGCCGGCTCCATGTATCAGCGGGAGCCAGCATGCCCCTCGGCAACCAACATGCCTCAGTTAAGCCCCGAGCGCTATGTGTAGCTTTCGCTAGTCGGCTAATAGTTGTTGCCCTAGGTGGCTTGGAAGTTTGCCTGCGCGTGCGCGGCTCGACTCTCCGGGGCGTGTGGCGCTGTGAAATACGGGTTTACACCACAAACTTTGACGGCCATGTGGTCGGAATTAATTGTCGAAGATCGAAGGTCAAACCGACTCCAGTCGCGATGGGCCGATTAAGTTCGCCTGGCTCAGGCGCGTTTGGAGACATGCACGAGGACGAAAGAGGTGATCGGAGCTAGGGTGGATGACAGAAAAAGCAATGCGCCGACCAACCCTTGCTAAAGATCGTCTGCCGGCGTGTGAAAGCGCGGAGCTTCGTGTGCTCACGGTCCGACCGACCTGGCCACACACGGTGCGCCGACGACCACCATCGGCATTGCGAAGTGAGGGACGCCGCAATGCAGTACGTCACCGCCGGCGCTGTGCTCCGCAGGCCGCCGTGCTTCAGGACCTCAATTGCTCGGTTTCAGTGCTGCAGAACACTCCATGGGGGCCTTGTCCGACTGCTGGGGGTTGTGCAGGATTGAGTGAGCTGACGCGGTACTGGGGCCAAGGGCGTTGTCGCAGCCGGAAAAGAAAGCATTTGCAAACGAACTGCGGCTCACAAGCCAAGCCGTGCGGCTAGGGAACCCGGCCTGCTCTCAATTGGCTCTTTGCGAATCTCGTTTCCGCAAGGCCCCAGAGCCCGGTCCCAAAGTCATCGGGCCCCGCGATTCTGACTTTTAGCGTCAACTTCAGCTGCATCGGCCTGCGTGTACCGGCATCGAGACCCTGCCTCTTCCAAAGCACTAGGCAGATCACTTCATCTGTTAGTCGTAAAGGGCCCACGTTCTGCCTCCTGGTCTGGTACGTCGTCGGTCTGGCCGAGTCTCCCTGTCGTCCTTATTATACCCGGTCACCCTCTGCCGTCTGCGAGAAAACTCAATTTACGCCATCTTCCGTTTTTTTCCTATTGCCGCGCTCAAACTCATGCCTTCTTTTCAAGCTTTTCGTCGTTTCAACAATAAGCGGGATTCTGCTCACAATATCTACTCGGCCCAGGATCCATCTTCTCTCGCTAGCCGTTCCACCACTAGCATCTCCCCAAGTATGACGAGCGCCGATGAGCATCGTCCCAGTACCGCCTTCAGACAAGAACAATCCCCGCAAAAGCACATGACCAACGACAGTCATACCGCAGCGCTGGGTTTTCAGGATCCACAACGTCAAAAGTCAACTACCTCTCTGGCCCCCAACGGTATTGACCCTCCACAGGCAATTGTCCCCAGCACTTTCGACATGAGCTCTGACGAGGAGGAGACATCGTCTGCCCTTGGAAACCGAAATATTCATATACCAACAAGAACGACGTGAGTCAATACTTTTTTGTTGGCAAAGAAGAGAAAGGACGAATCTTCGAATGACGAGAACGTTGATTTGTACTAAATTGAATCGAACGCTATAGCAGTATTGAGGGCACGAAGCGAAATTTCTCGAGACCCAAGCATCACGACTGCGGCTCACCCAATCCAGCTTCTGGCTCAGAGTCTCCCGAGCGCCGTTCGGCCGAGAAAAGTTCGGCTGACTCTGTCATGTCCTACGAAACGAAAGCCACTTCTTCAGTCGGGACCATTCCACCGTTGCAAGCGAAAAACGGCCCCGAAGAGGAGGACAGGCTTGAGCCACTTTTGGAAGACGACCCGGCCAACTTTGACCTTGTTGCTCCCGCAGAACATGGGAGCAAAGACTATTCGCTCGAAACTCGTTCCGAGGAGATTCTGTCCAAGGAGCACCTGCAGGCAATCTTCTCAGACCCGGCTTTGTTGAACAAGTTTACTTCGTTCCTTAGCGCGTATAAGCCCAAATCGCTACCACTCCTCATCTACTACCTGGATGCTCTCAAGGCTATTCGAGCAATCAACTACGCCAATGCGGTGGCAGAGGCGCTTGAACCCATTGAGGACCTAGAATTCACCTCGCATCCTGCGCGACCGACAACCAACTCGGTACTTGAGGAAAAGGCCCAACGAGCCTTTGATCAGCTGGTCCAAGAAGACTTGCCTGCATACGTCAGCTACGTGTGGGTTCAAGTTGTCAGCTTCAGCATTCAGATGAGGATTACAGGCACCTTACCTCCACATCTACGAGAGGCGTCTGAAGGCCTTGCTGAAACATTCTGTCTCACGGACCCGTCAAGGAAAGACAATCCCATTATTTTTGCTTCAGAAGGTTAGTCAGCCCAAAAGAGCATCCGCATGCAAGTCTAACACATCCTAGAGTTTCATCGCACGACTCAATACGGTGTCAACTACGCAATCGGACGGAATTGTCGCTTTTTGCAGGGTCCGCGAACAAACCCATTCTCGGTGAAAAGGCTGAGCAAAGCAATCCAAGAAGGGAAGGAGATTAGTGAGCTCATCTTGAACTAGTCGGTCTCTATGCATTCTCATCCCTTTTGTTACTAACGGGTAACCAGCCGGCGTGACGGATCAACGTTTCTCAATCTTCTAATGATGGCTCCACTCATGGACAACAGAGGTAAGGTCAGGTATTTCATCGGATCGCAAGTGGACGTAAGCGGCCTCGCCAAACAATGCACCGACCTTCCGGCGTTGAAGCGGATGCTTGCCAAAGAAGGGGAGATGGACCTAGACGATGGCGAAGAAATTCCCGAGGAGCAGGAAAAGGACGAGTTCCAGGCATTGAGCGAGATGTTTAACCAAGGAGAGATCGAGATGGTGCGGAAGACGGGTGGGCGCATGCACAAGGAGCATGTCGAGGATGACGACACGACTTCTGTGTATCACCAGCCGCGACTGCTCATCAAGGACACCAGCCCTCCTCTTGGCGCCCGGTCTGAAGTTTTCGGCAAGGTCAAAAACAACGGGAAGCTAGTCGGGATCTACAGCCACGTAAGTCAACAGGAAACATGTGCTCAATTCCAGGAGCTAATGCCTGCAAACAGTACCTTCTTGTCCGGCCGCACCCTTCTCTCCGCATCCTCTTCACCTCGCCTTCGCTTCGCGTACCAGGGATCCTCCAGTCGGCCTTTATGGACAGGATCGGCGGCAGCTCGAGGGTGCGTGAAGAACTAGAACAAGCTCTCGCATCAGGGCGTGGCGTGACGGCCAAGGTGCGGTGGTTGAGCAGCCTCCGTCCAGACGACGATGGCCGCAGCCGTTGGATCCACTGCACGCCACTGCTTGGGCAGAACGGCAGCGTCGGCGTCTGGATGATTGTCCTCGTCGACGACCCCGCCAGCGGAATGGTCAGGAAGTTTCGCGCGCCACCGCCTGTGTCTAGAGCAATCGGCGGGGGTGGGAGCGGGACTAGGCACGGCCACAGCCACAACGGCGGCGGTAGCGCCAATAGATCGGAACCCCGCAGTCCCAGCATCTCGACCTCCCGCGGACCGGCCGCACCGTCGCCTGTCATCGGACGCGGGCGCAACTTCGCCCCCATCATCGACACGATGGCCGCAAACAGCAAGTTCGAAAGGACGCTCACTGAGGAGGAGTTCGACCGCCAGATCGAGGAGCGTGACCGCCTTCTGGGCCTCGGATCCCCGTATACCGATCAAATCGGAAGGGCCATGAGCCCGAAGCCTCCAGACACCGCTGGCAGCGGCGCCAATTCGACGGACTCGTTCCGCATATGAGAAACACTGGGCATGCGTGGCCATCCATGCATCCAAGAGCGTTGATGTTTTCTTATTCTGTCTCATTTTTTTCGTGTTATTCTGCTGAGTTGCTATACCCATCGAGGTCGGAGGCTTTTTGCGTGTTTGACTGTGTTCACATCTTTCATACTTAACTGTAAACATATGGTATAGCGTCCTTATATATGCGTTTGAAGCGAGTATATCATAGCACCCATGACAACTTTCCCGCTCCCTTTCTATATTTGCTAGGCGCTCGCAGACTGATTGTGTGGCAACTAATGGCCTCATGGTTTGTTTCTTAGTCGTGACCAAATTGCACTCTCTCGGGACCAAGGTCAAAGAGGACGTCTTTTTAAGTGCAAATGTGAATTTGTAACCAACGCTACACGAAGCTAGATGCGGGCACCATAGCCGAGGAGCTGCTGTTGAACGATAAACCCGTAGGGCTGAACAAGTCGCAGGGCGGGAGGAGACCCTTGCGACGTCAGAGCTTCTTCGCGGCGATCCGCTCGCTCCCCGCCAAATCCCCCAAAAATCCTCCACCTCCTCACATCGCCAACGACGAGCCGCACCTTCGCCCCCACTGCCGACCATGGCATCCATCCGGCCAATGACGCCGATGGACCTCCTCCACTTCAACGAATGCAACCTTGACCCGCTCACCGAGACGTACAACGTCAGCTTCTACCTCGACTACCTGACCAAATGGCCGCACCTGTGTAAGGTCATTGAGGGACCGCATGGCAAGATTGAAGGATACAGTACAGTTCCTCCCCCCGTCCTGACCTCCTAATCACCTCCTCCCACCCACGCAATGCCGGACACATCACAGCTATCCCAAACAAACCGCCAGGCTAACCACGCGGCACTTTCTCCCCGCCCCCGCACCGCCAACAGTCATGGGCAAGACCGAAGCCTCGCCGTACCCGGCACCCGTCCAGCCCTACTCGCCCGACACGAACCCGAACCCGAACTACCTGCCGTGGCACGGCCACATCACCTGCCTGACGGTTGCGCCCTCGGCGCGGCGCCTCGGCCACGCGACGCGTCTGACGCAGCTGCTCGAGCAAGCGTGCGACGCCGAGGACGCGTGGTTCGTCGACCTGTTCGTGCGCGCCGAGAACGTCGTCGCCCAGAAGCTGTACGAGGGCATGGGCTACACCATCTACCGCCGCGTCGTCGGCTACTACAACGACGACACGGACGCCTTTGATATGCGGAAGCCCCTGAGCAGGGATGTGGGCAACAAGCACATTAGGGAGAATGGGAGGGATGTGAAGGTTAGCCCGGATGAGGTTTGGTGAGCGAGAGTGGAGGGCGCGACAAAGCGGATGTATAAGACGCGGATAAATATTTGGATTCCTTTGGGGTATGCCGGGCAATTCTTGGATGACGACGGCCGAAATGAGGTAGACCCGTGGGTTTAGCCTCACCAGGGTCGTCCAAAAGCCGATTCGTGGAAAGTAGAGAAGAGGAGGCCTACTACGCAGATCAGAGAGATGCGCAGAGCAACTGGACCAGGCTTTCACATATCGCCGCAAAACGAAGGCAAAAACCCCAACCTGCCCGACAAGGCTGACCGATAAAGACTAGAGGATTTGATTTAAGAACAATATACCATCCTGATTTTGGAACCCATGACTACCTACTCCAAGGATATCTCAAATTTTTTTTTTTGGCTTCTCCAGAGCCCCTAATCTGTCATCGAACCGCCCGAGTCCCGAATGTCCTAATCAATCTTTTCTTTCTTCTACTTTTCAGATTGCAATCCGCCTTCTACGCTGCCCCAAGCATCTTCAACGCATGCTGAGCCAGGACATCGCCCAGCAGCTCATCCTCTCTCATCTCCTGCACCGCCTGCAACGCCACTTCCCTCGCCTCCCCGAGCGGAACCCCGCCTCCGCCCGCGCCCCTGAGCACCACCGAGACCGCCCTCTTCCCCACAGCCTCCAGCTCCTCCTCGGCACACTGCACGCCTATCGCCTTCGCCTTCTTCTCGGCCTCCTCCCAGCACCGCTCCGCCCTCCGCGCCTGAGCAACCGCGCTCGCAACGTCACCGACGCTCGCGCAGGCTGCGCGCAGCCGCCAGTGCACGTCGCCGAGGGCGATGTACAGCTGGGGGGCCTTGTCGGCAGGTACTCCGGAGCAAGAGGAGGAAGAGGAGGAAAGGGTGGTGGTAAGGACGTGGTACGCGCGCTTCAGCGCGTCCGCGTGCACGGCGTCGTTGGACCAGGCCTCCGTCACGTCTTGCGGCGGCGCGGGCGCGCCCGGATCCGCCGCTGCGTTGCTACCGTCGTCAGGCACGGAGGGTGCCTGCGTCAGGTACGCCGTTTCGGCTTGCGCGTGGGCGGCGGTGGCGGCGGAGGCGGTGGTGCTGGCGACGGAGGAGAGGGCGTCGATGAGAGCGCTGCTGGCGTCGGCCGGGTCGGGCAGGGAGGAGGATGTGTTGCCGTTGGTTATGGCGGCGAATTTGATCAGCACGACGGCGTACCAGGACGCGGCGCTGCGCTCGCCGCGGCGGAACTCGGCCTCGCTGATGGCGGAGAAGAGGCGGGCTTGCGCGAGCGAGCCTTCGGCGATGGAGGAGTCGTATTCGCTGGGTTGGGCTTGGGTTGGCTTGGGAGGGGTGGCGGAGAGGCTGAGGGACAGGGTGGGCGTTTTTTTCTCTGTGGCATTTTGTTAGTCGGTTGATTGATGCTTCAAAGACACATGAGAGGAGCATATGGGAGGGTGGGGGCATACCAGGCTCCGGAACCGTGCGGTCCAGCTTCTCGAAATACGGCTGGAGGGCACCGGATGTGAAGAAGCCAACGACCGTTTCAACTTCTTTGCTAATCGCATCCAAGTCCTCGGCGGGCATGATGCCAAGAAGATCTGCAAGAGTGTTTGCCATGAAGAATACGGAATCGAGAATGGCACTCTCGGTCACAGCCTCCTCCACGCTGGCGTACTCCTCCCCCGAGGTACCAGAAGAAGATTCCTTGTGCGGAGCAGGCTCCGGTGGCGCATCTTGGTCTCCTGAGTTTGCTGCAAGAAAAGCGGCCTGCAGAGACTCGTACTCTTGCACTTGCCTCTCAAGGCAGCGGCGGATGCACTGCACAGACTCGTGGAGCAGCGGGACAGCCTCGCTCTTGTTGACGCGGTCGGCAAGGTCGGACAGGACATTGGCCGTGTTGAACAAGATGTCGAGGTTGTCTGGGTTCAGTGCAATGGCAAATCGATGCGAGTCCAGCGCTTGCCGGAGGAGGTCGACGAGGGGAGGGCCGATCTGCGCCGCGATGCGCAGGTCTTGCGCGATTTGGTACTCTAGCAAGGCCCTATGACGTATGTGAGCTCACTCTCTAGAAATGATCAACGTGATGACTGAAGCCAGCTTGTCAAGCAATGTAGTGTGCAAAGACGCGAAGTATGTGAAATGAGAGCTGGAAAGCTTAAAGGGTTGGATGGACAAGGTGGACGAAGTATGGAAGCTTGAGTAACAATCGCGATTTCAGGCACCCATTGCGAGGCTGGCGCCGTCGAATGCATGACAATATGCGCAAAGACATCAACGAAGAAGAAAGAAGAACCGGCTGAGCATGGCTATGCAAGAAAGAAGCGAACTCACTTGTTGTATGCCAAATCGAAAGACCGTGGAAACTTTTGCAGGCCGGCGGCATAGGCGTCAATGGCACGCTGAAAGAAGCGAGCAGACTTGGCAGCGTCTCCTGCTCTCCACTTGCCAGCGCTCTTTTCAAATTCATCTGCAGCATCAAGGAAATCGTCTTCAGTCTCAGGTTCCTGGGCGACGTTAGTAAGCGGCTGGGGCGCGACATAATCTCGAGGCGTACAGGCTCCTTCTTCTTCCCTCGTGCCGCCTGCTTGGCATTGGCCTGAAGGAATTGCTTTTTCTTCGGCATGGCTGTGTTGATGTGGGTTCACAAAGTCAACTAGGCTACAATCGTTGCAAAGCGCAGGCTGGTGAAGTCGAGGAAAGAGAGAAAGGGCTGAAGTTCGGAGTCCGAAAATTCGCTTCCGCTGACGATCGCTGACTCTTCGCGCAACGAGAGAAAGACCCTTCTTTTTCTTCTTCTCCTACCAAGACGTCACATCGAACCACGGTTGGCCGAAGAGCTTTCTCAATTTCTTGGCTACTGCCGGCCTCACGCTTTGAAATCTTGCCACCAGCGCGACTTATCTACCAACATGCCTTGATCATCGAAATGGACGCCCTCCTCGGCCAGGATTTTCAACTTCTTCTCGCAGTTCTGCCCGCTCGGGACATCGCGCCAGTCGCCTTTGTAGCCTCCGATAAACTGGCGTCGCCATGTCAGCAATTGCGGAGTTGGCGGCGCATGTGGAAGCACTTCCTTACCCCGCTGCTTGCGATGCACCGATGACAAGGGATCTCGGGCGCGAATGGGTTGCTTCGTAGTGCGCCACCGACTGCGCGAGGTGAGGAGCCGAGCGCTCGAGCCAGCGCCGCGTAGGACGTGATGCGTCCCTCCGGGATCTGCTGGAGGAGCGCGTACACGCGCTCTTGATATGCCGACACGGTCGTCGACATGCTGTCTTTTCTGGAAGATGAAGTTGATGATGGCGAGAGCGCTGAACGACTGCGGATTTATAATGCTGGCGAGCGTGGAGTAGTGTCAGCACAGTCACCGCTCCGCATTCCGTTCATTGGTCACTTTCACAGCAACGACGCGCCCTACGCGCGAAATCACGTGTGTGGCACTTATCCGGGGTTAGCCTGCCTCAACATCCCAATGAGAAACTGATTTGAGAGATACGCGGGCTTTTGGACTGAGTCTCAGCTGTAAAAATCGCTTTTGAACAGTAGGTCGCGAAAGTGCAATATCCAACCAAGCTCAGGCGTACTTTCCATTTCGAGCAAGCTACGCAACAACGTTATACTTAGGCAAGCGCGCGACAGCATCATTCATCGTTCACGTCAGCTTGTTGCACACTCAGTCACCCCTATCTTGTCAATCCAGAGCTGGCATTTGCCTCCATCTCAATCATAGCCTATCAAACATGACTTCGACGACTCCCAATTCACCCTACGCCCGGGCTCGGCCGACCGAGCCGAAGCGCCCGCCTCTGTCGACAGCCAACTTCGTCTTCACAGCCGAAGATGACGACATTAGAGAGAAAATCAGGTACCGGATCTACGACTTCTGCTTCGATATCGAATACGACAAGATCCTCAAACCGACCATCATGCAGTACATCCGGGTACTCGACCTACCGCCTCATCCATACTTCAATCGCGAGCAATGGAAAAAAACAATGGTACATCGTCATTGGAGCCATAAGCCGCGTGGCCTCGCCCTCTTGGGAGTGTCTATGACTATTCATCGCGAGGCCTTCTTCCGCTTCTATTGGTTTCACTTTCCCAACTGGATCCTGCCTAAGGGCGATGTAATGGATCTACAACGTCGGTTACGCAAAATACCTGAGCCACATCGCCGCAGTGTCAACGCAAGTATAAAATTCCAGCGCAGGTCCTGGTCGGCTGCCCTGAAGGAACCCGAGAACTCAGATGTCTTCAATGTCCGACTTCTCATGATTCTTAACGTAATGGGATCAATAAGGCTACACCAAACAGGCGCACCTTGGGTCGATCATACCAACGTGGACGGCAGGTTGGACAGAGTTTTGCTCGGCAGAGGCTTCCACATCATTGAGCAGTTCGGAGAACGACCTCAACTCGCATCTTTGTGTTGTCCAGGAGGACGCTCGCTCATATCTCTCTCCTTCGCAGGTAAGCTTGGAAACATGATAGTGCGGACCTGGCGGGGACAGAACGGTCCGCAATACCGTATGGATCTCAAAGCCAGCGGCTGCGCAGTTACCAACACCAGTTGGAGAAGACACCGAGCTGTGAAGTCCATCTCTAGCATTTTCTGTGGCGTTAATCGCCACTTGAGTCATCAATCCGACGATGATGCTGCAAAAAAGCAGCCCACGCCCGAGCACAGCCCTCAGAGGACTCTATATATGGCATACGAAGACACTCTTCACGCCCCTGAACTGACTCGTCATGATGCGTCGGCACACATGCCTAAGGAGGGACAAAATTCCACGGCTCAGCTTCGCGGAGGTGAGCTCCTCGTAGCACTTCACAAACTCAATTCCAATACACTTGATCTGATTTCCAGTCTCGAAGAAGATGACACCTTGGGGATGTGTGACTCAGAACAGAACGGCGAAGTTCTGTTGCAGAAAGAGGCGGGCTGTTCAACGCAAGAATCCGAACCCAGCACCTCAGGAGAGGACTTGCAGCCTCTCCAAGCGGAATTCGAGCTTCAAGAATTAAACAACAATGGTTCGTTTACTAAGAACAATAAGACGGAGGGACGTGAGAGCCCAGCTACTCGTGCGACAAGCAGAGAAGGGGACAATGCCGACGAAAATAATCGACAGGCATTAACCGATCCAGCTGAGACACATACGCAGTCTCCAGACCAGATAGCGAGTCCGTTGCAGCCCGAGACTGGCTCTGCTGTGATGTCAGAGTCTACTGGATCCAGAATCACTTTTGAACCAATGACAGCTCATCGCCCACGAGAACCGAGTTTTGAATATCGTGTGGCCCAGTGGATCGAGCGCGAGAACGACCCAGTGTCATCCCGCAAGTCCTCAAACTCGTGGTCAGATGGCAAAGAGGCCGGCGAGCTATCTTCTCGCAAGCGCGTCTCATCGTCTGCCTTTCATACCTCCTCCCTTCCCCGCCGGTCTTCTTCCAACAAGCAGTCTTCATCCTCTAGCTCAGCTGTCCACTCAACAGCTGCACCACCATGCAACACTACCTCCACTGAATGTCCAGTTTTGAACGCGAAAGAAGCTTTGGCACCGCGTGCATCTACTATCACTGCTGCCAACGCCTCTGTCGAACCAACAACAGCTTTACCATCATCCTCATCACAGCAACAAACCGAGAGCTGTGAACCGCTCATAACCACGTCTTCCGCATTTGTCCCCAACAAAACCACCAAGTTCCCACCGCCCCAAGCTCTCCTACTATCAGGGAACACCGATGCTCAGATCACACACGCTGCGCAAGACCTCGCCGCAATTACTACTGCTGTCACCACCGCCTCCCCGCCACAGTCTCGACGCGTATCAGCCTCCTCAAACAACACAAGCCTGTGCGTAGGCAATGATGGCACTATCGACGAGCCGATCATTGTTCCTGGTGCGAGACAATTTCTTACACCGAAGCGGGACGTCAAACCCTGGTGGGAGTCCACGTCTGGCGATAAGGGAAGTCAGAGCACTGGCGGGAAGAAAAGGAGGAGTGGTACTGGTGGGAAGGGAAGAGCGAGGGAAAGAGGGACGAGGGGGAGTACGAGTTCATGGATTTCGTTGGAGTGAAGGTGAGGTCGCTAGGAATGGGGCAGTGGAGAAGGTTGAGACCTCGATTCACTGCGAAATGGGGAAGAAGAGGGTATTCTTGCCTGGCAGGCTTTATTACGTTCACATGGTGGCCAGTACCCGGCTGGTCATTCATCTCACTCACAGTCCTACTGGAATTCCTACTTGTCCGATATTCAGGTGCGAGTGGGTTGAACTTAGTGCTCAATGATCAAATCATCGGACCCTTACCGCCCCTTCTATTTGGAAACAAAAAGGATCATGCACATTCTGTCTTCTTCATGCTCCTCCTTTCCTTCAGCGCAAGATGCATCCCTCCCCCTTTTCTTTTTGTTCTTAAACTAACTACACCAACGACGAGTCATGTGACAACCCAACAAGGGCTCTTCTCACACACAAGAGGGCCCCTTTAGCTCAGTGGTAGAGCGCGACACTAGTAATGTCGAGGCCATCGGTTCGACTCCGATAGGGGGCATACAAGCTCAGTCCACAGCGAGACAACTCGCAGTGGACTTGAATTTTTTTTGTTTTTTTGGCCTTCGACGTTCCCCCTGTGGAGATGGCCGAGACCCACTCTTTCCCTCCCTGAGTCAGTCGAGCATCAGGGGAGGGAAAACGTGGCTGAGACAGGGATGATGGTCGACATGGACGGACGACGCCGAGGTGGGACCGGAGGTGACGGGGCGGGCGGGTAAGTGTGTTGGCGTGGGGTTCTTCGGTGATAAGGTGGTCGGTGAGGATGCGGAGCAGGGGCGGGATGTTATCGCGAGGTTGAGACAAAATAGAAGCTGTGTGCGGGGTTTATCGTTTGTTGCCATTTTGAGCGGTTGGTTGTTAGGCTTGCATGCAGGTCATATATGCAAGTTGTCAGTCGGGGCCGGCTGCGTGAACAACGGGATAAAGCAAGCAAGCTAAATCAATGCAGGCCGAGACAAGAAGGAGCCCGATGGCAAGCAATCCTTGCTGTTGCCGGTCGATAATAAAGCGGGAAACGGACATATCCATGTGAGAACCGAAGTACCCCACATTACACTTTCATGCTCAAAAGTAACAAGATGTGCAAGCACACACACACATCGCTAAGGTCCAAGCGGCCAGAGAGTTTGACACGCAGAAACAGTGGCAGCCAACGAGAGCAATAACCAAGTTCTGGCCGGTGGTACAGTGTTTTCCATTCATTCTCCCACCTGTGTGATGCGACAACGGATGGTTGCAGTTGTACTCGTGGGCGTTGCGATGGTATCACTGCTGCTTGCAATTTTCCGAACAGTGCAACATGAGCGCTGCAAGGTTCCCCGCATAGTAAAAAGAAAAGAAACAAACACGAGATTTTTGCTTCCTCGGCTTTCTGAACGTCTTGCCTGCATCATGCCTGATAAGCCGCGCTGCTTAAGCGACAATACCCACTTCGGGAGATTCTGCATTTTTTGATATCATGCATTGATTGTCACTTATGTAGGCCGGAAGTGCAGTCTTGGCTAAAGGTGGATTGCAGGCATATTGATGCATGGCTGAGTGAGACTTCGGACATTATATGATAGGTAACTGATTTTCAGTAAGCACAGTTGAAGCACTTACCCGTATGTAGATGTACGAAACGTCAAACAAGAGCATCTCTACGGCGACGCAAAGTCCAATTCTTTCCTTTTTCCTCGACTTTTCTTTTTCTCCGTCCAAGCTAAAATGGAGGGGTGTTATTTAGGTATGGCTGTGGTTGAGTATTGGTAACATTTCTGATTGCGACGACGGCTTACGGCCATCAGAGGTCTCGTCGTGGTTTGTGCGTTCTCTCAAGGCTTACGTAGGAAGTTCCGAGATGTAAGACGTGGTTTCAAATCGTTGGCTACCCTAGCAACGTGCTATAATAAGTGCACAGGGTGAGTGTTCCTTTAACACCGATAGCCATTCTATACCTTCATCAGTCTTGCAACTATTTGGACGACAAATTATCTCCCAAAACACTACTTTGGTTGTGCGAAGGGAGCAGTGCAAACAATGGCCGCTGTTGATGCCGAGAAGGTCTCAGGATCGACAAATGCGCACGAATGCCGACCAGGCACAGCCATACCCTCAGAGATTGAGCCTGAAAGCGGTGACATAAAGGTTCTGGTTGATTCCAGTGTGCCGTCCAATGTCAAGACTACGGCAGATGGCAGCACTGTTTTGATTCCCCAACCGAGCGGTATAACAATCACACCCTTGTACTGATTTCGTTCTTGAGCCTTTCGCTGACAACTCGGTATGGCAGATGACCCGGACGATCCTCTGAACTGGAGCTGGAAGAAGAAGCACATAGTGTTTGGAGCCTTGATGCTGCCTTCATTTCTTACCGATTTCGGTGTCACCTATGGTGCTGTGATTTTTGAGCAGCAAGCGCAGACGTGGGACATGAGTGTGGCAGCGACCGCGAATTCGATCAGCGGAGCTTTATTCATGCTCGGCCCTGGTGGGATCTTTGCAGTTCCCTTGACTGAGAGATTTGGAAGGTGAGTGTAGTTGCGGCAAGCATTTAATCATGGACTATGCCTGTTCTTACACAAACCCTCTCGTACGCAGACTTCCGGTACTATTCTGGTCTCAGCTGGCTGGCCTAGTTCTTATCATCGCTGCGACTCTCTCACCCACGTACGCAGGGTTTACAGCGGCCCGTACGTTGCAAGGGCTGTTCGTTTCGGCGCCTCAGGTCATTGGCTTGACTTTCATCCACGACATGTTCTTCTTCCACGAGCGTACACGGAAAATCAACATTTGGTGCGTCTCATTCCTGACTGGGCCGGTGTTTGCACCGGTCATGTCATCCTTGATTCTGTCCAAGATTGGCTGGCGTGAGGACTTTGCCGTGTTGGCCGGTATGTACTGCTTGTCACTGTTACTGGTCATCGCATTTGGGGACGAGACAGCGTTCGACAGAAGAAAGCGGAGCAACAATCTCAAGCCTCGTGGTATTCGAGGAAGAATTGAACTTTTGACAGGTGTATCTGGGTGGAAAACCAAAGGCCGCCCAAGCCTGTGGTCTGTCTTTGTGCAGATTTTCGAAGTGCAAATGAAACCGCAGATATTTCTCCCAAGTAAGTTGTGCCTCCATACGGACTAGCACTAGGAAAGCGCTGACGAAGTCTGTAGCCATTGGTTTCTACATGGTGCTTGTTATGTGGACGATCGGATTCGTGACGACACTCTCACAGATCCTGTATCCAGCGCCATATTACTTCACGCCAGTGCAGGTTGGACTCTTTTACCTGTCACCATGCATAGGATCTGTAATCGGGGAAGTGTACGGTCGTTGGTTCAATGACTGGCTGTGTGCCCGGTATATCGAAAAGCACAACGGAAAATACCGGCCTGAGAACCGCCTGTGGAGCTGTTATCTTGGCTTGGTGCTTGCTGTTGTAGGTCTGGTAATGTATGGGCAAGCGCTACAACATCAGCTATCATGGGCGGTTTTGGCGGTCGGCTACGGGGTCTATGCTGTGGCGCAAAGTAGGTATTACGCGGCCTCAGCGGGTCCAACGCGTGCAGTCTCGCCTCTTTTTGCTGACTTGGGTTTATCTGGTAGTGGTGGTACCGGTCGCGGTCACAGCGTATCTGCTGGATATCTTTCCAGACCATTCAGTTATTGCTTCTGCCATTATCAATCTCTGGTGAGGCCTGATGCCAAAGTCCCACAAATGCATCGCTGACTCTGGGGAAGGCGAACGACGGGCGGATTTTGCGTCAGCTATTTCGAGCTAAAGTGGATTGCCCGCACCGGCGCGGGAGCTACTTTCGGCACACAAGCGGCTTTGTTGGTCGCGAGTTTTTCGACGATCGTGGCTGTGCAGATCTGGGGCAGAAAATGGAGGGCGAAGTACCCACCCCCAAGCGGTGGAAATTAATACAGGCCACTCGATTGATGGTTGCAACGAAATCGTACGATGAGGCGGCTCTAACATTCGAGACTGGGTGTATTGTGGTTTCTTCTGCCGTCACACCTGGGTATGAAGCGTGTGCGACTTGGCCAAAGGCTGCGATATTGCGGACCGGTGAGGCTGCAGCCGTTGTGGCGAGTAGATGAGGCTGCATGTACAGCAATGGATGGTGAGACGCAGCTGCAGGCTTCCTCGTGATGGTCTCTCGAGCGATGAAGTGAAGCAAGGCATTGCCATTGCAATCAGGGGCGACGCACAAAGCCTTCTCATCGCATAAAGAAATGAAGACGCATCAGCAGGCGCTGCCACGACGGCAGAGGCCGGAGGTAGTGGATATAGCGTGGGTAGCGCCGATGCAGTTGCAGAGCATCCCCTGAGCGCTGATTCGAGTGGTGTTGGACACGTGAAGTGCAGTCAGTAGCACAGGTGCGTGGCTGACTCTCGCTGCAGAAACGTCCCTTGCGCAGCTCTACCGACAGGGCGACGGCAAATTGCGGGCGTGGAGGGAGTTGAAGGAACGGTGTTGGCGCGCGCCACGTGATGGCGGTCGGGGATGGTGCCTGCAACAGGACGAGGTCGAGAACGTCCAGAACATGGGGAGGCAGCAGGTAGGGATGGCCGTGGTCTATTGGCTTGGCGGGCTGGACGGCACCTGCCTTACAAGTCGGAGAATTGCTGGCAGAAGGCGGCTGCCAGATAGGGTCACACGGGCTGGGGATGCGTGTGTCTCGGCAGCGCGCATGCGAATTCTCGAACGGGCACGTCAGGCAGTTGCGCAGTCTGGAGGCTAGGTAGCGGGACGAGCGCGCAGGCCAGCTCGCGGCCCGGGGCTCTTATTTTTGGCCAGTCGGTCTGGCCACGCCGGCTCTTAGCATGACAGCTGTAGGATTGCTGCCCCGTCCATGAGGGTTGCAAGGCAGGGAGCCCGCGACTGCTTTGGGCGGCCGGCTCCCCCATTGGGATGCCGCGAGCGCGGTGTGAGTGGTGAGAGTATTATTGCCCATGCTTACCAGCCAAGTGCGTGTTTCCACTCGCCTGCCGCACCGACTGCCGCCGCCTTGCCCCAAGCTGTTATTGCGCTGCTGCTTTGGGGGTGCAGGCCTCGAAAGTGGCGTACCTGCACACGCTAAAAGCTCATGGCGTCGACAGCCATCCGACCCGCGCCCTCGGGGCTTCGAGCAGCCATTCTGCAGCTGCCCGCATGAAAGACGGCCTGCTGCCTTTTCACCACGCTCCCAGGCTCCATTGTTGACCCCACCGTCGTCGCTCGTTTTCAGCAACTCCTCGCTCGCTCTTTGTCTGCGCTTCTTCACGCCCGTGCTCGCCTGCAAGGGGCCCTCGACTTCGCACATTCCCCGGCTGCCTGCAGAGCTTCCACACAACCTTCGACCACCGAACCCCCGCCCGCCAGCTCGCGCTGCCGTTGGGTGCCCTAGACGCGACTCGAGATTAAAGGATGCTTTGGCCGTGCAGGCGGGGTTCACCGGCCTTGCGATCATGACCAGCTCGTTCTCGTCGTGCAGCTGCCCGGCAGAGGTGCAGAGGCCCAAGGTTGCGATAACGGGCCTGTCGCACCATGGGCGGTGCCGTCTGAGACAGTCTTGTCGCCGTCCTATATCTCGGTCGGCGCGCCCTGCACCCGGGTTTCCAGCGTTTCGCCCGCAACTCGTGTCCATCCTGCTTGCGCTGTTGTTGTGCTGCGCATGCGCCTCTGCTGCAGGGACTCAGGCCGATCGGCAGAGGCTGCGTTCGCTAGCTCGCAGAGCATCTCTCAAGATCGATTGGGATCGCAGCGCTCCTCCTCCCTGGATGCCGCAGCTCGGCCGCCGCCAGACTGGCGACGACGCTTCAGCCTCCTCCGCACTGCCCACCACGCTGGTCGCGACGCGCACATCCGGTGCTGCGTCGGCCACGGCCCTGGTTGTCGACACCGGCTCGACCTCGACCTCCATTCCCCAGCCCTTCGACACGAGCCTGGGCTCCAACTTCACGAGCCCCAGCTGCCCCAATTTCTTCAATTCCTTCCTCGAGAACTCCACCTTCGTCGACTGCGTGCCATTGTCGCTCCTCCTTCAAGTATGCGGCCTCCCGTGTCATTTGCATTCCCGACGATCCCACTAATCATAACAGACCTCAAGCTCCTTCTTCGATGTCACCCGCTCCCTCGTGCGCACCACCCAGGTGCTCGACGCGTCATGTTCGGTCAATTTCGCCCAGTGCAGCGCTATGATGGATGACCTGGCGACGCAGCTGGTCCACGATGACCATTGCGGCGCCGACTACAAGGCCAGCAACCCCACCGTGCTGCAGGCCTACAAGGGGCTCGTGGCGTATGCGCCCGTCTACCAGGCTGGCTGCATGCGGGACTCGTCAGGAAGCTACTGTGCGTGTTTCTAATCTCTCGTGCCCGTGCCGTCCTGCTAACTTCGCGGAATTCAGGCTTCGCCAATGCCATCACGAATTCCTCATCGCCCACGGATTCCTACCCTTACTACCTCCCTGTCGGTGTGGCACTGCCCGGAGGCTCCCGCCCAACCTGCAACTCGTGCCTGCAGACGACCATGAATGCCTTCTGGACATATACTTCGAATAGCACGCAGCCCATCAGTCAGACGTATGCGCAAGCTGCAGGAGTGGTCAACATACAATGTGGGCCCAATTTCGTGAACGCGACAGTGGCGAAGTCGACGACCGGTGGGGTGGCGCCGACCCGCCCACTGCCAGGACTGTCGTCAGCAGCCCTGCTAGTCGCCTTGTTCGCACTTCTGCTTTAAGAGTTATCTAAGCACCAATGCATCCCCTGGACTTTACCATGGAATTCAGGCGGCCAAATCCTAAAGCTGGACAAACTTGCCGGAGATCCCGTCTGCTGCCGTCCCTGATTCGACACGACTCGCAAGCGGTTGCGGGCCGGCTCTCCTTTAATTTATCGCACCTCAGAATAGCTCGCCACGATGTCGATACCGGCGCACATACACCCTGAGGATCTTCTCATATATAAATTTTCTCGTACACAGCGATGGCGCACTGGGCTTTTTCTTCGATTCATACCCCACCTGCGAATAGTGCAGGGAACCCTGACCGGGGCCTGTGCACCGTATATCTGGGCAGCCATGTTCTTGGTACAGCTGTGGCGCCAACCGAAGTTGATATGGGATAAAATGGCCGGGCGAGGCCTTGTTGACGATGATGACGAAGCTGTACATAGTTTAATAGAGTCATTCTCAATTTCAAAGTGAATTTTTCGTCACGTCCCGTGATCGGCGTACATGCATCCTTGTTCCTGACTCGGCTGGGCGGGATGTCGGATCGTGCCGACTGGCTGACAGGCCGCAGGGCCGGATGGCGCGAAAGCTTCCATGCTCCTGCCTCGACGCCACGGATCGAAATGCCGTGAAATGCAGCGGCTTGTTGTGGGCCTGGCGAGGTCATTGCAGGACTCGATGCTGGCGGGGGGGACTGGGGAACCCCGGTCAGGATAGCGTGCATCCCCGGTTGATCGCCCGGCTGTGGCTTGGCGACGGCGACGCTCAACGTGCCTGGCAGCATCAACGGCGGAGGATCGCTAGCTCTGCAAGCGGCAGGCTTTGGCAGGACAAGCCGGCGGCGCGGCAACGGGAGCGTGGAGGAACGGCGGCCGGGAACGATGGCTGGCATGCAGGCCTTGCCCAAAACACGCAGCGTTTCAAGAGGCAGCAGATCGATAGCCTTGCGGAACGTCAGCCTTAAACCAGCTTGGCCGCAGAAAAAAGGACATGACTGCACCACCCTCCCCCCTCGTGCAAGCGACCGCCCCTCCGGCAATGGCAGAACCAGGCGCAATGCGGCTCGACGCCGCGCCGAAGCGCCGCCAGGACATTATCAGCTCCATCCTGAGCGACTACGGCGACAGCAGAGACGCCGACGACGACGTCGACCTGGACGACTACTACACGCAGGCACAGCCGTCGCCCGTGCCCGGCGCAGCTGCAGCACCTGCGTCACCAGCGGCCAAGGACAAGCCGCTACCACCGCTGGTGGGCTTCCAACTGCGAGGTGGGTGTGCCCTTGCTGGCGGCGGTGCGATGGCCCACGCGTGGTCAACATTGCAGTTATTTCGATGGGCGCCGTATAAGAGACCCCGCCAAGCATCCTCACTGACAGCGCTCTCGCAGTGGCCGATGCGCCTGCCGCCTTGCAGCCTGGCGCACCGAGTGGGAACACGCCGGAAGCGAATATGATAATCTCCTCGTTTCGCGGCAGACGCCAGAAGCCGCCAGACCTTAAGCTGGCCCGCAGCAACGGCTCCACAGCCATCACGCCGGCCACCGCTGCCACGCCTGCCAAGCCCGACTCCAGCTCCCTGTTACCTTCCCTGACCCTCTCCGCTCCTCACCCTCAACACTTGCCCACCCACGACCGTGTCAGAGGACACGCATCCGCCCGCCTGCTCGACGAGCGCCCTCTGCCGCCCACCCCGCCGCAGCCTCCCGCCAAAAACGACGCGCGTCCGCCGTCCGACCACACTATCTCCGCTGCGGGTGCAGCTGCCATGGGAAACAAGGCCTCGAAGGCCGCCGGCGACGCAACATCGCCCTCGCAGCGTTCCAAATTTTCCTTACGCCGCAAGCCCGTCAGAAAAGATGCCGTGCCGCCCGCCGAAGCTGCCAATGGCGCCTCCAAACCTCCGCCTCAGGGTGACGTCGCTCCCGGAGCTCTAGCTGGCGCCGCGCAAGCTCCAGCTCCCCCTCCCGCGCCGCCAATGCACACGTCCGCATCCACCACGTCGCTGCAGCAATCAGTGGCCGCCAGTGACTCGCAACCCTCGGCTTCGCACTATGAAGCAAATGGACACTTGCAGTCGCCTTCGACTACAATGTCTGACGCGACCGTTGTCAGGGCCCGCTCCAACTCCCCGCCAACTGAACCCGAAGATGAGGAGCCCATCACGCCAACTCTAAAACCCGCCGCCGTCGACCTGCTCCCTTCCCCTAGCCCCGTCCCTGAAGAGAGCCCGTCCAAGTATGGCGTCGTTGAGAAGCCCGGCAATCCAGAGACCGAAAAGCCCAAGGTCGCGATGCACTACCGCGGCAAGAGCAGCACGGGCTTTGACATATTCAAGGTATGATATTACACTGTCAAACCCTTTTGGTTGCGCGTCGTTCATCATGCTTAACTCGTTCGTTCGCTATCAGCGATTGTAAAGTAACTGAAGCTCCTAGTCTTCGACGAACAAACTCCAGAATACCAGGCCTTATATGGGCACTCACCCGCCGCCTGTCCCCTCGAACCCGGCAACTGTCATGAGAGTTCCTTCTGCAATTACCTCGCCGCTCGAGCTCACTAGCCCGACCCTTGCCGATTCGACTCTTCCTGCTTTTGAGTTCTTCAACACGCAACTTCGCCCTGAAGGGACCATTGTCCCCAGGCTCAATTGTGTCCACATGCAATGTTTTCACAACCACCGGCGCTTCCACCGAAGTAACAACCGCCTTCTTCCAATCGGTTGCATGCTCTGCTTCTCTTGCAGCCCCGATCCCCATTGGACATGCACTTGGTGCGCCCTGCGCATCTGCCAGGGCTGCCGAGCGAAGCTTGAATCAATTCCCCGCAAGAGCCTTGACATTTTGATAAAGGAGAAAGCCGAGGAGAAAATTGGTGAGAAACCCGTCGGAGACACGGTCACCGCAAGAAATAATAAGGAGAACCTAATGGTCAAGAAGAACTGGAGGTCAATGCACGAACCGAGCAAGGTCGTCGTGTGGGAGAGTTGAACGATTGATACCCCGAGAAGAGAAAGGAGTCTGGGATTGTCACGGTGTTTGGAGTATTTTCTCACTGCACAGCATTACCCGGTGTTTCGCGCATGCATCTACGGTTACGGTCCTGGCTCTGGCGTTTGTTCAGCGATATTCTGGAAGCACTTTTTTCCTTTCCGCATCTATGGGCACTGGCTTACACTAAAGTATTGGGTGGTTTTGAGCGCCTTTCAATGGTGCCTCGAGCTCTGTCCGGAACTGAGCAAGTTGTGGATATGCCAAACTGTTTCTCTGGCATATCCGACCCGTCGGTCCAATCCATCCTGACACGGCTTTTCTTTATGGTCTTTCCATTGTCTCATAGCTCTCCCGCTTTCTGTCTCTATACCCACGTCCTTTCACGGCACTGAATTGCCGGGGAAGTTCTCCATGCCGCCGGTGGCTTAATCAGGATAATCTCGTCACGTCTCCTGTGGCTGGTAACGGAAGGGAAAAATAGGAATCCTGCATCCAAAGTCTCGAATGATATCCCCTCCGCCAAAAGTCCTTTGGCTGGCCAATAGATTTCTTTTTTTTTCCTCGGAGAGCACTCCCGCATAGCAGCATCAGGCATGTATAGCACAAAGCGATAGTAATTTGCAATCCGAAAGTTCACCTCCTTTTCTTTTTTTTCAACCCTTTAACACTTACTATCCTATTTGGGCCCTCTTTTTTCAACAAAAAAAAATTGGACATGCTGTGTATGATAACGCGGCTCTGTTCGCAGTACATTCGCGGAGACCCGGTTGAGCAGATCGTCGATGATATGCGGTGCGAATCGGAGTTTGGCGGATGTTGACTGGGAGGGGTTACTTGCGTACGCGGCCTCTTCAACCTACCCCTCTTCTTCACAAGCTCTTGGCTGTCATGACCAACTCCAAATTTGTGGGGACCTGATACTGAAGCGGGTTTGGCGCCCCTCAAGAAGCTGCGTTGTCGGAGGGGAATAAAGAACTAACAGACAAGAGAGTGGGCTGTTCACCGCGCAGCTATGTTAATCTTTGTTGTTCTCATTCTCGATGTTGACGGTTATACATTTGGTGCTCTCTCTCAAGTTTTTGTTTGAGCTATGCTGGTAAGTTTCACATCCTCGTGCATTCTTTTCCGCATGCTGGGGGGGTAAAACGCGAGTGGTTACTTGTGAATCTGAAAGATTGAGGGTTATGGGAGTCGGGGGATGATTGAAGATGATAACTCAATAGGCTTTCCCAAGGCCTGTCTCTCGGATTTCTTGACGATGTGTCCGTTTTGGCCTTGTATGTCAGGTAAAGCTGACAGCTACTTTCTCTGGGGTGGACTCGCGTGATTTCAATAGTGCAGCCCCAAAAATCGATCGACTGAGGCAGAGATCGTCGCCATTGCGCCTTGACCCCACTGAAAGATCCAGTATTGTTCACCGAGTGAAGGAGAACAGTGCTAAGAACGTGCGGGGCCGACAGAGATTTTCTACAGTGGACGACTATCATTCCATCGTAACGGCGGTGCGATCTAGTCATGGCTTTGAACATGGCATGGAAAGGAGCGACCATGCCTTTGCGGTTTTGAGCCTCATCTACGGAGAACAGTAGTATGATCCTTCCGAACACCAGTCCCTCACCTGTGTTTGGAGGCCAAGGTGACGTACTTCGATACACTAATCAATCAACTTACCCAACAAAAGGCTCCTTACATCCGTAGCCTCATCCTACTTGATCGTGGGAGTCGTGTAACCGTCGCTCAGCAGGGTCCACCAAGCGGAACCGAAAGATGCTTGATCGCAGCCCTTCCATCGCTCGAATAGATGAATAATACCCCTCGGCTATCCCGATCGCTGTCATAAGAATCTTACTCGGCCATGTCTTTTTCATCTCCACATCGAATGAACTCCTGCTGAACCTTTGAACGAAAGGTTTTTTTTCTTACCTTCTTCAACAAGGGTATGCCGGCGAAACATAGCAATCAACCAGGGAGTGAACTGCGGACAGTCGGGAGGATCGCCAGCCTCGCCATCATCAAAGCCGCGCTCTTGCTCTCCAATCATGGCGCCTAAAAATAAAAGGATAGGGTGATTCGCGGGAAAGGGAAATAGCGGGGACCGAAGTTGGTGCCGGTTCCCTTCTTTCTTTTTCTCCCCCCCAATCCCAAAATCTCGAAGTAGTCCCGCCCGCATCTCGCCCCTTCCGGTCCCGTGGGAACTAGGAGTCTATAGCGTAAGTTATAGCGATCCTTCATCGACCCGGTTTCTCCAGTTTGCCACTAGGCCATCCAGTGTCTGCTATTTTATCCAAAGCGAGGAAAGATGGACAAAGTTAGGCACCCACTACCAAGTGTTAGTGAGTTGGGCACCCCCCGGAGGCCGTTTCGACGGGAAACTCCTGCGAACCTTAATTCTCTGGGACGATCAAAACTAGGGTAGAGGGAGAGAGTTTAAGATCAAAACGGAGGATCGGCGCGATAAAGTAAGCAAGCTTGCACCTATTCTTTAAGCGGCCCTGCTGTTTGTAATATAGGTCGATTTCACCTGACCATGGGTTTGTCGCAGTGACGGGCTGGTCCGGACTTTTTATTAGGACTCACGAGCGACCGGGGAATGGGGGGCCCGTGGCGAAATTCCGGGGCTCTGGGCCGGTCCGCATCACGAGCCCTACTAGACTAGACGGTGATGAAGGATGCGAGAAGGGGGCTCGTGGCGTTGGGAAGGGCACCTTTCGGCGATCCATGTGCGTCGAACTGCAGACCCCATCGCTCGCAAAGGAGGAGCGCCTAAGAACAGTAGCCTGAGCGTGGAAAGGGAATAGGAATCAACCCCGAAATGCCAGGAGCCTTTGCGAGTCGTGCGTGGAGGATCTAATGTGCATTGCCTGAGCTTTTTCGCCGCGGAGTAAAAAAAAGCACCCGGCTGCGGAGGTAACACCGACATGCGCTCCGGCTTCTGATTCTCGAATGGCCAAAATCGCCCTTTTCTGATTGGGCAGGATTATACTTTCGCGGGGGGCGGTTGGAGCCATCCGAACGTCTGAGAGGCGTTTGCTGACAGGGTCCAGGGCCTAAAGGTTCTTTTCTTTTTTTTTTATCTCCCTGCGCGTTTACTCGGAGGCGTTTTGTTTGTCTGACGCGCATAATGCAGGCACGCACGCCTGCCCTGGCTCAGATCCGCCGAGTGTGATAGGAGGCCGGACGCTACAGACATGATTTGGTGTGTCGGCTGCAAGGTGTTTCGAAGCCAGGTCAAGATCGGATGTCAGCAAGGGGAAGAGGTTTGTTGGTTATTCGAATCATTTGTGCTGGAAATGACAGCTATCAGTGCGTTTAGTCTGTCCGCTGCTAAATCGCTTGCAAATTGAGACCTGTTCTTCTCTCCGCGTCCTAGAGTCCGTTGGTGCGGGGTATCCTTACTTGCGAAAACACCACGTCCCTTTCCCATACCCAATCCTTTTTCCCATTGCTCCTCCAGACCCGCTAACAAAAAATGAAAAATGCAGTGTACATGTGCAAAGAAAGGAACGGAGGAATTGTGTTCAAGGAAAGAAAAGGACAGGCAGCACCACGCTTGTGCTATAAATCGATGGGGGTATCTTCCAACGCCTTTCGGCAGCCCTGAGCCATGTCGCCAGGACGCCAGTGTGCAAAAAGAATTCTTGAGCAACCGCCTGCGCCTTTTAAGCTCGCCGCAAGCTCTGCTGCGCGGCCGTTCGATGCGTCTTGTAGATTGGTGGGAAATTCGTGGATCGTTACAGTATCTTCTCGTTCGCCGGCCTTTTCCCTGTGCCGTCCGGCGGAGTGGATGGTGGCAGCCGGATCGAGGGCGAAAGCTGCGTTTCGGTGGTTCCCTCGGCAATAACCAATGAGATGAAAGGGCTGTACAAAGGAAAGAATGAATGGAAAGGCATTGTGGCACCATGTGCCGTCAGGTGGCGGGTGGCGGGTGCAGCACGATAATTGTTTAGACGACGAGGCCGCCGAATGCCTCGGCAACACCCGTGAGGGGGCCCTTGACCCTGTCCAACAAGCGACGCTCGCTGCGCTCGCCTTCGGTTTCGACCTTGGTGAGCTGCACCGGAGCGGGGCTAGGGGGCGTGCTCTCGTGCACTTGTTGGTCAGCTTGGTGCGACTCAATGTCGTCAAGTTCTGATCGCTGCTGAGTGCTGCGGCTAGCGACCGGGGTAAGGTCAGCGTCGGCGTCCCTGTGGAAAGACATTGCAACGCTGTCGTTGGAGGCCTCGCGCCGGACATCTGGGCGGGCGTTGGTGCGAAGAGCGGCCTCGCGGTCGGCTGCGGTGAAGCGGTGGGCGCTGTAATGAGGAGGCGATTCGTGAAACTCCATGACAATCTGCTTCTTCACGTTGACGCGAACGCGCATGCCGTCGCAGAACAGAACATCGCTCGCACGGGGCGAGTTTGCCAGTAGCACCGGAGCGCAGCGCCGGCGGTAGCGGAGAGTGGAGGATGCCGAAGGTTGCGGGTTTTCGGTCAAGGGATACTTGGCCGAAGTGGGGGCAAGCTGAGAATCCACCGAAGCTCGGCGACTTGTGGTGCGGTCAGTTGCGTCATCCATATTTTGGGTGCTGCTGTTGGAAATGTTGCCAGGGCGCGGCGAAGAAGGCCTGTTGGGGAAGAGCAGGTCCATGGCAAAATCCTCAGCGTCGCCGTCGGCTTCGCCGAGGGGCTGCTCCGGCTGTTCTGGCTGCTCTTCCTCGGCGTCTCGGGCAAGGTTCGGGTACATGGTCCTGATGATGCGCTCCTGCTCGGCGAGCAGTCTCCTGGCGTTCAGATCGATGGCATCCTGGCGGGTCTGGCGGCCGTCCAGCTGCCTCTGCCGGCGTCCTCGCCTTGGGAGGCTGCGGTAACGGGGTTCGCTCCGGTCCTCCAGGGGCGAGCTGATGTCAACGGCAGCGCACAGCTGCTCGACCCAGTTCAGCATTCCCTCCTGCTCGGCAGCACACAGCAGCAGCTGATCGGCCTCCAGGCGCAGCCGCATCACGTGCTCGCGAATTGGCCAGAAGAGGTGCGGGTCGGTCTGGTACACGGCCTGGCGCGAATTTAGCGGGACCAGCTTTGCCAATGGCGACTTGGGAATGAGATCGGTCTTCTTGAAATCCAGGGCGAGTCCTAGCTCGGCGTGTTGGAGCGAATAGGTGCGGATTAGCCTGCCAGGCACGGCCTTCTTTGTCTTGGAGGAGAATAGGCCGGTCTTGAGACGGTAGATGCTAAGTTGGGTGCCGCGCAGAACGACATAGACGTCTTGCCATTGGCGCTCCTTCGGGCACGGCTTGTCGAAGAAGTTGATATATTCGGTCTTGATACCCAGCGGCCCTTCGAACAGCACGGAGCACGAGTAGCTTGGCAGAGCGTCGCGGGCGGGCTTCTCCGCAGGCTGGCGCGGAGCGTAGGCGGGGGGTTTGGCATTTAGGTCGGCGGGCTGGGCGTGGGTGTGGAAGGTGTTGTGGTAGCCGTAGCAGTTGGCGGTGGTGGTGGTGGTGGCAGTAGTGGTCGCAGCGGCCGGGGTTGCTTGCGCGCGAGTGTTGTCGGCGGTAGGGGCAGCAGGCTGTTGCTGCTGCTGCTGAGACTGCATCATGGCGGTGTGTTGACGGAAGAGCGCAGCACCGAGGGCAGAAGCGCTCATGGTGTCGGCTGGATTGGGCGGCGGCCGGGGTGAATTTGAAGGTTCTATGCGGCGCAATTGGCGCGCATATCGGGTCGGGGCCCTGGATATGACAGGCGGGTCGCAATGTCTGGACAGCGGTCGTGGCTCGCTGGTTAGTTTGGGGCGGACTGGGTCGTCGTTTTAGCTGGGCTGGACAATGCGCGCGGCGGCGTGTCTCAGCTGCGTCTTTCTCGGTCGGGTGTGGCTTTAGTCTGGACAAAGAGGCACGCGGCAATGACCTTCTTTTCAGCGGGCTTGATATCTGGGCATGACCGACCGGGGGGCCTGCAGCCCAGCCATGATCGTGGAGCGCGCGCGGGGAACTGGTGCGGCCATCACACCACAGGCCTGCGCGTGAACCACCAGCACGCTGCGACCGCCGCCCGCCCTTCCAAATCCCCCAAAGCGCCCCTCTCCCACCGCCCCAAGCCGGCTTTCACCGCAGATCGGCCAAGGCGACGAGCCGCGCCCAAGCCCGTTTCTCCTCCCGCCATGCCACCGCGCCCGAGCCCCGGCCTGGCCGCCACGGCGCCGCCGTCGCAACCTCACCCAAGGGCCGCTGTGCGACAGCAATGCGCGTTCCTGGAGCTTACGTCTGCGCCGCCTGCGAGTCAAGCAGAAACAAAACGGGCCCCACCCCGTGCGTTGCTGCAGCGGGCGCTTCCGGGGCAGATCTCACCTGAGGTCATTTCGAGGGATCGCTGCCGGCTCGCGACTCGTCGAGTGCCGTGACGGCCAGGGTGCCGCCCTGCCTGCAGCCGTCACGTTACTGCGCTAGCAAATCCCAGGGCGGCGCAGCGGTGGGTAACGCGCTGCTCTCCAGACGCGCCGGCGTGGTAGCGCCCAGTGCGCCGTCCTCCTTTCGCCTTGCTGCCAGAGGTGCCTGTCATGCGCGGCCGGGGTGGAGAGCCGTGGTCATATGTACATGCCAAAACTGGCTGCCAAACCAAGCGGTCTGCGGCCCGCGCCTTACAACTCTCTGCCTTGGCCGCCCACAGTCTAGCGTTGCTCCGCTGGCGACACCAGCTTCCCAAAAATGCGACACCACTGGCAAAACCCGTCCAGTGTCACTCGGCCCATCGCTATCGCTTCCGCTGGTGGCGCTGGACCGCCCGTCGTACACCCCGACCCTTCTCCACGAGGTCTGTCACGTTCTCGCCGTGCAGACTCCGCTCCCGTTGGTGCAACCAACCGACATCTTCTCACTCAGCTTGGCTCAGCCGTGAAGGACATGCGATAGCGAGTCCGGCCGGGGCCTTTTCATGCACGCTTTCTCCTTGGAGGACCAGTCGCAAAGCTGGCGTGCTGCGCGAGCCGACGCTCTCTGCGCGCGCAGACACCAGCTCCCGCGAATATCGATCTACACCGGGCAATGCAAGTCATGATGGCGATGGAGCACTTGGAGATCCGACAACGTCTCAGCCGACGGCATCCCCAACTCGTCGGGGTAGACGTCTGCGAGGAATACGGGCACGGCTACGGCTGAACGCCCTTAAATTAGGCACCCCGCACTTCCATCGGCCGTTCAGCTCATCACTGTTCCAGTCCATGAAACTGCGTCGGATGCCGTTTTGAGCTGCGCACAGAATCCTTTGGTCCAGAACCCTGTTACGCAGGGCCCGCCGCCCGATTCTTCTCCAACGTCTTTTCCGAGCCCCATCCTGACGTCATGCAAGCTCCTCCGAAACCCGCAGCCTTAAAAAAGGCGGTAACCTAGGCCTTTCTGTTCAAGGCTTTTCGCGATAACTACGTCAGCCGTGTGCAATTACGAAGCCCATGCGCTCGTCGGCCCTTCACGTAAAGTGCGTGTCCCCGGCAGTTGCAGGTCTGACCACATCCGTTAGGTGAGCTCGACGAGATGAAGATGTACTTGCACTCTCCTTATTGCGCCTCATCTTTTTCACGATGGCCAATTCGCCTGCCAAAGGGGTTTACCTGGAATTCTTTCGGCGGATTTGAGCGATTGGTGCACGCTCATGGATATAGCAACGCACAATAACACTGCACAAAAATAGGGAGAGATGGTAAGCCTTGGTCTTCTAAGTTTCTGAGCTCTCGAGAAAGCAGGGCGTAAGCAGAGAAGTTCGACGTGGCACCCTAACGTTCGAGTCCTAGACATTCAGCACTGATATTGGACTGCACATTCGTCAGAGCCTGAGACAATGGGGGCCGGACAACATGCAGATGAGCGATCTGCTCGTGGATTACGACAACGCACATAGCGTCGCATCGTTGTTGTACTACCGAAGCGATGCTTTCATGCGTTAGACCGTTCCACAGCTTCGCGCCTAGAACGCCTCATTGGAGGGGTTTCAAGACTTGAGAAGCTTCTCACTGCTCTGCATGATCGGCGGAGGGCTGATGGCGATGTGGCTGCAGAGGACCGAAAGGCTAACACATCGCGGGCCCTGATACGTGATTCAGTTGTAAGCTGAGGCATGCTGACCGTAGATCAGATCGTGGCGTTCAGCCTAGTCAGCCAAACGGTCAAGAATAGCCCGGGTGCATCTACTTCTTGTAAGCTTTGGGAACGTATCTGAACTCTCAGGAGATTTTTTCCCCACCGTGTAAGTGATCGAACTAGCTGACCTAGAACGGAGTATATTATGTGAGATGCTTGCTTTAGGCCCCCTCTCTATAAGCGCAGTCAGTGGAAGCTCAACGCTTACCGTACTATCACCCGCGTCGGCTAATATTGCTGTCAAGGTAAACCTTGCTTCAACCTTCCGCTTGCAGGTCTGGCATCACCACATCATGATTGCGCGCTTTGATTTTTTTTTAGGGGGTGCGAATGAGATTATTCCTAGCAACCATGCACACTGCAATTCTGACTGGTTCGAAGACGCTATGATTACTACTGCAATCTGACAGACAGCAAGGTTGTGCAGCTCTTCCCTGTGGTTACCTTTCGTCAATATGATAATTCGCGTATCACGGCGCCTTTCAAACGGGCCGGGGAATCAGCAGTTCACAGAAGTTTCACTTTTGTATTGAATGCCTTTATTGCTGTTACATCCGCAGTACCGTGCCGTAGTCGCAATGAGCCGGACGCCACATATCACGACTTGTACGATGGTGCACATTCTGCAAGCGGCATCCCTTCCCGTTCTATTAATGGACACCTTCCTTGTCTCTATCAGCCCATCAACACCCAGGCCCCTAAACACAGGTTCGCCGTCTTGCAAAAGGAGCGTCGTGCTCACAGAACATCTGATCAATTGTAAACTGCTTAGTGCCTCCACTTTAAAACTTTGTACCATCTATGTACGTACGGGCTGGAAATAAGTCGGAAATTAACCAACGAACAATGCAAAAAATAACTCACTGCTTGACGCGCACAAGCAAAGCCGCCCCTTCTGCTGGTCCCGATACGCTAGAGCTCCCTACAAGACAAAGGAATCGTCCTTTACTTCCTCCCCACGAGCCTAGTAGCTTTGTATATACAGGAGTATACATACATTGTAGAAGTCGAGCTTTCATGAAGAATAGAAGAAAATCGGGTATCGCTTTCATTTCTTTCGTTCCCATCACATATGAATCCCTCTGCTCCGCTTTCTCATTTCTTTCGCATGAGAGATACCAGAAGAGCCGCCCGAAAAGAAAGTAGAAAAAGAAAGAAGTAAAACGGAGGATCCATCCAACCGTAAAGGCAATACTTGCTCTTAAGACAGGCCAGGCGTTCCCACCACCTCCTGTTCCCTCTTGATGCGGTACAGCGCCAGCTTCGCGAACCTGCCGAGGCTGGCCCAGAAGTGCCGGCCGGCGGGATGATCCATGACCTTCTCGAGCAAGTCGACGACGGCCTGGCGCACTTCCTGACGCGGGTGGAACAGGCCGAGCGAGAGGTGGAAGAGGCCGCTGTTGGATTCGGGCGTCACGCTCAGCAGCTGCAGGATCGTGTCGTACTGACGCTGAGCCGCGGCCGAAACGGGCGAGAGCGTTCGGTCAGGCACGCCGAGGGGAACCTTGGCCGTCGGGCTGACAGGGCTGCCTCTGCCGTCGTCTGCGGAGATATCGTCGGCCGCGTTATCCTTTCCGTTCGCAATGGCGGCGAGACTGCTGCCATTCTCTTTCGTGTCGCCCGGTTTGGGCTTTCCGGCCTCCTCAACCGCGCGGGCGAGGGCGAGGTAGATGCCGGCGCTCTGCTCGTGCGTCAGGCGCGTCGCGCGCAGGCGGTCGTGCAGCCAGAGCAGGTCGAGGTGTCGGATGGGCTGCCGCTCCCACATGCGCGCCAGGTCCTGGACGTAACTGTAGTAGGAGCGTGTGTTGCGCCACCCTTCTACCCGGTGTACGTTCGCGCCCAACTCCCGCAGCCGTTCGGCCTCGGTGGCCCAAACGTAGCCGTGGCCTTTGATGTTAGCGTCTATGGGCGAGAACTCGGCCTCCGGTGACGTGGGCGACAGCGCCGAAGCGGCGGATTGGGCGCCAATGTGCAGCGCCGAGGCCCCGTATACCGTCTCTTCGGACGCCGCGGCGAGCCGGGTGAATTTCAGCACCCAGTCGCGGAACCGTGATCGGATTGCTCCCTCTCCGAGACGGTTGGAGATGGCTTGGAGGATGGACTCCATGAATTGCGTGTCTCCAGTGGGATCGATGTCCTTTCCGCTGGTGCTAGGCATACTCATGCTAAGATTGGCGTTGAGACCTTGGGCCAGGGCGCTCGCAAGTCCTGGAGGCAGCATGGCCTGCTGTTGCTGGAAGTATAGTAGACCATCCGTAACCCCTGCGCCCTCAATCCTGTGAGAAATCTTCATGCGACCTGCTGGCAAGTCGCAAAGCACATCCCACCATTCCGGCTTATGCGCGAACGCAGGATTGGTGACTCCCGCAATGAATCCAGGGACTTTTATCAAGTCATCGATTTTTGTCAGATCGGTATAAGGAAAAGCGTGGCGAGTGAACCCTCGCAGCACGCCGCCTGATGCTAGCGCACACGCTGCAAGAACAGCCTCAGCGACTTCCCCAGATGGCCGGTTATGGCCAAGGAAGACAATGCGCTTCTGAGTCAGTAGAGCGTTGACGAGGACAATGATTGGATGTGTGTAGGCCCCGGAAGTTGTGAGATGTGGATGCAGCGTAAAGGGTTGTGGAGATGCAGCATGCGGTGTGGAGAAAGTTTGAATAAGTTTGATGAGGGAGAAATCTCCAACAGTCTCTGGCTGGATAGCAGTTGGGACTTTAATGGGGACCGGGATTCCGTTGTACATCACGCGAGATTCAAACTCGTGGGTGTCTCTTGGAAGCGTGTATCTGTTGGCAGGCCCCGAAGTTGTCTTGGACAGCGCGAGTCGGGTATCCTCGATATCTTCAACCTGCCTTTGAGCGACCATTTGCTCGAACTTTTCGATGAACATATCGGGCGCGGAAGAGGCCTGAAGGATATTGCGTTCGAGGAAGGATAATTTTGGTAACAGTGAAAGATCCATGGCATTGAGGGCGTCATAGAGGGATGCGAGTGTCTCTGGCACCGGGGCGCGGAAGTATTCTTCGATAGCAAGCAGCAATAGAGGCTGGGAGCGAATTAGCGTGGGGGGCCGTGGTAGAGGGGAGCGGAAGGCATGGTTACCTTGTAAATGTGGAGAAAACTGTGTCTCGTGCAGATTGCCATTGCTTTGCAGACAGCACCTCTGTCACTGCGTCAATAACGATGTCCTATACTTAGTGCTGCTGTACATACCTTTTCACTGTATTGTCTTGCTTGGTATTCACTAAGTTAAGCACATATATTAAAGGTGGTCCCTCGAAACCCTCATCATCTGAGTCCTCAGAGTCCTCCGAGTCGAGGTCGTCATCCTCGTCTTCGTCCTCTTCTGAAGTAGCGCCATTCTCTCCGTCGCCGTCGCCGTTGGCGGCCTTCTTCGCCTTCCGCTCTCTGCGTAAACGCCTGCGCTCTCGCCGCTCCTCTTTGGCCTCTTCTTCAGCCTCGGTATCCTTGTGCAGGAAAAATATGGTCCAATCCTGGGTGCGGACGTGAGCCTGGTCCGGAAGCATCAGGTCTGCAAGCATATGCTCGTCGCCGCTGATTGGACCGGGGTACTGGTGTTCCATGATACTCCCCCGGTCGATATCGAAGCTCGCGACAAGAATGTATTCGACATGGTTCTCGCGCGAATTCGAGGGGTACTGCGAGCGCAGAGGGCGACCCATTCGGCTTGACGAGCGAGGCTTGAAGATACGCGACGAGGCAGAGGGGCTGTAATCGCGGGGGACCAGGGCTGGCGCAGGCGAGCGCGAGGGGCGCGAAAGCGTGGACGGAGAGCGCGAAGGCGGGAAACTGGAGAGCGACGACTGGCGATGCGTCTTGGTGGTAGCAGGGGCGATGGTAGTAGAAGAAGAAGGCGGTGGAGGCCTCGCGACTTGCACGGAAGCCATGGTGGAAGGGGCCAGGAGAGCTCTGATGCGAAGTGGAGCAGGGGTTACAGTCGGTGGGGGTGATTGACTCGCGCGGGGAGCAGGGCTTGGGCGACGAATGTCCCGACAGTGCGGTGCAGTGGGGGACTGAGTAGTGTCAAGGGCTCAGTCTATTCGAGCAGCCATTGTTGGAGACGATGGGAGTTTTGCGAGCGCCGCCGCCGTCAAACACACAGCATGGTGGCGCGGCAGGGCTGCGACTAGACGGGCGCGCCCCTGGTCCTCGCTAAAGTCTAAATTCCCGCGCGGGTCCCAAGACAACGCTGCTGGGTTGCTCCACCGACAGCGCCCGATCCAGCGAAGCATCAACAAGCGCGTCATCACACTGCCTGTGCAACTCCGCCTGCACTGACAACTTCCACCACCGCCCTCCACACCGCGCTCTGATCCTCACATACCGCAACATGGTAAGAAGCCTTGGATCGGTGCTTCTGATCTGTTTTTAACTGACCTGCCCCCAGTCGTCCGCACCTGGCCCTCCGAGCCCGTTCAGGACGTCAAACCTGTTTGCCAATTCCAACCGCGCCTCTCCGTTCCGTCGCCCAGGCTCGAAACTCGAAACCAACTCTCCTTCCGCACTTCTAAGCTCGCCGAACGCTTCGCCGCCAAAGCCGTCTGATGTTCGCCCAACCACACCATCGCGGCTGTCACCTGCAAAAGAACGCGAGAGTCCTTTCCGCCGCTCAGCATCGACCGCCCGCAGTAATAACGGCGATGGTGCGGGCGCTAATGCCGACGAGTCAGGCCATGGATCCGCAGCGGAGACTTCTGACAGGCCTAGTCTAAGTAGCCCGTTCCTGACAACTCGCAAGACAACCGTGAGCCCAGGCCTGCCAGCCTCACCAACACGCCCTGCGGCCCAACGCAACATCACGATGACCACCGATACGAGTACCGTCAAACCTCCTCCCTCCCCGCCTGTCGAGCGTCGACCTCAGCGGCCCATACCTGGGTCCAGGGCTGCGTCGTACCTCGGTGGTAGTGACCCGCTCGCCCATATTCCTCCGGCCTTACTACACAGCATGCGCGAATCGTTCAGTGTGCTGGACCGCGACAACAAAGGCAGCATCAATGCTCCAGACGTCCAGGATGCCCTCTCCCAGGTTGGCCTCGATAACGGACCCGCCTCCATTGCTCCATACTTCGACGGGCAACCGCAGTCGCTGAACCTCGCCGCTTACCTCAACATGATGGCGTCCTTACTAGCACCTATGAGCAGGGAGCAGGAGCTTCTTTCAGCTTTCGAAGCGTTCGACGACCAGGACGATGGCCAAATTGACGTTGCCGAGTTGACGGAGGCGTTGATGGACACAGCTCCAGAGCCAGGCCGAGACAGACTCACAGAGAGGGAGATTGAGAGGGTCGTTGAAGGCTTCAGAGGCCGGAGGGCTCTGGGAAAGAAGGGCAAAGGCGGCTTGGGCCGTGGGGATGTGTTCCGTTACAAGGAGTTCGTTGGGAGCGTCTGTGGCGGTGGATCGGCCAAGGATGCCAACGGAGAAGCGGCTGCGGCTTGAAGTATGTTTTTACGAATTTGAACGAGCATTTTTGGCGTTGTTGGCGACGGGTATCGGTGGGGTACATCAGTATAATTGCGGATCGAAATGTCAAGGATAATTTGAAGTTTACCTCGTTCAGCCTGTGTAGGTCCGCTAACGCGTTGCGCGGAACATACAGTCCCCTCTTGCAGTCGATGGCTAGCGTGGATTTGTTTTTTGCTCATGTCATGGGTGGTTGAAGCTATCGTCCGGACGAGAATGTCGAATTTTTGATTCTAACATACACGTCCGGACAGTTTCAGCTACACACATATCTTTCTAAGGCAGAGCTGGGGCATAGTTACGCTATGTTCTAAAGCCCTGCTATTCTTTGCGCTAGCCATCGGCTGCGAGAGGGGGCTGTACAGACGGTAGGTGCAGAGGGATCGCCTGCGGCAGCGGTTCTTCCCTTTTCGATCATCACCTCCCGAACACAACCACACAACGTCCGCTCTGCCTCCCGCCCTCAACCGAGCTTTCCCGACAAAAACCATGCCGCCCGGCGCGGAAGTAGTGTCTGATGGCGCGTCGAGCGACTTCCCCCTCAGCGACCTAGTAGGACCTTCCTTAATATCGTTGTGTACTGCGCTGATAACCTAATAGATGGAGGTCGATTCTCCCACGCCGCCAACGAAGGGCGACACCGCCGAAGAACCCACCTGCGGCTTCCCAACTGCGAATACTCATGTCAGTGCTTTTGTCTCCATGATTTCAACAAAGCTTACTGCACGAGTAGACCGATCACGACTACATGTCTGAGCCTATCATGGACCCGCAGCCTGAGAAACCACCGATGCCGGCCTGGCTGACTGACCCTGCTGGAAGGGCTGAGATTACCCTCGCTCCCAGTGTTGACAAGCATCATGTAAGTGGATTTTGTGACAGCCTGCATAGAGAATGGCGCTCTTGAATAGCACACAGGTGGAAGAGACGGTCTGCGTTCACTACTGTACCCTCACACACGTGGAATTCATCGGATTGATGCATGCAAAGCGAACCGATCCGATTAGCGTCCAGTATAGGAGAGATGCAGCGCTGAGACAGCCCCAGCCAGCGCATCCTGCTGTAGCGCGTCGTCAACAACAAGCCAACCATCTCTTGCCGCTACAATATACTGGCCTGCCTTCCGACCCTGCACCGGACGAACGCACTGCAAACGATGGCGGCATTCAGGATGCGCGAGGAAGCTATGAACAGAACGCCGGCGGTAACGGCAACGTCAGCGCTGGCACACCTCAGCACAAGCAACCAGCTCTTCCTGATAAAATCACCACTGTAGCTCAGACGACACAGACCTCCCAACATGCTCAACAGAGCGACGCTGTCTATGTCGTTCTTATTCAGTACCAGCCTCTGGTGGAGTATGGAGGGTCGCAGTTTGATTTCGGCATACACGATCAGTACCCGAAAGTCAACGGCTTCTCTACCATTGAGCATTACACGAAAGCCTTCCGGCTCTCTCGCGATGCAAAGACCTACGCCCTCAACCTGTTCACGCAGCGCATCACTCTGGATTATCGCTACGTCATGCAGAAGGCTTGGGACGACCTGAGTCTCGAAGAGATCCGTGCCTATGGCGTCACTGAAGATGGCCCTTCACCACACATCCGCGGCTTCAAGCTTTCGTCGATCGATGAGCCTTTCCACTGGCAAGTCCGCTTCGGCTGCGATGAGGAGTTCTGTCGCATTTCTGTCATCCCGGTGCGGTGGGGCGATCGAAGGTTAGAAAATATGCCCTTCGTAGAGGCGGGACAGCCCTATGGCGGGATGTCGAAATCGCTGAAGCCACCGAACAATTCAGAGAAGACGCCAGTCGGTGCGAAGGACACAGATAGCGCGGATGGTACCGCTTCTGCGGAGACGACCACCTGTGTGGAGCAGTTGCCCCCTGCTGAGGGTACCGTTTCTACGGAATCTGCTGCCTCGAACGATGGCTGATTAACCAAAGAGAATGATAGGGTTTGGGAAGACCCGGTAGAGTGGAAGTGGGGAAATGGCTGGTTCGAAATGCGACCGATCCCAAGGATAGAGTAAGGAAATATGACATTGGGTCTGGCTGTACGGCTACATACGGCTTTGATAGGTAATGCAAATGAGAGAGAGAGCCCCTTGGAAAGTGAGCGAAGATAAGGCTACCAGTCTTTCTGGAAGGTCACCGGACACGTGGTGATCTGATCGTCTACCCCGGATACGGGAGATTGCCAGCTGGAGTTGAGCGGAATTGCGGATGACGACGCGGATGGGGAGGGGGCGGACGGCACGGGCTGGCCGCTGAAGCTTGCATGCATGGAGAGCAAGGCGATAATATGGTAGCACGTATATTCGCTTCGTGTTTCAAGGCCAGCTGAAGCTCCGTCGGATGCAGTCGGCACGGGCAAACATGTACTATTAACAGACTACAAGGTGACGAAAAGGGAAATATGTGCTCTAGATCGGAGCTGTGATTGGCTGGCAATGCACTGAGCCAATATTTGTTGAAGGATCATCCTTAGCCGGCAAGGAGACTGGCAAGAGCTCATCCCGTGAGAGTGGGCGTCACCGATCAGCGGCTCCTTACTGACGTTGCAGTCAGCAGGCGCAGAGCGAGGCACGGCCAGGGGTCATGCTGCGCGGGGTGGAGCGGCCGACTCTGAGCGCAGGCTGTGGCGCTGGGCGGCGGTGAGTGGCGTGTCGGGGCCTCGTGACATGCGCTGGCGTGCCGGCTGTCGAGGGGGGAAAGCAGGGCGTGACATGGGCGAGGCCGCGAAATGACGAAGATAAAGCTCCGCCTCACGTGCGGCGGCTAGGGTGGGACCAGGCCGGCCGTGGAGCGCTGCATGGCCCCGCGCTGATGCCCCCTCCCGCCGCCGTCGGCATGCAGCTCGCAGATACTCCCCGTATCAGCGCAGCTACACACCAGAGGTACTGCCTCAACAACTCACTTGCCCCGCTCCCAACGCTCTCCGCACCATAAACAACTTCGCCTGGAGCTCCGCATACCGTCTGCGCGCTTCATGACCCCTCCTGTTTTTGCATAGCCGGCCGAATCGCACTCGGACTTCGCCGGTGACCCAGCACTCCCGCCCGCCGACCCGCTCCGCCGTGACAGCCAGATTCGGCGCGTATCGCAACCAGCGTTCGAGTGAGACGCGACGAAAGACAGCTGCCCCGAAAGCAGCTCTGGCACGCGCGAAACCGAGCACAAGGCCAGATCACGCCGCCGTCGTCCATTGTCTCAGGCACCGCCGGTGACGTCTCCCCGCCACGCAACCGCGCCGCGTCCAAGCTTCGGTATACCAACGCATCAGCGAGCAGCCAGACACCGCCGCTCGCTCTCGACCACCGAAACCACCACCGCGCTCGCGCCCCCGCTCTCTCTCCCGCAACCCCCGAAGCTCATTTCATGCCCTCATCGCCTGATAACGCCGCAGCCCTTTCGAACCCCCAGCCTGGAATTGGATACCTATACCAGCAGCACCAACGCAACCGGTCGCGAGGCGTCGACACCGTGCAGACACGTGGGCGGAACATATCGCGATATGAATTTGGAAGAAGAGACCGCCATGGGGAGCGCGTTACGCGCATCTTCCCCAGAGAGATGTGAGTCACCCCAGCGGCATCGAGTGTGAGGGGCTGTCAGGGTTATGTGGCCGACGTCTCGGGAGCCTGCTTCTCCGCGACAAATGTCGGCTGGTCGACAACGATCATGGGCCGTGTGTTCGTGCTGGATCAAAGCCGTAGAACTGGCGAGAGCCTGCGCAAACGTGGTCGATAACGCTGTTGCTTCACCGCCCACGGCCCGCCCACTCCAGCTCTACGACACCTTTCCCCTCAGCCTTAGTCCTCTGTTAACGTCGTGCCCAACAGAGCAAAGTCTCCGCAGTCTGCGACGCGATACCAAGCTTCCCCTAATACAGCGACCTCGCCCCTCATCACCGCCTTTGGTACTACGACGAGCACTGCTGCGCACTATACCAGCGAGTGGACAAAGTCGCTGCCGTTCTTTGCCGGGCAAGCCCCACCCAATGGGAGAAGTATAAGCGGCTCTCCCGGCCAGAACTTCGGCGTCTCCAACTCACCACCTACCATCGGGGGCCGGCCGATGAGCCATCCGAACCACTATCCCAGTTTTGGCGGCAGGCTAGGCGTCTCCCCACGCCAGTCGCCGCCGCGGGATCGCCGTGCTTCCATGTTCTCGCAATATTCACAGCACCCGCCTCTCCCACACCAACCGCAGTCACATTTCTACGGTCTTCCTGACGTCGACTTCGGTCTGGATGGCCCGCAGGGCGAGCTGATACCGGGAGCAAATGGTTACTTCTGCGGGTTTGATACTCTCGACTCGGCTGGTGATAAACCGTCTTCGCGCCTGGGACAGAATGCACTCTTGGTGGGTTATGAGGGTGGTCTTGATGTCCTCGATGTCAGAGCGTCGCACATGAACGTGTTGGGGCGGATAGAAGGCCTACGAGGCGCCGTCATAGGTGCAAAGATAGTGCAGTGGTCCGGCGGGGCAGACCCTTGTGCAGACGATCGTCCATTAGTCGCACTTGTCATTCACGGACCTCTCCTGGATGGTGTAAAGGATACCCGTCATTCAAGTGGCTCTTCTTCTGGCGCCTGCACCGATGAGAACGAAGGCTCGTCAAGCCCGCCCACTCGTCCAGCCTCCGCTTTGGGCGATACGAATCTGGCAGACGTGACCCACTATCAGACGACCGTTGAGATATGGTCCCTGAAAAAGGGCACGCATGTCGCGACATTGTACAAAGCCCCACCGGTGCCCCTCACCACGCCATTGGACAGCCCTGTCTTTCAAGCTCCGCCTCCGGTAGGTGATCTGCGGATCGACGCCAAGGGTAAATTCGTGGTTGTCGCTTCAGGGTGCAGCGGAGAGGTGTTCGTCTTCTCTCCGAAGCATGAAGAAGCCCACCCGGAGTCATTCAGATGCATCGGCAAGGTCTGGACGACGGTACAAGTCCGCGAGCATACCCCAACTCCCAGCTCAGCCAGCTCGACAGAGTTGAACAGCCTCGAGAGTGAAAATGTGGTTTCTTTCGGTAACCCATTATTCTCGCTCAGTGAGCGCTGGCTTGCCGTCGTACCTCCAGGATCGTCTTCGCTGTATTCCCTTAACGGAGCCACTCTGCTGTCACCCTCGCAACCAAAGCCGCCCGGGATGAGCACTCACGCTCCGCCTCCACCTCCTTCCGCGAACTGTCAAGTCGATGCTCCTGAGGATAGTTTCTTCAAAAATGCTTCGCGGGAGGTGGCTCAGCAAGCTATGAAGGGTATGCAGTGGGCTGCTAGTACCGGCATGCAGGCGTGGAAGAACTATTGGAGCAACAAGCCCGCAAGCGAACAGCATCCGAATGGTACAATGCCCATCGACAACCAAGGACAGGCGTATTTCCCACCTACTCATGGTCACAATCAAACCTCTCCACAATCCAGCAACGAGCCGTCTTTGGTTTCGATCTTCGACATGCAGAAGATGGCCGAAGCCGATTCTCCGAAGAACCGGAGCACTCTTCAGCCGCTCACCACGTTCACGGCACCCCTCGGCTGTAGCTTCTTGAGCTTTTCACCCAGTGGGCTGATGTTGATGACTTTCAGTAAAAAGGGAGACAATCAGTTCGTCTGGGACTTGAACTGCATGCATCACACCAGCTCTCGTGGCACGCGTGGAAACAGGTCCTCACAGTCGCACGTCCGGCAGGTTGCAAAATTCACGCGGATGACTATCGCTAATATCGTTGATGTTGCGTGGTCTGCGCCCAGTGCCCGCCGGCTGGCAATTCTGACGGACAAAGGAACTGTGCATATGTACCCAATGCCGGCGTCCGCATTCCAGTGGCCTCCGCCAAGACGTGTCCGCAAGCCGAATGAACAGCCAAAGAAAGAAGTTGTGGAAGAGCAGCCAGCGAAAGGAAGCGGCATCATCGGCTCAGCTGCTCAAAACATTACCGGCAAGGCCAAGCCCTTCTTCAGCTCTGTCCGCAACCGTGGTGGCAGTGTAGGATCCGGTTTCAGCTTGAGCAACCTCAGCATGACTCCTGCTGCCGGTGCCAAGGGCGGAAAGGCTGTTGCTGCTGGAATCGGGAAGTCGATTGGCGGTGCTGCTAGTAACCTCAAGCACGCAAGCGATAATAAGCTTCAACTGCCTTTGTTGATCAACGGCGTTAACCCATCGTCTGTCGCTTGGTTAATCAACCCGAAGTATCGTGATCCTCGCGTTGCACTCGTTTCCGGGGGTGTTTTGACGATCCACAAGGTCAACTTCAAGGAGGTTCGCAGCAAGAACGGCAGACCCCAGACGCGTATCACCAAGCAGAAGCTCGTGGAGTACAGTCTGAACCCGATTAGAGATAGCCCGATCGCTCCTGCTACGCTGGCGTATCTTACCTCTAAGCTGGGTGAAGATGCTGCGCCGCTTCCTGGGATCGAGAAGTCTGGAGAGTCCTACTGGACACCGAAGGCTCCTGCCATTGGTGGGACTAAAGCAAAGGGTATGATGGCTCACCCTCTGGCGACTGCAGAGATCGAGACCAATACACCTTACCAGCCTTTCCACACTGACAGGCGGATTGACCTGTTCGTCAACGAAATTCCTGCCCAGGCCCATGTTGAAGATGAAGCAGAGCAGGAAGTCTCGGTTATTGGAGCGATGCATCACGTTGATGACGATGGCATCTGGGCTTTTGGATCTGATATTCCTTCTGCCAAGGTCACACTTCCGTCCTCGCACGCTTATGATGATGACCCTCTTTCCGACGACCTCGGCCTTGACATCAACGGCAACGGCCCAGGTCCGGGAGGCGCTGCCGGCATGGTGAGCGACTTCGCTTTGCGCGAAGGTGATGAGGAGGTTGAGCAGGTCGTCGTCACCACCAGACGCCGCCGTCTCAAGCGCAAGGACATTGACGAGGTGACCGAGCCTGACGAGGGCTTTTTCGAAGACGATTGTGAGGTTTGGGACTTTGCGGGTGACAGGGTGTAGATGTCTGTCCCCGTCCTCTCATGCACCAGTTTCCTGCGGACATTTTGTCATCACCTCTCCGCTCCATCTTCTCGGCTTTCTTACTTCGCCGCTCTATTTTGCATGTGAATGCACAACCACCTGGGAGTACGCTTTTTTGTTTTTGTTTATGAGACGATCCGTTGTTTTTGAGCGGAGGAGACGAAGCATCGGATACCACAGATACACACAAAGACCAACTGCTTTTGTTCAGCCCAGCAGTCTTAAACCTTCCCCCCCCTTTTTTCTCTATTTCGCTTTTTCAATTGAACCAAACACAGTACAAATCACACCCTATCGCATTCACCTCTATTGTCGGCGTTCATGCATAGACTGGATTGCTTTTGGGGCATTTCTGTTGTGCTTCTTTTGTTTTGGGAATCACACACATTTTGGATGGCGCTCGAGGAAGTGGCGCGGGCGAATTTCTTTTTTTCCTTCGATTTGTCGTCGTTTGGAGGGTTACAGCTTTCTGCATGCCAGAAGCTGTGAGAGATTTCTCTTTTCTGGCTTTTCCTTCCCATCCGTGGGTTGGAGCTATCAGAGGATCTCGTACTGATGACTGTGGGCTTTCCTTGGGCCTGGATGAGGTAACTGGTTGGATCGGTTAGGATAGGCCGGGACGAGGGGAGACGGACATAAAGTTATAAAACCATACTCAACGGCTTTTGTTGCATGTGCATGCCTCTTGAGTGTTCGTGTTGATGAATGATAGTGATCGTATGGCTTCACTATGGGCTGAGTAGGTAGAAGTTTATTTGCCGTTTGAGCGAGGCTTCGCCCTGCCGCGGTGCTAGAAAAGACATATCTTGGTTCTAGAATCATTGGTGTAGATCTACGTTCGAAACTGAAGCTTCTTGGTAGAAGTGCTCATCTGGTTCCTCCTTCAAGAGAAGCAGTCAATCTTCATCTCTGGGGACCGATCACCGTCCAACGCGTATTCACTCGTAGGGTCGCTGCAATTTGGAAAACCGAATGGCATCGCCGCTTTCTCCTTTGCTGTTGCCCCTCTAAACCCGAATACAGGGGAAGAGAGTATTGAAGGCAGGATCTCGGCGTAAGGCTTATTGAGAGGTATCAGCCATGCACATTCCTTTTGGAAGAGAGAGTTTTTTTGAGCGGAGGCAAATAAGGTTTCATAATGGGCTACAAGTTAATGGCGGAGAGCATCGTAGTTGGCAATTTTTCCAATCTATGAAAATGGAAATCTTTCTCCTGATGCATCTGACAGCGCTATTCAAAGACTGGAACGAAGAAGATGATCTTGTAATCTTGAAAGAATGCTTAGTGCATGCCCGCTGAGGCGCTGATGAACAAACTGGCAGATTCAGAAGCACCTTTGCTGCAGAAGCCACATTCGCGTAGCAACTTTTCGCCTCGTTGGATGGATCCAAGATCAGGTCTCAGCGCGTCTGGCTCGAAGGAAGCTCAAAGGAAGCTCAAAGTTTACCCACAACAAGATTAGTTTTGATAGTGATGCTCCTTCCCTTAGAGCGCATCAGCTATGAACGGTTCCAATGGACTTTCCCGTGAAGGAATTTGCTGGACTGAGATGATGTTCGAGGATGAGGAAGCTTTGATGCTATGTTTGATGAATCTCCGACGCTTGTGCCCCTCCTTGTGGCATTAGTTAGCACTTCAACTCTGCTTGGCGCTCCGGATGAAGGGAACAATGCTGGTGACAGCAGCCCCTGAGTTGGGGCCCAACCACGCCTCCTCTCACTAGCGACATTGTTGTGACGAGGGTGGGGGCAGCGAGCAGGGTGGTCTTGTCATGACTGGAGTCTGAGACTGAGGCTGAAGAGATGGATCAAGGGTGATGTTGATGGTGGTTTATTCCATGACACGCTTCTCACACGATGAGGCGGTGGTGCTGACTCCTCCCCTTTTCCTTCTTCTTTGGATACGAGTTCTTCGCCCCCGCTCCTGACTCTTTGACACGAGATCGGCGATGGTGAATGCCTTTTGGCCGGCGACGCCCTCTTTTCTATCTATTTGCGGCTGATGCACGGGCAAGGCTGTGGCGAAAAAACTAATGGGCCTACGGCATGTCATTTTGTGGAGATGGTGGTCCGGTGCAGACGGCATGGCCGTCGAGGCGCTGCGTATACCGGTAGCGCTGATTCGTCCGAATTTTTTGTTCGGAGAGCCCACTTGGCATTGCGCACGTGGAGAAGAAAAATCAGAAACTACGCAGAACAGTGGGGATGGACGGGACAGCTGAGCTCTTGGCTCGGCATGTATCTGTAGTTTCTCTGCCGTCTTTTGCTCTCGGTGTTTGTCTTATCACCGGATTTTTCTCTTGCTGAAGACTCTTTCTCCTGCAGTGTTGGCCAATTTTCCGCCTCCCCGTCCTAGTGCGTCCTTCCCCGCCTCGAGGACGCTGCACAAAGCCATCTAGGATTGCATATCTAGAGGGCTGAGTGAATTACAGGGCTTAGTGGGAGGGATTATCGGGAGGAAGGCCAGTTCATGCAAGACGGGCGCAAGACGCTGACTGACGTGAGGAATTCCCCGACAGGTTGCTTCTAGAACATGTGGAGGCGTGGACGACGCGCATTAGTGGCGCGTCATGTGCGGAGCTGAAAGACGGATGAGGAGAAGCAACGAGAGGTTTTCGCGTGACAGCTGTAGGGCTGATTTCGCTTTTTATGAAACAGGTAGGAAGCTAGCGTGGCTGAAGGAATGGACACGTTTTGTACATCCATGGGTGCAGGTGCATGTGCACGTGTGCATGCGAAGAGTTCATGCAAGGGCAAGCAGAAGTGGGGGGGATTAATTTGCACAGGGCTCTGCTACTGCAGGCACGGGTCGGACAAGTCGGGCGGCGGCTTCCCGTGCAGTGCTGCACCTCGGCACACGTGGATCAGCCCTGACGAAAAGACGTTGCAGGTGGCGGTGGAAGAGAAGACGAGAACAAGCGAATGTCGCACAGTAACGATGATTGGCCTGGTGCGGTGCGTGTTACCCGATTGGGTAAGAGAGAGAGGTTAGGTGGTTTGAGAACGCGAGGGTCTCCCAGCGGCTCGTCCTGCGGTGCGCGCGTAATGCATGTCGTGGAACGCGGGTGGGATCCCGTTAGCTGAGCTTTTAGCAGGACACGTGATGGCTTTGCAACACCTGAAGTGTGGCGGATGATAGTTCCAGCCAGTGAATGTCGCTCGGGGCTGAAGCCGGCTCCGGGCCTAACGAAAGTCTCATTGCGCTGAAGCAGCCGGCAGAGTTTGTCTGTGTGGTAGGGTGGCAACGGTCCACAGAATCGGCGTTTAGAAAGCGTCATGGCGACTATCTCTTCGTCGACGACGTCTTGTGTTGTTGAAGAAGTGCACACCCCTGTCCGTGATCGGAGAGGATCGACCAGGATGCTAGGGGCTCCCCACATCAGTGCGCGAGATTAACGAACACGAGTCAAGATCTTGTCTCCACCCATTTTCGCTGTCTCCGCGAAACGGCACTATCGCACTCTCGGCCTCGTGTTATCGCGTCGCTCCCGGCTTGGCCAACAGTGAAAACGTTTTCTCGCGTGCTCACCACGTGGCGCGAGAAGCAGCTACAGCAATAGCAAAAGTCAAAGCGAAACTAGCAGGTCGAAGAAGGGATGAAGTGCAGTGCAGAGGATGTAGGGTCCAGCACCATGGATCTAACGGCTTCCTTCCCCGTCAAATACCCGCGCCTCCCGGTGCTCCGTCGGCCTTGCTCATAACAACAATAATGCAACCCTGCGATTCCAGAAGATCCTCGCCACTGCTTCGCCGCCCCACACTCGACCTGCGGCAATAGGCGGATCCCGCCGTGTCACGGTGCGGTCTGAGCTGCTTCGTCCTTTAATGCCAGGCCGGTCCTCCTTTTGCTTGTTTGCTCAGCTTCGCTCGGCCGTGCAAAATCTGCTTGAGCGCGCGTCGTCATCGAGGAAAGCGGTGTGCGTAATAGCTTATTTTTGGGTGCACCTGTCTATTCGAGAAATTGCCAAGCTCGTTGCGCGACATTGCCCAACGACGATTGCGATTGCGACCAAAGCTTCGCCATATGGAAATTTGCCGGAAATCCAGTGGCCCAAAGAAGATTGCGACTTCTCTCTCGCTGCGGCTTGCATGAGTCGCGAGTGGGCGGGGCTGAGTCCGGTCCAAGGGATAGGAGGAGGGGTTCCCTAGTCGCGGAAGCTACGGGGAATTGCGGGATGGGAGAAGGGCGACAGTGCTGATTCGACGGATCCAAGATTTGCACACTACCCGCGCAAGATTGGGCAAAATAAGCGACGGGAAGGGCGGGTACGTGTGCTGGGGTGTTTGTGTGCGCAGAGGATGCTGATGAGACACTGCTGATGAGACACTGCTGACGAGATGCTCCAATTCGCCCTCGCTCGACGAGTTGCGGGAGCAGGGCGGTCAAGCAAGCGCCGTGCCGATCTACCTACGCGGAGGAAGGTTTCCCTGTCAAGGAAAAGAAACTCAGAAGTGAGGGGTGGATCTCACAGAAGCGATAAGCTTGATGTGTTGTCAAGATATGATCGGCACTGAGTATCCCTCTGCCTGGGACCCTACCCTGTAACCACCTCACCGGTGACGAGATACCCCGTAGAAAATCAAAAGAAAAAAATGGTTCGGACCAACGAGCTGGCGAAGAAAGGACCAAGATCTCGGGGGGTTCCCCTTGGCATGACTAGCCGCAATCTCGTCTATCTATCACTCGTCATCGGCTAGCATTGCGCTCTCGCCGGTCAACGTCAATCTTTCTCCGCTTCTCGACTGTCGCTCCGAGGCGCTGCAGCCAGAGAGACAACAGTGGTGGCTGACAAGCGGGGCTGACTATGCAAAGAAGCAGTAGCCTGGTATCCACCCTCGTCGATCCACGAACTGAGCTGTTCCCGTCCCTCGCTTGCCCGGTTCGGACGGCGCTTTCCACCAGAAGACTCATAGAAGTCGACAGCCGTCATCGCCAGGGCCAAGCCGCTCGCTTCCGCTCCAAGCCCATGGTTCGCACACCTGGCTTGAGCCAAAGAAATGCGAAACCGACCTACGGGCCGCCCTGTCGGCCTGTCATCTTGTCGTCTTGTCATGCTTCACTGTCAATCTGGATACAAGATTACTGATGTAACCATGCAGACAGCCGCGGCGTGAATCAAGCTAGCTAGCCCAATGGCTGGCTGACAGGGCCAGCGGGCGGTTGGCTGGCTGCGCATGCGCACGCGCATGCACTCGACTTAGTTTTGCGCCGCCTCCCCCCTCCCCGTTCGGCGCATTGTTGTTCTGGTCTCTCTCTAGCGCATGCGCCGCGCCCGCCACCCCTCGTGCTCAACCGGTTTCCGTAACGAAAGAAAAAAAATTAAAAACGGACCGGCGTCACGCTAGACTCAGCGGGCTTCTAGGCCCCGGGCAGCCCGCGGTCGCCACCTTGGTCCGGATTTCTTCTCTTCCCTTATTCCCCGTGCTAAGTCGGCAGCGAAGTACGCCAGGTACCATTCGGCATTGGAGAACGGATCACTAGGCAGATTCCTCGGAAGTTGTAGACTTTATTCCTTAGTGCTGACGCGCTGGAATTTCCATTTTCCCCCCGAGCCCGAGAGACAGAGTTCGTAAGTCAAGTGGCGCAAGACTGGACGGCCCGTAAATTTTTCCTCTTATTCATGGTAAGCCAGTGCTTGTACGGTTGGTAGCGGACGTTGCAGGGCAGTTCCCTGGCACGCAGCTGAGCACGGAGAGAGAAGGCGTGCGTGCGTATACGCCCTATGCCCTGTGCCTGCCGCCTATGCTCGTTTTGGCCTGTTTTGCCGGTGAAGCGCGCGCGCACATACCTATGGTTCGTGAGTCTTTCCATTGTCTGTGTGCATCCGCGCGCCTGTCGGTGCCTGGGCGTCCTGGTAGCACCTGCTTTCCCTCCGTCACTAGTGATGGGAACTTCTTCGGCCCTGTCGATCTCCTCGTCGGCCCTGCCCGGAGAGGCTTGTGGAATTGCATCTGTGTCGCGTGCCATACTTGCAAAGGATTGGACAGTGGTGCTTCAGTTCCATGTAATGGTAGTCTTGATGTCTTTTGCTGGTCTATGTACAGCCCTTGGCATATGTATGTACAGTCCTTTGCAGGTTTTTCGGTTCTTGAAAGATTAGGTATAAAGAGTAGAAGGAGGTATCGAGTAGACAAATGAAAAAATGAAATAGTGAGAATTACAGAATAAAAGACTCATGCCGCCCATATGGTATATCCAACGTGAAGATAAAAGGCTCTTCTTATGTGTCGTCAATCAAAGAAATGCGCCGTAGCCCAGGGCCAAATATTCAGCCCTCATGCAGTCGTTCGTGCGCCATGGAGAAGAAGTAATCATCTAAACCGCCCCTTTTGCGAAAATCGATCTCTCTCTCATCTAGTGATGCTGATTCGTAGTCGAGATTTTCGTCTTGTAAACTGCGTTACCGGTCCAAGGATCTTGCACCAGCTGGCTCTCGTCATCCGCATCCGCTCCTGTTGTGGAGCCGCCTTCGTCCTTGGTGCTGGAGTTGGACAGCTGGTCCACGTCGTGGATCGCGCCCTTCATGTCGGGGTTTGGCATGCTGCGAATCACAACTTCCTGCGTCTTCTGGATACCCTCGCCTTCGAACTCGAATCTCGAATCGGAGCGGCCGTGACCGCTGGAAAGCTCCATGGCTGTGTGCTGCGTGCCCTTGCCGCTGCTGCCATTGGCGTAGACGAACTCGTGGTGGACGCCCGCAGCGTTGCCACGCTTGGCGGCGGCGGAGATGGCGATCTTGCGGATAAGGCTGGCCATGGTCAACTCAATGTTGAGCTTGACCAGGTAAGCGAGCGGATGGAACTGGATGTAACTGTTCGCCAATCAGCAAGTGTGTCGAGCGCGACGGGCCAAGTGAATACGTACACGAACGAGTTGGGAATCGACATGGCGGCGATAATCATGACGTCCATGAGAAGCGAGATGAAAATGATGCGGACGTTGAACTTGAGCAGCGAGCTGTACTTCTGCAGACCGTTGGACACGAGGTTCTTGCGCACGGATTTGATGAAGTAGGCGTTGAGGACGGCGTCCATGATCAGATAGATGACCTTCTCAATGCGATCCCAAATTTCGTTGATGTGGATGTAGCTGCCGGGTGTTAGCGATGCGAAGGTCAAAGGGTAGAGTAGGGGCAGCGTACGTGTCGTTGATCTGCAGACGAGCGGGGATCCAGATGTTGAAGACACTGATGTTGATGAGAGTGACGAGGACGGCGGTGCCAATCATGATGTTTCGTGCCTTCTCCTTGTTCATGGAGATGACGCGGACACGGTTGATAATGACCTGAAGCAGAAGCTGGACCTGGATACACCACCAGAAGACTTGGAACGGTCAGCGGGCGAACGAAGGACGAAAGTGACGCGAACACGTACGGATGGTCATGTAGAAGGCGAAACTGGGATGGAGCAACCGCAGCATAAAGGCCCAACATTCAGCACCCATCAATAACGAGACCAGGAGCTCCAGCCATATCAGCCAGATGTATGCCGATTTCCATGGGTTGCGGGCCTGCTTGGTCTGCTTGTAGCCCTGCCATGCGCAAATTCCGCCCCAGACAACGGTCAAGGCCCACACTGCTGTTGCTGCTGCGAAGTCGCCCTTGTTGATCATCTCAGGCACGTAGTTGGGAGAGATGTACGGGCCCACGGGCCCGGGGAGGTCCTCCCTGCTCCAAGAGATGCCCATTGTTGCGCAAGTCGAGGAAAGGTAAAAGAATGTGAGAGATAGGGAACGACTGCACGCAGGGCGGATCGGCAGTGCGGAGGGCGAGAGACAGGGCTTCACGAGTCGCAGTGATGCGCAGGGTGGAGCAGACAGAGGGACTATATCTCGTGGGAATGGGAGGTCCAAGGCTTGGGCAAAGCATGGAACGCTAACAGCAGCCGCGTTGGCTTCAGCAATTAGCTTTCAGGCCATGATTCATGAGCCAGGCACTGGAGAACGATCCTGGGCGACCGGGGAGGCTGAGGCGCGGGGACTCGAGCGTTCAGTAACTAGCGGGCACGCCGCAGACGCCCCCAAGCGTGGGCCACGGCCCAAACAGGCGGCCGCCACGAGGCCGGAGCGATCTGCGGATCTGCCATAGGCAAGACGGCGCTGGATGAGGGTCCTCTGCTCGCTAGCGGTTCGCAAAGGGAAAGCCTGGGAGATCATCGGCAACGGGGCCTGAAACCAGAGGCCAGAATTTGCGATTGGGCAGTCAGCCTCAGGGATACGAAGGGCCGATTGCTGCTGAGCAGAGGCGGGGCGGCGCGGAGGCGTCAGGCGGCCGGAAGCGGCAGCATGCTGCTGTCGCACCTGTGTGCGGGTGCCGCGGAAGCATTGCGGACGCCATGCCGCCGAGGCTGGAGCAGCGGCGCCGGCTGCAGTGGTGGTGATAGTCGTGGTGGTGGTGGTGGTGGGCGAGGCGGGTCGCGGGCCAGACAGAGGACTCGATGCCGGGCGGGTGTTCGGGCGCGTGGGCGGCGCTGGCTGACCACCACGTGCGCACAGAGTCGAGGTGTGGCTGACGGAGTGATGAGAAGGAAGTCAGTCCGGTCGATCGGATTTGCAGACCAACGCTCGCCAGTCTCGGGCCGGCCTGGCGATCGCTGCCGCCGCGACTCGCATCTCCACGGCCGCCCTGGTCTTCTCCGCGCCGCAGCCCCACCCGGCACGAACATCGCTGACCACCCCTGCGGCTCCGCCATCAACTCCCAGAGCACTATCGCCATCCACACCTCACGCGCGACACCATGCCTCCGCAGACGCGGCGATGCATCTGCCTGCCCTCGCATCACCACGCCGCGCTGGCCCACCTCTTTTCGCCGCTCGCACCGCAGATATGGCCCGCTGAAGCAATTTCTCCAACGGTGTTCGAGTCGGCTCGGCGCTAGACGCGCCGTCGCTGCACCGACGTTCTGTCCTGCTCCAATGCGGCCCAGAACAACGGGTACCTCGAGAAGCAGTTTGCCCGCGGCTCCGCGGGCCACGAGGGTCTGCCGAACCGGCGCTGAAGATCCAAGCCACCTTCCACCCATTCACACGCTCTACTCTCCGAATCCCGGCCATCCGCGTCACTCTCCCATTGGCGACCCCTATTAGCCACAGCGTCACGCCCGGGAAGGCCTCGAAAAATGCTGCCGCGATCCGCGTCGCCTCCAGCCCTCCGTGATCTCCGCCTCTGGACCTGATCCTGCCCCTTTCACATGTGCTGGAGTCAAATCTGCGAAATACCTGCTTGCTGTGATCTTCAATATCTGCGAGAATCCTTCGCCCCGTTGCAATCCATGGCCCGCTGCACACGGCTCGGCACCCGGTAGATGCTACGTCACGGCCCCGCCAAAGTACCTGCTGTACACGCACTCGACGACCTTTTGCAAATCTCCAAATTTTTCCACTAAAGAAATATTCTTTTTGATAACCAAGTGGAGCTGAAGCTTCGGTCAAGCTTCCCTGGCTCTTCTTTTGGGTCATGGCTCCACTTTACTACTGGACTAGGATCGACATCTGTGCCCGGGCCCAGCAGTCTCTCTCATTTAGTGGAGGGCCTGGCGACGAGAAGGAGAAATGTCTCATCGTGACCCTGCTCCACCTTCTCCTGAACAAGTAAAGAACCTTGTTCAGGACGATTGTGTAGCGAGATGTTACGCTGCCAGTCCTGTCTTCTTAGTCAACGGGCTGTTGAGCAATTTCCCGCCGAGCTTGGGCAACTATGCAGCCTGCATCACCCTCTAATTGCCACCGACCTCAGGGTCTTCCAGTATACGACTGATTGACTGTCAAATGCAATCAGGTAATGAGTACGGATGAGACAAGCCAAATGCGGGGAACCATGCACCTTTTACTGGGGCAGGCCCCTGCTTCCGTGTGTGGGTGGCCTCCGCCAGGAACCGATTTCACAAACCCTGTCCTGCAATGGACTGGCAAGCTGACTCGAGCCAGTAGGATGGCTTTCCGGGTCTCACAGCTGCGGAGCTTCTCCGTCAACTTCTGTCACACTTAAGCTGTCAAGCGGGAGCGACTCAGTTCCAACCTCGATTTGTTGACCGAACCATTTTTCAGCAGTTCGTACACACGTACATTTCTAGCGATAATCTTTTCTTACACCTCTCATCTTCTTAACGATTGTCCACGACACACTATGGTTGCTCCCAACTATGTATTTAGATCCTCGTGTCTCTGTGACACCTTCACATGCCACACGTCCCGACCTGGGTCTCGGCGCAGATCAAGCAATCGTGACACAACAAGTCGACGGTTGGATTGAGAAGAAATCTTCAATATTTAGGTTGAAACAACCCCCCGTTCTCTTAGGCCTCGCTTCTGCAGTCAGCAACTGTCAGGGCGAGACAAGGATATACTCCACACCCCCCATTCACTTGAATGAAACAGCCGTTCGACTCATGTATGCGGTACAGAATGTTCATCGCCGTCTATTTTTTGCAGTGAGTCAGGCTCCTGCAGTTATCAAGTTGCCTTTTCCTCACTTCCTAATGGTTGATTGTCTGGCGCGGATGTGTAGGCGGGGGACTCGGAGCCCGATCGAATCGCAGGGAATACGGGAACTACTCCATACTGCTCGTCTCCTCGCCTGACCAGACATCGTAAACTTGAGCCAGCTCAATGGACAACAATCCGGCATTGCTGGATGGATGGGTCGATTGGGCACTGGCTCGCCACATCCCCCCCTTTTCCCCGATCGATATCGCAACATATGACTAACTACTGATGTCTGAACGAGGGCATTGCTTTCAGTATAGAGACCTATCGCTCACCGTTTTCTCAGTATTACCAAGCAACCCTCTTCGGCACTGAGGCAATACGTATAGCCACACAATATGAGAATGGGAGGATAGATCAAGTCGCGGTAGACTATGCGCCACTGCATTAAACCTGCAACCGCTCGCATGCTGCTTTTCCTCCAAGAGGAATTCGTCCAGACGAAGAACTTTGAAAATTCATTCTCCGTTTGGTCATCCGCTGAGATGGCATCACACGGGTTGTGGCATTAGAAAGGCCTTGATCTTGTTGAAAGGGGGGCAGTCCCAAATGCCGCCTAGTTGCAATACTTTCAAGCGTCACCATGGTCCAAAGCCCAACATATAGCTAACGTATCATATCTTTTGTTCTTCTTCAAAGAGAATAAGTACGCTTACACGAAGAACGGAGGAAAAAAAAAACAACTCGTTCCGAAAACAGCGCATCGCACACGCACACCACTCACGCCCTCGCCAACACCCTCCTCATGACGCGTCCCAACCTCTCCACCTCCTCATCCCCACCGCCGCTCACCCCGTCCGCCCTCCACGCGACGAACCGATCCGGCCGGACGAGCACGCAGCCGTCCTCGCCGACGCCGCGCACGCGCGCCCACTCGAAGTACGGGTCCTCGAACTCGCAGCCGTAGCCGACGGTCACGACGCGTATCCGCACGTCGCCGGGCAGGGCCGCCTCAGCACTCTCGGCCGCACGGCGCCACGTGTCGCCGCCGCCGACGCCGGTGAAGAGGGTGAAGCGGCCGCGGCCGGCGAGGTCGACGGTGGAGACGAGGCCGTCGGGCACGGCGCGGCTGAGCCAGACGTGCGGCAGGCGGCGGCCGGGGTAGGTGCTGGGCACGTAGAAGAGCTCCGTGTCGACGGCCGGATCCTGGAGGCCGTCGTCGCCGGTGACGCCCTCGTCGGTGATGACGGCGGGCGAGGACGAATAAGACTGGTTCATCTCGATGCCGAGGGCGTGGAACTCGCGGCCGGTGGCGGCGACGGCGGCCTGGAAGCGGCGGCGGCGCTCGTTACCGGCGGGCGTGGAGGCCTCGAGCTCGGCGATGGCGGCGGCGCGTTCTTGCGGGGTGGGCAGGACGAGCCCCAACGCGTCCCAGACGTTGAAGTGCTCGCGGAAGCCGTCGTTGGCGCGCGTCACGACGCCCTTGCCGACGGGCTGGCGCTCGGCCGAGTACGAGTCCAGCAAGCCGGCTCCGGCGCGCCCCTGCAGCACGTACGCCACCTTCCACGCCAGGTTGAAGGCGTCTTGGATGCACGTGTTGGAGCCGAGCCCGTTGAAGGGCGGGTGCCGGTGCACCGCGTCGCCGAGGCAGAAGACGTTGCCGGCCGAGTACGACTCGGCGTACGTCTCGTTGATGTACCACTTGGAGATGTTGATGATGGATGCCGGCGTCGAGTCGCCGATGATCTCGTGGACGCGGGCGAGGTACTCTGCTTCTGTCGCCTTCTCGGCGGCGTCACCTGCGGCAGGGTCCGGGAGCAGGATGAACATCCATTCAGTCCACGGCCTGGATGTCGACTATTAGTTCCACTTTTTGTGGGGAGAGACGGGGTTCTTGCTTACTTGACCATGCGCACGATGGCTTGCCATGCGAAAGCCGGATGCTCCTTTTCCGGCTGGAAGACCCAGTGCAGGTTGCCCGGCCGCGACTCCATCAGATGAGACAGATCAGTCTTCACCAGCACGTTGATGGCGAGTCCCTGCTGCGGCTTCTTGACCAGCGGCAGGTCCAGCTGCTGCTGCACGCGTGACCGCGCGCCGTCGGCACCGAACAGGAAGCGCGACTTGACGGCGTAGGTGCCGCCCGTCAGCCGGTCGCGCAGCGTCGTCACGACGTGGGTGCCCTCGTCGACGAAGCTGACGAACTCGGTGTCGAAGCGGCACGTGATGCCGTTGAGGGCGGCGTGCCGGACGAGCACGGGCTCGAGCAGCGTCTGCGGGAGGTCGACATGCTTGCACGGGCTGGCACGCTCGTAGTCGCCCTTGCGAGCCGGGTCATTGCCCCAGGAGTAGATGCGGGCGTACTCGCGTCCAGCCATGGTGTAGCACCACCGTGTGTGCATCATGAATTTCTCATTCTTGGTGCTGAGGTTGTGGATCGAGTCCTCCAGACCGATGTCCCGAAGGCATTCTGGTTGGTTCCAGTCAGCAAAATGATCCCTTTTGAGGCTTTGCACGAGGTCGAAAAGATGCTTGTGTTTGTTCTAGTACGTCGAATATATCTCCGAGGATTCCGCAGAGGAGATACCCTACGACTGAAAGTCACTTACCCAAAGCAGCGGCATTGGTAATATGAGCCCGCGGCGTATCTGCATTCGTCGGCGCTCTACTGACCATCAAACCCTTGATGCCTGCGAACGGACGATATCAGCAGTGGCCGGAGTGGAGAGATATGTCTGCTTACCGTGTGATGCGAGGAAACACGCCAACGCGGCGCCTGCCGGGCCCGCACCAATGATGAGCGTCTCAACTTCAATCTGCACATCAGGCGTCTTGACACCGCTCGGCGTGGAAGATCCGCTCGAGCCGCTGGCGCCGTTGCCCGAATCCGCGTGTGCCGACTCTACCATTGTGTTTTTGGTGGTTGAAGATGGGTGAGGGAGGAGAGATGGCGGTGTAGAGGGGAATAGACGGCTGCTGCTTACGCTTACTTTGATGCACTTATAGGCGCCGTCTTGCTTCTTGACGTCGGCCTCGCACGTCCCTCGATTCTCCGTTTTAACTGCCCCGCACTAAGCAAAGAGAGGTTTCGTCTCGGCCGTGGACACGACTCAGCTTAGAAGCACGTCGTTCTTGAGCGTATGAGCAGGTCGAAGGAGGCGTTTCCGGAGCGCGTCGGATTTGCGGAATAAGCTTCACTGTCGAAAGCTTGTCGGCGACGAGGCAGTCGCAAGTCCGACGGACTTGGTCGTGTGTTGTTCCGTTCCATTGGCCAATTCGTCGTGGAGCTGTCGATGAGGGATGCTTACTCAGTGATTAGGAATGGAGAGCCGCACGATTTTGATGTGGGTCCGAGGCCGTGCGTGCGGACCGCGACGACGGTGGGTTCGGCAAAACGGCCGCATGTCTGTCGCGAGGATGTGATGACGATGATATTAAAGTCGCGGGGGATATATTTTTATCCCTCGTACTCCTTCTGCTAAGCGAGCTCTCTCCTGCAACTCAAGACTGTACTGAAGCTTACAGATGCTTATCCTGCTGCACTCGGCTTAGGAAGCGAGCTTAATTACTAACACTATACGAGCCTCTCACCAGCTCACGGGATGTAGCTAGCCATTGAGATGCAGAGATGCTGCGCGGCGGTGGTGGAGAGGAAGGGGAAAGTGGTGGGGTGGATTCCTATTTGGGCTTAGCAAAAGCAGGCATGACGCCATTCCCAGAAGCTTCGACAGCTGGGCTGTTTGCAACGCTGCTTTGAAATCGCTTTTCCCAGCACTACAAAAGCTGCTCCTGTGTCAATCGGGTGGAGAACAACACCAGCAACATTTCGTCACACAGAGTATACTCCACAATGGCCCCCAAAGTCTTCATGTACGCTTCCCCTCTTCGCGTAGCTATCCTCGGTTCCTAAAGTCCGAATCAGCACAGGTACCACCGGCTATATCGGCGGAGATGCCCTGTATGCTCTTCACAAGGCTCACCCCGATTGGGCCTACACCGCCTTGGTCCGAACCAAGGACAAGGGAAGCAAGCTTCAGCAGGCTTATCCCAACGTCAACGTCGTCTACGGCGACCTTGACGACTATGATTTGATCAAGCAGGAGGCCGCAAAGGCTGACATTGTCGTCCGTAAGCAGTTCCGAGGACCGCGCTGCTAACTCTGCCACTCACGCCACCATATAGACACGGCCGACTCGTCGGACCACGAGATCGCCGCAAAGGCTATCGCCGAGGGTCTTGCTAGCGGCCATTCCAAGAACCATCCAGGCTACTGGTTGCACGTCAGCGGCACCGGTATTCTGTGCTTCGCCGATGCTGATGCCGACAGGTACGGCGAGGCCTCGGACAAGGTCTACGATGATCTCGACAAAGTAGAGGAGCTCACCGGACTGCCCGACCATGCATTCCACCGCAATATCGACAAGATTGTGTTGGAAGCTGGTACCAATGCCGCGGTGAAGACGGCCATTCTCTGCCCTCCTACCATCTATGGTAAGCTGCTGTGTTGGCTCTTTCCGAGAGTATAGCGATTAATGTGATTGCAAGGTCCTGGAAGAGGCCCCATTTCCGGTCGCAGCCGTCAGGTGTACGAGCTGGCCAAGATCACGCTACAGCAGAAGAAGGCGCCCATCATCGGTGCCGGCAAGACGTACTGGAACAATGTCCACGTCCACGACTTGAGCGACCTTTTTGTCCTTCTTGCCGACGCTGCTGCTGCCGGCCGCAAGGACGACAAGGAGCTGTGGGGTGAAAAGGGCTACTTCCTTGTGGAGAACGGCGAGCATGTCTGGGGCGAGCTCTCGAAGCAGATCGCTGCCGAGGCCGCTAAGGCTGGCTACATTCCCGCTCCCGAGACTTTCTCACTCAACAAGGACGAGGCGTTCAAGTTGGCCGACTTCCAGGCTCTTAGCTGGGCTCTGAACTCCAGAGGCAAGGCGAGGAGGGCGAGGAAGTTCCTCGGCTGGAGCCCCAAGGCGCCGAGCCTTGAGCAGGAGCTGCCGAACATTGTGAAGCTGGAGTACGAGCAGCTGCAGAAGGCTTGATCAAGAGCTTTGGTTTGACGAAGGAGCTTATCCGACGGGTAGGCTTTTGGTATGAGATTATGACAGCATCTAGAATATGAACGATCCAACTCAAGGTATTTTACCTTACACCACTTGTGATTGTGTTTTCTTCAGGGTAAAAATAAATAGCCACAGTTTACCCCGCATTTGTGGCTGTGCTGCAGCTCAGAAGGCAAGGGCCTGGGGCACCACGGCTGCAACAACCTACTAAGTGGATATTTATGCGCCTCATTCCCGACATGGCAGTGATCACTTGTGCACCATCAGCCAATAGATGCCCACTCTATCCTGAAATCTTTTCAAGTTCCCCGAGTCAATTCTCTGCCTCAAGCACTAACAATTACCGACTGACCTCCACTTCTTTATTCCGCCATGACTTTCGGCAGCCTCCTCATTAGTCTTACGAGAATCTGAGCCTCGAATTTCCCCCACGCTGTGGCGGGGAAGAAGCGCTTCGGTTCTTGCATGGCGTTATGGCGAGGTGTTCGGATCCATGCACCCGAGAGCTAAAATAGGGACATGCCCCTCATAAGGTGCATGATGTGCTTTAACTGCACCTCATAAATCTCAATTTTCGTGAGCGAGGAAAAAGGAGAAATAAATCACGATGGCAGACGATATCGAAACACGCCTCTTCATTGACGGCAAAGTAAAGATCCCTCCTCTCTCCACCATCACTGCTCACATGCAGGATTGCAGTTTGTCCCCGCATCCGATGGCGGCACATTCCCACTGGTGTCCCCATACACCTCGCAAACTGTCGCGTCCGTCTCAGCCGCGACCGCCGCAGACGTCGACACTGCCGTCTCGGCGGCCTCGCGCGCATTCCCAGCATGGTCCGATATGTCGCCCTCGCAGCGCGGCGCGCCCTTGTCTGCTCTGGCAAACCTGCTTCTCGAGCACAAGGAAACCTTGGCCCAGCTGGAGGCGCAATCGATGGGCAAGCCACTCACCGAATTCTTCGAAGCCGAAGCGGCGGCGGGCACGTTCCGGCTCTACGCCGGACAGGGCTGGACGGCGCGGGGCACGACAAGCTTGAACACGCCTGGCTTCGTGAACATGACGGTGCGTCAGCCGTTCGGCGTCGTGGGCGTGATCATCCCGTGGAACGCGCCGCTGCTGTTCTTCGCGAAGAAGGTTGCGCCGGCGTTGGCGGCGGGGAATACCGTCGTGGTGAAGAGCTCGGAGAGGGCGCCGTTGACGGTGAGTGTCACCCCCTTACCTCTACCCAAATAATGCAGTTCTCTCATTCTCGACCACACACAGTCCACCAAACTCGCCACCCTCATCAACCAAGCCGGCTTCCCTCCCGGCGTCCTCAACGTACTCTCAGGACTCGGCCCCGCGGCGGGCGCGGCCATGTCGTCGCACATGGGCATCCGCATGATCTCCTTCACCGGCTCGCTGCGCACGGGGAAAGCCATCCAAGCAGCCGCCGCCGCATCCAACCTCAAGAACGTCGTGCTGGAGCTAGGCGGCAAGTCGCCCGCCATCGTCTTCGCCGACGCGCTGCCGCACCTGGACGACGCCGTCCGCGCGACGGCCTACAGCGTGCGCACCAACGCCGGCCAGACGTGCATGCAGAACAGCCGCGTCTACGTGCAGCGCGGCATCGCCGACGAGTTCGTGGCCCGGCTGCGCAAGTGTTTGGCCGAGGTGCGCGCCGGCGATCCGCTGGACGAGAGCACGCAGATGGGGCCGATCGTGGATGAGGAGCAGCGGAGGCGCGTGTTGGAGTATGTCGAGGAAGGGTCGAGGACGGCGAGGGAGACGATCACGCAGAAAGTGGCGGCTTCTCCCGCCATCGTCAGCCCGACAATTTTCTTGGACACGCCCGAGGACGCCAAGATCATGAAGGAGGAGGTCTTCGGCCCCGTCGTCAACGTCAATGTCTTCGATGAGGAGGACGAGGTCGTGGCCAAGGCGAACGATACCGAGTTCGGCCTGTATGCGTCCGTCTTCACCAGCGACATCGATTGCGCCCTGCGCATGATGAAGCGCCTGGATGCTGGCACTGTCGGTGTCAATTGCACCAGTCCGACCACGGCGGTGGATATGCCGTTTGGCGGCTACAAGCAGAGCGGCCTCGGGCGTGAGGGGCTGGAACACAGTTTGAGCAACTACCTGGAGGTCAAGACAGCCTTGATCAAAATCAAAGGACTATGAAATGGGGTATTCGACGGAACTTAATTTCACCATTTCCCGTTTTCCGCAACTCCGTTATGGATCTATACAGACTGGCTCCTGAGTACTTTGTGTTCAATTAGCGAATAAAAAACGCTTTAAAGGATATGAAGAAGACCATGCCGATATTACTAACTAGAGGCACAAGTAGCAAATCGAATTGCTGGGGCTGCTGACAGCAAAATGAGTTGCTATTGGTGCTGTTTGTCTGTGCTTGCAGATCACCCTTACGTCCCGCATCACTAGTAAAATGTTGATTTTTATGCGTGGAAATCCTGCTCATGAAGACCATGGAAAGTGCACTAAGTGCCACGAAATGTAGGAAAAGCATGTATAATGACAAGGATATTATACATTCCTCAGTTTTGTGTGCTGTTTGATGTTGCAATGTAGCGGCCGTTGTTGTTGTTGCATAAACATATGGATTCCGCATCTCAAAACTTCCGACTAAGATCTGCAGATGAACCCGGCAGATCACCAACTTCGCTCTTAAGAGAGATATCTTGGCAATCACATGCTGCAAATTCCTCGAAAGAATACAGTGGGGGTGGGGCTCAACTGGAGGACCGAGGCACAGCGTAACATGTTTTTCGGCCGGAGGAGGACTCAGGATTAATGATCAGAGTATTCAAATGCCGAGCAGGTTTTGTTGGGACTCAACTGCACGAATCGGCTTTGTTTCGGACGAATAGCTCTAGGCAACGATCTTGCTACATATTTGCGCGAGAAACAATGCCTTTGTGTCGTTTACCACGGAATAGAACCCTTCGCCGCTACTGAGTTACCAGTGATGGCGGAAGATACGGCCGGCAAGACCCAGGCTTATGCCTGGTGGATCGGGCTTGCCATTCTATTGTTGATGAACATTAAGAACTTGCCATTCATGTGGCATGTAAGTCTAAAGAAAATGTGCCCGTCCTCAGAGAAGGGAAGCTAATTGTCCATGCAAATAGGTCCGTTTCATCCGAGCTCTCACAACCCGCCTTCGAGGCCTCAAGCACCGACGACCGCTCAGTCCGGAATGTCTATTCCTCCCGGCTATCAGCGCCACGCGCGCGCCGCTCACTGAGTGTGACTACAACTTCCACAAGTCCAACTCAACTTACTTTACCGACCTCGACATCTCGCGCGGCAACCACAGCTTGCTACTTTTCGGCAGCGAGATCATGACGCGCTACGGACAGAAGAAGCCGGCCATGATCCTGGGAGGCGTCAAGTGCGTCTTTCGCAAGGAGATCAAACCCTACCAAGGCTACGAGCTGTGGACGCGTGTGCTCAGCTGGGATGAGAAGTGGATCTACATCGTTTCCCACTTCGTTGAGCGTGATCAGTTCGTGCCAGAGGATTACTATCTTCAGCCACGCAAGAAACCGGGGCCCAGAAACAATGCGGCTGGTAAGCCCGACGTTGCCGAGAGAGAGCCTCTGAAGAAGATTTTCGCGTCGTCTATTTCCCGGTACGTTTTCAAGGAGGGGAGGGTGACGGTTCCACCGGAGAAAATCCTGCGCCAAGCTGGGTTGCTTCCTGTCGACTTGCCAAGTGAAGATGGCCCGGCTTCATCCCTGGCGAAGACTGTGGAAGACGTGAGGAGGGAGAGGCTCGCCATTGCTCAGTTGAGGGATGGGTGGGATGGGGTGCATGCACTTTTCAAAGGAAAAGAAAAAATGGCACTCGGTCGCTACACGGACCTTCTGTGGCGGTGAACGGTGCATCGAGGGCTGCAGATGAGGCAATAATTGGTCGAAGAAGAAATGCGAAGCTCTCACCGCACCCGTAAGCCAATCGAGCGAAAGACGATAGCAAGTTGCGGCAAATTGAACCTTTTGGATGTCATGGAAGCCTAAAGAAACGTCAACAGTAACGTGAGTGGCCCTATTCAATGTTAATTGGTAAAAAGAAGTACATTGCCAAGCCTGTAAGCGGCGTTGGGGAAGCTGGAATCCATTCCTCCGGGCTAGCCCAATTAGGAAGTATTCGAGCTCAAATGGCCCCACCCCATTCATGCTATCTCGTAACACATTCACCACAAAGCTATATTACAGGTATGATCGAGATCATGGAAGGCGGAAGATATTCACAGGACATGTGAGTGCGAAAGCCTGCCGTCTTTACAGACCACTGCGGAGAGGAATTACCCAGCGTTTTAGCCGGTATGCTGATGCATTCTGTGCATCTATCGTCAAGGTTCATCGGAGCTTAACCGCGAAATGAAATCCCAGCCTTCATCTATACCGCCACACCGCTCGGCTAACTAAATTGTTCAACTAACTTTCACACGACCCACTTAGCCAAGAAGACGCGTCATCGCCGGGATCTCCAGACAACTTTAAGCTTAAACCTCCCCGCACTCTTATAACGACATCTTTCGACTTTGGTATTGATGGCGAAAAAACCGGGCTCGGAGGGAAATAACGCCGATATGACCGGTATCCAATTGTGAGTTGTTATGGTCGAATTATCTATCCCGCCCGAACAGCGGAAATGCACTCACTGACAATGCATTCGAATAAAGGCAACCCGCAGGCCTTTTAGTTCCAAGTACAAGGCGAAAAACAGTTCTGCTTAAGTGAAACAAGGGTTGAGATCACCACCGGTGTCGTTCTTTTTTTTCTCTCTCTAGGAAATGAAGTGGGTAATGGTAGGGTTTTATTGGAACTGCGGCCACGGGAGGCATCAAAGAAATGACGGCGATCATCTCCGCGAGAAAAAGCATTCGACTCGCGTTCGCAGTAGAAGCCATCGTTTCACACGTTTCTGTATGAAATTAAAGAGTGGTTGCCGTTGGCCCGAAAGTTGCGTCAAGTCACAAGATGGTCCAAATTTCTGGTTGACCGTTTGCCTTGGCATGATTGACACAGCCCTAAATGGACCCTGAATACTCGATGCGAAATAGGCGCAAAGAGTCAGCGTTCAGATGACGCTGACGAATGATCTGGTGGCGCGCTAGAGGCAAGCAACCCTTAGTTGAACAAGTCGAGTTTCCTGGTCGAGCATAGCGCGCCATCCTGAAGCCACACCGCATCCGAGCTACTGCACCCCGCGTCGTCATCGGTCTTGCAGGATATCCGCGGAGCTTGAGCAAGGGATCGCTCGCAGAGTCGATGTGGGGTGGAGGAAGCGGGGAATGCGCCGGAGTGTTGCCTAGAGTGCTTCTAAAGTGAACGCGTGATTTCCGAGGCTGTGCTCTTTCTGAATCTTGCCGATCGTTGCAACAGGAAGAGATGCAGGCTGCCAACAAGCATTGTGGGGACCAACGTACACGTTCTCGGCGATGCAGGGAATTATGGGCCAATTGCTGGGATCGCGCTGTCGGAGCTAAAACACCGAACAGGGTCCCGCGGGCATCCGGGCTGTCGTCCATGCGTCATATGTGAGAGTGGAACACGCCGCGGCTATGATGAGACATTTGCAGAGCAAGGAAGGCGTGCATAGGCGCAAGGGCGAGGAGCAGTGACACCTGGGGGGCGCTAGCAACGACAAAACAAGCATTGTGACCTGGAAGGTGCTGAGTCCGTTTCAGGCTTGGCACCCCAGTGTTCGGCTGTCGCAGGAGCGTGGCGCAGCAGCAGCACGGGCTGGACTAGGTGCAGTCCTGAATTCGCGCAATCCGACCAGTAGCGCGCTTCGTGCTGACGCCTGAGCGGCCAGCGCACGTCTGGTCGGCGGCTGGATACGAGGAATCACACCCGCAACATTGGGCGCCTAGCGGCTATTGTGGGCGAGAGAAAGGGTTTGGGGACGGAGGCTGAAAGAAGATTGGGCGCAGCTGCCACAAGCATCTGCCAAGCTTCGATCGCCTCCCGCGCCTGCGGCCTGACATCACGCTCGGTCTCGCCCGCGACCAGCTCCTGCCGATGATGTCTAACAAAGCCTGTCAGCGCCTTTGGGGGCCGGGGCATCCTGCTTAGCCCGAGTACCTGCGCCGTCATCCTCAAAAGCACCTTGTTCCCGCCCACCTCGTTCATTGTCCTCCAGTCCTCTCCACACCACCTAGACCCTTCCGACCATGCCGAGCCTACTCGCTTACCTCGCCGCTGCCGGCAGCTTCGCAAGCTTCGCGCAAGCCGCCGACGCCCCCGAGCCCCGGGTCGTCGGCTTCCCCATCTTCAAGTCTCGGCGCCAGGCCCTGGCAAATCTAGCCCGCCGCAACCTCGCCCGCCGTGACACCGTCACCGCTACTCTCGCCAACTACCAGTCGCTTTACCAGATCAACGTCACCGTCGGCACGCCCGGCCAGCGTATAGGCCTACAGATCGACACAGGCAGCAGCGATGTGTGGTTCCCGTATGCCGGCTCCACCCAGTGCCAGGAGGGCGGCTGCGAGTCATCTTTCGACCCTGGGGCTTCGTCAACTTTCGAAGACATTGGAAGGAACGAGTTCCAGATCCAATATGTCGACGGCACCTCCATCACCGGAGACTACGTCCGCGACGTCTTGGCCATTGGCGACACCAAGATCAGGAACATGACTATGGCCGTCGCAAGAGACGCCGACGACACGCCCGAGGGAATCATGGGCGTCGGCTTTGTGCAGGATGAGACACTGGCTCAGACGGATAACCAGACGTACCCCAATGTCCCAGTCCAACTGTTGCAACAGGGCTTCATTAGTAGTCTTGCGTACAGTCTGTGGCTGAACGATCTTGGTACCTACCCCAAATCTCCTGCTGCAAGAACCATTGCTAACGGCGAGCAGATTCCAGCACCGGTAACGTCCTGTTCGGCGGTGTTGACAGCGACAAGTACACGGGAGACCTCATTGGCCTGCCCATCCAGCCAGACTCGCAAAGCGGCCAGATCACCTCGTTCACTGTCGCCCTAGGTGGTGTCAACGTCAAGTCCAGCGGTGGCAAGAGTGTGTACAGCAAGTCAGACCTCGATGTTCCCGCCATCCTAGACAGCGGCACGACGCTGACACTGCTGCCGGACGACGTGGCCAACGACATCATCAACGGTGTGGGCGCGCGTGAAACGCGCGACTACGGCTACGTTGTCAATTGCAACATCGGCGACACGGGTGCCTCGATCGAGTTCAGCTTCGGTGGCTCGGGCGGCCCTACAATCAGCGTTGGCATGGACGAGATGGTGCTGCCGTTGACTGACACGGACGGCAACCCAGCACGCTTCCGCGACAGCGGCGAGGAGGCATGCATTTTCGGCATCGAGCCCGCCGGCGACGCACCCATCCTGCTCGGCGACACCTTCATGCGCTCCGCCTACGTCGTCTACGACCTGCACAACCGCCAGATTGCCTTGGCCAACACCCACTTCAACGCGACTTCCTCCAACGTCCAGGAGATCACCAACACCACCATCCCCGGTGTCAAGTCGGTCGTATCCGGCCTCACCGTCACCCAGACTGCTACCGGCCCCATCCGTCAGTCCGGCGCGGAGCAGAGCAAGACCGCCAGCGAGACTGGTGAGCCCGGAACCGGTACCTTCGACCTCGGTGCTTCCACCGGTACGAGTTCCTCGTCCAAGGGCGCCGCTCCTGTCGGCTTGCCTGCGCCGAGGATCGCTCTCGAGACGGTCATGTGTGGTATCGTTGTAGCGCTTTCTGCTATGTTCGGTGGTAGTTTGATGATCTTGCTCTAGAGCGGATGGAATACCTTTCCCTCCAGAATCTTTCTTTCTGTTCAAATCCTACTGAGGCGTACAGGCCGTTATAGCTTTTTTTGGTTTTGCATAAAACGGAGCGTTGATAGTTTGGTTGGGTTGACAAAGTCGAGTGTTAATTTTCGATTAGATGGGCAACAGTTACCGTAAGAGGGGGAGCTGTGCAGGATTAAAAGGTGAATAGGGTAGACATTAACGTCGGCATGAAACAAATGAGGAGCACGAACATTATTACATCTTACATGTCTCATCAAACCCATGTGTTTTCCATCTTTGTACACCTTTCTCGTCAGTTGCCACCTCTTTGCCTTGCCTCTAGGGGAGCATTCCACTCTTCTTGCTCATATCTCTCCATGACGTACACCGATACTCAGGCCCCCTCATTCGGCCCGCCGATCCAACTCGGGGTCGTCTGCACCACAAGCTCCCTCCCCTCGTCATATGTTCCCTCGACCAATGCATTCAACCACGTCGCCAGCCGCAGCGCCGCCTTGCTCACCTGCAGCTCGACGATCGGGAACGCGTTCTCAGCATACCCGCTCGTGGCCAGATCGCCCGTCGCCGTCCCGTTCCAGTCTTGGGAGTAGACGTAATCGCAGTTCCACACGCTGCTGTCGCGGGCCCACGCGAGGGCGCAGGCCGTCGGCGTGCTCGGGTCGGCGCAGGCGAGCCATTCCTTCGTGGGCGCGTCGGGGAAGGCGTCGGCGAGGATGCGCGGCAGCAGGCGGTCGGCGAAGAAGGGCTGGAGGCCGGTGGCGTTGGGGAACGCCGACACGCCGGCGGCCTGGTAGATGATGTGCCCGTCCCACACGCTGTGCAGCGTCACGTTGCTGCCGTTGTAGGGCACGCGGAAGCCGTTGCCGCCGGCGGCGACGCCCGAGGCGTGCAGCGGCTGCGCGATGTCGCCGAGGAAGTGGGCGACCCACTTGAGGGCGTAGGAGCAGGTGAGGTTGGTGGTGGCGGTGGTGCTGTCTGCAAGAGGGGCTTGCTTCGAGGCGGCGATGCAGGAGCGCAGGATGGAGGTTTGGTTGGCGATGGCGGAGACGACGCAGCCGCCGGCGCTGCAGTCGCGGTGGTAGTAGACGTTGCAGTAGGATGGAGGCTGGGAAGGGGAAGAGAGGTTGTTTGTTAGCTTGTTGTCGTTTATTTTGAGCTACCAGTGTTCTGGGTCTTGTGCGCCATTCTCAATCCTCTCCCATTCCTCTTTCCGGCTCATTGTCTGACGGGTGCGGGGATGGTACATACATCGTCTGCCGAGTCGATCCAGTGCCATTGGTACGAGAAGGCGCCCTCTTCCGTGTGCGAGTACTCGTCCGCCCACGCTGCCGCATTGCCAATTGACCCGTTGTACTCTGGTTCTAGGATCTGCGCGAGCACGGAGCTCGTGCGTTTCGTCAAGAACTGTTCGGCCAGGAAGCCGATCTGCTGGTGGACGTCCTCGTTCCAGGCCGATACAACGGGGACAAGGGCGACGGCAGCAAGCAGCCCCGCGGCGGCGGTCGTCCTGCGGAAAGACAGCATTGCTTGCGTGTGTATGGCACGTTGAAGATCGAGGCGGTAGTGATGTTCTGGTGATGGACGACGCGTTGCTTATATGGGCTGGGCTAGCGGCCAACGTCGAGACGCTTGTCCCGCGGAGCGGGTCGTTGCGCGTGATGCAGGTACGGCTGCAAGGCGCATGTCGGTCCTCGCCTCTCCTGTACAACGTCGTGCGGCGATGCCGGCTATTCGGATGGCCTTATCATCGGAGAGCGGCGATGGGGAAACGAGGCGGTGGGATGAACAGCAAGCTCCTGCTTATCGTAGGAATGGCGACCCGCTGCGGCTGATGGATTCGAGGGACAAGCATGGCGCAGCCGAGAGGATGTGGAGATGATGTCGGGCGGTGGGATATCGATAAGCTTCTGCTCCCTCTCTCATATCGGCACGCAACACGTTTTCCGACTTCCCCTCGTCGACTGCCAGTCAAATCTCGGTTATGTATTGACGTCTAGCACAGCGTATTTTGTGGCCTTTTTCCGACGTTCTGATTGTCCTTTCCACTGTCCATGACGTCTGGAAGAAGCTACCCGGCACGAGAGGATCCTGCCGGTAAAAATATGACAACAATCTACATACAAGGTAATCTTCATCTTGTCTCAATTCATCAGTCGTGAGCAATCAGTTCCGGTAATATCCCGAGCAGCACGCCTCGAGATGTTGTCAGTAGCAGCTCACGCGTCCATGCCATCAGGAAGCCTCTTGGAACTCCTCATCTCTCGGAAGTAGAATCATCATCGTTCCAGTCGGGTCGAGCACAATGCAAGGAGTACCTGACTTTTGACAGTCGTCGCATGCCTGAAGCCTCTCACGGCCCGCAGTCCATTTGCAATTTACCTTCAAATCGACAAAGCATGTCATGCAATTCTCGTTCCTCTCTTCCAACCAGGTACGGAGACGAAACCCGGCGGCCTGCTGGTGGTCTTTAATGAAGCGGACAACATGATCCCAATGCTCAGCACGTTGCGTTCGAACTTGCTGAGCATCTATGGTGGCCCCGTCCGGTGATAAGTATGCGAGGGGCAACTTGGTTCCGTATTCGGTACGATGGTAAAGCTTCGGGCGGCCTCTTTTCCTAGGTGGTCCAGGCGATTTGTCCGCGGCATCGTTTTGCGTGGCTTTGTTCAATCGGGGCCTGCCTCTCTTTCTCTTCGGGACAGTTGCTGGCTGCAGGTCATCACCCTCTCTTTCATCATCTGCGAATTGGGCGGGCGACAAAGCCGAAGGAGAGCGCAATTCGGTGAGTGATAGAAGCTGACTGCTCAGCTCGGGCCGGCCTTGCATTCTCATTGGCGAATGCTGCTCTTCCATATCGGACTCAGGCTGTAGCTGGGAACGGCTCCCGCCGGGTGCCCTAGGAGCGGGGATCAGGCCGCTTTCAAGCTCTGCCTTCTTCCAGAAATACTCGCTGATGCCGAACATCAGGCGCTGTTTCATCTGCGCGGCCTCATCTCTTTGTTCTTTGGAGTGTTAGCAGATAAGTTTGCTTTATTGTCGCGTCACGCACCCTTCAATGCCTGTTTCTCACGGTCGATGGTCGACCATTCTCTTTTTCGATCGTGCTCGAAGGCATCGCGCTCGACTGTACTAGGTTAACCCATTTCTCTCCAAGCACATGGAAGATTCTTGCCTGCGAGTTGAAACTTGTCGTGTTCTAGGTGCGCTTTCTCATCTGTGGCTGGATTTGAAAAATCAGTCATTTTTGCGACTTGAAGGCCGTGCGGGCATACTGGCTGATGGTTCAGGCGCGGTGGAGAAGCGCTCCCCGCCGTTTGCAGGATTCATCAAGGCGGGTGAGGTGAGTTGCCGGGAAGATGCAGCTGAGAGGGCGTTGATTAGGGCTTCGCTACACGCTTCTGACACGGAAGCACGTGACTAGGACACGCCTTCTATCTGAGACAGCCACCCCACATACTTCCACTCTTCCTTCTCTCGATCAATTTCAGTTCTCAACCATCGCCTACGCGGTAAACCCCAGTATCTTGTTGGCGTATTCCCTGATGCGCCGCTGAGCTGCTGTCAATCCCTCCTCCTGAACGTTGAATGCCTCAAGTCCAAGCATGCGCCTTCCCTCCGTGCTCAGAATGTTCTCAGCGCTGCCTCGATCCTCATGATCCGCCTCTGTCCGAGTCCCAGCAGCCACCGGAAAATCAGGCGGAGGTAATCCCGACAGGAATGCTTTCCGTTGTTCCACCATATTGGCAACGTTGTATCGCGTCAGTGGGACCTGCTGGCTCGTCAACCCTCGAAACGCTTCCATTGGCCGGGTATAATCACCACTGGAATATATGCTACTGAGGAATCCTCACTGCCTCTGTGCTCATATTCGACCTTGTGTACCATGTCACAGTGCCAAAACACGTAATCACCTGGCTGGATCTCCGGAACGCTGATCACAGATTTGTCCATCTGCAAAGCGGGATGCCCTGCAACGCTCAAGTGTTAATCTCGCGAAAGCATCGAATCCAAGGTCGCGCTTACAGTCATCCTTCAAGACCTGCCCCATCCCAGGCTCCGCACCGTAAAAGTAAGTGCTTTCCATGTCCAACTTGCCGTCGTCGTCGAAGAATGGACGCAGCAGCATGTATGCCGTGCTCAACTTGATGTCCGGTAGAAGTTGCAGCGTCCCTTTCTGTGGTCCATTGTTTGCCATTGAAAGCCAGCCCTGGATGCTACGGAAAACGGAGCATGCTCCTGGGCCGCCGTACAGGTCTGTCACGGCATCCGCCCGGTGCGTCATGTCCCATGCGTCATAGTCTTCCCATCTCCCATCCCAAATTGGCTCGTAACAGGCGCTGTATGACAGATCCTCCCACCGCTCAATTGATCCGTTGTCCAAGTGCTCAGGAAGCGCATGTACAGCACCTGCCTCTCGGACTCGGAAACGATCAGCATACATGGCCTGGCTTTTCAAGTCGATGTTGACGTCGCTGGAGCCAACCGTGTACAGCTGACTCACAGCCACCTGCGCCTTGATCATGTTGGGGTGAGAACGAGCTTCCACTTGTGCTGGTGTCCAGTACACTTTCCACAGGGTTGGCTTCTCTTCCGGAAACCCAGTAACGTCGGGATGGCTGTGGACGTAGTCTAACATAGCCTTTTTCCATTTGAGGGCCTGCTCTGCAGACACGACGTTCTTCACGACGCAGCAACCGCGGTTTCGAATCTCATCTGCCAAAGTCGAAGGAAATTGGCCATTCTCTCCGATATCCGAAAAGCTTACAACCGGGATCGACTGCACTCCTTTTTCAATGATGCTGACATGCTCAATTACTCATGTGACTTACTTTGGGACCTTCTCTTTCAATCTCAGCCACTCTTTGTTCCATTGCAGCAAGAAGCCTTTCCCAACTCTTCTGCACAGCATCGTATCTTTCAGGAGATACTAGGCGCTTTTTGATATCTGAAAATCGGCTCTCCAGTGGTGGGGGTTTTGTACCGTCGGTGTTCGCCCAAGCCCCCGTGCTTACAACTTTCTGCAGGCGTTTGAACGGCTTTGGCTCGTGTCGCAGCATCGTCAAAGCTGGCTTCGCGGTTGCGGCTGCCATGATTTTTGACTATCAAGGTGTTCTGAGTATAGTGTTTCCGTTCGTTGATGAGGATCGCGGTAAGTGTGAAGTCGGGCTGCACGCTCAACTCCTCCCACTTTTGATATCTCGTTATCGAAACAGGCGAGATCAGCCGTCCGAACTCCGATACTACCTTGCATCTGACTGAAACTCATCAAACAGAGCCTGGTCCATCGCCAGACCGAGGTATTATGACAGATGGAGAGCCAGCCAGGTCATATATTCCGCCGACATGGTCGTCGTCGATGATGGCGGGCTCGAACGCGAAATACAATTTAAGGCACGGAAGCGAGCGAATCTTTAGCCCCCATGATGTTGTAACCCCGCACAGGCGTATCGCATCAACCCTAGCAGTGTAGCACTCAAACTGCACTCAAGAAGTTGTTTGATTCGATATCAGATACGGATCGACAAGACAACCTTGCTTCATGCACATGTATGTGACCCTGGCGAGGGCATGTTCGAGATAGCACTGGCGATAGTCGAAGCATGCTGTGCCGCTGTCAAGGTGATGTATCATGTCTCTCTCTCCACAGCCTTTAATCTCCAGGGACATATCTTTCCACGCTCTCTTGAAGCACCGAGTCCTTGCTGTCCTCAATTCACAAACCGTCTTTCATGCCCATGGATCCCAAGCAGCCTCCTTCGCCTGAAATCACGGAAGGCCTATCGGAAGGTCGTCAAGATGGCTCCAGACCGAGCACTGATTTCTACTGGCGCGGGCTGAGATTACCCAAATACCGTACGCCGATGGCGCAGACCGCACTCGTTGGTCTCATAGCATTCTCCACTGTGTATAGGCCACCTGCTCAAATCTGTGTTACTTAGCTGACTTAATTCAGTGGCATGTCCAGTGCTTTAGGAGGTGCCGGCGGAGGGGGGCTGTTGAACACTTATCAAAGCACTAACGCAAATGTCGCGATATACTCGAGTACGAAATCACCCCGCTGAAAACTAGTAATATCTAGGGAGGTCGAGCTGATTAGCAACAGCTTTCGCGGCGCTGGCTTTCTTTGCCGGTTCTCTCTACAACAAACTGGGTATTCGAATCTGTCTCATGTTCGGCGGATTCGGCTACGCGTGCCTATCGTCTGCGTATCTCTGTACAAAGCATATCGGGAACAGAGCTACACCATTCATTGTTGTCGCTGGCTGCATTGAGGGTCTCTCTGCAGCAATGGTCAGTTTCCAAGCCGCGAGTGAAGCTTACGTGCTAACAACCACCGCAGCTCTGGACCGCGCAAGGTGCTGTCACGATGGCGTACCCGACCGAGGGCGAAAAAGGAAAGGCTTTCTCGCTTTTCTGGACCATGTATCAATGCGGTGGCACCATCGGCTCCATCATTCCAATCTGTCTGAACTGGAACTCTACCCAAGGAAGCTTATCCGATGCAACAGTGCGTAGTCCTCTGACACTTTACTAAAGCTTATCTGATGTTCGTCCTTAAAGTATGCGGTCTTCATTGCTATACAGCTTGTGGGAGCTTTCGTTTGGCCTTGGCTCCTTCTCCCGTCCGACCAGGTAGTGCGTTCAGATGGGACTAAAGTTGTGCTTCCCAAGCACCCGACCTGGAAGTGAGCAAGCATATCATCACCGGGCCAATCCGAGAAGGGATATTGACAAAAAGAACAGATCTGAGCTCACTGGGCTTTACAAGACGCTGATCACTGAAAAGTGGATTGTCACTCTTTTTCCCTTTTGGGCAGCGAGCAACTGGTTTTACACGTACCAGAACAACGACTTCAACGCGCCACATTTCACAATCCGTACCCGGTCATTCAATGGGCTCTGGTCAAATTTCTTCAATATGCTGGTGGGTCTTCCACCGACACCGTATCATGAGACCCGTCTGACTCCGGCCAGGGTGTGTGGTTCATGGGAATTTTTTTGGATCTCAGATCAGAGAAGTACAGCCGTAAAATTCGCGCACGCTGTGGCCTGATATTCATTTTCGTCGCCACCATGGGGATCTGGGTATGTCCGCACCAAAATTCGAAACTTCGAGATATAACCAGCAACAAGTCTGATGGACGTCATTCTAAAACATAGGGTGGTGGATGGTACTTCGTCAAGCCCGGCGGGCCTTTCGAGATCCGCGGTCAGCTACCAGACCCGCTCCTGGATGTGTAAGTTTCTCTTAAATACATCTCTCCCTTTCCTTCTCCAAATCATTCGATCCCCAAATACGCTCTGCCTCCGTTCTCACGCCGCCTTCGTATATAACGCAGAACCCAATCCTCCCGCTATGCCCCTTACCTCATCATGTACATCGCCTACGCCTTCTACGACGGCGCCTACCAATCCTACGCCTACTGGCTCATGGGCGCGCTGTCCAACGACTCGGCCAAATTGGCACGCTATTCCGGCTGGTACAAGTCGATACAGTCGGCCGCGGCCGCCGTCGTCTGGCGCCTGGACGGCCTGCGCACGCCGTACCGCACCATGTATCTGAGCACGTGGATCTTCCTGAGCGTGGCGTGCGTCACGACGACGTACGTGGGATTTTGGAGGGTGCGGGACAGCTCGAACGAGCGAGAAGTGGAAGGCAGGGTGACGGATGGTGTAGATCCGGAAATGGATCAGGGCATGGAAAGGGGGGACTTGGTGGCGCAAGCGGGGAAGGGTGAGTCGGAGGGACGATCGAAGGGCCAGCTGGAAGCAAGTCAATCTTGAAACTCTCCAGTGCGGAAAGACCGGATGCGCGGGGAAGCAATATGACAGTCTGGGCATGATACAAGCCGTGGAATTACACTGAAACAAATGGCAACACGGAGAAACAACCGCCGACTGTCAACCAGCAAGCTCTCTATTTTCCCAGCGGAGCTGAAATACAGCAATACTCGTCTCCTATCAGTGGCAGGAGTTCAGTGCAGTCATTAACTTTGCGATGGCAACCACCCCTGAGATTTCTCTTATTTCCACAGATATCTTCACAACATTTGGTTCTTTTCCTCGTTTAGCAGGCAGCGTTTTTGGGGCGCTTTCCCGGAAATGAGCTGTAGAGTGACCCACCATGGTCCATTGCTGCTTGGTTTCATCGTATCTGCCACTCGATAGAGGAGAGATTCCATTTCTGAAGCAGTAAGGTAGGAAGTGGTGGATCTCTTCTCCACTTTTCAAAATTGGAATATCCATACGGTTGACGAAAACGTTTGCGCTAGTGCCGCAAAAGCCGTGGATTTGAGGCATTTAGCTGTGAGACCAGTTCCGGCATTTCAAAGACAATGCTGCACGTAAAAGAGGCGGTAGAATTCCCCAGCCCGCATCAGGCGAGATCCAATCAGCAGTACTTCCGTTTTCGCCCGCCGAATTTCACAGCCTCGTAAAACCGAGAGAGTATCAGCGCCAAGAAACAGCAGCTGGGCCACTAAAAGTAGAGAAGCCACCTAATCCGCCAGCTTTGTTCTGTGCTTGTATGTACCTAATTGGCCCGGTAACAGGCCAAATAGGATCGGCCAGTCAGAATATACCTAGAAGCAGCGACGAGAGATTCAACAGAACGGTACCAATTTTTCGACAAAACAGAGCCGGTGGGAGATGACTTTTGGAGCCACATCTCTTCGGGCTTCTCGTGCCTGTCCCACGAACTCATTCGCCGTGTGACGAAGAAAGATAGCAACGCACCCAGCGGCTCGAATGGAACATGCTCGTGAGCCCATTATAACACGTTGTGTGGCTGGAGCAGGCGAGTCAAGAGCTGGAAGACCACGTATCGTTGATGATCACGCTGGATCAAAAAGGAAGACAGTGAACAAGTGGGGTCACGGCAGCAATAAGACACATCATAGAGAATAAACCTTTCAACTCGCATTTTGAAGCTGGCTAGCTAGGTATCCCAGAGAAACTAAGAATGAATACCCTTGATCCGCCAGACCATTGCAGTAAGCCATCACCTTGCACTTTTCATCAAATCCAAAAAGTCATAAGCCGGAAAGTTGAAGAAATGGCCGGAGCCGGGGAGAGAAGAGGCTCTCAGATGTACCACATCGAGAAGTCGATGCCCTGACTGTTGTTCATGGGCGTGATGGGGGCAACCTCAGTAGGAGTCTTCTCAGAAGTGGAGGTAGCCGTCTCCTTGGGCTCGGTAGTCTGCTTCTTGCCGGACGAAGGGTTGCCTTCAGCAGCATGGCCACGAGCACGCTGAGACGCCAGGTGAGCATAGTACACCGCAGGGAAGAGGCTGACTGGAGTCGTCGAGCGGATGTACTGGAAGCTGTGCTCGAAGAGCATCTGCTGAATCTCCTCCGAGCTCATGCCGGCTTCGTTCATAAGAACGGTGTAGTGAACAGGGCGAGCGGTACCCTTGATGGCCGAGTGAGCGCAGAGGTAGAAGTCAAACTGGAAGGGGTGCGTAACACCAGTCTCAACGAGAGTACCGGGGTTCGGGTTGCCGTTGCGGTCACCGTTGCGGCCCTCCGGGAAGAAGCGGACGTGGTGGCGCTTCGAAGCGACGATGACGACAAACTTGGTGGTGTTCTTGATGTTGATACGCTTGAAGAGGTTCTTGATGTCGCGAACCTCCTGCTCCAGGACGTGCTGGTACTGGGGCTCGGAAACACCGTCGCGGAAGTAGATGACACGCTCAGGAAGCTTGCCCTGGCCAATGCCATTGACCCAGTGAGTGACCATACGGCCAAGCAAGTTGTCAATGTTCGGGGTGGAGATCATCTCGACACGGAAGCCGTTGGTGTCGCACTGAGCCGCATAGCGGGTCAGCGTCGGGTTCAGCGACATGGTGATGGCAGCAAAGGAGCCAGTCGATCCGTCCTTGAGAGCACCGGGGGCAGGATGCGAGACGTCAGCACCAATGGCCATGGTCGGGATCTTGGCATTGCTGGGAGCAATCTTCGCAAGAGCACCAGTAGCCTTGGAAGTGAAACCACCAAGCTTGGCGTTGACCTTCATGCAGACGTTCGAGTGGTACTGATCTTGGTTCTTCATGACATGGGCAGACTGAAGGAACTGCGTAACAACACCAAGGCGGCACTCGCAGATCTTCTTGATGCGGTTGTAAGTCTCCGAGTTGCGGTCGGGGACGACGAAGAAGAGGAGCTGAGGCCGGAACTGGTTCATATTGCCGGTGGCGTTCCAGAAGTTCGTCACCATCTCAGCACCCTGCTGGATATTGCCGGGCACGAGTTGGTACTTGGCGTTCTGGACGTCACCGCCGTGCTTCTTGTAGACCTCGACGAAGCGGTTGAAGAAGCGCTTGGCGGACTCAGCGTCCACGGCACCACGGCCCTGGACAACACAGACACCCCAAGACTTGAGGGGGACGGTGTTCTTGCCCAAGAACTTCTTGCCAAGCAGCATCCAGCGGCCCTTGCCGGCTTCGTTGGGCGCAACGTGAGCCTGGTTGCCCGTACCACCGAAGGTGACCTGGGGAGGCTGAAGCTGGCGTGCCTTGACAACGACAGGCTTCGGGTCGATCTTGAGGCCGAAGTGAGCAAGGGCAGGGTCCGAGGGCCAGCTCAGCATGTTGAGGCCATGGTCGATGCTCTGCCAACGCTCCTGAGGAGGAGTGACAGCAAACTTGATCATGCTACTCTGGAAAACATGTCAGCTTTGGAACAGTAAGATAAAGGCAAGAGAATTGCTTACGGTTTGCTTCTCGTTGAGCTTAAACGGGTACCTCTGGTTCTGCGTAATCTTGCAGACATCCATTGGCATGTAGATCTCCTTCTTGGTCATCTTGACCAAAGGCAGGCCGTTGATGACAGTCAAGTTGTACTTGCGGCGGAAGTAGTCGGCAACCGTCATCCACTCGCGCTTGTCGCCGTCGCGAATCTCAATCTTGTGCTCATGGGCGGTACGCGACATGATCTTGTCAATGACGTACGACACGGGCTGGTTGGTCTCCGAGTCTCTACGGTGGGCGACGATGACCTTGACCTTGCTCAGGCGCTTGAGGTTCGTCTTCATCATGGACTTGTCCCAGCCCTTTCCCACAGCCTGTTGGTAGGCACCGAGAAAGGCCTGAGGGTTGGGGATGTTCAACATCTGCAGGACGGCATCCTGAAGTTTGGCCTCCTGGAAGAAGGTACCATTGGCGACGTCGACCGTAACCGTCAAACAAGGCTTGTTGGCGGGATTGGTGGCGACTCTCATCGATGAGAAGACACCCTTGAAGGCCTCAACTGCACCGCCGAGTGGAGCGCGGCTCTGACCACGGGCGAAGAAGGACTTCTTGATCTGCGTAAACTTGGTAGAGGGAGTCTCGCGCATGAGATGGTCCAAGAAGATGATGGCCCTGTAAAAACACGTCAGCATGACCGATGGTTGTTGGAAGGTGAGGAGGGGCACGTACTCAGTAATCTCGTTGGCATAGTCAGTCTTGCCGGCGAGGTAGGCGCCGAGAAGGTCGAAGCGAAGAGTCTTGGTGCAGCGCATGGAGAACCGGTGCTTGTTCTTGCCCTTGCGCTCCGGACGGACGTCGCGACCGCGCTCAACATCAAGATCAACATCAAGGTTGGCATCGGCCATCTTGTGAAGCGACCAGGCAATCTTGTTGCCATCGAAGAGCCAGCCCTTGCCAATCTTGGCCTTCACGGTCTTCGACTCCCAGACGTTCATGATGAGACCACGCTTCTCAGTGCCGGAGCCGACGTTGACCTGCAAAAATTGATAGTCAGCGGCTGTTGGAGGAATCATGGATGCGCTTAGGATGTACTTACGTCGTACTGGTACACGGGCTTGGTGGGCATCTGCATGACGTTGAACGTGTTCAACTTGACAGGCACCTCCTTGCCCTGCATGTTGAGCTTGGCAGGACGGGCCGGGATGAAGTTGGGCATGGCAAGCTGGTCCTCATCGTTAGTCTTGACGTCTGCATGCCTGAAGACGGCCATCTTGAGAGTCGTCGATTGTGAAAGAGGTGGTAGTGATGTGAAAGAATGCTTCTTGGGTTCGAGAGATGGGTGTGACAGTGGATTTGCAAGGAGTCGCTGTCGCCGTGTAGAGGGGAAGGAAGAGGTGGAAGAACAATCGAGGCCATTGCAATCATTATAACAAAACGACAAGTGCTGGGGCCACATGCCACTGGGCCTCAAGATGCGCATGGGGATGGTGCGCATATGGTCACAGACGGTGCAAGGACCGCCTTGTGATACTACGCAGCTTGGTTGGGAGACATATGGACGTGCTGAGGCTTCATGCATATCTTGTGACTGGGCTTCGTGAAGATGGGATCTTGCACCTGCATGTAACTGTATGGCACAAGGACATGGGTGATGGACGACGAGGGGCGAAGTATCGGAGAGTAGGCATGGAGCAGTGGAGTAGAGAAGTTTGACTTACACCCTGAGAGGCAAAGAAGGCAGCAATGCCGAGCGAATCCATAACATTGCGCGACGAGATCTCGAGGGTGGTGCCAGGGCGCTGAGGGTCGGCGTTGCCATCGTAGCGAGGGACCGACTGAGGGGAAGAGCGGGACTCGGACGAGTGCTCAGGACTGTTGCGCTGAACGCCAGGCGACTGGCTGGTCTTGCCTCCGGAGGACGAAGGCTCGCCGCAAGACGAGGCGGCGGCCTCAGCCTTGGCACGACGCTTGCCAGCACCAGCCATTGCGAACTTCTGCAGGAGTATTGCATCAGTGATACAGCTCATTGGCATTCCCGCTTGATGATGAAAAGAGACTCACTTGACGGTGATGTGTGGTTTTTGATGCTTTGTTCTGGGACGAGGCGCTTGCGTAGGTGCCAAGCGGACTGTGTTTGGTCGAGTGGACGAGTGTGTTGACGAAAGCGCTTCCTGTGAACGAGTGGGTCAGCTTGAGTTGTGAAAGTGGGACATGCAACGCGGATTGGAAAGGTGAGGAAGTGCAGCCTGATCAAGCAATCATGATGAGCAGCAAAGGATGATGATGAGGGAAGGCGCGTAGATGTCGACAAGACAGAACGCAACTCGCCCGCCATGCTTCTGCCTGGCTCCAATAGCTTGCGCAACTGAGGCAGGATTGCATGGCTGGCGAGGGCGAACGACTTGCTGCGAGATGGGCAAATGTTTGGATTGCTTTCTTGCGAAGCAGATGCAAGTTGTAGTTCTCCGTGAATGAGACAGAACCTACCTTGACTTGCTTGCAGCGGAGCGAGGGAGGTGTTGGGTGGAGGAGGAAGAGAGTTGGTCGGTCGAAGAAGAGCGGCTTAAGTAGGCATGGATCGCAGGGCCAGGGTCCAGTCATTCGTCAGGCGACGTGCATTAGGAAGGCGCGGCCATCGTCACGGCCGCTCGAAGAGGCGCAGGAGGAAGGAGCGGAGAGCTGGGCTGCGCAACGTGCAATCCTACACACAGCAGTGACTCGCCCAGCAGGAGCTGCAGGCTTACAATGGAGCAGTCACACAGCCCTTCCCGTCACCGGACTTCAGCTCAGCCTAGACAGACATACAGGGTTCGCGCAGGCAGGTGTTGTGCGTGTCCAGGTACCATAGCACGACCAGCAGCGCCGCTCTCCGCAGCTATTGACGCCTACCTTATGCACTGCCAGCCTAGTTCAGCATGCAAGCATCAAAGAAAGGAGTGGGTCAACATTCACGCAGCCGCTTTGCGCGCCATCTCCATCTACAGTGGGGGACTAGCGTGTTCTTTCCCTTGCAGCGACGCTGCGCGAAGTGACGGTATCAGCCCGCCTCAACGACCGATGAGGAAGGAATGGGCCGCAAGACATCGAGAAATAGAGGCTGCGAGCATGGGTCACAGTTTTGATGTTGTCAAAGACATGCAAGATACGATGTTAAGTGTGAGAATTCCGTTTGAAGTCTCGACAAGCTTTGGCGCCATCCGCTCCCCACATTCAGCCCTACGACGCTAGGGTGCCGGCACCATGCGCCAATCGTCTTTTGAGGCAAAGGATCCGTCATTGCGTTTCGTGGAATTTCGGAGCATGCACTGATCATTTCCAGGTTGACAGCATCACCACAGCCACATTCAAAACATCGCCGTGCCGTCGTGATGTTTCCCTGACCAAAATCGCCCGATATGCCCGCGAAGCCCCCGCAGCGTCCGCATCACCCAATGGCCCATGTCCCGACGGCGGAATATTTGCAAGCCGAGAGAACAGTCGCATACGAATCGCTACAAAATGGTTCGGTACCTTCGTCGCAAAGGGCATCAGCGCACCTCTTTGATACTACGTGGTGGTCCGCAGTTCTTCGGACCGTGGCTGTTTGCTTTATTTGAAGCTCGCTGATGCAACGATATGAATCCGCGCTCACGCACAAAGAATACAACAAATTTGGTAGTGCTGGCTTCACACTGCCAAGAGGATGATGGAGAGGGTTACACAAAGCTAGGATTGCTTCTGGCATCACAACAAGTTACTGGTATGTCGTGGTTAGTATGCCGGATGGTATAGGGACATCTGAGTAGTAGCAATAGACTATTGAAGCTTAGTTGCATAGTCCTGGTACGTACAAGTATCCTTCGCAAGGGTGGAATGCGGTTGGGCTCTAGAGAGTCGATTCAGGGTCAGCTACAGGGGCGGGCTGACAAGGTGACCTGAATGGCATGTCAGAGGCTCGCTTTTACAAAACTAAAATTTGCCTAATAAACTGATGAGTGTGGCGTCCTTGTATTCTGTGTTGCCTGTGAAAATACACTGACTCGCAGAATAAGCTCACAATGCTGTCCAACGCGCATAAGTAGCCACTAAGCTCATATGAACATCGTAGCAGGTGGACTGGACCATTTGCACCCAGAACCCCGGCCCTCCTTTGCTCGTTCCAGAAAACTTCCACCAAATTTATTGTGCGTAAAGAAGCTGTATTGACAGCAGCAATCAGGTACGCGACATGTCATCAAACATGAAAGGCATTCGAATCGCGGACGCATCAACCAAACGCCATTGTTTTAGTCTTTTTTGCTTATTGTACATACCCCATTCCCGCGTCATTGCAGCGTCTGGCTGCAGATATAGAAAAGGCAGCGCGCGAATACTCATGGTGCATCGCAAATTACCGAGTGAGGAGAGAAGAATTAAAAGAAACGCCATCATGCTCTTGTGAATAAGCCCGCTCCCCCGATGTCTCCCATCATGACTCAGCTTTACGGAGAGAGAGAGAGAGGCTGGAAGGGATCCTGCTTTCCAAATTGGATGGTCACTACAATCCACGCTATGTAAGAGGAAAAGGGTGATCGAAGAAAACCGGCCAGCACAGAAAAGTGACCAGAGGCGTACATGTTGTACTACCACACCCTGCTATGATGTACCTGGTCGGTCCGCTGTATGCGGCTCTACCACTGTTGCCATACTTTCAGCAGCTTATCCTTTATGAAATCTCACATTCTCGAATATCTCACTCAACTTGCGCCATTCTATGAGTGCTTCCAACGTTGGTTATCATTCGAGAAGAGATGACTCCACGGAAGGCCAATGGCGGCACCGCATTTCCTAGCGAAAATAAGGGTTGGGGCCGTTCATCGGCATCTGGCCCATCGGATGTCCAGCGCCAGGAATCTGACGGAGCGGCTCGATCCTATGCGGCGGTGGCCATGTCTGCGGCAGCTGGACGTTGCGCAGCACATCAACAACCCGTTCAGGGAAGAACCGCACAGAATTGTAAGAATGGGCGGACGGGATGATGCTGAGGATGAAAGTGATGTCGCGAGGCAGAGGCGTAGGCTGAGCGCCGGCACCTCCTGCTTGTGTGCTGTTAGCACCGTCCCGGCCGAGAGCACGGCCCTGCTGAGCAGCCAGACGTCGACCGGCAGCGCCTTTGAGTGGCGATTCCCCACGGGCAATCTTGCGCGGTTGCACTGCTGAATCGTTGTCTGAGTCATCGGGAACGAATGGACGCTTGGGTGAGTCGCGAGCCTGAACAGGCGGAGGGCGGGGAGAGTCGATCACGGAAGGAGGCACGGATGAAGCGGCAGGTTGTTGCTGTGGAAGAGGCGCTGCCGGCTGCGTGACTTGTGCTGGTTGCTCCATACCTGGCGGGGGCTTCGGTTTAGCTTGCGTAAGAGGTGAGATGATGGGGCGGATTGCAGTAGGGTCGAAGGTGGGCTTAGAGTAGCGGCGAGAGAAGTGAGAGAGCTGAGGGTCCTCTGGGAAAAGCTCTGCCATGCGCTTCTCAAGCTCCTGGATCTGACTGAGTTCGCCGTAGTGCGACTCATATTCGTGGAAGAAGGAATATATCGGCTTGGCCTTCGGGAGAGTCTCGGGCTTCTGTGCGAGCCTGCTGACCGTCGTCTTGAAGACTGCTCTTGCGTTGGTGATGTCGTTCTTCGCAATGAGATGCTTAAGATACTCCAACGCGAACTCCTCGTCTTCGGGGAACAGCTTCATGCCGCGTTCTAAGATCTTCGTCGCAGCGGGATCATTGTAGCAATGGTGCTCGATCAGGGCGCTAGCAACGTACACATCACTCGTGATGCGGCCAGCCTTGCGAGCGTCTGCGAATACCTGGCGGAAGCCGCCGATCTTCTCGCCAGGCTTACCCTTGCCCTGTATCCGGCGCATAGCCCTGATCAGCGCGATCCACGCAAATGAGACAGTCCTGGAGAGCAGTTTGACTTGTGCAGCGTTGCCCTTCTGAATCGCCTCGATTTGAGCCTGAAGAGCAGCTTCCTTGGCCTTGGCAGCGCTGTTGCCCTCCTGATCCTCGTCATCGTCGTCGGCTTGTTCCTCCTCGTTATTTTCAAATTGCTGCGCAAACATTTCCCTGATGCGGTTGACCATGTCGGTTTCGCGAGCCTTCGTCTTGTTTATCAAAGCGTAAAGAGCATCCAGCGCCTTCTGGTACGGCTCGCGAACAAGCTCGCCACGGCGGATGAGGCTGTCCTCACCCTCTTCGTTTGCAGACGTCATTTCGATCCTATCGGCGCGCTTAAAAGCAAGCAGACAGCTCTCCGGGTTGGCCTCACAACCCTTGGCAAGGAAATCATTGCCTTCTGACTCCAGGTCGTTCTGGAAAGCAAACTCAGCTGCATCGTACCACATCTCAGGCCAGAAGCGGAGAGCCATCAATGCCTGCTTGTAAACGAAGATTACACGGGCCTTGAATGCAGCGGGATCTTCCTCTTTCAGCACCAACGGATCTTCCTTCTCCCAAGCAATCCACTTCTTCCAGATGTCGACTTGCTTCATGTACTCAAGGTCACCATCAAATCCAAGAGCAGGAGGCAGCTTTGCAAGAGTCGTCCTGTTCAAATCCTTGGTAATGTTCTCCAACGCAACTATAGAGCTACGTGCGGTCATGTAGGCAGGTGACTTCTCTTGGAGGAACTTGCGGCCCTTTGGAAATGGGTCAGTTTGTTGGAACAAGAACGCTCAGTTCAGGGCTACTTACGGTAACCTTGTTCAAGCCCATTTCAAAGCGATCGTACTGCTTCCAGAGTGCCGTGACTGCGTCGGTCGGGACACAAATGGCCTTTTGGTAGGCCTTGCGCAACAGGTCCATCTTCTGCTGGTCCTGCCAGGTACTTCCACCAACATTTCCGGGGCCGGATTCGATGAACTCGACGTAATCCTGCCAAAGCTGGCCGGCGTCCTTGTCCATGCCGACGTTCTGGAGGACGAAGTCGTACGCTAAGGAGACGGTTTGGCGAGCGCTGCCGGTTGCATCTGCTGTCAGGTTGTTGCGTCTCCGAATGTAAGTAAGATAAGTAGACCATAGCTCAACATGGGGGACTTGGAGGAGGGATTGCTCGAAGATGCGCTCGACAGCGTAGAAGTTGTTAGCCTGCAACTCCATGTTCGCGTACGCCACCCATTGCTCGGCCTAAGATCACACATATCAGCTCGAAAACCGACAATGCAGCGGGCTGGTCCAGCTTACCGCGTACGGGAAAACCTTGAAGAAGCGGGCGTAGGCGGCACGAGCTTCCTCGAGCTTGTCACGCCGCCTGTACTCGTTGATCAGGCTCAGCCAAGCGTCCAAGTCGCCGCGTGGGTCCTCCTGAATCCTGTCTTCAAGAATGCCAATGCGGTCCTGCGGCAGACGCGCCTTGGAAGTCGGCTGCACAGCCGCGTGGGTCTGGGGCTGGGGATTGACAGGCGTAGCGGAATCAGCAGGAGGAAGTGCGCTTTGAGCGCCATTGGAAACACCTGAAACACCCTGATCTTGTGCAGCTTTATGTATTGGTACATTTGATGATGAAGGAAGTGCATTGACTGGAGTCTGAGAAACAGAACGCTCTGGCGTATGCGTAGAACCCGGCGCAGAAACCTTCACTCCCTGAGCACCAGCTGCTTTTGCGACGGGGGACTCGTCCTCGTCGTCCTCGTCATCTACGACAAACCCACCCATCGTACGTGGCGGCTTGGCCTGGGTCTTCTGGTCGGGTACGGCCGACGCGGTGCGCGACGGGGCCTGCGAGGCGGGCTGCGACGGCGTCGGCGTGGACGTTGACTGAGCGGACTCAGCTGGAGCGGGGACGGCACTGGGGTCATAGGCGGAGGTGTCAGGCATCAGGGCGGACGGGTCGTAATCCTCGTCGTCGTCTTCGGCTGGCGCAGCCTGCGGCGGTTCGTCCTGCGTGGGCTCGTCGTGCTGTTGCGGCTCGCTGCCATTGCCAAAGGCGGCGGCGGCATCGGACTGCAGCGACTGCAGAAAAGCCATCTCGGGCGTCATGTCCGCCATGGTGGCGGCGGGCGAGCTTGGTCGGGCTGTAGGTGTGGCTGCAGCTGTAGCTGAGGGGCGGCGACAGCTGTAAAGCTGCTCTGTCAGTTGCGGGATCGGCGCTTGGGGTCGGACGCGCAGAGTCGCGGTCACAGCGCTGAGGCGGGACAGGCGGCCGGGCGCGGGGTGCGGGTGCGCAAGCGCCTTTGTCCTGTGGGCGGAGTGGCTGGGTTTGTGCGGATTTCGGTGCTTGGAGGTGGTGAGTTTGGCGTACGGAAGCGGAGGCCGTTGACTTTGCAGCGCCGGGCCAGCCAGCTTGCTCGCGCAATGACGCCCGTTCCTTGGCGCGGATCGTCACTTCAACCGCAGCACCACTCCTCAGCTGCCCTAGCCCCGACGTGTCACTCCAGGAACACGCCCTCCCAAGACCGCCAGCCGTCGCAGCAGCATCCAGCCGACCCGTCCGCCGCCATGAACCCGCAGATCTCGCTGCCGCGCCATGGCGGGCCCTCGACCAACTTCGGCGGCACCGCGCCCAGCAACCGCCGCCAGGGCGTCAAGATGCCGCGCTTCTTCAAGCGCCTCTTCAAATTCCCGCAGATGGACTTCGAGACTGCCGTCTGGGAGATGATGAGCCTCATAATAGCACCGAAGAAGGTGTTTCGCTCTATATACTACCATGTAAGGCAATCTGCGCCTTTTGCGACGCGTATGCGCGCGGCAGCTGGCTAACATTCGTTGCAGAAGCGTAATGCTCCTCGAACATCCGTGTCTCCCGGCCCATGCTGATGCGCAACACCAGAAACGAAGAATACCTGGCACCGGCCTGATCCCGCCTTCACCTATCTGCTGTCGTTCTTTCTGATCCTGACCTCGCTCGCTTGGGGTCTGGCCTACGCCGACGGCTTCGGCAAGACGCTGCGCATAATGCTAGTCTTCGTCTTCGTGCACTTCATCGGCCTGTCTCTCGCCGTCGCGACGGCTGCGTACTTCTTGGTTGGAAGGCTGCTCGGTCCGGGTGTGCCTGGCTTACCCGGCCGGCGGAGACAAGGCCTCTTTGTGCAGCCAGGAGACGGAGAGCAGCTGGAATTCGGGTACTGCTTTGACGTGAGTGCAGGCGCATGACTCCGCCAGAAAGCCGCCACAGACCAACTCACAGTTCCGCAGGTCTCGATTCGCGCGTTCTTCCCAGTCTGGTTCTTCCTCTACGTCATTCAGTTCCTTCTGATGCCTCTGATTGCGCGCGACTTTTGGGTTTCCTCGCTCGTTGGAAACTCGTTGTACCTGCTCGCTTTTGGGTATTACACCGTGATCACTTTTCTGGGTTACAATGGTATTTCCCACTTTGAGCTCCATTCAAAAATAGTCTTTACTGATTACAGTATAGCTCTCCCTTTCCTCCACCACACCGAACTTCTCCTTACCCCTGTCGCCGTTTTCACTATTCTCTGGTTTATTAGCCTGTTCGGTGCCAACCTGCCCAAACATTTGGCACCCGTGTTGTGGGCGGGAGCCAAGTTGCGCAAGTCAGTGTGATCCGCACGTATGCAATCATTGGGATACAAAAAGAAAGGATGTGGTTTGTGTGTTGTAATTTTAGCGGCTTAATCATGGCATCGGCTGGGCGTTCTGTGTTTTGGGTATCTGGTTGAATCCACGTGAAAGCTCTCTGTATAGGATTAGGCATCAGAGCTCAAAACGGTTGAGGTTTCGCTTGTTCTCCTGTTTCACCACCATGTGCATAATCCCTGCAATGGAAGAACCATCATCATGACACCGTGTCCATCATCACACGGACGACTGAAAGCCTTAAAGCTTGTATCAAGCAAGCCTGTGCTTCGGCGCTTGGGCCGAGAACTTGAACTCCAGAATCGATCCTGTTGGTCCTCCACTTCCATTACTTTCAATGATGCGCATCATGGCGAAATAGAAGTGCACATCACCAGTCGATTATTTTGGTGTCAAGAGGGGCCCGCAGGCAGGCTGATTGAATAACAAAATCGTTCTATTCCGTAATTCTCTTTGCACCCAGAGAGGCAGTCAGCATCGTTCATGGCCTCGGTCCAGAATCTGAAGGGGGTGATCTGTGATACATCCAGGAACAAACAAGGGCGAACTAAATATTCTTCACACCAGCACTTTGAGAAATCAAGCATGATCACGCGAGCTAGGGGAGAAATCGGCTCACATGCGCTTCCTCTAAAAGCTTTCTGTTCCCTGTTTCCGCCACACCTGACTCTAGTATATCTATATCTAACAGCCCCACTCACATATCGTATTAACACGATCGCACAAAGGTATATTCTGAGTCGAGAGTAATCCGCCTTCGCCTCTTCCTCATTAGCCGAAGCTATCTGTTCCACACGTCTACAAAGTCCTCTTCTCAAACTTCTCCTCGTAGCACTGAATCGTGTCACCGGCCTTGAACTCTCCCCAGTTTTCAAATGCCATACCGCACTCGTTGCCCTTCCGCATCTCTGTGACGTCCTTCTTGACCTGCTTGAGGCTAGAAATGCTGCCTAGAATGAGAACAATCAGTCAGCAATGTAAAACAAAAAATTAAAAGAGAGAAAAACTCATGAACATACCTTCGTAAACCTTCTCCTCATTCCTGAAAACGCGCACCTTACCCCCCCTGTTCACCAGACCGTTTGTTACCCTGCATCCGGCAATGCTCATCATCCTCTTCTTGCCCAAGCTGACCTCAAAGACTTCGAGCACGGATGCCTCGCCCGTGACGCGCTGCACGACGGTCGGCGCGAGCTGCTCGCTCAGCAGCGCCTTTACGTCGTCGACGAGGCGGTAAATGACGTTCTGCTCCAGCACACGCACGCCCTTCGTCTCGGCCACGCGCGCCATGCGCGAGTCCAGCGTCGTGTTGAACGCCACCACGTGCCCGCCCGCCGTCGCCGCCAGCTCCACGTCCGACTCGCTGACCGGGCCAATGCCCGTCCGGAGCACCCGCGGCCGCACCTCGCCGTTGCCCACCGTCATCACGTAGTCCACCACCGCCTCGACTGATCCAGACACGTCGGCCTTGACCACAAACGGCACTTCCATGGGCCCGCCCGTTGAAGCCTCGAGCCTGGCCTTCTCCGCCGCAGCGACGGCGGCTGCTGGGTCCGCCTCGCCCGCTTCCGCAGCGGCGGCGAGTGCCTCCTCGCGCTCGCGTTTCTCGTGTTCCAAACGGCGTGCCTCGTTAATGGCCTCCATGTCTTTGGCCATCTGGACGCGATCCGCATTTGCCTCACGGTACTCAACGACCTCGGCGGCACGCTGCTCATCAGGGGCCTCGAGGACCTCGTCGCCGGCCTCGGGCTGACCGCGCCAGCCATCGATCTCAGCGGGCATACCAGGGCCAACTGTTGGGATGTCAACACCAGCCTCGTTTTTGATAGAGCGAACGCGAGCGAACGTCTGGCCAGCTACGATGATGGAGCCAACCCTGAGCGTGCCGCGGCGGACGAGCACCGTGGCGACCTTGCCGGATTTCTTAGTCGTGGCTTCCAGGACCCAGCCTTCGACGGGACCTTCAGGGTCGGCACGATGGTCCAAGATTTCGGACAGCGTGATGGCAGCTTCTTCGAGGTCTTGCATGCCTTCACCGGTCTTGCCGCTGACTGGAATGGCTTGGATGTCTCCGCCAAAGTCTTCGACATCAACACCATGGCGTGCTAAATCTTGCTTAACACGTTCGGGGTTTGCGCCCTCCTTGTCAATCTTGTTGATAGCAACTATTATGGGAACACGAGCTGCCTTGGCGTGTTTGATAGCCTCGAGAGTCTGTGGTTTGACACTGTCGTCAGCGGCAACGACAAGAATGACGATATCTGTAACATTCGCACCACGCTGGCGCATGTTGAGGAAAGCAGCGTGACCGGGGGTATCCAGGAAAGTGATGGTTTTGTCATTCGACAGGGGAACGCTGAAGGCACCAATGTGTTGAGTAATGCCGCCAAATTCAGTTGCTGCAACCGACGACTTCCGTAGGTAGTCGAGCAGAGTAGTCTTTCCATGGTCGACGTGCCCCATGATGGTCACAACGGGTGGACGAGGGGGAAAGATCGTCATGTCCTCCGGCTCTGGCGCAGGGTAAAGGTCAAGGTCATCCGCGGGGTTGGCAGCAGCGGGCTCGAAGTTGTATTCCATGGCGATCAATCCGGCATTTTCAGCATTCAAGATATCGTCGTTGTTGATATCCTCGTACCCAAGTTCTTCCATCTTTCTGACAAGGTCTTCCGTGCGAACTCTGAGCATGTTGGCCAGACTAACAACACTGAGATACTCCGGAAGATAGATCGGGGTCGGAGGTGCTACTTCCGCGACACGCTTCTTTTTCTTGTCTTTCTTCTTCGACTTGCGGCGCTCGATGCGGTTAAAGTCGACATCTTCCTCCTCTTCCAAAGCCTTACTCCGACCACCCCTAGCCTTGCGCTTACGCGGAGCTTCGTCCTCCTCAATATCAGCAAACTTCGAGAATCTCGTAGGACGCTCACGTTCCTGGACATTCTGCACAGTAGGTTCCCCCTGGCCCAGCTCCGGCGGTTGTGTCTCTTTAACTTCTTGAACCTGCTCCTGCTCCTGCTCCTGCTCCGGGGCTTGGGCCGGGGCTTCTTGGCTTGCCACTTCTAGTTTTGGGAACGCTCCCAGCAAATGATTATGCTCAACACGAGGCTCAGGCTTAGAGAAGGACGATCCTTGGCTGGCCGGCGCACCAGTACCCCAAAGCACCCTTAAAGCGTCCTTTTCTGGATCTCCCGTGGAAGGAGGGACAGACCGTGCCTGCGCCTGTTCTGGTCTCACGAAATTCTGTGGCCTTGTCTGTTCCTGCACCGCACCAGCAGCGGCACCGCTTCCACTCGGGTTGTTGTTCATCCTGCTTAAGAGATTCATCCTTCTTGCGTGACTCTGCTCCGAGCTTAGCGGCACAAAGCTCTTATCTCCTTCCTGCCTTGTCCTCGCATATTGGCCCTGTTGCTGTTGCTGCTGTCGTTGTACTTGCTGCGGTAGTATCCGGCCCTTCGGCGTCAGGGCATGCTGCCACTGCTCCACCTTAGCCTTGTCGAACCCACCCAAATCTTCTCCCCTCTGCTGTGACCTCAACTGTTGTGCCCGCTCGACCCGGACATTGTATGACGAAGTGCCAGTAAACCCTCTCCCACCTGCTACTCCCTGCTGCTGCTGGCGCTTGTGATGTTGATCCTGTGTAGTACCTTGATCTCTTCTTCCGAGGTGTGTGATCGGCGACCCCCGCGAATTCGAATATCGGGACGATTGAGCAGACTGCGCGAGATGTGATGGAGGTGGCGACAGCCTATCGAACGTCGCCTTCAGCAATGCATTCTCCGCATCGCTTCTGGCGGAGAGTTGTCGCTGTTGAGGTGGCGACTGCTGCTGCTGCTGTTGCACAGCCGGTTTTGCGAAACGGTTTTGTATAGCATCGCGCTCTGCGTCCGCTGCAGAGACATGGTTGCGTAGCTGCGACTGCGGCGCACCGTTGCCGAAATTCTGGGGAGAAGGTCTCGATGAGGAGATTCCGCGGCGTTGCTGAAGGTATCGAGTCGTGACAGGAGCTGCCGGCGCGCTGAAAGCGGAGGAGAGTGGGAGGGAGTGGAGCGTGGTGTCGAGAAAGCTGCCGCTGTTGAAGCGCGTTGCGCAGAAGACGCAGACGTTGTGCGTCGACGACGCCTTGCGGAAATCAATTAGCTTTTCATAATTTGTAGGAGGGAAATGAGAGAGTGATGTACTCTAAGGGCTTGCTTCCGCATCATTTGTGCAATTTTGTAAAACAGAGAGGTGGCAATTGGGAGAGTTTGAAGGTTCTCGTGGAGCTTTTCCTTGCGGGCGTTGGAAAGCAAGACCCGACGGAGATGCGGCACGGCCCTGATGGGCACATTTTTCGCGAGTCATGCGGCTGATTATCGCGGCGGACACGATTCGTCCCCCGGACTTCCGACTCCACCGGCCACGACATATCTCACGTAGTGGCATTCGAACGTGGCACGGGGAAGGATAAATTATCGGGGCCATGCCGCGCAGCTGGTTCTTGTCAATCAACACCCGCAGAGACTTGTATTTCACACTATAAAATGCAAAATTACGTTTTCCTCATGAATTGAATTGGTATCTCCCAAGGTATCAAAAGAAGCCGTCAACCCATCAAGCATGAACCGCGTCATTACATCCGGCAATGTCTCGTCGGCTTTCCCAGAATATTTCCAATATCCGTAATGCACGTTTTATTCCCATCTCTAATGCTTGGCTTCGCCCTTCTCCGCCTCGATAATGGAGTGGCGCCTGTCATTGCCCGTGAACACGCTGTCAGGCAGCATGTTGAGCTTGTCCTCCTCCTTGTCGAGCTTGTGGAAGCAGATCCAGAAGAAAATGCCGCCGAGTGCCGCCAGAATGGCTGAGACGGCATAGTTCCAGACGAGCAGTGGGTCCTCAGCCAGCGGGACGAGAGCCTGGTTGAGCGCGGAGCCGAGTGCCGACGTGAAGAGGAAGACGGCCGTGACGAGCGAGCGCATGTTGTGTGGCGCCTTGGTAAAGGCGTACTCCAAGCCCGTGATGGACGCGAAGATTTCCGAGAAACCAATGAGCACGTACGGCAGTGTCTGCACCCACACGTTGATCGGCGCCTGGATCTGTTCGCCATCTTCGTTCTTGCACGAGTTCATCTGGTTGCCGCACTCGCCCAGCTTGTAGATGTAGTGCTGCGTGGCGGTGGCCGCGAGCATGGCGAGCACGGCCATGAGGAAGCCGACCGCGACACGCTTGAGCGGCGTGAAGTTGATGCCGACCTTGCGCAGAGCCGGGTACAGAAAGTTGTCGACAAGAGGAATGAAGATGATCAGGGACAACGGGTTCAGATTGTTGATGATGTCGTTGGGCGCACCGTTCAGCTGCATGGTGGCAGCTTGCGAGGTCAGGTTGTTCGTCATCTGGTTGTACGCCAGCCAGTACAGAGGGTAGAAGGTGAAGACCTTGCAGGCCTTGAAGCCACGGCGGACCTCGTCAACCCACGCATCGTCGAAGGTCATCCATGCGGGCTTGGCATCTCCGAGATGGCTGGGCTTAACACTCTCCCAGAAGTCGCCGTTCTTGAAGTTTGCAACGGTGCGGACAGGGTTCAGAGAAAAGCGGCCCTTGGCACCCAAGCCTATGAGTCTGAAGGCCTTGGCAACGACGGAACCAGTGGGCGGCGTAGTCCTATACTTGTTCTTGCACCAGAACAGGACCATCGGGCAGAACAGGAACATGATTGTGGGGAGGGTGAATGACAGCCAGAATCCCACATACTTCTCGGCGAACACCATGCCTGCCCATGCGAATCAGTAAGCTGAACGGCAAACAGATTAAGATCGAGACACATACAGACTTGGCCGACGAGAGAGCCAATGTTGATCATCATGTAGAAGTACAGGAAGACGCGGGCAACAGTGATGGCTGGGTCGGACAGCACGCGTTGTCCTGTCTTCTCGTCCCTGATGACCTTGGGCTTGATATCCGTGATTTGCTCGGCAATCAGTGGCGAGATGTTGGACTTGAAACCGCCGGTACCGCAGCCCATGATGACCAGACCAACGGCGAAAACACCCATGGCAGTGTCGGGCTTGGTGATGACGGCAGGCGAGGCGGAAATGATGAGGAACATGTGACCAATGAGCGAGATGAGGATGGACCACTGGATGGTTTTGAAACGACCGAGGTACTCATCGGCGACGTAGGCACCAATCAGAGGGCAAGTGTAGGACCAGAAGCTGTTGACTAGAGCGGGTGAGCATGTGCGAGGCTTTTGGCGTGTCTGCGAGACTCACAGGTTGTCAGACCGGTGGAAGCCTGCTGGCCGCGGTTCAAGGCACCAGACTGGCCATCGAAGCCGGCACCCGTGTTCGAGCCCGGCGGAAGGGGCTGCTGGATGTAGTTGACGTCTTCGGCGGTCAGTACCACGATGCGGGCAAGATATCTGGGCTTTGGTGGAACATACAGACGATGGTGGTACCGTAGTACGAGAAACGCTCGCACAGCTCGACGAAAGCGATCGTGTAGGTAGTCCACGGGATCTTGCCTGAAACGCGGAGAAGCGTGCGGAGGTCCTCCTCGGTGGGCTTCGACTCGTCGGTCGTGGTGGACTCGGTGTCGAGCGGAGCCTCCCTCAGCTCCAGCTCCTTCTCGCCCAGCGGAGTCGGCGCGCCAGGCTCATGGCTTTTCGCGATCTCGGCGTCCTCAATGATTCTGCTCATGGTTGCGGCGGTGGGGTGGAAGAGAGAAGAAGATCTAGACGGGAGGTGCTGAAGCGACCAGCAGGAAGTTGAGCGGGGCTGCGGTGAAAGTCACTGCAGAGGGCTTGGGAGGCCAGGCAGAGCTGGGACGGAGTAGACGGGCTGCGCGCAGAGTCGAAAGACGAGAGCGCGGGCCATGGGTAAGTTATAGGTTTTGGCATCGAAGCACACGGCAGCGATCCAATTAGGAAGGTAGCTGACCATCACCGGCGCCCAGCATCTTGGAGCGGTACCCTTGCAGAGATAGACGGCCAGATGGGCGGCGGGCCTGTATGCCAAGGCAGCGCGCCCGCCGAGTCGTCAATGGCCGACCGCCACTGCAACACGCGAGGTCCGCGATAAGCAAGGCCCGTATCTTCAAGCTCCTGTGGGCGGCGGAGAAGAGATGGCTGGGCGCCGCCGCTTACCCCGGTCGAGCAAGAGCCAAGACCGCGTACGAGTCCCGCGGCCGCTCGCCAAGCTTTCCTCGCCGGCACTTGCGAAGACGACCAGCGGTCGGAGAAGCTTTTGCCGCGGCGAGCAAAGTTTTGCGCCGAACCGTTGCGTGCGTACGCGTCGCGGCGGCCGGAGGAGGCCGAGGCGCGCGCGCCGACGCGTCTGGGTCGCGGCGTGTCTGATATGTGAGGACACGGCATGCGGCCTGCATCCTTCGCGAGCGCCCGCTCGCTCCAGTCTTCCAGAAGGTCTTGGACCTGCCGGGAGCAGCAAGGAGCTCGAAAATGTGGCAGACGCTACCCGGCGGCGCAGGGCTGTAACGTCTCGTCGTGATAAAGCGTCCCGCCAATAGGCGCCAGCGTTGCAGCGGCACTCTTGGCAGCCAAGCCTCGGCGGAACAACGACGTCGGGCGACTGTTCCAACCTGGCAAGACCTGCCTCGGGTGAGGATTGCTTGCAGTCGTGCCCATTGGCCGCCGGCCGCTCGTATTTGCCGCTATCATTGTTGTGCTTCTCGCCTCGACGACCTCGAAGGAACGTTCCAAGAGGCCATGCTGACCGTGTCGCCTGAGCATCGAGAGACAGCCGTCGCTATCTGTGCGACCAAGACCCGCTTCGCATTCTGACGCCAGAACCCGTCGTGATGTCGAAATGAAATCGTGACAGAACCTTTAATTCGTTGACTCGCGTTCTTTCCGCTACGCGAGTCGCCAGGAACCTGCTCAGATCGAGGGAAGTTGCCGGCGGCCCGCTCCAGTTCCCTGCAGTCAGCACGTAACACCAGATGTGTGCACATCGCGGGGGCCGCAGCCTTTGATCATGGGACTTGTACTTGTGCGGCTAGAACTTCTGCAGCTAAAATAGTCCCCACGATCCGATCCAGGCCATCCTTCCCCTCGGGCCTGCAATGTCCGTTTTTGTGTTCCGCCCCCCGGATATCTCGCACCCTAACGAATCAGAAAGCCTTGCCACCATATGCGCCATCCATGTGTAGAGATCAGGGCATGTACGCCCCGCCCGCCAAAACCAAGTTCATCCTCGTAAACTCCACCTTGTACACCGGGCTCTTCTTGGTGGGGAAGGCACTTATCTGATCTGCCGTGACGACAACATCCTTCGCCTTCTTCTTGTTCGCAGCACCAGCTCCCGATCCGCCGCTGCCATCCATCTTGGTGCCCGCGCCGCCTTCCGCAATCACCTTGCCATTGGCGCTCTGAGTCTCGGGCGTCTCTTGGAGCACATCCCAGACACGCACCGTGCCGTCAGCACCGCCCGACACGATGACCGACGATTCGACGCTCCAGGAGAGCGACCAGATGCCTCCCTTGCTATGGCCGCGCATCCGCTTGATACGCAAACCCGCCGCAATGTCCCAGATGATGATGTTGCCCGAGTCGTCGGCGCTAGCAAGCTTTTTGCCGCTTGGGGAGCAAGCAAGCGCCGTGATATTGCTCGTGTGGCCGGTGAACATCCGCAGCGGGTTGCCGTTGATGTGCCACATGCGTACAGTCTTGTCGCTGGACGCCGTGAACACATAAGCACCGTTCGGGTGCCATTCCACACAATCGACGTCGTTATCATGCCCAACGTACAGCCGGTGCGGTGCGATGTGGTCTGTCGTCCAAAGGCGCGCTGTGCGGTCCAGAGATCCAGTAAGGAAATAGTGTCCGAAAGGACCCCACTTGACATCCCAGACAGGCCCGCTGTGCGACTTGTATGCTGTCACGCACGTCCAGGTTTCCAGAGACCACAGGCGGATCGTCTTGTCCGCCGAGCTGGAGAGCAGATACTTGGAGCGGGTCGATGGGCCTCCAGAGGCAGGGTTGGCCGTGGATGGCGAAAAGGAGACGGCGTAGATGGGACCAGAGTGGCCGATTAGACGCTTGGAGGCAGATGGCTTATCATTCGGGTTCACTGACGGTAGCGCATTGCCGTTCAACGACCATACGCGAATGTACGACTCTTGCATGCCCGCGGCAACGAACTCATTGTCACCGGAGAAGTCGAGGCAGTTGATACTAGATCCAAATTAGACCGTGTTGATTCGCATGCGTCCATGACATACCTGTCAAATGTGTTGTGGAATGTGAACATGCAAACACTGACACCAGGGCCAACGCCTCCAGTGCGACCTTCAATCTTGAACCTGTCACGGTTCTCCTTCACCTTCTGAACTTCCATCAAGACGTCACGCGCCAGGGAAGGTGGCAAAGGAACTGTTTCACGAGTCGGCGCCTCTTCTGTCGATTCGCGCTTGATGCGTTGTTCAAACTCATCAACAAGAGAGTTTTGGCCGGGCCTTGGGGGATTCTTGCTATCCTCTTCCTGGAGTTCGGCTCTCACGTCCTCCATCAGCTCTGGCTCCATGGGGAGCGTCCCAAGCTGCAGCTTCGCGAGGACCGGCGGTGCGTTTCTGTCTGTATTGGCTGAACCAGGATTGTGACCAGGGATGCCCTCATCTTCGGCGGGCAGATCCTCTTCTACGCTGCCACGAGCGATCATGGCAGCCAAGCTCCTCTCGTTGCCTGTTGCAGTACGATCCTGCGTTATGATGTTCATAAACTTGTTCATGAGGCTGATTATGACCGAGCCTCCCTCTCTTTCCTTCGACTCCAGATATTGAATGAGGCTGTTGAAGGCCATGTTGCTCAGCGTCAGACGATACTTGTTGCCTCTGTAGATTCCTGCGATATGGCTGTCCGCAACGTGCTCCGGAAGGCTTATTGTCGATAGCTGGCGAACGTCCTGGTCATGTTCTTGGACGAAAGAGTCTTTGTATCTGCTGAAGAAGCTGCTGGCGTCTCTTTGGTAGAACTCCCTGTGCATCTCGAGGTAGGAGTAGACAAAGATAGGCCAGAGCAGTCGCCGCAGCTCTACTTTGTAGAGTTCAAGGTTGTCTTCGATCCATGCACGAAGCAGTTCGAAGGCTTTTTCGTATTGGCCACCACCGCGATCTTCAGCGCGGGTGACGATGGGGCGGCCATCGGCATCCTGATTAGCGGATTCCTTGCGCAGCATAGCTTCGGTGCGGTTGTAACCCTTCTTATTAAGGTATTCCAGAACCTACAAACAAGAAAGCCAAAGTCAGCGCTCTGCCTTAGTTGGTATGTGCCAGCAACGAAGACTTTTCCCACGAGTTCAGAAGTGTCATGGGCTGATGTTAAAGGTTTCTTGGTCGCCATTTTGATTGGGAACAAAAAAGAGTTGAAGATAAAGTCCAGAATGTAATGGCCAATGACGCGTGTGATGTGGTGACCTAAGAAGTTGCTTGATCCACGTTGCAGAGTTGGAACTCCTGGCGATGGCCCTGGAATGTGCAATGAGGCAAAGTGAAGGCGCACCTGCTTGAGACTATGGCTGAAGCCGCCAGTGGGGAGCCCGACCGTGAGGAGTCAAGTGCAGGGCACAGGTTGGGACGGGTTAGCAGTGGCTGAAGGAAGGAAGTTGTGGAAACTGCGGCCTTGGTTGAACGGACAGCTTGATCTTGATCAACCCAGTCCGAGGTGATTGTATGCTACGGGCGGCCCGGGTCAAGGCCCGTGCGGGGCTAGCAGCCGGATTACTCGGGGCAGTTGAGTTCGTGAATGATCCCAAGCGCGGTGGGAAGTACAGCGGGCTCCTCGGGTGGAATAAAAGGCAATCTCCAGGACTCCAGCGAATTTCCAATCATGGCAGGCAAACCAAAGCAAATCAAAATATTAAATGAAAAGAGAAAGCACCTACAATGTGGTTCAGGTTCTGGGACGACTGGGCTGTGCCGCCGGGAGCGGCTCCCACAGGAGGCACACCACCTTGCGGCGGCATGGGCTGGGAAGGACCGGCCATTCCTGCGCTGGGGGGGCCATTACCCACACTCACGCCCCGCGAGTGCGCGGGCCCGCCGCCGGGCTGGGGACCGGACATGTCGTGGCTGCGACTCGAGATTTCCAGCTACCGATCGGGACTTTTCTCTTCAAGCGCCACGCTGCGTCTCCTTTCGCGACCGAGAGGACAGAGCTACTTCTTCATGAACTGCGGATCCACGTGAGCGGAAGGCGTGCGATGCGACGGAGATGGACGACGGTGAAATTGGTGAGAGGACGCTCCCTTGCGGTCGCACACGGTCGCGACGCGCAGGGCTCGGGAGGCTGGGAGTCCGAATAAGATTTAGCGCGCGGCCTGTCCTCTGGTCGCCGCCCTTCGCTAATGCAAGCCATCCCGGCGTTGATCCTCCACCTTCGTTAACCAAGCTCACCGCACCGATCGGCGCCTCAACTTCTGCATCCTCCGTCAGAGCTCGCCCATCATGTCCACAGATGCCTACAGCAATGATGTCGCCGCCGAGCACATCCAGGAGCTCAGCAAGATCAAGGAGGTCCGCCCATTGAACAACGCCACGACGAATTCCGGCGTCGCTAATCTCTGTTCAACAGGACGTCCCCAAGCTCCTCACCGCTGCAAGCCACGCCATAAACGCCCTCACCAATCGCCCGCTCCCCTCCGACTCATCCAAATCCACATCCAATCCCTTGGACGCCCGCAAAGAAGCTTACCAAACCCATACGCGGACCTACTTCACGCTCGTCCGCGAGATCTCCAACAACCTCTCGCGCGAGATTGGTGCGCTTGAGGAGGCCGGCGTGATACCAGCAAAGGCGGAGAAGGTTGAGCAGGCACAACAGCAGCGTGAGGGTGGTGCCAGTGCTGAAGTCAAGAACGGCGGCTTGGGCGATTTAGACGTTGGTTGGCTGAACGCGCGCACGAGGGACGTGGGTGTGGGCAAGGCGGGAGAGCTGGTTGCAGAGGCGAGGAGGCGGTTTGAGGAGAGAGGGAAGAGCGAAGCACGAGATGGTGATACGGATATGGTCTAGACGTGAGAATCGAACGATATTGCGTTTTTGGCGATTGGATTGGCATTGGGCGGAGTTAACTTTGGTCATTAATGGTACGCTGGCTGAAAATGATTGCATCCATTATTTATAGCCCGGTACCTGGTGGATAGCAGGGATGCGACCATACAAGCAGAATCTGGATATTACTAGAAAATAAAGCCGAGCACAAGCAGGTAAACTTCCGGAAGATACCAAGTAAACAACGACTAGGTCTAGAAAAGACCGGTAGATAGCAAGAACACAATCACTTGCGATCTTTTCAACTACATTCCAGCCAAATAAACAACGTGATTTGCGGACACAGCTTCGATGCTGTTGGTTCCTCCCCCCTCTTTTTTTTTTTTTTTTTGGCTTCCCTCGATTTTTCTAACATTGATTGTGCAATTCAATTCAGGCAAGAGCCTTAAATACCAGGGTCTTCAATCCACTAGCTTCCCATCCGCGGTTTCAGGGGCAAGCAATACTCCTCTCGAGTACAAAATACATTGTATTCTACATTTTTGGGGGGGGGGGGGGGGGGGGGGGTTTTTTTTTTTTTTTTTTTTTTTTTTTTTTTTTTT